TTTAACATTTACAACTAAGATACTAGGCATGTAAACTATAAAAGTACTGAATAATTTATATAGGTTATTTAAATCTGTTGTATAATATTTTTAATTATTTTAATAATTATGTTATATTCAAAAATTATAATAGTTTACACTAGTTATTGATTTTGAGTTATATACAATAGTGACCTAACTTTACAAACAATATAAGAATATCTAATATTTATGGCTTTAAACAAAAATGAGTACTAAAGTTATGAGTATTTTGTAAGTGAGTGTACTGTAGTTGACGTGATGTAGTAGTTGGTGCGGGTAGTAGTACTGTATGTAATGAACTGGTATGATGTGTGGTGAGTATGTACAGTATGTATGTATTGCTATTATTGGTACAGGTATGATGTGTGGTGAGTATGTATGTATTGCTATTAATGGCACTGGAAGAATTCACGGCTAACTTATTATTATACAGTCCGTGGTTTCTCCGGTGCCGTCGACAGCGATCACATTATAAACAGCGAGTTTGCATTTGGATCAAGAGTTTTGGAAAACTAACTTTAAAGTGAATAATGATGACCTTTGACCTCTAAACCTTTATCCTTGGCACTGGAAGAATTCACCGATATATACAATTTGGTGGGTTCTTGGGTGCCAAAGAAAAAGGAAACAAAAGTTCACCAAATCTTATCACATGAAACATCATTCACTACTCATCTAACTATCCCTCCTATACCACACTCCTCTTGTTTATAGTAACAGTCACTATCTTATATATTATACATACTTTTATGGCATTTTATTATTGAGATTTTTCAAATAAAAAACAAAAAAAACATTTTTGATTTAATCTATTGTTTGAGAGGCGGTATTTGATTAGATAATATTATGAACTATGGATCGGATGATCATCAATGGTCATCAATGGTCATCAATGGTCATCAATGGTCATCAATGGTCATCATTGGTCATCAATGGTAATGCTTTGGCACAAAGGCTTTGGCACTGGCACATTTTTGTATTGATTTTATAACGACAAAAATTGTGGGGGTGTCAATTATTGTGCCAAAGATCACATCAGTCAACAATCATTCAACTTTTTATTCAAACAAATGGTAATCAATTTTTTCTTAATAATTATAAAAAATATATTTTTTTATTACAAATTTTGTGTACAATTGCTGTAATACTTAATTTTTAGAGTATTATAAATATTAATACTTAAAATGGACAACTTTATCTAAGACAAAAATTGTATAACAAAAAGATATTTGTATGTTATAAATGTATGATGAATGTATTGCATAGATAGTCCGATGATACACTTAATTTCATTGCAGCTATAGTAGTGAAACATTGTTATATTATTATGATATTAGAAATTATATACTGTATGTATGCAAGTATATATCGTGTTTGACACTCTTTTTCATTATAATTGTTATAAAACAATAAATTTAATGCAGTATAGTCTAAGTATTATATAACAAACACACTGATTATACAATCAGATGATGAAATCCGTTAGAATTTATTATACTATAATAGGAAAGCTATTGTTTGACAAAAAAAATATAATGAATACACTGAAAAATATATTTATAATTTTTAGTTGCAATTAGTCATTATAAAATATATCTTAATAAATATTATAATAGTTATCCCATTCTAACGGCTTTATATCTCCGATATATAACTATACAATTACTGCACCCTTTTTTAGTTTTTTGTACTGTAATATAATTCTGTCTAAAAATACTGTTTAACTAATAAGTGTTAATAATTAGAAGTTATTTATTATTGAAGTACTGTACTGTATGTAGTGTTTTGGTTAATATTATATATTGGATTGATTTGACTTAAACGACAATAATAGATGTGTAAAATATATGTTTGAACGCTATATTCATAATCTGTATTTTTATTCACTAAGTTTTTAGATATATTAATCACTAACTTTATGGTACATTGACTGTCATTATTTACAACATAACTATATTATTAATTATTAATATTTAAAATAATATACTTATACTATGTTTTATATAAAAAATTTGATAAAAGGTACTGAAATATAACTTTTAATAATTTTTAAAGATTTTATGAAAGAGCAGTCAAGTAGTTATTACTATACTGTATTAACTCAAAGAAACCCAATTGTATGACTTGTTTAGTAAACTAAAACTCAAAATTTTAATTTCACATAAAATTATCTTTAATGACGATCACAATTTTGCTCTCTCTCTCTCTCTCTCTCTCTCTCTCTTTCTCTCTCTCTCCCCAACAAACAATTTGATTGTTTTTTAATGTGATTCACTTCCACTTCAATGGCATTACTGACTCAAAACTTGTCTTTATATCTATTTTTATGCCTTGATTTTTCTATAATAATACATAATGTCTCAAAGGTAGAGTTTATATAAGTTTATATACTGTATTGTATTATGCAATATAATAAAACATTAAACTATACAAACTATGATTAGTCTTAAGGGTTGTGCTTAAATTACTTGAAAATGACATAAATATTATAACATGTAATATAATATGTAATATATTGTGTTTAAAATAACATAAGATAACTGATTCTTGTTTTGTGTAAATTATTCATTAATATAAGATATAAACTAATTTTAAAATTATTATTTTTATCTTAAACAAATAATTTTATTATATTATTTTTATTAAATTTAAGTTGTACATTTAATGATTACGTTCTAGAATTTATTTTAAATAAAAAACAATTTTAATCTAAAATTTGATGACAAGTATAAAGATATAAAATAAATAAATAAAAAAAAGGTGTGATCACTAATAACATTGATCACTACTGTAATAGTGACAATTGTGATACATACTATGTATTACATACTATGTATCACACAAACACATTGCACACTACACTTGTATACAATAATCAAATAACCGGTTTTGTTATTAAAATCAAAATAGAGTTGAATTTAATTATAAGTCAAGTCTTTTTTCACATAAACTTATTTAATTCAACTACCGTGAGATCCATATGTTGTTTTACATTAATCCTAAACTAATAATTAGTTTCCCGAAGCTATTTTATATGACATATCATTTGAAAACATATTCATTGATACATATTATGTATATTTTAACTTTCATTATCTACAGTATGTTTACTACATTTACTACTATTATATAAATATTTATCAATGTATTCAAAATATAATTTATATATTATATAATTTGAAAAATTATATATAAATTATTTAACTTTGTAACAATTTTTATTACTAAAACTTTCTAAGTAAATTTTCTTACTTTATATAGACAAAATTATTATATAACAATTCTAACTATATATTACCATATATTAAAATTTTATACTAATTTCAATTTAAATTCAATTTAAAAATTTCTTGTAAAAAGTATGAATATTATATTAAATTTTATTTATCTATAAAAGAATAGTAAAGATGTTTAGTTGTTAATCAAAGTTGACATACAGTATGTCTATCCAAATGTATTACACTTATTATACCTATCAATGATATCTATCATTGATAGGTCATAATATAAACCCAAGTTTGTTGAAAACAAATAATAATATTATATATTAATACTCGCATTACTAAATATTGACATAATATGAGATTTCTATATTTTTTATTTTATATATAATTATTTTAATTTAACATATAATATTGTTTAATTGATTTAATGATAGAATATATAAAATATTGTACTAAACAAATTGTATTAATAGTTATAAATTGAAAATAATATAATATTACTACGATTAGTGATATAATGTGATATAAAGCAATGACAGTAATGGTTATGATTGTGACAATTGGATCACTTGTATGGATATAGTTATGATAAAGTTATGGTTCATGTGATCTTCAAACAAGCTTTTCCTGTAAGAAGGGGTGGATCTCAAACAACATGTATTGTCAACTCAATGAACGGCACTTCGCGTCACTGCCGCTCAGGTATGTCTATGTCTATGTGAATCTCACATAAAACTCATTAAAATCTACTGTCCATTCATTGTCTCACAACTCAAACTTAAGTTATTTAAACGTAATGTAATTTTTAAAGTTTTGTCATTTTTCTATTGGATATTATAAAGTATGACGTTTATCACCACTTTATATACGCCTCCTTATGGCATATCAAGTGACATAAAAAAAACTACATCAATAGACCAAATGTCAACTCAATCAATGACTTTATGAGTTTTAGACAACTGTGCTTACCATTGAAAGTGTTATTATTGAAAATCATTTGACCACATCTGACATATCTGTCCCATAAGTTTATTCAACTTTTAACCATTAAAACGTTATTCTCTTTTATTTCACAAAAATTATTTTTATGTCTAAATCACGATATCACAAGAAAACACTATCACTGATTTCATCTAAATATTGTAGTTTTATCACTTAGTTTCCTGTTTAATATATTTTAATTTAAGGCGTTAGAAAAGTGCACTCTTTAGCATAAAATACTGTAATATTAGCGTTAAAATATCGGTTTTCAATATTTTGTTTATTATATTCTAATTTAGTTTTAACAAAATCTTAAATAATAAGTTTATATTCTCTTATATATTAATATAATTATGGATAGTATAGTTGAAAATATTGATATTATATAATCTTGTAAATTTAAATATATATTTTTATCTGTTTAATTTTGAAAATAATAATTATAAATGACATTTACTTTACTTTTGATAATTTTAAATTATTTATATCACATAATTGCTTATACTGTTGAATATAAAAGTGTTACTCTATTAATAATAAATTACATTCTTTTTATTTTTGTTAAAAAGTTTATAAATTTTGTCAAAATATTTATCAATAATTGAATATTATTATTTGCTTACCTTTAAATAGTTATTTATTATTTAATTAAATATTTTTATGATAACAAAGAATAATAAATAATTTTAGTTAAGTTATTATAAATTTGGTTTAAAGTTAAGAAAATTTTTAAATTGAAAAATAATAATAAAAAAGTTCAAACAATTGTTATGTTTAATGTTGTGACCGTTGATGTGAGGACCTGCAGAAAGGGCACCGACCCGTCTCTTGCATCTCATACTCGTCCGAATGAAAAAACTGGATTCATATAATTATAGTACGAATAATAATAATAATATTCATATACTGTATACTACAGTACATATTTATATACTGTATAAGTTAGTATTAAAACTATATAAATATAATATATTATATATAATATAAGTGTCTAATATCTGCATAATAATAATACTCACTCTAAAGCAAAATTGACAAACAGTTATAGAAATATCAGGCATAAGATTTCGGTAATATTTAGTGGTCAGTGGCGGTCGATATTTAACTACAATGATTTCCGTTGGTTTCATTTTTTCAACTGTTGATTGTTTCACTCTTATTGGTCTATATTTTAAATTTAAATCTTGAAATGTGGTTAAAAATGGATGATTTTTGTTGTTAAAATCATCGTCATTTAAAAAATAATTTTGATTATCATTTGTACGACTATTGATATGATCGTTGTGTTCAATACTCATATAATTGATGTCTAATTTTAATGATTGATAGTTATCATAATTTTCTTCTTGCCATTGACTGTCACTAATTTGATTCGTTATATCATTTGATTTAATTTGATGTTGAATTTTACTGGCATTGATATCATTGCTATTATCTTCAATTTCAAATTGCACTAATGGTAGTATATCTATTTTATTTGAATAAATTTTTCTTAGAGTTTATTGATAAATAAATTAAAATCTTATTTACCAAATGTTGCAAATGAATAAATAAAGGGTTGATTACAAATAATACATTGATTGCCTTTATTATTATAAAGAGGATTAGTTGTAGAACATCGATAACACAATGATTGTAAATCCTATAAGTATTTTTAATTAAACTTTGTTATCATAATAATCATATTAATAGTAAAAACAAAAATGAAATTATTTATCTAAAAAAATATTATAATAGAAATATGTAGTTTATATGTAGTAACTAAATATACCTCAGAGTCACTGAATGGTTTAGCTCTGACCATAATATCTCCCATATCTATGGCCTCTTGAAATCTATTGGGGACATGCATTGTATGCAAAACTTCATATAAATGTCTTACAAGTTTATGTGCCCCCAAATTTCTACCCTGTTTTGATAATGCATATAAAATAGTCCTAAAAATTCATACAATATATTAATGTTATGTATTTTATTAATAGTTAAGCAAATATATTTAAATAATATAAATAACAAACACTTTGGAGACTCCGTTTGGCAAGAAATGCATAGTTTGGTGGTAGAGATACCGGGCCATATTGAACAGGGCGTCCGCAAAATACGATGTAAATGGCTCTTCCTATTCATTTAAGTTAATTTTTAATAATCTTTTTCATATATCTTATATATATATATATATTGTATATAAAATATAGTATAAAATATGTAAAGATAATTCAATTTAATATAATTCAATATAATAAAGAATAACTTACAACATATCTATAAATATTATGATAAGCATAATAAATATCTGCTTTGTTTGATAAATCATAATATTTGTCAATAAATTGGTTCATCTCATGGTTTGGTGATTCATTTGCAAGATCTAAGTACTGGTTGGCTAATATCCAGCAATAATAAGAGGCATCATTGAAACGATTCTCATTAATTGCATTATTCATTAGTTGTTGTAATACATGTGATGCCTCCGTCTGTTTTCCTGCTTTATGAAAGGCTATGAGACAAAAAAAATAAGTGAACGACAATAGAGAGAGAGAGAGAGATAGAGAGAGAGAGAGTTGGTTATAATTGCCAAGTCTTTAGAGCGTAACTTTTGATTATTATATAATTATTATGTAAGTCGTTGTCGCTTTTAAACGACATTTGCATTTTATGTGAGAGAGTTGTGAGAAATTTTATATAATAGGTATAGAATAATAAAGATGTGCTGCAATTTGCTGTCGTTTCAATTGGACACACATACAGTATATAGCACAGGTAGGTGCAATGAGTGGTAATATATGATATATGGTATACCGTGTTGAGCTTCGACAAAACGATCATTTTCAGCCAACCATATAGCATAAGGAACGTAGACGTCCTGCTTGAGGTGCGGGTAGTCATCTGCCAGTTTGAATGCCTGCCATTAGTTATTGTGATGAATGCTTGAGTTGATCGCAAAATAATAATTATTCATTAAATAATTGTATACCTCTTGCCATTGACTTGACTTGATATAAATGATGGCCAGGTTTTGAATGTCACCTATTTTTTTATAGACTTCAATAGCATTCAAGTAGTGTTTGCTTTTAATTAGAAAGTCGGCACAGAGTGTCAGTGCTTTACGGTCAGCCCTATCCAACTGCTGCACTACAGTCATCATCCTTTCATATATTCATAACATATTTAATATATCAAAATACAATTAAACACTTAAATGATTTACATATCAAGCCATCCATGTTGGCCAATGATCTCAATTGCTTTAACCGTATCTCCAGAAGCTAAATACATCTCAACTGCTGCTTTCGGTTCGTTAGAGTTGTGTATCCAATCGGTTCTCTTGTTTAACAAATTGCTTTTATTGGTTGAATCACTGCTTATGTATTCTTGTGTCGCGTCAGACATTCCCATATCTGAATACATTTTAATCGCTTTATTATCATCTTTTGATTGCTTATACAGTTTAGCCGCTTCTCCGAAATAACCCCTGTATGCCATAACATCTCCCATTAGTGATAATTCAGTTGTTTTACTTTGAGTTGTTGTCGATCGAGTGTATGACTGAATTAACTCCAAAAAAAGCCAATTCTTGAGTCTAATTAGTGATTTTCTTGCAATTTCAAGATTCATACAATCGAGAGCACTGTTAGCTAATATTTCCCAATCGGATTCAGTCACTTTCAAACAAGCAGTTTTATATGCCTCTCTTCAAATGTATTATGATATTAAAAAATAAAATAAAATAATCATAAAATATATGATAATTATGTACTTACAAAAACATGCTTTTCTCTATGTATTGATACATAGGTGCAGATTGTGACACTTCTACAGTTGTCACTGAATTATATTGAAGACAAAATACTTTAGCCCCACAAAAACCAACCACAAACCCCTATTAATTAAAATTATATAAAATAAGTTAAATACATATAATGTTATATATATAGGATATATACTTGTATTTATTTAATAATAAATTTTTATGAAAATAGTTAAAACCTGAAGGTTTTGTTGATGCGGTGGGAAATCTGATGCTTTAATACATAGTAAACCATTGCCTGAATAACTAAGCATATCATCAAAATGTGTATTCCATGAAACAGAATTAGCATTTGACTCCTATATTATGTTATATTTTATTAATATAATCAACAATTTATTTCAAATATGTAATAAATATTAACAAAAGTTTTGATAATATAATTACTTGATATAACAATTGTTTATTCCTCAGGTTATAGACAGAACACATGCCTTTGTCATCAACAACTGCTAACTTTTTTCTTAATATACTTATATCAAGACATCGAATTGGATTTGATATTTTGAGTATATTTATAGGAAACGGATTGTTTATAAATATTTGAACCACTTGTCCACTCTTGAGACCAACGAGAAGACCCTCACGTTGTGGTGGACCCCCCGTCACTCTAATGTATCGAATGGATGACTCTAAAGCCCATTCCCTCTCCATATTACCATTAAATGAAATACACTGTAATTTTTTTTCTTGACATAAAACAAGATTTTCAGAGCAAACAACTATTAGAGTGCACTCGAGATTATTATTAATTTTCTCTTTGACTTTGTAGTGCATATCTGTATTATCCGACTCTTTTGTCAACTCATAAATGATTACTCTTTCCGGAAGTTGGATCTTAATTATTAAAATATAAATCATATATACTATACAATAGTATAATTAATCTGTAAAGTTTTAATTGTATATTAAATAAAAATCTTACGGCCAGTCTATTTCTATAAATGGCTAACTTTTTGACCACATCTCTACATTTTATACGAACTATAGTTTATAATAGATATTAAATGATTATTAAATGATATTTTAATAGATTATATAATTTGATTTGAATAACCTTTTTCTTCTGTAATCAAATGTTGTATAATAACATCAGTCATTTTCTCTCTATAAGCATATCTTTCCTTATATAGGGAGTGAACGGTAGAGAATGACAATTCATAGAGAGCTACAGTTCCGTCCTGAGAGCCCACAGCCTATTGTTAGTCAAGTATTGATTCAATCAAAAGCATTTGTCAACACAATAGTCATTGCATTTATCATACAATTCGTGAACCGTCAGGACTTGGCTTTGAGCACCAAATCCAAGAAGACTGCTCTGCAACACAACCTATAAAAATGCCTTCTTTTGTGTAGAGAAGTGCTTTCTTATTGGATCCGCTAACCAATAAATAATCTCCACTCAAGAAATACGATACATTTAACGGATCAAATCCAATATTTCTTTCTTTTGCTATCTTTTAATACATTTATAAAATTATGTTAATTTTCAATTATTTTGTAATCTATTGAATATAAGAGATTTGTTTATACGAACAGCTTTGCCATTAATATCATAAAAACTTAAGGTTTGTGTCCAATCAACGGATACAAAGATGTCGATATCATCTTCTTTTAGGGGACAGAAGGATACGCCCCATATTGGAGCCATGGGTCCACCCAAACGCTCGATTCTATTTTTTTCTTCGCCAGTCTAGTCATATAAAACTTTTTTCAAAATATTTTACAATTATTTAATTAATCAATTAATTACACGATTGCGTATTGATATTATTCCGGATGTCAGTGCTAATGCTAAATAGTGTCCATCACTACTCCAACAACAACTATTGATTTGACCACTTATTTTCTGTTTGGTCACTGCTTTCTGTTCGGGAGACCAAAGACCGAAATCAGATGCCGTACAGCTCACCAACTGATGGGACAGTGGGTTATATTCAATACAACGAATCGCTTCATTATGACTATTCAAATATAAAATATATATTCAATTTAATGGCTGGTGTGGACACTGAAAAGTCTTGTAATTTTAATGAAATAGAGTTATTTCACCTGCAAATAGTATAACTGTGTATTAAATGTTTTAATTATAAGTTATAAATTATGTATAATTAAAACATATAATACACAGTTGTATTGTACGCGCAAACAATATAAAAAACGAAGCCTCGAAAGGTTAGCGTAGCCTAACCTACAATTCAGTAGTTATTTTCTCTACATTATTCATAATTGATATAATATTAGTTAACTAATATATTTAATATACATACTGTACAGTATATTTAAAAAATTATAAAAACAAATATACATCAAATAAGCAATATTATATCTGTTTACTAAATAAAAAGTTATAAAAAGACTATTATTAAAGAAAAAACATAAAAACTTATTACCGTTTTACTGTCAATATAATTAAAAGTGTAATTATAAATATTTAAGTATAAGTTATTATTTGTGGAAATATAATATAGTTTAGTGATTATATCAATATATATACTAATTTAGTATTATGTAATAAATAGTGCATTAATAAGTAAATAATAAATATTACGAATATTTAAGAATTCCTTCCATTTTTGCCGTCCAAATGATCACTTGTTTATCAGCAGATCCCGAAGCAAACCTCTTGCCGTCCATAGAATAGGCGACACAAATAACATTGTCTTTATGTCCTTTTAATGCTTGAATCAGATTACCATCATTTGTATTATAAACATATACTCTGATGTCTGCGGCAACTATTAGCTGATCGCTATCCGGACTAAATGCCATATCATATACGCTATAATCAATATAATTATTCATTTATTATTTATAATATATAATTATCTTTTAAAATAAATAGTGATAATAACCACAATTGATTCCCATCTTTATCTTTGATCTGATCCGTCCACTGGAGTAAACTTCTCATTTTTATGACATTAAATAATAATAATAATAATAATAATAATAATATAGAACTAGAAAATCAATTGTTTGTATTTGTTTTTATTGAAAGTTCGTTTCCAAAGAGATATTATATATAAATTATAAAGTATTTATCAATAAGTAATCAAATTAGACATAATATACGGAAATAGTAGAAGTATTGCAATAGTAAATGCAATATCTTATTAAACAAAATAATTCTTAATTATTTAATATTTTTTGACTAATATTTAAAAATACAATATTTTTATGCCAATATAAAATTATATTATTTATTATAATGTGTATACAGATACAGATATAGTATATATAAAGGTTTTTACTTACTTTTTGAGAATATATGATAGATATTAGTTATGGGATCTGTTTGCAAGACATCAATTTTGTTGACATACATAACTTGTTAGTCATAAACAAGAGGTTATTGTTATTTTGAAAAATCTTCTAGACTTTGATTAGATATAACTGATAGTCGACTCACGATTCCGTATTCTGCATATTGTTTTCAGTTTGTGTCCATTTTTCAAAACACATTTATCGGGTTCTCAGAGATTATAATTAAATTATTTTTGACAATTGATCACAATTTTGACAGATTTTATACAAAAATATAGTTAATTATACAATTTTTAATGCCTTTCCTGGCAATGCCCAAATAGATGCCATAAATGTCTGGAATTTTGGGCATCTATTTTAAATTGCTAAAAAGCAACTGTATTTATAAAAATAATGTAATTTAGTGTTAATTAAATTTACAATTAATATTCTTATTTCCAAGGATATTATCTTTTAATTAAAGGTATACAAAACAAAAATACAAACAAATATATGATAAAACAATGTTTTATAAATAAATTAATAATATATAATAGGTGTCACCATCTGAAAAATAGATGCCCAGGGCATGGCAGAGACAGGGCAGGCATTTGGCAAAATTGGCATTTATTGTTTATGCCTGCCATTTTTAAAATCCTGATTATAACCAATAGTAAGCTTAATGATAAATGTTATAATTGGTGAGATATGATTGGATAATTTTCAAGAAAATATTAATATTATTTACATTAAATTTGAATTTAGATTTGTTATATGAAGTATACAAAAATAGAATATTAATTTTATATTAATTAAAAAGTTTACTTGTTTTAAGTCGATTATTAAAAAAAAATTTTGACAAATTAGAATTACAGATTTATCATCAAAATTAAAAAAACGATTAAATTATTATTAATATTCACAAAATAACTTTTAGTAAATCTTTATTTTTGACATTAAAGTTAGTTATTTCGAAAACTATTTGATAGAATGACATTTTGATATTAGATTTGATATCAGTATTAAAAACTTTTTGAATTCAAATATTATATTTTAAATCAATGTTAAAATTTCGACTTTAAAGTCGAATATCTTTAATTGCAATGTCTGACAGCTATTTATATAATAACTTATGATAACTATAGAAAATTTAAATCCTTAAAAGCTCTGACCAACCCATAAGACAGACTTTATTTTACTCTATATGTCATAACGTTTTGTTTGTATATATTTTGTATTACAAGTGTGTAGAGGTATAACACTTATGCTTAACAGTGTTTTAGTTTACAATTCTTTAATTCAAGACATAAATATATCATAATATTTATAAAAATACATTTTATGTTATAATAATAACTTTGATAATATAATTTTAAAATATGAGTTTTATAAAATAAAATATAGTTTATCTGTATATTAGTTTTATAATACTGTATTGACAATTGACGATAATTTTAAATTTAATTTAAAGTTTTAGTCGAAATATTAAATGACAATACTTTGCATTTTATTTATTTGAAAATTATGGTAAATTATGTTTTAATTACAAAATTATAATTACAATTGTCTTAAATTGTTACTATAATTAATCGTTAATTACAAGATAATTATCGTATGAATGTATGAATTACTTAAGTATTTAAAGCATTGTATAGTAAATGATTAAAAAAAGTAATTTTAGTTAATTTAGCATGTACATTGTACAGTATAGTATAGTACAGTACAATTGTATATTATTAAATTGTAGTTTATAATTTAACAATTTAATAGATATAATTATTTTTTAAATGCATATACAATAATGTATTATTATTTAAAATAAACAGTAATATAATATAATTTTCAAATATCACTCCTATAAACCTTAAGATATAGTAATCACACATTTGTTTGTATAATACTATTAAATGGTATTTTTATTACTAACTGATATTTTTAAAGTAATATATTTAAAAATATCATACATATACACATACAGTATAACTTTATTTAGTGCATAATTATAAAGTGTTTTCTAGAAATACATTACATTTAAACATATCATATACTGTAGTACTGTATTATTCAATTGTATTTTACAAATTAATCACACGTTATATCTATTTTATTTAAATAAATATTAATTGTAATATACAATTTGTATATTACAATTAAATTTATTTTATGCTAATATGTTATGGCTGGACATTGTTTGTCAGTTATTTAATATCAATAACTGTTATTACTTTGCATATAATAATAATATGCAAAATAATGTATAAATTTAATGAAACAAAACTACTAATTATTAATAGTTATCATTTAAATAAATGTATTCAACGATTCAAATCATTTTTTTTATTAATGTTTGAAATGTTATTTTAGTTGTTTTTTGGCATAAGAGCCGATCGGGTGATACACAGGTCGCGGGTAAGGGATGTTGTAGTGTTTGGCCACTTGTACTCTGTTTATGCCTTCATTAAGAGCTCGTCTGATGTCATCTTCATTATCCAAATGTCTGTTTGTGTCAAACATTTGTCTTAATTCACTCTTTATATATAATCTCTCTTTATTTGTGTTCAAATCATTGGTGGCTTTCCATTGATAAGACAGACGGATAACTCGTTTATAAAAAGCCAGAACTTGTTGTCTTGAGCTCATTGTGACCACACTTTCGACCAATTGATTCATCACTTGTCAAACAATATTGTTGTCAATCATTAATGTTATAATAAATTAAAACCAAAATTATTCAATAAAACAAATGCAATCAATAATTATATAATTGTTTACATTAGTTTACAATTAATTAATGCTCAATCGGGGCCTCAAACTAATTCAATGTAAACCATTGATTCTAGAAGTTATGTATGACTTAATGTTAGGATTTATGTTTATATTATTATTACTAAATGTTTACGATATGTTCAATGTATTAACGTATTAATGAATTAAATTTTAATATTAATACTGTATTAATGTTATGTTTTGTAATACAGTTTATTAATAGTATTTAATAGTACTGTACTGTACTGTACTGTACTTTATTGTATCGGTATATCACAAATAATTCAATACATACCAAATCATCATCATTGAAGATATTTGAAGATAATTGAAGATATTTGAAGATAATTGAAGATATTTGAAGATAATTGAAGATATTTGAAGATATTTGAAGATAATTGAAGACCATTGAAGATAATTGAAGACCATTGAAGATAATTGAAGACCATTGAAGACCATTGAAGACTTGAAGATGAACTATAATTTGTTTATGAAGACATTGATTATTTTAATGATTACAATATTATTAGTTAAGTGTAATGACAGTCAAAATAGTCTGACAATTGTTGACCAAAATAATGATGAAGAAAGTGGCGAACAATTGAATGATTACATCGATGATGAAGAAACAGAATTTGTTGCAACCGATGAATGGCAACCAATACGTAGAGGTCAAGTCCTACCGGCAGGTCTTCACGTTAGACTTAATCTTCAAACGGGTCTTAAAGAGGCTAAACTTATCAATAAAAGAGATGATAATAATGTTATTGACGGATCAAATGATAACAATATACAAGTTATTGACAAACACAAGAAACTTGTTGTTAATGAGAAAAATGATAAATTGAAAGTTAATATAATTCGTGATCAGATAAAACAAGTTATAGAAAACATGAAATTTGGTAAAAACGACAATTTTATTAGGGATGAGATGAAGACTCGTGAAAAATCTTCTGAAAAATTTCGAACAATGGATGAAATTAAGAAAGATTTCGATGCCATGAATGTTAATATTCGATCGGAAAGTGAAATCCTTAAGATTTTAATCAATAGATATACTTCGGCGACCATTGAAGACAAGTTGACTTTATTAACAGATATGGAGTTTTTAGTTCACTCTATAGATATCGGACGCGATTTAATTGATTTGAAAGCCATCCCATTATTACTATCTGATCTTAATTCAACTGATAATCAATTGCGAGCTCAGATAGCTTTTACATTAGGATCGGCCATGAATTCTAATCCTAAGGTTCAGTTACAAGTACTTCAAAATGGAGGTCTCAAAAAGTTTCTGCTTTTATTACAATCTGATCCGTCTTTTAATGTTAAGAAAAGAGTTGTTTTTGCTATCTCTTCATTAGTCCGTCACTTTCCAAGAGCTCAGAAATCTTTAGTTGAAGAATACGGAGCACTCACTATATTTGCTAATTTTTTTAAAACTATTGATAATAATTCAATTAAATTGTGTGTTAAAGTTATTACATTATTAAATGATCTCTTAATTGAAAAAAAGATGGCTTTAAAATATGCGACAAATGATAAGTTAACTCAACTTAAAGCCCAACAGTATTATGACATAGAATTAAATTATGCCATTATTAACAACAAATTTTGTCAATTAGTACCACAACTATTGAATTTACCCGACACTGATGTCCGCGAAAAGACCATTGAAGCTATGGATTCGTTATCAGTTGTTTGTAAAAATGATTTTAAAACAAGTTTGCCTACACTTCATAAAATTTCTGATAACTTGAAAAGTTTATCAACAACTGACTCTTTTGATGAATTAAATGACAATTATTTTATAAATTTATTTCAAACTACCAATAATTTAATTAATAAATTAGAATCGGATTTAAAAACCGAGTTATAATTAATTAATCTTTGTTTTTGACTGATTCTACAAATCAAATATTTAACATTACATTTGATTTGAAATATTATTTTATTACCGTTAATAAGTGATAATTTAATCTTATAATTTATATAGTATTAGTATTATTATATTATATAAATTCATAAATATGTATAATAAATAAATTAAAACTTATGTCTAGACTTAATATTATACTCGTGTAGAGAATCGATGCAACTCTAGTGAGTCATATCCTGAGACACAAAACGATTGACCGCTTTTGTCGAGAAAAACACCGCCGAATAGCATGTGGTTTGCTATGTGTTGACTGAATTCATGGTTTACCTGATTGTCACCAAAATATTATTTATTTAAGAAATATTTTATAATTTTGTTAACAAATTTTACTTTAAGGCAATCATTGACTTCATATAATTGCCAAACCCTGACAAAGCTGTCCTCTGATGTGGATAAGAGCTAATATTTATTTAACTTATTATTAATAAAACTATTTTTGATTGAATAATTAATATTTGACTAAATAATTTATATTAGACTTACTCGACCAGATTGTGGACATATATTAATAGAAGTAATCCATTTTGAATGACCAGATATCTCACAGATTAGTACTTTGTTTTGAATGTCGAAAAATCTCAAATGACCGGAACCATAGCCAGCACAGACATAATTGTTATATATTGCCAAACAATTACATGAAAAACTGATAGATTTCAAAATAAATTACAATAATTGAAAGCAAATAAAGTTGAAACACAAACAAAACTAATACTAACCCATTATAGCCTTCAAAAGTGCAAATTTCATGAAATTTGTTTTGAGATGTTATATAATCCCAGATCCATATCTTTCCGCTGTCATCACAACTAATCACTAGATTTAGTTCATTTGATACTAAATCAGTTATTGGTCTATAAATTATTATATAATATTAAAATATTTATATTTATATGAATTTAGAAGATAACCTGTTGCTGATGTGTTGATTGCAAGTGTCATCATAAGTAATATGACCATGGTCATCCATAATAAATGTCAAAATTGATCCATTGCTTGAACCAATACAAATGACACGTCCATCAACTGATGTTACACCACTCGAGTGATTATTATCAGGACATTCATTACTTTTGCCTCCAAACGTATGATTAAATATGATATCTTTTCCATCACAATCATAGATCTTATTTTTAATTTAATTTAGTTATTAATTTTTCATTTTATTTTCATACATTGCATTTCACTCGTATAAAACCAGTAGTTTTTTGCAATAACTTTTGATAGGCGAGTGAAACCCTATTTTTATTTAAATCTCACGGTGCGGACAAACTAATGTTAAGGTACGACATTTGAACACATTTACAAATGTAGAGATTTTTTAAGTTTTATTATCTAAAATTTCATTAAAATTATAATAATAACAATTATCACAATCCTGTCAAAAGTTATTGCAAAAAACCTACTGGTTTTATACGAGTGACACTTTAACATTAAAATTTTAATTAAAATAAAAAATATTTATTTGTATAGTATAGTTAACATAACTTAAACAATAATTATTAATAAATATTAATAAAATATATACTTTGAGTCCATTGTGTAGAAGAATTAACAGAAAAGCTTTGTCATACAAGTAAAGCCATTTTGACTACAAATTGAAAATATTATAATTAAATGAATAAATTTATTAATATTTATATATTTCTTATTATACTTGTATTATATAATCCTTATCAACAATAACTTCTTTGTTAGTTTCAATTGATACCTCTTTTGATTCATAATTGTCATCACAATCTTTATCCAAATTAATTATATTAAACCTGTATTTATGAGTCGTGCATATCTGTACTCTATTATCGGTTTTCACAATTGCACTCAAATTTTTATCAAATGGCGATACAGTGGACACTAAATATATTGTTTTATCTCTTTTATACATTTTTCATAAAATTTGTATTTAATTTTCAATACTATTATAAGATAATAATATCATATAAGTTTTTTTTAAATAACAAATATCAATATAAACCTAGTTTCTATGGTTTCGGAAAAATAAAATTATAAATATCAATATTTATAGAATAAGTGATATATCGTAATATAGTTTATATATACATATAAATGCATATAAATACATATAATTCATATAAAATTTATTTATTATATATACTGTAAATTTGGTTTATATTATATTTTATAAACTTTATAAAAAATAAAAGTAAATATTTTTAATTTATTTGATCAGTTATAGTGTATTCTGTATAAATTATATTTACAGATACTTTAAATCAAAGCTTGTTTTAAAAAATATAGTTTTATTTTATCAAAATAGTTACTATAAATATACTATTATATTTTGTATAATTTTGAGATATGTTTTATTTGTAGTATTTATTAGAAACAGGAAAATATTAATTTTTAATATTCATATGTTTTAAAAAGCAAAAAAATTATTTACTTTAAATATTAACTAATAGATTAATAAAACCCTGTTATTACTTAAAACAATTGAAGACATTAGTAATAAAATGCTTAAAATGCAAAAAAAGTTTATATATTATGAAAGTAGTGAATATTGTTTATCGATTGAGTCAATTATAACATTGTTTTGAGAGACAGTCCATTAAGTGAAGTGTCTCTCATATTATAGTATAGTAAAGGTATGGCAATTGTGATACAAGTGATGAACTGATGATATCACTGATGCAGAGCTGCACAGAAGCGATGCTAACACTCAACCAATCGATTAATTTCAACAAAAACACTATATTTGAGTCAAAAGGAATTTATTGGTATTCAGATCAGCAATGCTTTGATCAATGATTTATAATACAAAACAACTGATATGTAGGTAAGTCTGCATTTATTTTCAATTTATTATTCAAATATTTTCATTCAAATTAATGTATTATATAAATATAGTTAAACTTATATTTCATTTGTTAAATATCTAATAATTAAAGTATAAAAATTATCATTTAAAATATAATAAATATATATTTATATATGTAAGTGTAAATATTTACATTAAACAATTTCTATTTACTTTATATATGTCAAATATTAAATATATATCTTAAATATAAATGTCACATATATTTATTAGAATATATTTAATATTATATTAATATAATAGAGATACTAATAAAAGGTAAATTTTTAAAATATAAATTAAACCGAAATCCAGCATAAAAGCATTTTAATTTTTTATTACAACATATATAGTATATTTAATAAGTTTCTAACTTTATTATTAAAAATATCTATATATTTAAAAAGATTCAGAAATTTTGTTTAGTCATAGATTATCAAAACTCGTGTGAGAATAAAATTTTAGTAACTATTTAACAAAATTTTAACCAAAATATAAAAGAATAAACTGAAATTCAATGTTAAAATATTTAACTAATTATTATTAATCTTAAATTATATTATATAAATATAGTAAACATTTACAATTGTATATTTTTATATTGTTATAAGATTATCATTTATTTATTATGTTGTTTTATATTTAGAACTTAAAATAGTATTTATTTAGTGTTATTAACAATTATAATTTTTATTCAAACAATTTGTGTACAAATATAAGATTAAATATTTTATATTTTTGTTATATAATCATAATAAAGTAGAAACCATTCACATATATTTTTTTATTTTACAATATGACATTACATTAGTAAAATGTCATACAAATTGTATGATACATAGTGTTGTCAAAAAAGAAAAATTTCTAAAATAATAGAGAAATTTGTGTGAATGTGATGCCAAATATTAATAGTTAATTTTGCTATTTCCATATTTGTTAACTTATAACAATAAATAACAATTATAAATAATAACTAAACATTATTATTAATATTTTAATTAATTTTTAAAATAATAATAAATTTATTTAATTACATTAAACATAAGTTAATGATGCATAAAATTTTATTAATTTTATATATATTATAGTAATACCATTTTTATTGTAGTTTAGTGTTCAGAATACCTATTATTATAATAGCTAAAGATATATAAGCTGTACTGTATGTCCAATAGTATAATAAAAGTAAAATTTCTATATCGCCCATCTCTAAAAATAATTTATAATAGTTTAGCCAAAAATAACAAATCATTTTAAATTTGTTAAAAATGTCAAATCTAGAACTGACAGATCAATTCAAGAAAATGTTAAGATTATGACATGATTTTGTTAAAAATTAATATTTTCAAAGTTATAATATGTTGAGTATCTTTGAATAAGAATATAATCAATTTAGTCAATAAAACATTTTAATATAAATGAGTAAAATTTACAATAGAATAGTTGATAATTAATAGACTATAATATACTCTTATAAATTATATCATAATCATAAAATCATATTTTATGTAATATAAATTTTTATCATAATATTATTATTATACTTATTGTTAAATTGTTAGTCAATAAATATTAGATAATGTTAATGCAATAAAAATGTTAAATTATAAGTATTCATTATCTCAAATTAATTTGATATTGTTTTAATATTTTTAGTAAAACTGTTTTTACAATACATTTCTATTAGAGAACCATTTGTTATGAAAAAATTATTGTACTATAAACTAATTTTTATAGTTTCATATACAGTATAATATTATTCAAAAATAGATTAGGCGTTGTTCACATATTACGTTCGCACTTGAGGGGAGGGGGGTCGGCCAAAGCGAACTTTTGCGAACGAGGGGGAGGGGGTAAAGTCTATAAGAACGTTCGCATTTAAATAATAAATGAATTTAAGGGATTAATTTTGAGTAAACTTAATCCTTTGATAAACGGTTTAATAACTAATTTTGAATAAATATATGACTTTTGAATAATATTAATTTATTTTATTATTTGATTATTTTAAAAGTGAAAATAATTTTATAAAATATTTATTTAAATGGTGGGGGGGTTAAGGACATGCGAACGTAATTTTTAAATATCATTACATGCGAACAATTGCGAACATAGGGGGGAGGGGGTCTAGATTTTTTAAAAACTGCGAACGTAGTATGTGAACAACGCCTTACCGGTTAATATTAATACAGTATTTATATTTCATCAATGGATCGATGGAATAGTATTAAAACAACATTAAACTCTACTACTGTTGTATTTACAATAAAAATTATTAATTTTTTATAACTTAAAAATTAAAAATTGTAATTAATATTTTGTGTAATAGACACAAGTTAGTTGAAATGCATTATTTGCTAAATATAATTAATTAAAGTTTTAATGTTTTGATTACTAAATAATATACATACTGTATAACATATTATTAAAAACTTATTTGCATTTAATTAGAGATGGGAAAGTTGAAAGTTTCTAGAAATTTAACTGTATTATTATAGTACTACGGGATCCCCATATCTATAGAAATTGTAATACTATATTAATGAGACATAATACTGTACATATATTATACTGTACTATATAGTACACAATTATTCAAAATGGGATACATAAATTATATATAAAATAATTATAATTATTTAATAATAATCAGTTTTGTAAAATTTTATTCATCATTCTAGTATACAGTATATATATATCATAGTGTAATATAATTAATTAAATAAATTTTTTAAAACAATGTAAAAGCAAGTTAACAAATATCGAGAAAACAAAATTAACATGGGGATCCCATAGATAGAAATTTTTTTAGAAACTAGAAATTTCCCTATTATTTTATAAATTTCTCTTTTTTTGCCAACACTAATTGTAATGGCTTTGAAATTAATAGTCATTCAATGAGTAATAGCAATAATTGTTTAAAAGGCTTTACAAAAACAAATAAACTTCTAAATAATACTATTTCTGATAAAAAATTAAATTATAATTAAATTTTGAAAAGAGCTAAAAATGGTGGGAATTATAAAATCTCATTACAATTATTCAACTGATGATCATTTTATTATAAAATAATAAAACGATTTTTATGGTAATTATATAATTTATAAATAATATGTTATAATTGTTAAATTTTAGATTATTGGGAATGTCATCAAATAATTCTTTTAAATGAGTAGTTAATACAGTTTTTCAATTAATAAATTGAATTTCTTATGTTTTAGCATAAAATAATTAGTTTAGACAATTTACATACATTTTTACGTTAATTAATGTTTACTGATCTACATTACAAAAATAAACACAATAGTTAATTAAAATTAGTGGGACACTTAAGAAACTGTTTAATCGTTTATTTCAATTATATTTATAATAAAAATATCCTTTAATATAATTAAAGTTCAAGCAACATTCCCAGGGAGGAAAGTTCCCTAATAAAATCCTTTCAATTTTCTAGTAAAATATATTATTTTCCCTCTTTTCATCGTTAGAAAGGAAATGTTATTGCAATAATAGTACCAAAACTAAAATTTCATTGAAATATTCAAAAAATCAATTTGAAATCAATAAATTTATTTATACTATTTAAGAATACCACTTAAAATACAGTTTAATATAACAATTATTTTGTAAACCTTATAATAAAATTTGTTGTTTAGGGTTCAATATGTGGTAGCAGAAGGAAATAGATTCTCTGAGAATTCCCAGAGAGGAGGGAAAATAAGATACTCATAAAACGGGGAATGAAATTTGCCCGAACCCTAAATATAATGTAATATTGTATTATGTCTTTGTTTACATTAAATAGAATATAAAAATAGAATATATATATAAAGTCTTTAATTTGTTATAAAAATATTGACACAAAACATAGAAAAATTTTTTATTAACATATTTTATTAAAAATTATAAAAATAATTAACAAAAAATTAATTTGTTAAAATTTTTAGGCAATATGAATGAATCGAAATTAAACAATAAAATAAATAATTTAAATAAATTTAATGATACAAAGAATGAGGAAAAAGAAGAATATGTGAGTAATTATATGACAACTCATCCAACATTTGCCAGAGAATGGCTTATGAAGAACTTAACTCAAGATATTGTAGAGGAATGGGTCTCAAGAGTTGATTCACATATAAGTGTTTCGTGCGATAAGAAATTATTAGAGAATTGTCAGAAAATAAGTACAAATACAATACAAACAACAAATGAAGAAGAATTGTTGACCGCATCCTATGCTGAGATGACCAGAGAAGGCAGGAATTCTGTTACTTCAGACCTCTTTCATCAAATTATTGATAACACTCCCAGAAAAAACAGATCTCTTATTAGCACAGGTTTGACAAATAAAATACAATTTTATTTCATTATTCAACTTATATTTTCATATAATTAATAGATACTAATATTACAAGAAATCAATTAGAAGACAAACTACAAGATATGGATGAAGTGGACTTATTTATGAAACTAATAAGTGATATAACAAATGAATTAGATATCAATACATTATGCCATAAAATATTAGTTAACGTTAGTATATTAACAAAGAGCGATAGAGGATCTCTATTTCTGGCCAAAGGTAGTCGTGATGTTCGCTATTTAGAGGCAAAACTATTTGATGTCACTCCCGATAGTCTACTTTGTGATGCCCTTAATGCTGCCCAACAACACACTAAAATTCATTTACCATTTGGTTTGTTTGAATTAATTAATTTTTAACATTAATTAATCTTATTTGTAATTAAAGGACAGGGAATCGCTGGACACGTTGCTCTCACTAAAGAAAATGTTAATATTATAGACGCTTATCAGGTAATTATTAGTTTTGATTTTTAAAATTTATTTATATATAGTATAATATACAGTAGTTTATAATACAAACAAATGTATGTTAATCTATGATGAAATATAATATAAAATTGTTTTTATTTAATAATATTTTATATAAAATAAAATGAATTAAAAGGACACTCGATTTAATAAAGAGATGGACTTTCGTACCGGTTATCATACAAAAGCTATCGTAAGTTTTCTTGTTATTTATGCTATTATTTAATTAATATATTTATTAAATTATTAAGTACTGTATTTTAATTATTAAAAATTGTTTTTTTTTGTTAATGAGGTAATATTATTTAAAATATTATTATTTTATTAATAGATGTGTCAGCCTATACTTAATTTTACCGGTGATGTGATAGGTGTGGCTCAATGTATCAATAAAACTAAAGATTGTTTACAACAATCATTTACCAAAAGAGATGAACAGGTAAAGTGATCTAATTTTTCAATTAAATCATAAATCATTGTTTACTGACAGTAAAGAGTATAAAATACCCAATTTATTTAATTATTACAATTTATTGATTTTATTTTTATTAAAGTATTACATATCATTTTTTATGTAATTAATTGTATGATAAAATATAATGAATATTGTAGAGAATTAAAAAAAAAACTATAATTTTATTTATTTATTTATTAATTAATTTTAAATTATTTATGATTCAAAAAACAACGTCAAAGAAATCTAGTTTTTCTATTTTTTACTAAAATATTAAATACAATCAATGATATAAACTATGTTTAATCATATATTTTGCAATTATTAAAAAAATATATTATAATCAGGGTTGCTAAAGGTTTTCGATTTCAGGGGGGGGGTATAGGGGGTGAACATTTTTTATAGCGTTTTTAAACGACAATTTTTGCCAATTTTGAGTAAATTCCCAATAAATTCCCAATAAATTCCCACTAAATTCCCACTAAATTCCCACTAAATTCCCACTAAATTCCCACTAAATTCCCAATAATTTCCCACTAAATACCCACTAAATTCCCACTAAATTCCCGCTAAATTCCAATTAAATTCTAACTAAATTCCCATTAAATTCCCACTAATTTCCCACTAAATTCCCACTAAATTCTCACTAATTCATTCTAAATTCCCACTAATTCCTTATAAATTCCCACTATATTCCCATTAATTCCTTATAAATTCTTAATAAATTTCCACTAAATTATCTATAAATTAACTAATAAAAATATTCCCAACTTAATTCTCAATAAAAATGTTATCTTAAATATTCATTTTTACAAAAATATGAAAAATAAAGAAATGCATAAATATATATAACTATAATTATGATAATTAATTAAAAATACAATTATTTAGTTTTAAAAAATAGATTTTAATTAAAAAATTAATGATATAGTACTGTATTTATTATAACGTCTTAATAATAATATTGTCAGAAATAATTATTAAATAACTAAATAATTAATTTAAGAATATTTTTTACATAGTATTTCATATTGAACCATAACTAACACATTTTAATATAAAGTTTAAAAATAATTTAATAATTTATGCTTTAATTAATAATTTTAAAATTTATGCTAAAAATTTTGGTTTTCGACTTTTAATAAAAAATAAAATATATATTATCTTTTATAAACAGCTAAAAAATAAAATAAAATATTATATTTTTGAAAATTGGTGGGAATTTATTTTTTAGCTCGTGGAGTGCCCCTACTAGTGTAAATAATGTTAAATTGATGTAATTAAGTATTTTTATCTATTTATTTTCTATACATTAATTTATTAATCGATTAATTTATATTAAAACTAATTTAATATTTATTTTTTTGTTTAATATAAAATTTTACATAGCCGAAAATTGGTAGGGGGCCCCCTAACTTTTTGGCTTCAGGCCAGGGGGGTAAAAGCCAAAATTTCTCGATCTCAGGGGGGTAAGACGTCTTACCCTACCCTACCCCCCCTTTAGCAACCCTGATTATAATATAATAAATAAATGTATATAATATAACTAACATAGCTTTTATATGAACACTTAAGTCTAAATCTAGTTCTATTGTATTTATATTTTATCATAAAAATAAATATAACAATACTTTAATTTACTGTAATTATTGAATAAATGTAGTGTTTTATGCTATTTATTGTTTTGTATTTGCATATTATCAAAAATATGTGATTTATTTTTACCCTATAAAACAATGGTATATAAAACCATTTAAAACTTATAGAAATAGTTTAAATTGAATTATAATACACTATTATATATTTTATAATCAATTAATTATATTCTAATAATAGTTATCATAAATTATATTCTATCGTATATTCTTTTTATAACTTTTACTGTATCTGATGTTAAAATATTTTTTATTAATTATTTATTATTATTTATAAATTATTATAAATTAATTATTTGACATAACGCTGTTTGTAACTATTTTTGCGATTTAAAAAAATTATTTTTGAATATTTATTTTCAAAACAGATTTTTAAAGAAATTCGTTTGCATAAAATATATTAAAAAATATTTAGCATATTATATCATAAAACAAACAAAATAATGGTTAATAATTAATTTAAAATATAATTTATTAATAGGTATTTAAAAAATATTTGACATTTTGTGGTATTGGTCTACAAAACGCACAGTTATTTGAGATGTCTGTCTCTGAATATAAAAGAAATCAAGTAATATAAGAATAAATTAAAAGATTATATTATTAATTAAAATGAATTATTTAGTTATTATTATCATTGGCCGGATCTATATTTGAAGAAACGTCATCATTAGATACATTGATTAATAAGATTATGTTGAAAGCACAGGGACTTCTCCAAAGTGATAAATGTCGGGTCTATTTGGTTGACATTGAAGGACAACAATTTCAGGTCATTTTTCTATTTTACACAAATATTAGTTTATACAGTATTTATATTGTTTTATATGAAAATTTGAAAAATACATACATTTTTTATAAAAATATTAATTATAATACTATACAATAAATATATGAACTATTGTTGATTATACTTGATTATCTTTGAACTTTAAAATGTAACAAAAATAAATAATTGAAAATAATTTAAAATGATAATTAGTGTCTTGATTTACAATTAAAAACTATTTTATCGGTTTAACTCTTATATCTGAGACTTAATATGTCGACCGAACTAACCAGTGGACGCTATTCCCGAAATTATATTCTAACAATTATATTAAACTGTAAAATATTGAACAAATCTATACTACTATATAATTTGGAAATGTTTGTTACATTTATGTCACGCAAACAATTACTTTTAATGTGTCGGCGATTATTAATAATTTTAATTTATTAAATAAAAAATTAATAAATAAAATATACTGTTTATAATAAACTGTAAGCGCGTAAGTATTGTTGCACGTGTTTTGAGCTAACTATTGATAGTATCAATAGTTAGCTCAAAACACGTGCAACAATACTTACGCGCTTACAGTTTATTATAAACAGTATATTTTATTTTATATAATTTCTGTAATATTTTGTATTTTTACTTATACTAGTTAGATCTCCACGTAATAAAATGTGTATCAATTTGATACACATTTTATTACGTGGAGATCTAACTAGTATAAGTAAAAATACAAAATATTACAGAAATTATATAAAACTGTAAAATGTTTTTAATTCCTCCAAAACCTGTCATAAATTTTTAATATTTTTTTGTAAAAACTAAACAAAATAGTATTAATTTGTTTTATAAAGAATCGTTATTATTTAAAGCAAAATAAAGATCTATATACTGTATATTAAATACATAAACAATTATAAATAATCCCAAAAAATTAAAATACATAATTTATTTCGAATTAATTATTAATTGTCTTCAAAATGCTATTATAATTTACTTTTATATTAGAATATATATAGAGTACAAAACTGTCGTACAATAGCTTCTACTGTACATTTATTTGATTAAAATTTATTTTTTAAAACATTAAATCAATCAATTTATTTAAACAATTAACTACAGTATGATTACAGGAGTGCTTTTCATATATATATATTTATATATATGACTGAATCATCAATAATTTAATAGTTATATTATTTATAAATATATTATAAGTATATCAATAAATATATTAGTTATTAATGTTATAATAATATAATATATTTAGTGTAAATTGATATATACCGGTATATATAAAACAAATTGTTATATTTTAAAATTTAGGAAGAGTATAGTGAAACAATTGGAATACATATAAATAAAATTGACCATGATCATCATTATAAACATTCACAATCTGAGGTTTGCATAATTTTATTATTATTATATTTTTCTGCTATTCATATAAATTATATTTAAATATTATCTATTAATTTAATTAAAATAATTTTTATTTAATTGATTTATATTTTAGGATATAATGTTTTCAACCATTTTTGAATTACAAATAAGAAATAATAAAATAATTAAGCTATCGTAAGAATATTTAAATATTTATTGATATTAATATTAAATTATATTATATGTATAATTTATTTTAGAGGAATAAATGATGTCAATTGTAAGATAGATGTCCAACACATACAATATGCTCTACAAGTAGCCGCTGGAGGAATAGTTTGTTATTTTTATCACTTGAATTGATATTTACATAATAGATATCCCATTAATTTAATATTTTATTAAAGGATTTTTCAATTTTTGATACAATTTAAGATTTATAATTTTATAGACTTACAAATGTAGCGAAAAATATGGTAAATTTATTAGTCACGATAATTCTGTAAGTTTTGATTAATTTATGTAATTATTGTTTAAAGTAATAATAATTTGTTTTTAAAGCAGAATATTGAAAAACCCGGAATGGTTTGCGATAACGATTGTGTGCTTTCGGTCCCAATATTTAATAACGACTCTAAAGTCATAGGCGTCGCACAGTTAGTCAAAATCAAAGGATACCAATTCAATGAAATGGATATTTCAACACTTGAGGTATCAATTAATTAACAAATTATTAATGTAATACAAAACAAAAGTTTATCATTCAATAAATTAATATTTAAAACGTCATTATTTATAGTAATATTATACTATTTATAAATCTTTTATTAGATTAATACTAAGTCGACTAATCTTTAAGATTTAAGAAATAATAAAAGTTAATAAATAATTTAATTTAATTAAGCTTAGGGGGTTGTTCACGTATTACGTTCGCACTTGAGGGGAGGGGGTTAGCCAAAGCGACTTTTGCGAACGAGGGGAGGGGTATTGACTTTAAGAACGTTCGCATTTAGATAATATCTTATTTCTTGTGGTGGTGGGGGGGGGGTAGCGGTTAGGGATAAGCGAACGTAATTTTTTAAATGACTACATGCAAACAATTGCGAACATAGGGAAGGGAGGTGGTCTAGATTTCTTAAAAAGTGCGAACGTAATATGTGAACCACGCCTTATTGATAAATATTATTAATATACTTATACTTATTTCAAAATATAAAAGTATTGACAAGTAATGTTCATTCTCATAATATTATACGTTATTGTCAATTATTATACATTACACAAAATTAATTATTAATATACTGTAGTTTATTAATTTATTGATTATGTTTATTACACTTAAAATTAGAGTAAGTTTTTGATTACTAAAAGCTTATTTAGAATTTTAAAAAATCCAAATAAAACCAGTTGAGAATGCTAGAAACCATTGCCAGATAAAAATTTAATGACATAAATAGGTTGATAGCCACTACTAATGCCCATTAGTTTGTATAGTAATAACTACTATACGGTAACTATTAAAAATTTGAAACCCAGTCAAAACATACATAATAATTATACAAATAGTATATTTTGAAATTTTTTATACTTCCCATTCAGTAAATTGTAATGTTTATCAGTATTTTAAAAATCAGTGGTTTTACAGCAATACCTAAAAATACATAACCAGATCAGTTCATTGATTCTGGACATGGGTTACCACATAAAATCAAATTTGCTATAATCCTCACAGTATAACCTGCACTCTACAGTATTTAACGGACATTAGACACATACAGACTCAAAAACACTCGTATAGATTTCAGAAAATAACTTTCAAATTAAAAAAAAATATTCACAATTAAACTATCGTTTATTTAGATTTGATAATTTAATATACTTTAAATGCCATTTATTAAACATTAGTTAATGAATAATATTACTAAATGTCACATTAAGAATAAATAAAATTATTGTTATATTTATAAAAAAAAGTAAATATATTGTATTTTGAAATTATAGGCCTTTTCAATATTTTGTGGTTTTGGTATTCATAATTCATGTCTTTATGAAAAAGCTCTTAAATTAACGGCTAAACAGAAAGTAGCGCTCGAAGTGCTGTCATATCACGCCTCGGCTTCAATTGAAGAAACAGATAAACTTATGGTATAATTTGAAAATAGTTATAGACTTTGATTTAATAGTATTTACTAAAAAATAGTATTATTTATGAAAATGAATACAGAATTTGATGATTCCTGACTGCGATACCTATCAGTTATATTCATTTGAATTCTCAGACTTCAGTCTCGATGAAAGAGACACCTGTTTGGCCACTCTTAGGATGTTTTTAGACTTACAACTTATTAATACATTTAAAATACCTTATCAGGTATGTCATCATTTTGTCATCATTTTGTCATCATTTTGTCATCATTTTGTCATTAATTTATCATTACTTTATCATTATTTCTATTTCAATTAACTATTGTATTTAAAAATTAAATACAATTAAATAATTTGAATATTTAGGTATTGTGTCGATGGATATTAAGTGTAAAAAAGAACTATAGACCGGTATAATAAACTTATTAAACATTTACGATAATTATGCAATAAAATGTTAAATAAAAACAAATATTTTATAATATTATAATATTAATATTATAATAATAGGTTATTTATCATAATTGGAGACATGCATTGAATGTAACCCAAACAATGTTTGCAATATTAAGGGTAATATAAATAGCTATTACAGTATAATGAAATAAAGTAACTTTTATTAATAAATATATAAACTGATAACAGACCGGAAATTTATATTACATAATGAATGACATCGAAAAATTAGGTCTTATAGTGGCATCACTTTGTCATGACTTAGATCATAGGGGAACAAACAACTCATACCATACTAAGTATAACATTATAACATTATCTATAAAATATATAATTATTTAATATTAACTTAAATTTATTGCAAAGAACTGGATCAGCTTTGGCAACACTATATGGCACCAGTATTATGGAGAACCATCACTTCAACCATTGTATTCTCATTCTTAATACTGAAGTATTATTATTTTCAATACTAATAAATATTTCTAATATAATACGAATAATCTAACAAATTTGTGTATTAATGTATTAATATAAAGTATATCTAATTTCTTAAATTGATTTAAATTCAGGGAAATAATATTTTTCAATCGCTTTCACCCGAAGAATACAGAGATGTGATTCATATAATAGAATCATGTATTTTGTCAACTGATTTGGACCAATATTTTCAGTAAGTATTATACAGTAAAATATATATATATATAGTGTATATATATTCATATATATATTTTTATAAATAATAAGAAAAAAAGATAAATTTGAAGAATTAGTTAAAAATGATGAAAAAGATTGGAGTAATGTTTATGTAAAAGAGATATTGAGGGGTATTTTGATGACAGCCTGTGATATAAGTGCAACATTCAAGCCGTGGGACATACAGAAAAAAGTGGCTGAATTGGTAGCTCATGAGTTCTTTGAACAAGGTGATCTTGAAAGACAACAACTCAATCAAATGCCTAGTGCTATGATGGACAGGGAGAAAAAACATGAATTGCCAATCATGTAAACATATGTTTATAATTATTTTTTATTTTTTAAAATAGCATTTTTTGAATTTGTTAAATGTAGGCAGGTCGCTTTTATTGAGCTTATATGCCTTCCCCTTTATAAGGTAATCCATCACTTGATAAACTTGCAAATTATTATATTGTATAAAAAATTATATATAAATATTTTATTTTTCTATTTATACCATAGAATCTGTCTGAATGTTGGCCATCACTGAGTATACTATATGAGGGATGTCTTAATAATAGAGATAACTGGAAACAATTTTCTCAAATAAATACATTAACAGTAAGTTTTAATACATTATTTTATAATTTAACTTATAGTTCAGATAATCTTATATATTATATTAATAATTTTTAATACTTAATTTTGATTTTCAGTGTTGCGATAAACAGTGATTATTTCACATTCAACCAATTATAATTTATATTATATTGGTCAATATAATAGATCAATCTTGTTATTATTATTATCAAATATCTAATATAGTATAGAAAATATCTGTTAATTTAATTTTTTTATTGTATTTAAGTTAATATGTTAAAATACTATTTGTAAATATTTATTTAAACAATATTCATACTAATATATTAAATATAATGTTACTGTACAAATATCTATTATGTTTTAAATGTTTATAACTTATAAATTATAATTATTGGTCAAAATTTTACTAAAAGTAATTTAATCAAAATAACAATATAAAATACTTAAAATACAATACTAAAAAATAAGTTATTCATTTTGATTATATAAATGTATATTTATATTTATTTATATTATATTTTATACTATATTGTAATTTAGACATTCATACAAAGCTCATTCACTCGCATACTGTTATTCATTTACACACTTACCTACTCACCCACTCCCTCCCTCCCACACTCCCCAAAATGATTTGTCGGAAATTATACTAATATTGAATATAAATTTCTATATATTGAAGGATATAATTACAAATTGTTACTCAAAATGACTAATTAGGAATTACGATAAAATACTTCAGTGAATAATAACTTTTGTATTAATAATTTTTTCAGAAATTTATTATAAAATGTTTTAATATTTATGTAATACAGTATTTTCATAATATTGCATTTTGTTGTGATTTCATTAATTCTAATCTAATTTATTTTTAAATAATTAAATACTTTTAAATATGTAACAAAAATAAATGAAAATAGTACTATACAATCAATAATTAACATCAATAACAATTTAAGGATAATAAATACATTATATAAATTTATAAGTTATATGAATTATATTATCATATATATTAAAAAGTTTAAATTTTTATAAAATAATTTTGAAAATCTATTAATTGAATCTATTATTTAAATTTGAATATTTTTTCAATTTAAATTTATTTAACAATTAATTATGTTGTGATATAATCAGTGATTATGATTATACTGTCAATAGTAATCTGAATATTAACCGACTAAACAATATACCCGTAAGCTTTTAATTGTAAATAAATAATTACTATTACGAATAGTTTTTGAAATTTCAGTAAATTATTTTTTGGTTAATTTACTTTTTGAAAAGTTTTGTCAAATATTGAATTCTATTTATTGTTAAATCTTATATTAATTTAAGACAAATGCAATTGTTATATTGTTGACTCATTTATTATAATTATATTTTTGTAATTTTGCAAATAATATATTAAAATTAAAAAAATAAAATACATTTATAATTTAAAAATACATAGATTATATTTATTGACAACTCTGACCATAACCTCCTCCTCCAGGAGTTTCTAAATGAAAGAGATCGCCGGCATTGACCTCAACTGATGTTTTAGACCCGAGACTTATAGTACGTCCACTTTTACTGATTTTAAGCAAATTTTTACCTCTTTTTCCTGGATTTCCTCCTAATATAAAATAATTAATTTTAAAGGTTTAATATTGAAGTAAATTATTGTAGAAATAATATAACAAACCATTCATTCCAAAGGGAGAAAACACACGTCTCTCAGTCAATACCGACAGAATTAGTTGTTTGCGAAATAAAAGTTGTCGAATAACTCCATTTCCTCCATTAAATCTACCGGTTCCTCCAGAACCTCGATTAATAGTAAACGATTGAACAATAATTGGATACCTTTTCTCAATTATTTCAATATCTGTAATCCTAGTATTAGTCATATGTGTGTGAATAGTAGTGCCGTGAGATATGGCAGTTGCACCGGAACCGCCCGCAACTGTTTCATAATAACCAATACTATAATAATAAATCATTAATAATATAATATATAACAATTTTATAATTTATATTCAGTTAATAAATAAATAAATAAATAAATTATAATTAACTAACTTTTCGTCACCAAATGTAATGTTATTCATAGTGCCCTGAGATGCGGCACAAACACCAAATGCTTTAAGAATTACATCAGTTATTCTTTGAGATGTTTCAACATTTCCTAAAATATAAATAAGTTTTAGTCAATAAAAATGACAACAATTGTTCCCAACCGCCAACAACTGCTGCATCTTCTGCTGGCGAAAGAATACAATTGTCTGGTATTATCACTTGTATTGGTGACAGACATCCTTGATTTAAAGGCATATCGTGTCCAACCAAACAACGCAAACAATATATAACGGCTGAAAGTACTACAGCTTTTGGTGCATTACAATTGCCATACACTTCTTCATCAGTTCCAGTAAAGTCAAAGACTGCATCACCTGTTGTCTCATTGATTTCAATTTTTAACTCAATTTTAGAGCCAAAATCCATATAATCGGTTGCAAATAATTTATTTGTTTTTAATGTTTCCACTGTTTGTTTAAGCATTTGTCGAACCGATAAATCGGCGTTACTTTGAATGTAACGCATATAAGCTTGAATTACATCCAAACCATAAAAGTCTATTAATTCAGTTACAAGACTTATTCCCTTTTGGTTGGCGGCTACCTGTGCTCTTAAATCACTTAAATTATTACTTAAATTTCTTGTTCCACTACAACCCTTATACTTTGATGGAGACATCAATATATCAGTGATACCTTTCTCTTGAAAAACACCATCTTTTACTAATTTAAATGATATTATTGCTGCCCCCTCTTCATATATACTTGTAGAGTGAGGTGGCATTGAACCTAAAAATATTATTTTAATAATAATGTCAAATAATTTACATTAAATTATATACAGTTATACCTGGAGTAAGTCCTCCAATATCTGCGTGATGACCGCGATTGGCCACAAAAAATATTGGCTTTTTATCATTTGAATAAAACACTGGAGTTATAACTGTTAAATCAGGTAAATGACTGCCTATTAAATATAAACAAATATTATAAATTGTATAATATTAAAATAACTTTTGTATAATTTTAACAAATTATTAGTTTTTATTAAATTTATTAGTACCTCCTGCTAGAGGATGGTTGGTTAGTATGACATCTCCTGAATGCAAATCATCTTTTAAATGTTTTAATTGAAATTCAACGGCTTTACCCATAGACCCCAAATGAACGGGTATATGGGGGGCATTACTAACTAATCCTCCATTAGGGCCAAACAGAGCACAAGAAAAATCAAGTCTTTCCTTAATATTGGTTGAGATTGAAGTCCTTTGTAAGACTCGACCCATTTGTTCAGCAATACTCATAAAACGATGAGAAAATATTGACAATTGTATCGGATCTAAGTTTGTACCCAAAAATGTTTGTTTCAGTCGTTTCACTTCTATAAGTATATTTCCTTTTTGAGTTATGTCAGCCCTACAGTTGGGTTCAATTAAAACAGTAAAATTTGTATCAATTATAATTGCCGGGCCATCTATTTGATGTCCATATTTAAGATCATTCATTAAATAAATAGGTGTTTTTAAATGTCCCAAATATTCAAAATAACAATTAGTTTCGTCAATCAATTGAGGCATAGAATTGGATTTTTCAGATGACTTTTGAGAAAATTTCAATTCATTATAGGAACCAATACCTCTTACTCTTATATCATCGACAAGAATATTACGATTAGATAAAGTAAAACCAAATTCTCGTTTATATAATGTTAGAAATGAGTTCTTAAAATTATCTTCAGAACAGAATTGGGAACTGTCTTTAGTCAGACCATCTGTTTGAGTCATTACAGGAAAATCTGTTTTTTCATATCTCATGTTTAAATAGATCTCAACCTTAATGTCTTCATCTTTAAAATCTTGTAATTTTAGTTCTTTATTACATTTATTAATCATATTAATAATTCGTTTATCCATTTCATCAAAATATTTGATATTATATTCAAATGAAGTCGGAATGGTTTCTTCGTGAACCACATCAGCCAATGCCATACCAAATGCAGATAAAATACCGGAATATTTATGAATAAATACTTTAGACATTCCTAGAGAACGGGCTATTGCACAGGCATGTTGTCCTCCTAATATAGATATATCATACAGTATATAATATATACGTTACATATAATCAATTATATATACTATTATTTTCATTATTAGGTGCTAATTATGATAATTATATGAATGTATTAAATACCTGCACCACCAAAACAAGCGAGTATATGGTTAGCTGTATCGTAACCTTTGCCCTGAGTTATAGCACGAATTGGTCTACACATGGATTCATTGGCTACTTTAACAAAACCTATGGCTACTTCTTCAACAGTTAAAAGTTTTTTCTCATAAGATTCTGATTTTTCCAAGAATTCATTAATATTATCCGTTAATTTAATAAAAGCATTGTTTGTCTCCTTTATATCTAAAGGTTGATCTTTTTGAGGACCAAATATTTTAGGAAAATATTTTGGTATAATACGACCCAAACATAGATTTGCATCGGTAACTGTAAGAGACCCATTATTTCGATAACAAGTTGGACCTATTAAATAATATATATTATAACTAAATATTCATAAATTTAAACTTTTTATAATATTACCAGGATATGCACCGGCACTCTCAGGACCCACAACAAAAAGTCCATCCTTTAATTATTTTGTAATACAATAAATTAAATTATTTAATCTACATACACACACACACAAAACGAGAGAGAGAGAGAGAGAGAGAGAGAGAGAGAGAGAGAGATAGAGAGAAAGAGAGAGAAAATGATTTAATCCTATCAATTGTGTATCAATTTACTAAATTATTGTCTAAAATTGATATGAAATTAACATTTACTCAGATCACTCCTATTCATCATAAATTCACGACAATTTAAATATAAAATAAAATAATAATTACCCGAAAATACAGTTTAGACCCACCACCAGCTGCAACAGTTTGAATATCTTTTAAAATAAAATTAATCATTAAATTAAGTATAGAATATTTATATATAACTTATAAATTATTTATTATCTTATTACTTTAATTAACAAATATTATAAGTAATGCATATTTAAATTGGCGGTAATGTATTATAAATTTTTACATAAATTAATACCTAATTGTGGAGTTTGTATTGTAATTCCAGCTGTTTTTGTTTCAAATGTATGTTCAAATGCATTGCTATATCTGCTGACATCAGTAGAAGTGCCTCCCATATCAAACCCAATTATAGGTAAGTCATTACCTAAATCATCATAAGTTGTGTGAGCAAATCCAACCACACCTCCTGCCGGACCACTCAATATAGACCGACAGCCACTAAATTTATTAACTGAAGCTAACCCTCCATCCGATTGCATAAACAAAACATTCAAATCTTGTAACCCATTTCGAAAACCTGAAGAAAAACCTTTTATATAATCCTTAATATGAGGTGTCAGATATGCATCGGCACATGCGGTCAGTCCTATAATAGTTTACATGAGATAACAATTTATCAGTTGTTATGATATATGTTTATACTATACCTTATTTAAACATTTTCTAAATTACAGTATTGTTTATCAATTTAAAAAGTTATAATATTTAAGTAATTCAATTATAATCTTTAATAAGTATAGTTATGATAGTAATAATTGATAACTTGTTATACCTCGGGGTACAACTTTAACCATAGGTATGACATGTGATGACAAAGTAATTTGCGTAAAACCAATATCTTTAGCAACTTTTTCAACCAATTCTTCATGTTTTGGAAATGTATACGAATGGAGAAGAACTACAGCTAAACTTTTGATGCCTTTGGCAAACACTTTCTCAAGATTTTGTCTTAAAACTTGTAAATTAATTGGTTTCCAGATTTCAAGATAATCACCGGTATTACCGACAACTACTTCACAAGTTTTGTTGTTAATTTGACAGACATCTTGTTTGATAACAACTCGTTCATCGACTTCAATCACTTCTTCATATAAAAGTTGTGGTCTTTTAATATTTAATTCAAAGATATCATCTCTGGACTGATTTCCTATCTCTAAGATGTCTTTAAAACCTTTTGTTACAACTAAGGCAATTGGTTCTCCTTTACGCTCAAGAAGAGCATTGGTGGCCACCTGTTATAAGATTTGATAAAACGATTGATTAAATATATTTAATATTAATTAATAAAAATTAATAAATAAATTTAATTACAGTGGTTCCCATACGAATCCATTCAATATGTTTGGTATCAATATTACATCTTTTAGTATATTTGTCCGGTAATTGTGATGAAAGTATTTTATAAATTGCCTCAAGAGGTGCGTCCTTATAGTGATCGGGATCTTCACTAAGAAGTTTCATCACTTGGATTTGACCGGTTGGACAAATGGCAAACACTAGTATTGATATCTCATTACTTATTTGATTCAATCAATATATAATAACTTAATATCATATAAATTATATGATATATGCTTACCATCAGTGAAAGTGCCGCCTCTGTCTATCGCAAACTTATACATGTCTTCACTAATTTTATTCAGTTATTCAAAATCACCTCAACTTTACTTAACTTAAAAGTATTCATAACTAATAAATTTAATGTAAAAAATCAAATATTTATACAATATTTCAGATTAAAAGATTAAAAAAAATATTTTAAGATAACTATAACTTGTAAACAAGTAAATTATCAATATTTAAAAATATGTAACAAATGTAACAGTTTTATAAATAATATTCTAAGTAACAAATGTAGATAATTAAATTGAAAATATTGTAGTCAAAATAATTAAATATATTTTTTAATTATCAATAAAAATATAAATTTATAAAAAGATTTAATATAATGCAACTGTACTGTTAAATAAGTTCATTTACAGTAAATACAGTACAATACTGTATATATAAAATATACGTAAAATATACATTTTATTTAGATTAAACATAATTACATTATAAACTATACTATATATACTAAACTATACTACAGTGTACAGTACTACAGTATAGCGTATGTATTGTATTATTATTATAGCATTTATTTCACATATAAACGATTGATTGAAAACTAATAATTATTGCAAAAGTTTTAGTCACATAAACACATATAACAATATATTTTGAAAGGTAGTCACATATTATCAAATATTAGCACAAAATTTTAATATAATGTAAAATAATAGTTGAATTACATTTTTCTTATGTATTTTTGTATGTATTATTTGTTCAATTTTTAAAAAATAATATTTTATATGAATGCAACATAATTTGTTAATTTTTGTAGACAAATAACATAATATTTATGATATATTTTCTACTATTTTCTAGTGTTTACTAAAAAGACGTTAATTTTAATTTATACCAACATTTTAAATTAAATAATTATAATTTATGTGTTTTTTAAGTATAAATAAGAAAAAATGTAAAATATTGTTTTATCGTTAATTGTAACACAAAATTAATTAATTGATTTTAAATATAATCACATATTTAGACTTCAAAGCAAATATTATGACATATTTTTCATGTTTTTAAGCAAATATTTCGTTAAATAAAACCCGAATTTTAGTCACATTATCTAAAGTTACAAATTATTACATACTATACACAGCACAGTATACTATGGGTATAATGAAACAAATAAATTGTGTGATAACTTAATGTAATATTGTAACCCTTGTTGTACTATAAAATGTAGTGTTTATTATGATTTAATAACATTTATTAATTTTTTACTACAATATATATTTTTAATCTTAATTATATAAAAATTAATTTAATATGAATGTATAAATTGTATTATTATTATGACATAAAGTATTAATATTAATATTACTTAACTGAATAACAATGTGTAGCTTTGGCTGTGATTTACAAGTTGTGATGTCTTTTAAAATAACTATTATATTATATAGTAGAGCATCCAAACAAAGTTATTTAACTTTTTTTTACCGATATCGGAGAATGAGCTCATATTTTTTATATGAGTATATAATATAAAAATAATCATTTATACAAAATTTTAGTTCACATATAAATAACTTTTTAAGTCGTAATTAACATTTACCTAACTTTTTCGTAACTTTTGACAAAAATCACCCAATTTCACACTATTTAAATTATAAAAATATAAAATATATTCCTGAAATTTTATATTCTATTTGTTAAAAATAAAGATATATCAATAACAAAATAATGTCATCACATAGTAGTGATTCAAAAAATATTTAACATTTAGTCATTTATTTAATAAATAGTTTTTTCAAAATTTTTAATACCAAGGGCAGTTTAAAAAACATTAATTTTTAACGAAATCAAATAATATTTAAATAAATATTTAATCAAAATAATAGATTATAAATTATACTTTTTGTTTAAAATTTTTTAGTAAGAAAAATTACTTGAAAATAAATAACGAATGTTTGCTTATTTTTATTAACTTTTATAGTGACAAACTTTTTTAACACCTTTATATGGACAGCTTAGTAATTAGAGTTCAAATAAATAAGCAAAATATAAAAACAAAATATTGGTTGTTTTTATAATATACAGTATTTTTAACAATTTTGATAATATATTATAGTAAAATTATTTTATTTAATTTATATTTAATTATTTCTAATAATTTTTAAAAACATCTAAAAATTTTTAATAATATTTATAAAAAAACTACATTATATCTCTTGGTAGTAAACTTAACCTTAGCCAAATAAATTATATTAATATATTTAACTATATTTTTATGACTTAATGATTTATATAGCAACTATCTTTTAATTCTCTACTAATTATTTACAGTAAACTCACAATACTGTACAGTATTTTCATTGTATGACAGTGTGTGTGAACCTTATATTATAAAAATTTATTTAAAAAATATAATATATAACTAAATATCAAATGAATAATCAAATATTTATTATTATATATGATATTAATTGATAATTACTGTATTAAATATATATTATTTTATTAAATAATATAAATAACAAAACAATGACTATTAATACAAGTATTGTATGATTTGATGCAATGATATGTTTATTAGATTACCTTTGAATTCAATCGTTAAAACACTTCATAGCTATAGTGATATCGCTTTGAAATTAACTTATAATTCATTAAACAATAAGTAAGTACTGTATTAATACATGTATTAATTATTATTAATTATTATTAATTATTATTAATTAATATCAATTAATATCAATTAATATCAATTAATTGATTTGTATGTTGAAAGTCGTCGTTATATTAAAAGTATGGCTGCAATGAAAGCACGTGATGTGAACAATGATTTGATGAAAGAGTCAATCGATGACTTAATCAAATCAGTTGAAGACAAACGACAATATAAGGCACTTATCCTAAACAATGGTCTTAAAGTACTCCTAATAAGCGATGTCGAGACCGACAAATCTGCCGCTGCTCTCGATGTCAACATTGGATCAATGAGTGATCCTCGAGAAGTGCAAGGGTTGGCCCACTTCTTGGAACACATGCTTTTCATGGGCACTGAAAAGTATCCTCAAGAGAATGACTACCAGAAGTTTATTTCCCGAAATGGTGGTCACACTAATGCCTATACGAGTGGATGTCATACCAACTTTCACTTTGATGTGTCGCCCAATTCATTGAATGGTGCTCTCGACAGGTCTTATTTTGATTATCATAATTCAGTGTTTTCTTAGTTAATATCTAACAATGTCTTAATGATTGAAATATCAGATTCGCCCAATTCTTCGTGTGTCCGCTCTTTACTGACAGCGCAACCGATCGTGAGATGAATGCCGTCAACTCAGAGCACGAGCGCAACATTGATGATGACGTCTGGAGACTATCACAACTGGAAAAGAGTTTGTCTCATCCCGACCACGACTTCAACAAATTCGGAACAGGTTTTCATTGCACACAACTCAGGCTTTTGATTAATTTAATTCAATATTTTAGGAAATCTCGAGACATTGAAAGACAGTCCTATTTCTAAAGGCATTAATGTTAGACAAGAATTGTTTTCGTTTCATAAACAATGGTATTCAGCAAATATCATGTCTTTAGTGGTTTTGGGCAAAGGTTTGCATTAGATTTTTAATTAATTTTTTATAATCATTGGTTTATTTTTAATTATAGAAACAATTGAAGAATTACAAGAATTGGTTGTTCCTCTTTTTTCTTTGATTACGAATAACAATGTATTAGTTCCGCACTGGGATTCTCATCCCTTTTCTAATGAATATTTGAAGAAACAATGTTTCGTTGTTCCGATTTGTGATACAAGAAGTCTTAGCATTACATTTCCCATTCCGGATCTGATTCCACATTACAAGTAATAATATTTATAATTATACAATAGTATCGGTAAATGTTTTTACAGTATTTAGTAAAAGATTGTTTCATTTTAACAAACAAATGTCTTCAACAACAATATAATATTCATTTACCGGTAATTTTGAATTTAAACAAAATTTTGCGATAATCTGATTAACATTTGATTTACCCGTAATTCAAAATTATCTATACATTAGTTTCTGTCTGTTTATAGGAGATATAAATTATATAATATAGACAATTGAGAACAATTGATAAAATAGTTAAAATGGTTTTTTCGTATTAGAAAATCAAATTTAATATTAATTTTTATTATTCTATCAAATTATTAAAAATTCAAACTACAATTATTATTAGCTTAATTATCAGTCTATTACTTACACTAATATATAAGAGTATTCAATAATAAAGACGGTTTTAAAGACACCAAAAATAAAATTTAAATCCTTAAAGAATATTATGAAAATTATAGATTTATAGCAAATTTTATTATTTTCTTGCACTAGAAAACTGACAAAATTATAATTGTTAGGACGTAATTAAAAAATAATTAAAAATATCTAAATCGATTCAAAAGCAAAAAATCTAAAATAAAGACTTAAAATAAAAATTTAAAATAATTGACAAAATATGTTACAGAAATTCAAAAAAAAGTTTAATTCTAAAATTTGTTTAAAATATTGTAGTTTTCAGATAAATAATTTTAGCACAATTTCTTAATACAAAAATGAAGTTTTATTGAAATTATATAATACCTAATCTAACTATTGAAAGACAAACCGCGGGTCGTGCGGAATATTGGCCACAAATTATTATAATAATAAGTTTTAAATATTTCTCATTATAATTGTATAATTAATTATTAGTTTGTATTACTAGTTTTCAGCACTATTTTTATAGTTTACTTTTTGTATTAGTATTATAGTTATTTCTCAACTATTAATTGAATTTAAAGTTTAGTTTTAAGTTCAAAACCTGAATATTATTCTAGATTTGTATCCGGGTCTCAGGTTTTGAACAGTAGTGTCGTTTTGTAAGCCGACTAAAACAGTCGCATAGTTATATGGTTGGTTAGCCGTAAATATATGCCGTGTTTTACACGTGTTGGCTATAATGGCCCGTTGGCCTAATTATTAATATAATTAATACCGTATATATATCTACTATTAATTTTAATGTATATGTAAATAGTTTAAGTTAATAAACACATTAAAACCTATTGTTCGTGTGTATCATATGTGGCCACCAATTGCTGGGCAATTGGTTGAGTCTAACTATCTGTTGTCCGGGACATCACCTACAAAGATAGGTGTGTGCAATCGTAGGACTCGCACCGCTTGCTAGTGACACCATCGAGATATCCCCCCTGTAAGGCCTGATTGCGGTTTTCCTCCACAAACCGGCAGTAAGTGTGGATAAGGGCTCCGCGTAAGGCCGAAGTTCCGCAGCGACCCGAATCCCGTCTTACATCTTTGGTGGAGGTGCGGGGTAACAATCTGAATATATAGCACCGGATGGTTAGGACGAGAGCACAATTGATAGCACAACATAAAGGATTAGTAGACGAGGCTTTTGAATCAAGTCTCGAGGATAACGACAACTCATCGGAAATGGCACAGGAAATAGGCCGTCTTAATGATCTAATCGAAGATCTAACTAAAAGGTTGTCCGAAATGGAGGACAAATATCGGCTCGCATTGGACGAGTTGGATCAAATGAAGAAAGACAAGGAGAAGGATGATGACGATACCCTATCCCATGTCAGCTCACAAGGAGCAGATCCAGCTCTGATTGAGATATTAAAGGAATTAAAGGCGAGATCCGATCCGAAGACAAAAGCGCCGAAGTATCCGGAAATGCCAGTCTTCGATGGAGAGTATGCGTCAGCACATGATTGGCTGGACAACTATGAGTTGTTAGCGGAAGGTCGTGGATGGACTAAAGTGGATAAGTTTAAATACCTACCGAATTGTATGAAAGACTCGGGAATGGATTTTTATCGCACAGTCGTATTGGCGGATCCATTGCTTAAAACTTGGGAGTTGTTTGAATATAATTTCCGGAAACATTATATGTTGGGACCGGGAGGAGTTGGCGACTTCACTCGACTCATGGGAGCCGAGCGGAAGAGCGGTGAAACGCCGATAGCGTTCGCCGTAAGAGTCCAAAGATTAGCCACGGGTCTGAATCTACCGGACGAGGCACTGATTAAAACCATTAAAAAAGGTTTGAAAAGTGCACAGATCGCCACTCAATTGGATGGATTCACAACCATGGATCAAGTAAAGCATAAACTCATGGCAAGAGAGGAAACGGCAGATTTATACCAATCAGCCGAAAGACGAACCGCCGCCACATCCGCTAGAAAGCCAGAAATCAAGGACGCAAAGACTATTAAGTCTACAACGGAGCGGAAAGACTACAAGTGCTTCAATTGTGGTAAACCGGGTCACTTCTCACGAGATTGTCGTCTACCCAAACGTAATGGGAGAGACAGCGGACCGAAGAAGTTCGACAAAAGATATCCTAAGAAGGAGAGCCCGAAGAAACCAAAGAACACTAGAGATCGAAAACAACCGCAGCATCTGAGAGATAAATCAGATGTTGAGGAGAGCGACGATGAAGTTGAGGTAAAGACTAGTCGTCACAACAGAAATACGAAACTCAAGACAATTGATGTCAATTGGGAAAACAGAGCGGATCTATCGAAAAGGATAATGTTTTCATCTAAGAAAAATGTGGATCTATTGAAAGGACTCGACTTATCTGATGTACCGATTGTTACGATAGTGATCAACGGTGTGCCCTCGAAAGCATTGCTGGACACAGGCGGGTGTATCACTAAAGTTCACTCGGATTTTGCCGGTTATTTGGGATTAGAATTATATGAGTGGAAACGTAAACCATTAGAAGGCGCAGATGGACAACCCATCACACCAGACGGAGTAGCCAAAGTACGGATCGCCTTTTCAGGTCGATCGCTAGAAATGGTTGTCGCGGTGGCTGAAAATGGTTACCCACCGATCATATTGGGAGACGACTTCATCAAATCGATGGGGATCGCGATAATTGCCGGCTTAAGGATAATTGATTTCCAGGAGAATGTTTGTTCGGAACAATACATTCGTGAAAACTCGGGAAATATTAACAATCCGTACCAATACGTGAAAGCAAACAAAGAAGAGGTACGAATGTTAGCGAAAGTCAGGTCAAATGAAGTCAAATGTTGGCCGTTTTGTAAGTCAGCGAAGTCATGGACTCCAGTTGATGGTCAACTCAATAGAGATCCGTTAGGTCCGTATTATGAGTCATTATTATTCGCCGAACGAAAAGTCAAATCCGGGAAAATGATGACAATTGGAAAGTCTGGCCATAGAGTTGCCAAACTAACAGTACCGAACGTGTCGGGACACGCATATACAACCCGAACGCAATGGTTAGAGGCGAGATCGGAAACAACAGTCCAGTGTAAAATAGTATCCCTTGAAAAGGACTACTGTTTGGTAGAAACCAACAGTAAAGTCAGTAAACAAGGACTGGATGTTGGACTGGGAATACTGAAACCAAAGTCGGCAAAGTGTCGACTAATTGTTATTAATGCTTCGGAAGACCGGGTGAAGTTAGTGGACAACACGCCAGTGGCCGTAATTAAACCGGTTAACCAAGATTCCCAGATTATAAAGTGGACACCACACCTCAAGACCAGTCGGGAAAAGAAGACAACGGCAACTCAAGTACTCCAATCTATGACAGGAGAGGAACGAGTTGAGTTTGTAAAAAGCTTCGATATCGGAGATCAGTTAACAGATAAACAAAGGTCAGTGTTAGAGGATCTATTGTGCACCTATAGAGACAGGTTCGCCACTGGATCAGATGAAATAGGCCGTTTTACAACATTAGAGTACCGAGTTGGCGTCGGGGACGCAAAACCGGTAATACAGCAACCGTACCATACATCGGACACCGAGAAGGTGATCTCAAAGATGTTGGACGAACCTTTGAAATGGGGGATCATAAGTCCCAGTAACCCGGCCTGGAGTTCACCGATAGAATTGGTGGACAATAAAGATAAATCGATACGACTTTGTGTTAACTATAACGACGAGACGGGAGTTAGGAACGACTCTCAGGTCAGTGACACAGATATTGCCATCAAATCTGGAAATACTATTTCAGATGTTGAGAACAATATTGAGAATACAGACACAGATAGTGTTGACACTATACCTGTGTTGAGACGGAGTCGGAGGGGGCGAAAACCACCACAACGTCTCACATACCAATAAAGACATTGAGGGAGCACTGGTAGCTGTGTGGCCGACCTAACAGTGCTGTGGTATTAATTACCAATAAAATAAATCAATCGCTAGGCCCTAGTAAGACATAACACCACTAAATATACATATATATTGAGTGTTATGTGGAGTTTTTAAGTGCAGTTAAGGCACGAAAAACACATTAAAAGTTTTGAAGTTTTTGAATATCATATTACATGTGTTCAAAACAGTGAGAAATTTTTGGTCAAATTATCTATTATTTAACTATTTTGAGTTTTTTTTTGATTTTTTGAGTGAAATTATTATATGATATATGAAAAAAATTTCGTTTTCATTTGTCATTTAATATAAAATTATAAATTTTTGAATATTTATAAAAAGCTGAAGACTTTACATGAAAATGAGAAATATATTATATTTTGTATATTTGGTGTTAAAAAGTGAAATATATTATATTAATAATATGCTAATAATAAAAAGTGAATCCCAGTTGTTATGGGTAGCATACCATGAGCTCAGGGAGCTCCTGGAAGTGTTGGGTAGTTATCACAAGTGGGCCTCTTTGGGGATCAAAGTATTAGTTAATATTACAAGAACCACAGACAATACATTTTGGGTATTGCAATGGATTAAAGAGGTTAAACAATTAGTTTTATTAAACGAAATACCCGAACCGGTTCTGGGAACCGCTTTCATCGCACATATACAACAACGACACGTCCGGGACGATGTCGATGATGTCGATGACAACACGTGGTTATTGGCGTATAGTTATGTCTTAACCAACTGTAATATTGTTTAACATAATATTACAAAGCGGGTTAGGGTTGGACATTATAGTAAGCTCCGGGAGTTTTAGTCCAACTCTCTAGTAAATAGCAAAAAAAGTTTGTAAAACTTTTTGTATATAAACTGTAAACTAATTGTCAGATTATTTTTGTGTCAATTGTGAGTCAACTATCAAACAGTGAACAACAACACCAACATTGCAGACAACAGCTGAAGACTTTTCAATGGCATTTTCAAAGAAGATCAATAATATTGAGTCTGAAATGAATGCCATAACTATGAAGATGGCCTCGTGGACAATGGATGTATCGGCGAATCGATTTTTATCGGCCGAATACAAGACGGCAAAAACAGACACCGAAAGGGCGGCCGTAATAGCCATTCAGGGAATGGATCCACGAAACCGAACTCTCACCTGTCAGGAAATGTTCAAAGAATTAAATGGTCGACCAGTTGGTCGGATCATAGTGTCACCACGGGAGATGTGTGACTGTATTCTGAAAGACCCGAACCCCGGAGAGTTGGCCACCTTTGAGGATAACCCATTGACTATGTATGCAAAATACCGTATTTTGTTGGATAACTTCGAAGCTCGAAAAAAGAGTTAGTCTACTGGTATCGGAGATACCAAAGTTTGGACGACTTCTTGGCCTCGAAACTGTCACTATTTATGACAGAAATGAAGAGATACGGCACTGCTTGGAACAGTCTAATGGCAATCCGAATCAAAGGATGGCTTGAAAAGTCACTTCAAGATCGGGCCGAAATAGAGGCCGAACTATTGGAAACGGTTGGGAACCGTGTGGCCACACTTCAAGGCAAAGTAGGAGACATAGAGTCCTTAGTCCGACAGAACCGAGTCTTGAAGATGAAGAACAATCGTTTGGAGAAACGTCTAATCAATGGCAATGATGACGTCAAACGATGGGCAATAGACTACCGCAGACGTCAAGGCCGACGTCATTTAATGACCAAACTAAGAGTCGAAGAGTCACAATCGACTAATAGCGGGATAATCCCGAAGATGGCTAACGACGACATCCATAGCAGAGTCGATTGGATAGCACTTCGAGAGACAGAATCCGAACCAGAGAGTAGTGATGACGACGACATCGTAATACTGGACATCGATGACGGGGACGTCATTCGCAGTGGTGAGGAATGAAAGACAAACCGCGGGTCGTGCGGAATATTGGCCACAAATTATTATAATAATAAGTTTTAAATATTTCTCATTATAATTGTATAATTAATTATTAGTTTGTATTACTAGTTTTCAGCACTATTTTTATAGTTTACTTTTTGTATTAGTATTATAGTTATTTCTCAACTATTAATTGAATTTAAAGTTTAGTTTTAAGTTCAAAACCTGAATATTATTCTAGATTTGTATCCGGGTCTCAGGTTTTGAACAGTAGTGTCGTTTTGTAAGCCGACTAAAACAGTCGCATAGTTATATGGTTGGTTAGCCGTAAATATATGCCGTGTTTTACACGTGTTGGCTATAATGGCCCGTTGGCCTAATTATTAATATAATTAATACCGTATATATATCTACTATTAATTTTAATGTATATGTAAATAGTTTAAGTTAATAAACACATTAAAACCTATTGTTCGTGTGTATCATATGTGGCCACCAATTGCTGGGCAATTGGTTGAGTCTAACTATCTGTTGTCCGGGACATCACCTACAAAGATAGGTGTGTGCAATCGTAGGACTCGCACCGCTTGCTAGTGACACCATCGAGATATCCCCCCTGTAAGGCCTGATTGCGGTTTTCCTCCACAAACCGGCAGTCAGTGTGGATAAGGGCTCCGCGTAAGGCCGAAGTTCCGCAGCGACCCGAATCCCGTCTTACACTATTTTCGATATAAGTAACATATAATGTTTGACTAAATATTGTTAAGTTTTAAAATCAATTAAATTCATTTTTTAATTAGATTATTATTATTGTTAAGTGAAAGTTGTTTATATGTTAATATGGTTTTAAATAATTGATAACAACACCAGAAATTGGATTTATTTATTAAAAACTCAGTCAACTTTATGTTAAAATTTTCAGTGTTTTTAATTTTTTTTATTTGTTTCCAAAAAAAAATAAATTAGTGCATATATTTGTATAAAATAAAAAAAATTGACAAATTTTAAGGGTTCAGATTAACAAATAATAAAAAGTTTAGTTTTAATCTCGATTATATTAAATTATGTCATTAATCATTTTAAAAAATGCGAAAAGCATTGAATAAAAAATGATTTTTACTTATCATAAAAATTAGATATCGCACTTTAAAAAAATCACACATTTTAATTTTTAAAAATTTATTTTAGTATTTAAAAATTAATTTTTGTATAACTCGTCATTTCGGATAACATAATTAATTTTGATTTAAAATATGAGAATTCATAAAGATTTTCAATTTATCTTTAACTAAACAAATGTTAAAAATGACTTAAATATCAAGAAAGCAATTACAGGTTTTTGAAAATTTCGATTTAAACATGAGTTCAATACAAAAAACTATTTTAATTATACCAATAATAATAGTTGTACTTAAAATTATTATATTTATCTTTTCATTTATAATATTTTATAAACATTACAGTAATAAAGTATATTATATTACTTTTTAACCGATATTTATTTGATGGTTGTTTATAAAAAGGTCACAACCGGGTCACTATGTGGCTCACTTGCTTGGACACGAAGGACCGGGTAGTCTATTATCAGAATTAAAATCGCGCGGTTGGTGTACAATACTAAATGGTTACGACAGAAGAGGAGCCAAAGGATTTGGTTTCTTCAATGTTAGCGTCGATTTGACTGAAGAAGGAATTGAATGCATCGATGATATCATTACTTTGATTTTCCAATACATTAATTTGATTAATGTATTTATTTATAACTATTATTTTTTTCTATCGACATCTTATATATATATTGTGTATATTTACTAACAGAAAGAGAGACCACAAAAATGGATATATGAAGAGGAAAAGAAAATCAAAGAAATTAAATTTCAATTCAAAGACAAAGAACGACCTCTTAATTATGTCAGAGGCTTGGCTTCAATATTACACGTAATCATTATTTATATCTTTTATATTTTAGATTATCTATAATTTTTTCCATTATTTTTAATTTATTTTTCATATAAATATAATATTATTTAATTACCTAATATTTATTACTGAATATAGGATTATCCTCTTAAAGAAGTGCTAAGTGCTGGCTATTTATTAGAAGAATTTAGACCGGATTTAATTATCGATGTACTCAACCATTTAAGTGTTGATAACATACGAATGGCAGTCGTCGGCAAAAAGTTTAGTTCAATTGCTGACAAAACAGAGAAGTGGTACGAAACTAAATATTTACTTTCGGATATACCCGAAGATAAATTGCAAAAATGGAGAAATTGTGGTTTCAATGCTAACTTAGCGCTTCCACCCACTAATGAGTTTATTCCTTCCGATTTAAATATTAAATCAAATGAAACGTCTTCTGAAACAAAACCTGAAATTATTAGAAATACTGATTTCTCTCGAATTTGGTTTCTTAAGGACAATAAATATTTGAAACCAAAAGTTTATTATGGATTTGAATTTACTAAGTACTGCATATTGTTATTTACATTACTATTGTATAATATTTTTAATTAATACATTAATTTTTACATTAATTGGATAGTCCTCTGGCATATGCCGATCCATTTCATGCAAATGCCATATATATGTTCACTCGATTATTCCGCGACAGTATAAATGAATATTCTTATGCCGCAGAATGTGCCGGACTTTTCTATAGTTTCTCCAATACATTCACCGGATTATCTGTATGTGTATTATTAAATTATTTATACATATTTATCATGAATTATCATTATATATATTTATAGGTGGAATTAGGCGGATATAATGATAAACTTAATATATTGTTGATAAAAATATTAAATAAAATAACAGATTTCAAGATTGATTCAAAAAGATTTGAAGTGTTGAAAGAAATTCATATAAGAAGTCTTAAAAATTATCCGACACGACCTATGCATGAATTGCTTCGTTATTATACTTCTTTAATCACTTCTGAAAGATATTGGTCTTATGAAGAACTATTGCAAACGGCTAATGACATGACTGTTGAAAATGTATTGCAATTCGTGACCGAACTGTTCTCTCGATTCCATATCGAAGCTTTAATTCATGGAAATATAAGTAAAAGCGAAGCACTTATGGTCATTGATTTAGTCGAAAATCATTTTAAGACATCATCTCTTAAGACTAAAACAATATCAATGTCACAACACTTTCGTAATCGTGAAATACAATTAATTGATGGCTCAGACTTTAGTTTTGAAACAACAAATATAATCCATCAAACAAAAGGCATTCAGGTTTATCTACAAATTGGAATCCAAGAAACGGTCACAAATGTTACGCTTGAATTAATCAATCAATTATTATCCGAACCTTTCTTCAATATACTCCGAACTCAAGAACAGTTAGGTTATCTAACATACTGTACATTGAGACGGGCTAATGGTGTTCAGGGTAAGCATATTAAGTTAATTACCGGTAATTTCCAATTGATTTACTGTATATTGACATTTGTTATGCTATATTATGACATTAGGTATTTCATTTGTCATTCAATCTGATTGTTTGCCTCAATATCTCAATGAACGTATAGAAGCATTCATAGCCTACGCTGAGGTATTCAATCATTTTTAAAAATTTCAATTATTATAGAATATGTCATAAATTAATAATTTGTTGAATCAATTTAAGAATTACATTAAAGATATGAAGAGTGAAGAGTTTGAGGCAGAAAAGCAATCATTAATTACACATAAACTCGAAAAACCAAAACAATTGTTGGAATATTCTAAAAGACTGTGGAATGAAATCGATTCAAAACAATATAACTTCAATAGAGATGAGATTGAAGTGAATGCCTTAACTAAACTAACTAAAGATGATATCATGACTTTTTTTAGGGTAAACTTTTGAAAACTTGATAAATCTTGAAATAAATTTAATGTTTGCTTTTTTATATACAGAAACACTTATTTTATGAATCCCCTAATCGCAAGAAGTTATTAGTTAGTATAATAAACCCAAACACTGTTAATATAGTCAAATATAACGGATCAAAGGACAGTCAATTAACAACTCCTGAACTGAAAGTAAGTTTTCAACAAATTATATGCTAAACAAAAATTGATATATATTTTAATTATTTGTTATAGGAATCAATCAAAATAGAAAATGTGAGTCATTTTAGGAATGGTATGGCTCTTTATCAACTTCCCGAGCCTTTCATTGATGTCTATAATATAGAAAAATCAAAACTTTAAAAATATAATACTTTATAATTTATTATATTTATCAAAAATAATAGACTGAATTGAAATAATTCACATAAGAGTTGTTTGTTGTGTCTTATCTTCTTTATAATTAAGAACTCTTCTATTGGTTTGTTTGATGAACTGTTGTTGTCTTAATAGTATTTTGAGCCAACCTTTAGTCAAAGTAAAAACAATGCCTCCCTATAATTGAATACAAACTATCAGTTGAAATAAAACCAATATATCAAATATAAATCAAACCAAAATAGTTTTGTGTAAATTAGAAGCAAGTCTATCAAATAAATACCGGCCTACTAAAGAGGCACAGGTAGGCAATAGGAGTGCCCCACAAAATAAACGGCAAATAGCTATTGGATCCGAAATATTATTGCCTGAATAAAGATTTCGTTCGGCACTTTCGCGTGACTTTTTTGGTGGATTTCCGATCAAATTATCTAAAAAAGGAATTTTGTGGTGATTTTTGCGCCAGAGTTTCAGTACTTGATTCTCCCATCGAATAAATTTCGATAATATTAGCATAACTGGAATCGATGGCAATCCTACTAAAAGCATCAATGGATCCGATGATTCCATCAGTGATTTTCCCTCTTCTTGCCCTTAAAAATGGTTGATAAGTAATTTTTAAAACAAAAGCCGTACTGTATTATAACTACCTATAACTTGCATAACAGTAATAGCACCGTAACTAACGGCAGTCCAATATATTGAACCCATAATACATGTGACAGTAAGAAATGGTGACCCTTTAAGACAATATATTTAATGATAATAATGGTTAACAATGGATAACATACCCGTATATATTAGGCGATCGCACCATTCAATTGTATGTAAGAATCGGCCTAAACATCAATGATCTGTCATTTCAATCATTTCATACTTAATATGACTAACCAGTTGTCGGGAAGACTATAATATATTCACAATTGCATTGACAACACATCACTTTAGCTGAACTGTTAAGGCGTTGCTTCTCATCGATCCATTGTTGAAGACATTGTTGATGAACCCATTGAGCTTAACAGATAAAAACAGATATGATATTAACATTTCAATCACTTATACCTATTTGATGGCAAAAAATGTTATTATTATCACCTGTTTCTCGACAACGACACGGACGCACCCATTCATTTGAATCTTGGTCTTCAAGTTGATTACTCAAACATATCCAACAGTGATGTCTTAATTTGTTAACAATCAGAAGGTTAGTTAGTTATTAATTTGGTTATCATTATCATGACATACATACTCATCATCACAATTGCTTGATATGTTTGATACGAGTTTGTCTTCATTCATATCAACAACACTTATATCTAATGTTTTCAACCAATCAATACATGCAATCATATGTTTATTTGTGTACAATAGAGACCATTCAATAAATTTACAATATATTAATGTAATTGTTTAGAGTATTATTGAAAACATTTCTAATAATTAAATTATTTTTATATTTATAATATAATATTATATGAATCATATGATAGAAGTGAAAATGATTTAATAAAACAATATACTGTATAGTATTTAATATTATATAACATATATTTCTATATTTGATGCCCAATGCCCAATGACCATGATCAATTTGTCAATTTATTGGTCAATTCATAGTAACCCCCTCTCAATGCAAGTAAAAGTTATGTAATATTGAATGAAATTGTTGTGTATTTATATGGTTTATGTTATTCAATAGTGCGTCGACTCGAAAGCACAGTTAGGTTTGTAGGGCTGTTCTTATACTGTACAGTACTATATGAATGTTGTCCGTTATATAACTGTTAGCTTATATTATACTTTACTATACTATATATATACTGTATGTTTAAAAAGGTTGAGTATTATTACAACCAAAAAGAGAGCATTTGATAGAGGAATGGGAGGAATGGTGTATATGTAGTATAATGTATATGTATAGTGAATATGTAGTAAATGTAGTAAATGTAGTGTTAGTGCATCTGATGGTTGAATATGTCGATTGATTGCTATATAGTGTGAGTACAGTGTATGCAATGTATTAACAGTTGTGAGCCATTGGTGTTATTGGTGTTGATATCTGTGTTTGTAATCATATATCCAGTGATTGATTCAATTGATTTGGTAGTCATTTGGTTGATGATAGTGTAATCTTATGGGTGATTGTGATTACAGCTATGGATCTGCAGTTAATGCCCAAACATCTGTAGGTCACGACTCATACCCGACCTCAACAATTACATCAATACAGACATCACTGGAGACGTCGACTGAAACATCGGTCGACTCTTTGTTTTACTCAAGTAATCACAATTCATCCGAGTCTGACACCAATAGGAGTGGTGATGGTCTCCAATTAGATACATCAGCTGATAATACAGCCATTAGAGTACAAAATGAAGAGTTGCCTACAAATAACTGTAATGAAGATACAACTGATTGGTCACAAACAGATAGTATTGCAATACAAGACAACACCAGTCAAATGGATTTATCGAAAATGCAAACTTTAGATGAAGTTTCCCGAAAATTATCGCAATCTAAAGCAGACACTGACACTAACGATACAACCATTACGGCCATCGATAGTCATATGAAAAGCACAATCAATGGAAGTGCAGTGACGGTCATCAATGGTAATGTCTCGACAAATGGTATTAGTAGTGATAGCAATGTAATCAATGACTCTTCAGTGATCTCAAGTGCAAACACATCGGAACAACAATTCTGGTCAACAAATTGTGTTACAGAAAGTGATGGTCTGTCGCAACAGACTTTCACATCAGGCAATGCAGTGGTCACTGCTCTAAACGGTGGCCAACAATTTAGTCCTCAATTTAGTCCTACAATGAATAGTGCATATAATACAACAGTTTCCAGTGCTATATCTTCTCAACAATCTATTGCTTCATCAGCACAAAGACGTGCCATCACTGGCGCTCATAATCTGACCACAAGTTGTGCATCAAACAGACCTCAAGCACAACCACAAACGTCTAGTCTATTGAAAAATTATAATAATAACAGTTCAACCAATTGGCCGACACATACAGGACAGGCAACAGTTACCTCCTGGTGTACACCTCAAGCACAGACATCGCCCAATTCAGTAAACCCTTGGGGGTCTCTTAACATTAATTGTCAGAAACGATCGGCGGTTGCATCCGTGCCAAACGTATCCCCCATATCACCAATGAAGAAATCCCCACCAGCTCTCAATCAAACGGCACCATCAATGATGATATCGCCATCAAAATATAGACGCAGCACATCCATGCCATTGGCCAAACCATTTACTTCAGCCAATACACCATTTGATTTGGCATCTATTGGCAGCGATAATACTTCTTCATCGAGTGAATCGGCAAATATAAGGGATACCAGTGTTGGCCTTCCCTTTCAGGTATTCATTATATTATTACATTATATTAACTTAATATCTTTGAACAAATTTATTAAATTTATAAATAATTAATTTTTTGATTTAATAACATTTAAAATTTAATTTTTGTTAGATATTTGTATATTATTTATATATTGTATTGCTATTTGTTATATTTTCGTAATTTTTTCAAATAATATTAAAAAATAATATAAAATGGACAATATGATATTAGTATGAAAATGTACATGATAAAACATGATAAAACATGATAAAACATGACAGTAATTATATAAAATGATTAGAAAATAGCTGATTGTTTATCTATATTTAAATCCTAAATATATGATAATAGGGTTGAATAGCAATATAGAGTGTATGGAAGGAAATCGATTATTTTGAACACTATTTCATCAAAGTATTGGCATTTGCTATGCATTACTATTAATACTATTATTGAATGCCATTTGTGTGTCAATTGATATATACTTTATATTTTGTGAACAATAAAAGAATTTATAATGTATTATATTTAGATTTTTATTTTTTATTTATAAGTAATATATTGATAACTGATGTTTTAATTTAATACATCAGTTTATCTTTTGAAGACATGTAAATTATGTAAACATATTTAATTATGTAAAATGTTGTATTTGGGATTATACTAATATTATTAGAATTTTAACACTTCTACCTATAATTTACAGTATATTATAATTTTTAATTGCTTTACAAATAAATAGAAAATAAGTTTTGGCAATTATCCAAACCTTATTTACATATTGTTTTAGTTATTAATTCTTTAATTCTCAATTTATTATGCAATATAGTTATATATTTAATTATATATTTATTATATATATTATTATTTTTAAATATATTTTGAATTTCTATTTTTATAAAGTATAAATTTTAAACTTATGAGCTTAAAAATATATAATAGAAGATACATTAATAAATATTTGAAATATTTGATAGGAGAGACAATTATCGAGTGGAATGGGATCAGCTAACAGTCCTTTAGATACTTTACGTTTCCCTTTGGAACAACAACTCTTGGAGATTATTAGGACAACATCTGATTCTCAAGACATGAACAAAGGTGAGTGTTATATATATATATATATATATATATATATATATATATATATATACATTATATTAATTGGTTTAAGATATAGTAATATTATTAAAAGCTTTGATGAATATTTTAATTAGAAAAACTAATTTATACCAACAGTTTTTACTTTAAAGGTTTTAAATAATTGTTTATTATTATTACATGCAATTTATTTATTTGTTAACAGGATTATCAAATTATAATCATTCAGGATTTCAATCAATGTCTCAATTACAAGGTACCGGTATATAGATTTTTTTTTGCCAATTTTTTACTAACTTTTATAGTGACTTAAAACTATCTTTTAGCACATTTAAATACATACAAACATAGTTATAATAAATTAATATTAATAATATTTGATTTTTTTTAATTGAAAGGACCCTCATATTCATCTTTTGATGACTTTTCGGGAAACAAGAAATACTTTAGAGGTATTTATTATTTAATAAATTATTTTGGTTTGCGTTAGCTTTGCTTTTATTTATGTGATAAAATTAATTAATAGAATTTATTAAATAATTAGATTTAAATTTTAAATAATTAAGTTATATTAATAATTGATATGAGATACAAATAGATTTACATAAATTTATGTAAGATATGTATTAAGTGTTGTTATTATTAACATTACAAGCAGCCAGAAATTTTGGACGTCGCAGAGGTACTGGATATTGCTTTAATTTTTATAGATTAATTTTAATCATGATATCCATTTTAAACATAATTATTTAAATTATATTTAATAACTTTTAGGCAAATCTCCGTTTTTCACTGGCGTTGACTCTGATAATCATATTCTCATGGATTCAAATGCAGGTATTAATTGAATTTGTTATAAAACAATTACAAAATAAATGTTCATTTATTGAATATCCAATAAATTATATTTTTTATTTCGTTAATTGAATTATTTGAATGAAGACTACTCATTTATGATTTATTTTGGTTATTTATTTATTGTTATCTATTTCTATTTACTATTTTTATATATAATTAAAATTTAAATAATTATATTTATTTAGTTCCCGGCGATAATGGCGAACGGTTTTCAAGAAAGGTTTTTGTAGGAGGACTTCCTCCAGATATTGACGAAGGTTTGACATACAGTTATCTTATAAATTACTGGTAATTAAATTATATATAATATAGAGGAGATAACGGCTAGTTTTCGTCGATTTGGACCATTGGTTGTTGATTGGCCTCATAAGGCTGAAAGCAAATCATATTTTCCACCAAAAGGTCGTCAAATTAAAACATTTAAATCAATTAATAATACGATATGTTGTTAACACAGGCTATGCATTCTTGCTATTTCAAGACGAGTCATCAGTTCAGGCACTTATCGACGCCTGTATTCAAGAAGACGATAAACTATATCTCTGTGTCTCGAGTCCTACCATTAAAGACAAACCGGTATTTGAAAAACGGAACAAATATATAGTAATATTAAGTATTAGAACATGAATTAATTGATGAACAAATAGGTACAAATCAGACCCTGGCGTCTCAGTGATGCTGACTTTGTATTGGATGCCTCGATGCCACTCGACCCTCGAAAAACCGTTTTTGTTGGGGGTGTTCCGCGTCCTCTTAAAGCTGGTATATTAATTATTTTTAAATTGATTTATATATTTATAAGAATTTATATTACATTTTTATAAATCAGTTGAGTTAGCTATGATTATGGATCGCCTTTATGGAGGAGTTTGTTATGCCGGCATTGATACCGATCCCGAGCTCCGATATCCTGTAATATTATTGAAATATTTTAATTATAAAATTTATGTTAATATATGGATAATAATAATTATTGATTTTATTAACAGAAAGGGGCGGGTAGAGTGGCTTTCTCTAACCAACAAAGCTATATTGCAGCCATTAGCGCCAGATTTGTTCAATTGCAGCATGGTGACATTGAAAAACGGGTATAATTTCAATCTGATTAATTCATATACAGTATATGACTGACATTTAATAATTTTTAAATATAGGTTGAAGTGAAACCATATGTTTTAGGTATTACTTGGTTTATCAAATTGAATATTAATTATAAGTAAATGTGATTAATATTATATTAATATAATAGATGATCAAATATGTGATGAATGTCAAGGCGCTCGATGTGGCGGCAAATTTGCTCCCTTTTTCTGTGCGAATGTTACTTGTCTTCAATATTATTGTGAGCACTGTTGGGCTACAATTCACTCCCGACCCGGCCGTGAATTTCACAAACCTCTGGTCAAAGAAGGAGCTGACAGACCTCGAGCCGTACCGTTTCGCTGGTGTTAAGGCAATGCAATTTAGGATTAATTTAACCTCAATTTAGTTGTTGACTGACAGTAGAGTTAATTTGTTATAAGTCTCTTATAGTAGGCGACTATATTATATGCTTAACAAATATTTATTGTTATTTTTATTTAATTTGAAAATTTTGATCTCTAAAAAAATCTTATCGATTTGGGACTAGTCTCTAATCGAGCCATTCAATACCTGTAATAATCGACAATTAATTTAAATAACTTATTGATAGCTAATTATTAATGATCAGCAATATTATTGATAGCCTAACTTATTATTTTTTATCAGTAAATATTTTTGTATAAATTGTTATCATTTTTTGTAATTAATTTTTAGCAGATTTATATATTATTTTTTTATTCATATTTTTAATTAAATAACTTAATAATTAGCTTTCAATAGGTTATGTTATGAGAATATTTTAGGAAAAATGTTGTGATAAAAGTTATCAAAAGCAGGAAAATGAAATGTTTATGTGATTGTATTGATGTGTCGATTAGTTTGAATTAATTCAATAACAGGTATTGAATATTTAAGGCTTGAATTATCAATGCATTTGCAATTTAAGCTCCGGTCGACAGTTATTAACAAAAATTGTTTGTCTTTTAGATAATTATCATATTTTTAGATTAATTGCACTTATATTATAAAAATGTTTCAATTGTTTGTTTGAATATCGAGATAATTTAATTTAATAGATTTGAACTCGAAATTTGAGTGAAAATAATTTTTAACTATACTAACACTTAACCAAAAAAAAAAATAATATATATAATATATAAATATTATTATTCAGTATATTATTATCTATATTGAATACAATTTAGTTTATTATTTAGTATATAAAACATGTTTATCTTGAAATACTTCACAACAGTTTTTCAAATAATTTATTTTAGACTATTTTCTGTGATGTCTTCTCTTCATTTCTGTTATTAATTTACAAAACATTTAGTTTTTGAGATTTTTATATTGATTTATTCGTATCATACGATTTATGAAAAAAAATATTTTTAGATTTCTTTTCAAGAGTTTGTTGTTAAGCTCGTCTTCAGCGGTGACCTGTGTTTAGCAATAAGAATGGCCTTAAAATGAGTTTTATTTCTCTTTCCCTCAAATTTGCTAATTATAAGACAGGTTTGAATTGAGACGATATTTGGCTAAATTAGACACTACTCGAGTCAATTAAGACTAGTCTTTATCATTATTAACATTTATTTTCATATATTTATATACACATATTTTTATTTATATTTAAATTTTGACTATCATATAACAAAACAGATCAATAAATAGTTAATTATAAGACAACATTAATTACATATGAAGTTGTAATCAAAAACTGTGATTTGAATAATCGCAACAATTAATAATTAACAAGAAAGTGATTGTAATTATAAGTACTTCAAATCAAATGCATTGTTACTCTAAATTTATCCTTTTGTTGAAATTAAATCAATTCATATCTTAATTATATACACTTTAAATTATATAATATAACAACATTATATATACTGTATAATATATATAATAAATTAGTCACAATTATGATTATATTTGAATGAAATTATAAAGAAAGAGTCGACAATCACTTGATTTCTAACAATAACAACAACTAATACTATACAACAAAAACAATATTAAATTTATTTTTCAATTCAAATTTTCATATTATGAATGAGAAATAGTGTGACTAATAATTGATATTTTGACGATATAAAAATATAAACTTTATTTAATTACTATTTATTGAAAAATGTTTAATGGTAAAAATAATAATAATAATAACCAGTTAGTTATGAGGTAGTAATGATTGTTTTATATAAATTCTTACATTAATTGTTAATATTTTGTAATAACTGTTGTGAAGGGAATATCTTACGATTAATTAAGTCAATGTCTTATTATATTTAATAAAAATATTAGATAATTTGGTTAGCACTTAGATAACTTATTAATACAATTTAACATTGATTGATATAAACTAAAAACCATTTCATAAGTTATTTAATTAGGAAACATTTCGAGTCAATTATTAATAGCATTAAAAATAGGCAAGAATTTGGTTTTAATAACATTAATATTAATAAAATTATTGTTAAACAATTTTTTTTAAAATATTAACTTATTATTGAAGTAGCAAATAGTCATCTGTCCAATTAACCCAATAATAATTTTGTAATTGAAGTTAGAAAATCCGGTGCAGTTTTACATATATATATATATATATATATATATATATTTATTTATTTATTGATAATTTTATTAATTATTTTTGAGTCAATTTTTTCTCTTCAAGTATGAAGAGATATGATTTATTAATTTTAAAAACTTGTAATGTGTTGGCATAAATGTTTTAAACTAATTTTGTGTGGGATTTTTGAAATCACATAAAAATTTTTACTTTTTTTAGGAAACAAAACATATTTATTATATGACATTAAACTTATAAACCAATAACGTATAACATATTATATACACAGTATATATAAAAGTGAGGAATCATTTTATTTTTGCTGAAGTCGTTATTATATTTCTTGATATATCTGTTATAATATCTATATTTAAGAACTTTTTTTGATATTAATAATACTTTTTAATACTGAATTAAATTTTTTAAATTTAGTTTTTATTGGATTGTAAAAACTTAAACAAAATACATTTGATCTTAGAAAACAATTTTTGTAATTACCGTTAAATTTACAGATTTTTAATGTTTTATGCGTATGATATATATAATATATATCTTTTTTGAACTAACTATAAAATATGTAATAAAACTTTTTTTAATACTTTATTATGTGATGATTACTTACCATTTTTAAGCTGTATTTCAATTTTAACATTTATGTTAAAAACTAAAATGAAATTGATAAGTTAAAAACTTATTTATAATGTTAATGCAATCAATTTCATTCAATTGATATTATTATTGATTAGACAAATGTTGCTTAAAAATATGGTTTTATGTAATCATTAGTAAAGATCAATGTTTTCTATAATTCTTAATTAGAAAACCAACGATTTAATCACTCCCTTAAACTATTTATATATAATATTTGTTAATTAATTTTATAGCATTTTCCTAACTTATTAAATATGTTTTATATATATATCTTTTTTCACTACTTGTTATTTAAATTTTTTCTTACGGTGCTATCAATTGTAATATAAGTTAATTTTTTTTAATTCATGGTATAAACAAATATTATGACAAACATCAACAATAATAAGTCACAAATCAATGTCTTATAATTAAAAGACTATATTTTTCATTTTATTTAATATTAAGTTTTATTTAAAACATTTTTTGACTTTTTTTTACTTGTTTTTCATATGATTGCACATTTGATGCAATCATTTAATTAGATTTATATTATTAAAATAATTATATAATTAATTAAAATTGTAAATTTAACTTACTTTAGACAAACTTATGGCAACATTTGTCTGTTAACTCGAGGACACTAATTTTTTTTCATTAATACAATAATTGAACTCATAGTTAAACTACCAGTGCTAAGGGATGTTGATGTTAGGGTTAGATATTAGCTAAACCATAATTGTTTATTAAAGTTTTAAATTGAAGTATTAATTTAGTTTAACTATGAATACAATTGTATTGATGTGTCAGCAAAACATTAGTGTTCATAAGTTAAACTTACATTTGAATTATTATATATGATATCGACTTAAAATTATTACCGGTATACATTTTATAATTTATTTATAGTATATTTCATATTCAATGAGTGATGAAATGCATATGATTAATTTATTATTATTATAAATATAATTAATAGTATCTTTTTGAAACAAAACATATTTTACAAAAATTGTTATTTGTAACAAAACACAACACTTTGATTCAAATTAAACACAAATACAATTAACACAAAATAAAACTAATAACTTGTAAGTCAATTACTGTGCAATAGTTGTGTCATTTTTGCTACACATTTATTTAAACACATATTTAAATATTTCTACTAAATATTTGCTTATAATATAATATTATAATTGAATCATACTTAACAGAGTATGTTTATAAATTTAATTATCAATTATTTATACACCCATTTTTAGTCAATTATTGGGTCATTTCTAATACAGTAGTCAATAGTCAAGAATTTATTGATTTATTTTTTTTTTGAGAAAGTTCTCAGTATTAATTAATATTTATTTAATATTAATTTTATATAAATCAATTTTTGTTTGAGTGCCTATATAGTATATACAGTATATTATATTAATTAATAGCTAAACTTTGTTTATTCATTTAATTTTTATACATTATTATTATTGTTGTAACAAATACTGAGAATTAATCTCATGTTTTATATATAAATATATATTATTGTAGTTTTTATTTTTGTTTTTAAGCTTTTGTATGTTTTATATAGAATTTGATGATAGAATTGAATGCTTTTTTAAATTAACAATTTGTTTCTATAGAAGTCATGTTATTATATAAATCCATTGATAAATATTCTCAACTTTTTTAAAACCATTTATTATAATTGTTTTTATTTGACGGTTTTTTGGATTTAACTTTTATTGTAATTTATTAAACTGTAAATCAATGTAATCATTGAATTTTTGAATTAAAAGCCTGCAATGATTAAGAAAGTGTAAAATAATTTATTTATTCATATTTTGATAACACATTACTTTGAGTATAATTTAATAAATAATATAAAGTGATAAATAAACTAAACTAAACTAGCTAAGTTTTCCTAATTCAAATTTCCTGAAAACATTAGATGCCGTAAAAATGATTGAGTCTATAATACCGGCAACACTAAAGGTACCACCAATTATAGCGCATATCATCGTTAAAAAACTATACAATGGTTTACGTTTTCGCGTATATTTGACTGTTATTGGTGTCAAATCATATCTAAGAAATGGTAAGATTGATATTGTTATACAAATGAAAATATTCAAACAATAATTATTTGCTAACCGGAACCAAATGGCAGGCATACCAATGCCGTGATGTGTGAACGCTATATGGCTTTTATAAGCATAAGTGTATTGAAAACCATTAGCATAATTGCCACTCAAGTCATCATATATTGTCGGCACAATCTTTATGTGGTATTCATGCGATTCAATGGCTAATAATACATAAATAATATCAATTGATATATTTATCAATTAAATAATACATACCTTCGGCTTTAGTTTTATCCATAGATTTAAGTGGATTGAAGTTTGCGTTAATATCGAAATATTGCATTTCATCACCAAAACTAATCTCATGGATCAAATGAGTCATATCTATAGATTCTGGTTGTTTATGAGCCGAATGAGTGGAAACGTGGAAATTTCCCGCAACTCTATTGATTTGAAACCGACTTTCAAACCGACATCCAATACCACTTTCAATCTCAAACTTTTCGGTATTTTCAATAAACCCGACCTCATGTCTGCCATTATCGTCTTGTATGTCCAGTCCAATCACTATTCAATATAACATTAGGTATTACATCACATTACAAGTCTTGTAATTATCACTCACCACTACAAGACAGTCGTGGCAATGATATGTTTAAACGCACCGATATTTTATTATTTTCACCGATATTGTCGACAAAGAGTTCACTGCTTCTGCAATTGATATATCAATAATTAAGTCAAATATCATATCATATCATATGAGTCATACACTTCGGTTGATATAAAGGCAACCAATTCAGCGATAAAGAGATAACTTATTATAAGTAAACAACAGATGGATATGAAAGCGCCGGTCACTGTTGGTTGAGTCAAGTCTTGAGGAATCTTACGATACACATCCAGACTGTCAACAATTATACCATTTATTATCATTACAGACATTAACAGACATTACAATCATTACTATACCGGCGGACATCAAAAGCCATCGTTTATATAATTAATAACACAATCACTGCTATTGAGTACACGTGGAGTCATATATGATATTAATATAACTTTACTTACAGTCTATTGTTTACTCATTATATTCATTATATACTGTACTATACTCTACAATATTGTCAAACAATTATCATGTTTTTAGTTTTACATTAATTCACATTTTTTTTTATTTCATTTTAAAATTTATATTTCTAAACAAATGGTTTAAAATTTAATAAAATTTATGGTTTATTAAAAGTTATTAATTAATTGCATCATTTATTTACATAACAAGATTTTGCGTTAATAATAATAAATAACAAACAGTATTACAAACAGTATTAATATATGTTATAATTTTGTTGACGTTTTCTATAAAAAAAGATTCAAACAGTAAAATGCCATAAATTTTAATCAATAATTACATAGAAATTACTAATTAGTCAATATTTGAGAGCCAATAGTAATGCTAACAGATTTAATAATTAATTTTTAACTGTAGTTAAGATTATTTAAATTGTAGTTTTAAACATATAATTAAAATTTATAATAATTATCTTATTTTTAATTATTTTTATGCAAAAATAGAAAAAATATTTACAATAAAATTTATAATATCATAGATATTTGTTTCATTACATATTAATATTATTGTAATATAAAATAATTTTTAACACTTTATTATATTTTACACATTACAATTGTACTAATGTATTTAATAATTATTTTATTTTCATATCACTTAAATTATTGTTAATTTATTGTAAAATATTTGTTGTGTATGAGATTATGTTATCTAATCTCATATTACCCCACAATAAGCCTATAATGTAGTGTACTGTACTGTAGTCCAAACAATGACCGGTAATTAATGGTCAGTCATAGATCAATGAAAGGCTTTTTTAAATGATTAATACTGTATATCATATAATAATATAAATTAAATTAACTAAAATAGATACACATTATTTATAATTTTTAATATAACTTATTGTTATGTATAAAATACAAGTATTTACTTAATAAATACTATAGAATATATTCCTTAATATGTGGTTTGTATTGAAAAATATGTATGACTTGAAAATTATGGATTTTTTATTCATTAATTTTTTTTGTATATTATGTTTTGCAAAGAGTTTGTAAGTTAATATTAAATTCAAATAAATCCTTTAAAGCTTCAAAAAATCTACTGTACTTTATATAAATAAAATAAAAAGTGTATATAAATTTGTGTTTGTGTATGTGTGTGTATGTGTGTGTATGTGTGTGTATGTGTGTGTATGTGTGTGTATGTGTGTGTATGTGTGTGTATGTGTGTGTATGTGTGTGTATGTGTGTGTATGTGTGTGTATGTGTGTGTATGTGTGTGTATGTGTGTGTATGTGTGTGTATGTGTGTGTATGTGTGTGTATGTGTGTGTATGTGTGTGTGTGTGTGTATGTGTGTGTATGTGTGTGTATGTGTGTGTATGTGTGTGTATGTGTGTGTATGTGTGTGTATGTGTGTGTATGTGTGTGTATGTGTGTGTATGTGTGTGTGTGTGTGTGTGTGTGTGTATGTGTGTGTATGTGTGTGTATGTGTGTGTATGTGTGTGTATGTGTGTGTATGTGTGTGTATGTGTGTGTATGTGTGTGTATGTGTGTGTATGTGTGTGTATGTGTGTGTATGTGTGTGTATGTGTGTGTATGTGTGTGTATGTGTGTGTATGTGTGTGTATGTGTGTGTGTGTGTGTGTGTGTGTGTGTGTGTGTGTGTGTGTGTGTGTATGTTTGTGTGTATGTGTGTGTGTGTGTGTGTGTGTGTGTGTGTGTGTGTGTGTGTGTGTGTGTGTGTGTGTGTGTGTGTGTGTGTGTGTGTAGCGCATGTATAGATTGTGCGCAATGATGTAGTATTAAATGTTAGGCGCAATCATAACATTGATAGCAATGATAGCAAACATTTCATTCATTGAATGCTTTGTTGCATTCATTCATTGATTCATTCATAAGATGACTCTCTTTACTAGTGATTTAGTGTTTGTAGTGAAAAGTGTTTATCAATGAATTGTATTACAATTATTGAATTGATATGAAATGTATGTTTGATGACCAATAAGGGTATGCCTACTATTGGTACGGAACATACAAGTGTTAGTATAAGTTATGCCTATATGTAGAGCATTGACAAGTGGTAAACAATTGCACCAATCATTGTATGGCCAGAATCGGCAATTGTCTATTTCGACAATGATGTCGACCACTTTGATTCCGATTTCATGTGACCACTTAAGACAACTTATTGAACTAATGCTTAGCAATGAAGACACTCCAACCAATGTCCTTATTCTTGACTGCAGACCATTTCTCATTCATAATGACTCACATATTGCCAAATCTATTAATATTCACTGTCCGGCCATCATTAGGTGTGTCCTATATTATCTATTTTCTCTCCTTCTATACATAAATTGATTGATACTAATTAGTGATTGTTTTTATCACAGACGAAGAACTGGTAATCGATTGCCATTGAGAACAATAATACCGGACCAACAAATCAGAGACAGACTTTTAGCTGACTTTTATTATCCAATTGTTTTATATGAAGAGTCAGATATTGGTTGCGATACAATTGGCAATTATGTATCTCAATGTCTTCAACATGAAGTTGGACTTAAAAATGTTCACTTTCTTCAAGGTTTGTCTAATGATTTTATTATTAATATTAATACAGTATTTGTTTTGTTAATAATATATATTTTACAAGTGATGTATACTGAAAATCATATAATTTGTATATAATATAAGATGTTTTTTTGTATGAGTTTAAAGCTTGATATAATTATATACAAAATACTGTATTTGAAAAATGCAATAGTAAATTATTTGTATAATATAGGTAATTATATCAAATTTACTGTATAATACTGTAGATTAAATAATATAAAATTTGCTCAAATAATAGAAATACCGATATACTGGTAACTGTTTTTTATCAAATTATTTATATGAATATATAAATCAATAACCAATTCAAGACATACTGTTATCTGAAATGTTTAATAGATTTAGTCATTACTTCCGATTGATTGACTGTCTCAGGCTTTGCACTCATTTATAAAATTATTATCATTTTGAATAAATAAAATATATTATATAAAAAATTTTAAGTAGTAATTAAAATTTTAATGATAAATTAAATAAATATTTTATTAAACGATTTCAAGTTAAATAATATAACTTATTAAAAAATTTATATAAATATAATGTGATATAATTAAATATAAACCCAAATTATTGTTTAAAATATCAACAAATACATACATTTTAGTGAATGAATGGCAATAATACTGTAGTAAAAGTTATGTAAAAATATAGTATAGCCAAACACACCTACACATCCTTTCATTGACATTGATTATCACTACTTAATCATATTTAGGTTTTATATTTTATAAGAAACCAGTTTCATGTTTAACTTATAATATTTAAATAATATACAATCATATATAATATATATAATATTTATATATTATATTGAGAACAATAATACCGGACTAACAAATCAGAGACTGACTTTTATATATAAATTGTTATTATTATTATATTAATGTATTATAGTTATCATATGTGTCATGTTATCAATGATCCGTTTGACAATATAATTATAAACAACTTATTTACTAAATTTATCAATTTCTTATATATTGAAATTTTATAATTTAATAATGGATTATCTAATAAATTAATTAAAATACTTGTTATAACAATAATTTATTATCTTTACATATGCATTTGTATTATCTTACATAATATCACTTAATTTGATTAATTAAATATTTTTATATACATTTAAATAGTTTAATTTAATTATAATTTAAAAGTAAACAAATTGTTTGTGATAACTGTATAGAGATATCTTAAATAATTATTTATATGATATAATTTAGTATAAGACTAGAAAAGTATAAAATTTGGAACATAAATAAAAAATAGTGAATATATTATACATTATATATATATAATAAAATTGAGTCTTTAATGTTACACAATCTTTAACTTTCAGTTTTAATAAAATAAATTAATTATTGTTATTAATTATGTTATATGATTAGTTAGCATATTATAAATTAATTATATAATATAATTTTAATATGTAATAACTTATTTTTTAAAATGAAAATGGATTACATAAAACCTATTTAAAATGTGATTTTAATATCGTATTTTCATTAATATATGTATTGATCAAATTATTGTACTGTATATACTGTACATTAGTTGCCATAACTTTAAAACATATTATTTAAAGATTGATATTTTTTGATTGATAGGTGGTTTTGTCACATTTCAACAATTATTTCCATATTTTTGCACAAAAGGCTCAACATTTTCTAATCCTTTAAACACATTGAGTTCGGTTAACATTTCTAGTCGGAGTCCAGTTGGTACCCATAGCCATACCTGGCCTTTGAAGTCGACACCTAAAGGAGTGTTGACTCCACGGACTCCTAAAAATAATAATCTTAGCGTTGATGTGACGGCACCTCTAAGTTTTGGCAGCGAACAGGCAGAACCTGTTGAGATACTTCCATATCTATATCTCGGCAGTGAATATCACGCTTCATGTAAAGCAATGCTTAAAAATATAGGAATTACAGCTCTACTCAATGTATCGCATACCTGTCCCAACCATTTTCAGGATTGCTTTATATATAAATCAATTCCTATTGAAGACTCAAAGAGTGAAGATATTAGTATTTGGTTCAGTGAAGCCATCGATTTCATAGGTATTATATTTTTAGTTATTATTGATTTATAATTTATTCATTTAAACATTTTATTTATAAATAATATTAGTCTAATTTATTTTATTTATTTCAAACTTGAAAATCTTTTACATGAAAAATAGCATAAATTAATATTAGTCATTTATAATATTGTTGTTTATATCTACTGTAATTATATAATTTAATGTATATATAAATTATATATAAATGACATGTTTAAAAATCAATATCAGTTTATTTAGTAATATTTTCAAATTCAAAATTATATTAATACAGTATAATCAATACTTAAAATATATAAATTAAGATATATTAGTTATCAATATTTCAATCAATCAATATACAGTATACATTTTTATCAATAAATATTGTTTTAAAGTAATTGTCATCAAATGTGAATTAGTCAATTATATGTAATTAGTTTTTTTTATTAAGTATTTTATTATAGTATTAAGACTATGTATAGACTTATTATTAATCAAATTATAGTTATATTCACTTAAATTACATTAACTAACAATATATATATATAGTTCCGTTAAAAGCATTGTATGAATTAAATCATATTTAAACAATTATTTTCCTGTCAAAAACGTAAAAATATCAAACATTTCAATATTTGTAACAATATTTCAATCTTTATTTGATTTTTACCAGCCTTTGATTAAACTTCCAGTCAATTATTAAAAAACATTTTTTGAATATGTATTTATAAACAATATACAGTAATATAGTTTAAATAAATGACAAATATTTTGATTATACGTTGTTTGTCGTATTAGTAATAGTATGAATACAATAAATAATACGTTGAATAAATATATGATTAATTTATCTAAAAAATGCCACAATCAACGTGTTATTCCCACACTAACGCAAATACATATATTTATTGAATTAAACGACAAAACAGACTTCCGGCACATATTATACATATAAACAGTTGTCGGACTTCCTGTCCATCCAAATGCTTAAAGTTCACATTCACTCATATTTACAGACAGATGTGTCTCTTATTTATATATAGAGGAAGTGATTAGATTATGTTCCCGACACGTGTCCGACACCAACACCCCCGACACACACACACACACACACATCCTAACCGTTTGATATACAGTACTCAAGTATTACTATTATGCAATGTTTATTGTATTGAAAATATAATATTACATACTTGTTATATTCAATTATTTTAATTTACATAAATAAATTTAAAATATAATACATTGACTATTTATCAGCATATTTTGTACTAACATTTATTTCATTTAATTGTAAATTGAACTATCGATTAAAATCCATAACTCAATTAAATTTAACAAATTGTTAATACAAAATAAATTTAATATTATTTTTAATACTTAGAATATCTTACTTTGATTATATATTTTTTAAAAATAATAAAATTGATATTTGATATTATTTATTATTAAAAAATGCATTTTATTGTACTACTGTATTACTTCTACTACTATGTAATATCAAATTAATTATAGTATTGATGATATATATATTTATGTTCGACATTAAATTTTTAATGAAAACATAAATATAATTTAAAAGGCAACATACGATAAATTAACAATTGATTTATAGATAGTATTCATAATATATACTTTTTATTGAATTGAATTTATTATTTTTTATCTTTCTGACTAAAAATCAGCATTAATTAAAAATATTATTGCCGATTGTGACCAAACCTATAGTTATATTAAACACAATAACTTATTAGTAATATAAAACTCATTAATTCTGTGACGGATAGTGTGAAAGATTTATTTTGTGACTCACAAATATGATCTGGGTACTTTAAACATATTAAAATGTTTTTCAGAGGAATATAAAAATAATATTTATAATATATCGATTTGTTATAATTAAAATGGATATTTTTATTAAAATGATATATATATATATATAAAGTGAAAATTTCAATTGTCATAAAAAGTGTCATGGTATTTTGTGTTGCTGTTAATTTTAATAAATACTATATTTAAAATAGAACAAATCATCTATACAAAGTAATTTATTAGCTAAATTAAAATTTGAAATTTACAAAATAAATTATAATAAATATTTAATAAATTGAACAACAATTATTGATAAAAATTATAATTGGGAAATTTTAATTTGAAAATATTTCTAATTTTAAACAATTTAGTAAATTACTTTGTATAGAAGATTTCTTTTATTTTAAATATAGTATTTATTTAAATTAACAGCAACACAAAATACCATGACACTTTTATGACAGATTGAAAATTTCATTTTTTTTGTTGATCAATATTACTATTCAAAAACTAATAAATATTTCTTAAAATGCCAAAAGACGTGTCCAATTATTTTAAAATAAATTTAATATTGTTTTTACAAAATTCAAATATCTCATAGTTTTTGAGATATTGAACATAACCTTAGTTAGACTACCACTGCTTATGTAAATTATAAATAGTAATATCATTGTAAACGTTAGTTTTATCAAAAAACCATAGTTGCAAATAAAATATTAAATTCTTGTCCAGAGATAAGTTATTCCCATAGAATTATTTCCACCTATTTTGTGGCCGATTTTATATACAGTATTTTACAATTCCAACTATTGGTTTTTGAAGGTTAATATTGTTAATATCAAAAAATATACCATAAAATTAAATCAAATTTCACTAAAATATAAGAAGACTTCCAAAAAATTACTATAAAATTTTTAAGAAAATATAATTAATAATGTACTGTACTATACATTGTACACACACACACACACACACACACACACACACACACACACACACGGTATACAAACAATGTACATGTAATGCATTGCACATAATTTACTGTAGTGACAATTGCATATGTTTGACACATTAAACTCTATAACTGGACTAATAAAGTATAAAAATTAATATTTTAAAAATTGAATTAAAAAGTCCATGGTAAATTTTGTACAGGGTAAACTTGTATTAATACATTAACGGTAAAAAATTGAATTAGAGTTATCACTGAGAGAGCTATAGTTAGTATACAGATATGCAGATAAGTGATAGATAAGGCATAAAATTTTGGATTTTCTATCAAATTGGTCTAAATTTAATTGATTCCATGTTATTATCAATGATTTAAACAGTAGTCTAATAGTAACCTCCAGTATGTGTTTAAAGCCTCGTTCGCAAAGTGGTATCATATGATAGTACAGTTCATATCATACATTAAAACTTACTATTAATACCATTATATCAAACGTCACTAAAATGCATAGTTTGCACAAAATTTTATTCATTCATTTTATCGCTCAACTCATTCATATACAGTACCGGTTATACAGTATATGATATACATATTATATATATATACTCTTAAAAATATCATTACTAAACTACTATAATTATGTAAATTAATTTATAGAAGTATATTTTAACTAATAATTTGAATTTTTTTTAAATGAGTAATCGATTATTTAAATTATTAAACATTAAAAATATATAATTGTTTATGAAATTTGATTTTACAATTCTATATGATATTAATTGATTTACATTTACTTAGTAATTGCTGTTACAATTGTTAACATGAAATAAACTACAATACTTTAATATATAAAATATACAAATATTAATACATCAATAAATAAAAATTAGTTCTTATAAATTTACTAAAAATATTTTTAAACTACTATTTTTTAACGTTTTCTAAAAATAATTGTAATATATATTTTGATGAACAATTAGTCAATAGTGTCTATATAGATGACAGTATATAATTAAAGCCATTTTGTTAAGCTTTAATAATATTTTGAGTATATATTAGAGTGCTATCGCTTCTCAGGTCAAGGAAAGCTAACTGAGCGCTGAATTGACCTAAATTGCAGTTTCGTAGTCATGACTACACTCCATGTTTTCATTGATTAAATTCTGTGAATATTTTTGAAAGAAACTCCAGAATAACGTTATATGAGTTATAGTCATAAATGAATTATAGGTATCAATATATAGGAGCGATATATAAGCGACAAATGATGACTGACATCAAAATAATATTTTATTGATTGTAAACCAATATTATTAAATAAATCATTCAAATTCTTATTTCTAATGTTTCTTATTTACACCAAAAAACAATTATTTTTTATTTAAGATTTTTTATGTCCACCGAACTTGATTTACGGACACTATTTCCGAAATTTTATAATTATAATTAACTATTTTGCATTTATTTGTAATTATAACAATTTAATATCATTATTTAATACATTTATAATTATATCTCTAATAGTCAATACATTACTTGCTTATAATATTTTAGTCTTAATTTGCCATTTATTTAATTTCATATACATTATCTATACATCAATTTTTTATTTGAAGCATAACTTTTTCTTTATTGTTGACGTAATAATAATAATTGATATTAACATTGTTTAACAACTCAGGTAGATCTCCAGGTAATAAAATGTGTTAACTCAGCACACGTCCAACAATACTCTAATAAATTTTGTAAAATTTTTATTTGATTATTGTTTTTCTATAATTTAACATAAAAATTAAATTTAAAAAACTAAAATTACAAATTACATTATATTAAACTTTAGTTATTTAATAATTGATATATTAATGTACAAAAATAATAGTTAATTTTAGTATTTTATACCCCGGAAGAAATAAATGTGTAATAACTTAAAAACTATTATAGATATTTAAACCAAATAAAGTTTAAAATAACAAGGTATAACTGCAGTTTATTATTGTAATTTTTAATAATTTTTTACCCCCAACATTAAGGAGGCGGGGAATTTTGTTCACATTTAATTTAATTAAAAATTTCGATAAATACCTTTTTTAAAGAAAACCAATTAAAATAAATAAAAAATAAAAATATATTTTCTCTATTTTAGTGTCTAAATTGTAATGAAATAATCTAGAAATTTATCTCTCAAAGCATAAATGAAAAAATAATAATTAGTAAAATGAGATATTTTTTATGTTTTTTCACTATATTTTTGAAAAAGTCTCCGCCTCCTTAATGTTGAGGGGGTAAAAAATTATTAAAAATTACAATAATAAACCGCAGTTATACCTTGTTATTTTAAACTTTATTTGGTTTAAATATCAATAATAGTTTTTAAGTTATTAGACATCTATTTCTTCCGGGGTATAAAATACACACTACTGTACTACTATTATAAACTTAATTATAACTAATTTCTTAATAACAAAAGTTAAAAATATTGATTGAATGTTGAAAAGTTGATAAATTATATTGTTATGTATTGTAACCCCACAGCTAAAGCAATTTTGTAATACATTTTTGTGTCAATTTATTACAATTGCTCTAATTGTATGATTTTAACAAAATTTCAACTTTAGTGACTATTTTATGTTTTTTAATTATTTTTTTTAATTATTAGAGACATAACAGCATCAGTAATATATTAATTTGAATTTTTATTGATTTTCTAAATGATGTTGTTTTAAATTAATGTATTTTTTAATTAATAGATTGTGTTCGTAATTCAAATGGCAAAGTGTTGATCCATTGTCACGCGGGTATCAGTAGATCAGCCACAATATGTATGGCATACCTGATGGCAACCAAAAGGCTACGTATGGAAGAGGCTTATGAATATGTGAAATCTCGTCGTAAAATAATATCTCCAAACTTTAATTTTATGGGACAACTGCTTGGATTTGAAACTCAAGTTTTTTCACCAAACAATCCTTTAAGAGACCAAAAACAAGTTTTAATGGAACCATTGTCTCCATTATTATCAAAAATAGCCTCTTCATCGACATTTATTTCCAGCAAACAGACAACTCCTTTAGCTAAGACTTGTAGAGGCAGTTCAGCGCCTTCTTCACCATCAAGAATAAGAAGTGACTGCGAAAGACTTGTGTTTGACTTCACGAAAGTGCCATTCAATGACATTAATCAGTCTATTAGTCACTCCAATACATCACTTAAGTCTAGTCAAGTACTGGACAGTCCTATTCTTATGTAAACAATTTGATGCCATTTTTCATTGATTTAAACATATATAGCACCGACCACTTTATTATTAAAGATTTTACTAAATTTATATTATTTTAGATATTATATCATTAAGTCATTTAATTTAACAATATATATATATATATATAATTTATATATTTCAATAATATAAGAAAGCTATTTATTAAAATTTTATATATATATTATAATTTATATTAATATAAAGAAAATATTAATTAATATTAAATATTGTTGACTACATTTAAATATATTTACAAGAAATGATTACTAAATGTTGAATATTTTATAATTTTTATTAACTGTTTTTAATTGTTTGTCATTATATAAATTTATAAAATGTTTACTATAATATTAGTAAAAATATCTTAAATTTGTTACATACTTTTTTATTATACATCGAAGCAAATACAAATCAATCTTATTTGTTAAGTATGACATTAATTCATAAGAATATATAATTATTAAACTAATATTTAATATAATATTTATATGAAAAACAAATTTATATGATATAAATTAATATATTATAAAATGTCTCTATAATACAGATTTGTTACATATGTTGTTAGTAAACAAAATTCTAAAATTATATTATTATTATCTCTTACAATAAGATAGTAATAGTATATTCATAATTCTTGTTTTAATTTACAAAAAATATATTACATTACTATTTGCTAAAATGATAAAATAAACATTTCTGTTTAATATTAATTATACTACAGTATATATTAAATGCTGTATATATAATATATAATTTTGATATACAGTATATTATTTTGATTATTTATGAACGTTTTAATCTTAATCTTTAATACTTGTCTAATCAAATTAGTATAATAATGTCATTTAATTGTTCACATATACAGAATTTTTGTTCATATATTTATATGTATAATCACTATGACTTATATTGTATGAATGTATAATTATTTTATATAGAGTAACCATTTTATATTAGTGTTGTATAAAAATGTTATAATTACCAAATAATTGCTGAATTCTCTATACATAAATATTTTTATTTATTATTTTATTTATAATATTATTCAATAATTATACTAACTTATATATATATATTAATAGTTATATAATAAAGATATTAAATTGTTTAAATTTGGTTTACCTAATCGTATACTACTGTTAATCAAAGTTTATCTAGTATTTTATTTATTTCTATTTTACTACTGTATATTTTACATGTGTAATAGGTATTAATGGGTTAAATATCATTATGAAATATTATTACTTAATTTTCTAAATTTTGATTTTTCTGATGTTTAAATTAAACAACAATTACTAATAACTAATAACCAAAAGAATGGTATTAAATGAAGTTCAGTAGGAATTGCATCTCTGCTAATGTTTGCCACATTTGTCTAACCCTCACATAAAGTAATAAAGTTTTTGTTTATATAAATTGATAACTTTGTTCAATAGGGTTATCATTTGAATATTAGATATGATTCATGAAATTTATAAAAATGCTAATAATTTCCAGAAATGAAAACATTTTTAGTTCCATTAATATACTATAGTTATTGCTATGTATTTACCAGTAAATAGTAAATTAATTTTAAACATTAGGAATATAAAACATAATTACAATATAAGACATAATAAAAATTATAATAATAGTAAAGTAATTAAACTTTATAAAATAGAAAATATCTTGATTTTATTTATTTAAAATTTTATAATTACGTAATTGTTTGCTAATTACAGTTTATGAAATAATATTAAATATGAATTAAAATTATTATATCATGGTCATTAATTTATGTGATCAATAATAATTTAGAGATTTACATACAGTATGAATTATATTGCAATACAAAATAAATTGATTTATTGGTTTTATAATAATTTTTATTAAGATTGTTTTGAGTGACATTAGAGATATTTATTATTTTTGTTGAGTATATACAGTAGTTTTATAGTATTTTATATTTAAATGTTATTAATATATCAATAAATCACAGACTTTAATATCAAATTAAAAAATTAATGGTTTGTTTTCACACAAATTTCTTTCGTGACTTCTTTTTTGTGATTGGCTTTTCACTGGAAGTCTCTTCTGTATTGTCATCAATGAGTGATTCGCATTGAGAACCAATGAATCCTTTCCTACAACGACAACGGTTGACTCCAACACATCGACCACCATTAAGACAGGGGATAACACATTTCGAGTATTCACATCTATTAAAGATTAATATTAGGTAATATTAAATTATTAGTAAATAGTCATTCATTGAGTACATACCGGGGCCCGTAGTAACCTCTCCTACACCAACACATGTCTTTCTGAATACATTTGCCGCCATTCAAGCACTTCTCATGACATATACCTCCCTGTAATCAATAAAAACTCATAGACATAGTATACTAAATAATAGTTAAATAGTTACTAACTTCACAATAGAAGCCTTGAAATCCCTGAGCACAAGAGCACATTCCCGGTGCAACACAAGTGCCACCATTCATACATTGAGGATAACAAAGCGCTTAATTAATAACAAAAATTATTTTCATATTACAGTAAAATAACAATTAAATCATAAAAATAAATACCAGATTCACAAAATTTGCCCAAAAATCCTAATATTCATATAAAGTACATTTGATATGTTTATAATATATAAATAAATATTATAAATAATGTCAAATAATAGTAAATATGTGGTCACCTGTAGGACACTCGCAGATCTTGTTTGCATTGCATTTGCCATTTCCACACTTCTTATCACATTCAGGATCAGGTGTTCTGTCTGCACATTGTTTTTGTAGTTTTAGTCTGAGAGGAGTTCCCAAAAGATTTTCATTGTTAACTGTATTTATAATTCTTAAGCCAATACTAAAGGTTGCGATTCCAGTGATATTTCCAACACATGGTATCAAAACTTGGAAGACTTTGGCCTTTTTCGGTACTTTTCCTTTGGGTTCAATTGAAATGATTGGTTTACTCAGTATTTCTTCATTATATGAGACCAATTGATCGAAATCATATGAATACATTTTATTATCTCCCGATTTCCAGGTCAGATTTACCGAACTAACTTCATATGGTATGACCGGTAAATAGCGAGATAGGTTCGGGTCTAACACATACGGCAATACATTACCATCAAGAATGGCATAAATCTTCAGTGGAAAACCTATAAATTATATCAATTAATCATTCAATCAAATGGTGAAGTATATCAACAAACCGCTGAAGAATTGTTTGACTTGTTTTTCATCGATCCAAAGGCATATATCAGACTCACTCTTGGAGTTGATTGACAACTCATTGATTGTATTGACCACATCTGTTAAACCACTTATCAATACTACTGTCCATACAATATAAGACCAATTGTGGTCATTAACTAAATCAAAGCACAACATCACCTAAAAGTAGTTAATATTAACACATTTATCACTTGACTAATCATAATATCATTGATTCATATCTTCATTAAGTTTTTGTTTGCTTTTCACCACAATTTCATTCAAACAATACTTTTACGTAATTTTTGGTCAAATAAATATCAAATTTGTTTACAGTATTATTGAAATACTGTTTAAATTTATATGTAATGTATTAATAATAAATGATTAAAGTATTTATTAATTTGAATAATATATTAATTGTATTAATAATTGCAAATCAAATAACATTTTCTATACATATTTCATACATAATCTATATATTGTATACACAAGTAATGTCTAACACAAACACATTGTATTGTTTACCGGGTATTGAATATTAATATCATATATGATATACTTATTTGACTATTATTTGACTAATTAGTGAATTTAATGTAATTTAATGAATGATTAGGTGATTGTTTGGTTAAATGTGATGATCAGACAACTGGTCTGAACGGCACGTATGCTATTAATGGGTATATCTATGCATCGATGGCAGGAACTGTTGAATTGGTTCATAATAGTGATAATACGGTAGTTGTTTGACTTAAAGTAATTTAATTTGATTAATGATTATAAGTTTGCAGAAAACAATTGAAGTGTTGACCACTGAAGATAAGAGACATTTGTTACCACAAATGGGTTCAATAGTGACCTGTCGTGTGATAGCAATAACCCATAATGTGGTCCGTCTTAATATCCACTGTATTGATGGTCAAGTCCTTAAACAACCGTTTCGTGCGATTCTTAGAAGAGAAGAGATTTGTGAAGACGAGAAGCAAAAGGTGTCGATAAGTGATTCATTTGGTCCGTCGGATATAATTGTGGCCAAAGTTGTTGGTTTTGGAGAAAACAATAATTTTTTGGTTACCACAGCTCATAAAGAGTTGGGTGTTGTTGTCTCTCTTAACCATTCAGGTTGTCTAACATTTAACACAAATTTAATATTATATTGATTTATATTTTACACATTTAATAGGACTCCCAATGAAACCGATTAGTTGGACTCAAATGTTATGTCCGACTACTTATGTTAAGGAAAGACGAAAAGTGGCACAACTGGTCAGTACTTCAACTAATAATGATATCAATCAGTAAACAATTTTTTAATTATTTTTTTAAAACATTGAATAAATTGAAAACTTTATTGATTTGTATTTATAACATTAATAAATACATTGTTACAAATGCTATCAATTGTTACAATTTTGCAATAAAACGTTAAAACAATAATTACAGTACCGGTAATTTTAATTTAACAAATAATATCTTATTTTGATTAAATTCAATATATTTAAATCAAAATTTATTTGTATTATACAATATAATAATAAGAGAATATCAAATTTAATGAATTATTTTCAATTTAGTTTCAATAAATACACAAACAATTAAATAATGATTTGTTTGCTCAGTAAATGTTTTGATTTATATAATTATTTTTGTACTCATTTCTTATTATTAAATCCATGTCTGGATTTTCACATCCATTCTAATGATAATGGATTTAATTTTTTGAGCTTTTAATTAAAATATATATTATATTATATACTTTTGTTTAAACACATAAGATTATATTGAGCTAAATATAATCTGTATTAAAAATTAAATTGTTTATCAATTATTATAAATTTGTCAACAGGACATATTGTCATTGAGTGTCATTAAATTGTGATATATTTATAGATATGAAACAATTAATGTACTATAAATTATAATTAAAAAATTAGACAAATGTTTAGTGAAATACATTAAGTTAAATGATCACAATATATGGTGAATAAAATTATAAGTTATATACCGTATATTTTACTCAAATATTAAATTCATGCACTGCTTGTCCTAAGGCCAGTGGACCCGACTGTCCATTAGTCCAACCCGTATTCTCTAATGTATGACAACTTGTATTTATTTCATATGAATGACTATTACAATTAGTACCCTGTTGTGTATTGTTATACCCATAACCGGTATAATCATAATTATTCCAATTGGCACAGTTGGCACTGGCACTGGCACTGGCACTGGCACTGGCACTGGCACTGGCACTGGCACTGGCACTGGCACTGGCACTGGCACTGGCACTGGCACTGGCACTGGCACTGGCACTGGCGTTGAGTGACTGGTTATTACCCTGTGTTGACATCACAGCACAAGACACATATGACTGTAATCAACAATTAAACAAAAATTATATATAAAATTATAGAAAATATTTGTTTGAAACATAGAGTAGACAGACCTTATCGTCACAATAATCATTGCCATAATCACTATTAGAGAAGTGATCGTTGATGACACCATTGTTACAATTTGAATGCCATTCATAACAGTGCTGACCATTTGTTGAATTATAATAATCAGTGGTTATGGTGTCATCATTGGTGTGATTTGGTCTACAATAAGATGTCATATTTGATGCATAGTCTACCGATGCACTACTTGAACTGGATGTGCTATTAGACCAGTCATTGTTATTATGCATTGGATGGTTAGGTTTGGAATCGATATCATTAAACCACTTAAACATAAGAATCCTATCGATAGTCTTCTGGAAGTCATTACCGCACTGTTCGAAAATAGACTGTAATTGTAATGATGAAAGTTCTGGAAATGTTTGAGAAAGACTTTGAAAATCGCTAATCTTGTAATGATCTGAGCTTTTCATAGACACCAATCCATTGTTTTGGTGACCCATTGTACCACAATGTTGTGTCATCTGATCCATAGTATTCCATATATCAGCTTTTGAATCAAGAGAACCAATAGAACAACCATCTGATGAAACACAAGACATCCCATAATTGATAGTATCATAAGAACTATCTGATGTTTTATTCATTAAACAATTGGCATCATTTTTACCATTAGTATCATTCAAATTATTTGAAGTGATTAAACCATCTGCAGAAGCAGCTATTGATATAAAATATAATTTATATCACGAAATATTACATGACATACATGTGCTCATACTCTTACCGCCGGGAGATTCCGTACCATTAGAGTTGTCTTCACTTTTATCCAAATTCTTTTGTGTCCTATATATGATTGAACGTCTCCTTTAATAAACAAACATATGATAATAATTATAATATTTGTCATAAATCAGTAATTATAAAAAATAAATATAAAAATAGTAAAGTAAAGTATAATACTGTATATGAAACAACAATCAAATTCTATATAATTATATATATATCTAATTATCACTTAAAAGATTATTTAAATTAATCATTCATTATAATTCAACTCTAGGCTAGAGATATGTATTTTAATAATTTTGAATAATATAAGAATCCAATTCTCTTACATTTATAAAAATAATAATTTTCAATTAACACAATTTTAAAAGTTTGCATAATCGATGAATATTGTATATAATTTATATTAGTTTATAAATACCATCATAAAGTATATAAAATATTAAATATTATCATAAAATAAATTTGTTAATAGATGAGTCAACATTTACAATAATAATATAATAATTTTTGTGTATATTTTTATAATATTTGTAATGCTTGTAATGCATAAAACATCGATTATCATATTAAACGTTGATAAAAGAAACATATCTTTGTGTTTATAATAAATAATTAATTATAATATTTTATATTTAAATAATTAATACTTACTTGATAAGGAAGCAACTTGAACATGTACAATTTCTAAATGGACATTGATGTTGCAACACTCGTATATCTTTTTTGCCTTTAATTTTGACAATTATTAATAATGATATTATAATTAATTATTATTAAAATAAATATAAAACATAGGTATGTCCTACCGTGAAACCTGCACCGGGAACAGGTCGGGTGTTTGCGATTTTTGTTGTGAGCCTTCATCATAGTTGCTCAGTGTTGCCAATGACTGTCTCAACATAGAAATACTTATATATATATACTGTATATATAAAGCAATCATTATATCGATTATCTTCAGGTGTGTTCTCTTTAATGGTAGACTCAAAGCGCGTGTCTTATCAATAGTCCTATGCATTCAACAATCACTTGAATTGCAATTTACTTTAAATTTTATATACATATTATAATTGTATCGATAAACCAATAATAATGATAAATACTGTATTATTTTTATAGCATTACTTGTAAAATAAAATCAAATATTCATATATATCTTTCAAATACTTTTATATATAACCCAGTTATAAATGCAGTATAAATTTATGTAAAATATACAATAAACTTAAACATATAATATTTACAAATTATATTTATACCTGCATTGTATTAATAGATATTAATATATATATATATATTATTTATAAGCACTAATGTTTATTAATTGCAATATTACAGTACATATGTTTTTTATATACTGAAATATAGTTCAAATTTACACATCAAATCAAATAGAGATTATAGAAATAATAAATTTAAAATACTGTATATTATAGTCTCAAGCAAATAGAGCATAGATTTATAAACAAATAGCAATCAATTAAATAAAATAATAATTAATGTTAAATTTAATACTTTCAATATTATTTTCAACAATTTAATTGAAACTATCAACAAATAATTTATTTCATTTCTATATTATTATCAAAATATAGTAAAATTGTTTCAAAAAATAATAATAATTAAAAAAAAGTCGAGTATAGTATGAAATTCATACTATGAATGTTGATTACCGGGGGTTGAAGAGGGGAATCCGGTAATGAAAAAAGCGTAGTGATGATAGCCCAGACCTCCCTGAGTAATGCCATAACACTTACATTCATAACTCTACTGCAATTTAAGATATTCGACTTTAAAGTTCGAAAGTCGAAATTTTTTAATATGCATATGATATATAATTTCAATGTATTTTTTAATATTAATAACATAAGTGAAAACAAAATACATATAAGTCATTTAGAATTCGAGATATTCGAATAAAGTTTAAAATTAAATTTTTTAATTGACGTTATTTATGCATATGATACATGATTTCACAATATTTTTAAAGATGATTTTTATACTCGAATGAAAACTTTATTTTTTTATATTTTTTTGATAACCTTATATCTTATATTTAAAAATTTTAATTATAATGAAAATAATACAATAATTAATTATAATAAAAAAAATCTAAAATATTAAAATAATACAATGTTAATTTCAATAAAAAAAGTAATTTAATTAATTAATTAATAAGTAGATTAAATAATAAATTCAATAAAAATTTATACAATAATTGCTATAAAGATAATAAACATTAATTATAATAAAGGATTTAAATACATATATGGGGTTTACCTATCATTTACTGATCTGTTATACACACACCTCTTGTCACATGACATACAGCACCGGCACTGACACAATTGATATCCCTTTCCGCCCACTAGTAGTCCATATGAATACATAATGCATACCATTTTCTCTACACTCAATGATCACTAAATAAACGTTGATTTTATAGTTAATACCGAACTGAATCTCATTATCCAACATTCAAAACGTTACACATATCGTAAATTTTTATTACTACAATTTATAGTTAAATGTCTACTTATATAAATCATATATATGCATAAATAACGTCAATTAAAAAATTTCGACTTGAACTTTAAAGTCGAATATCTTAAATTGCTGCAATGGATTTGCTCGACGGACTTCAGTATGCGCCGACAGAGCGTATGCGGGCATCTGAAAGTCTTGAGTATAGACATACCGTTGTGTAGACATTTGCTGCTGAACAGGTATCGGTTGCATCACCGGTAAGTTCATTACAGGCAACTGTTGTGTCGCCGCCGATGTAGACATTGTCGTTGCTGTCGTAGTAGTAGTGGTTGTGATTTGTAGCACTGTATTGCTCAATCTTAGTAGACTCGGCTATCTCCCGTATGTCCTGATTTGCTATTTGGTACACACGATCCGCCCTTTGACTACGCGATGAACGCATTGCTAATGGCTGTGACGACTGTACACGTGGCAGTTGAGCATTACTTTATGAGTTAATAGACATTTTGTTAATTGTTAATCTGTTTCGACTGCGCCAATGTGATCAATGTTAGATCAATATGTGACAACAACAATAACAACACAATCAAATCAATGAAAACTATTTATTATTATTATTATCAAAAAATTACAATTAAATTAAAAAATTAAATTATGATAAGACTGTGTGTGTGTGTCTACATAAGTACTGAAGGATAAGGAAACAGATAGTGATAATTATGGGGTATTTCTGTGTCTGTATGTATTTGAGTGACGTCTGTCGTCACAATATAAATCATATATCATATGCATAAATAACGTCAATTAAAAAATTTCGACTTTCGAACTTTAAAGTCGAATATCTTAAATTGCTGTAAAAGGGATTTGAATGTAAAGAGATGTAARTGTTATGGTTTGACTCAGTGAGGTCTGAGTTGTCATCACTACGGGATTTTCATTACCGGAATCCTCTCTTCAAACCGACAATTAATAATTAATTATAAACTTTTTTTAGTTTACCGTATAACCCCGCATATATTCCCATTTTACAAATTTTTTAAATTTTAAAATCAACTTTTGCTATGAGGCTGTAACTCATCCAATGGGGATATATGTGAAGTCATAGAAGATAGAAACGATTTAGTGATTCTGTAATATGTAAGACAACTATCATTTACAATCAGAAACCATTAAATGTATGTTAATAGCAATTATTGTTGAAAAAGTTAAAATTAAATTTATGATAATACAGTAATTATAGAAATAATAATTAACATAATAATCAGCTTCCGATTGATCATTAAATTGAAAATTATCAATTTTTAGGCATTATTTGGCATTAAATAGAGCCATCAATAGATTGAATTTTTAAGGGGGGAGTAATTGCAGACATTGAAAACTTCAATTATTAGTTGTGGGGGTTTATAATTATTTATTATTAAATATTAAGTATTTGATAAATCATTAAAATCAACATTTCGTAGTGAGCTATATATACGCGTTTATACCGTAAATTTAATAAAATTTAAACAAGTTTTATATACCGATAATACAATATTTATTAAATTCAAATTTAATTCAACGATAGATTACATTAGTACTTAAGACAACAATTTAAAAAATGACAAATAATTTATTGATACAATTTTCCAAATAATGACTTAAATAGCTGATCCTTGGCTTCATCGGTATATAAAGTATTATGAATAGGAGCCATAAAATTAACTATTTTTGAGTGAACATCGTATCTAATTCTGCGACCTTTACTCGCTTTTGTGTCAACTTTTCGTTTAATTTTATTTCTGATTCTTTGAATTTCAAGCCATTTCTTGCTTAAGACAAATGGATCAGTTGAGTCAGTGTTTGTGTTGGTCTCAATGAATTGTCGTAGTAGTTGATGGTAAAAATCATCATCATCAAATATTTCAACATTCAATTGTTCCACATTTTCACTGTACATTTCTTCTTCAGTTTCATTATCTTTGCCGACAATACTATAGATTGATCTTTTAGTTTGTGTTCTTTTAATAAGTCTTTTCGTATCATTAAGAATGCGATTAATTTGTATATTAGTTGAAGTTTCGAGAGATAATAAACATTTATTTTTAAATGCATTTGATGTCAATCGTGTCCTTTCATACCATTTATTTAACACATCTTCTCTTTTCTCTCTCAAATTGCAAAATCTTTTTGACAAAACATGTGAAATGTCATCACAATTAAGCTTTCGTTTAGCTATAATTTGTGGCAACTTTTGCCATGAATTATCAGAATCAGAGTTATTATTATTATTAGTTTCTTTAAATTCATTATTTAAATCAACATTTGTTATACTATTTTGTAAATCAAGTGATATATCAATATCGCTAATAATGTTAAGCAATCGTAATAATGATTTGTAAGTTTCCTTAAGACAAGTGTCCACTTCATTATTAAGCGATTGCTTTCTTAAAAGTAACAAATACTCAAATTGCGGACATTTATTACAAGACATCATTACTTTTTGCAACTTTATTCGATACTCCAACAGATTATCCCAAATAATCAATTGATTCTTCAGAGCTCTTCCTTTGGATATATCATCGTTAACATCAATGTTTGCCAATTGGTGTATATAATCATCATTTATATCAATTAATTGGTGATCATTGCTGTCATCATTTGACTGGTAGTCTAAGTCTTCTGATGAAGCATTTGGTGCCGTCATGTCATCCAAATAGTGTTCAACTCGTTCTTCACTTTCACTTTCACCGATATCTTCTTCCTCATCATTTTCATCGCTTGAAAAATCACTTTCAATTTGTGTCCGATTAACGACTTGTCCCGCATATCTGACCAAATAATAATTAAATATAAATCAAATAAATAAGTAAACAACTCATCCAACCGATGGCTAATGATATCTACTGATTGAAAACGATTTCTTAAGGCATGAGAGTTGACATTATGATCAATATGTTGGTCACTATTTTGACTGTTTTTCAATAGAGTTATAGCCGATGTCTCGACATCCAAGTCATCTTCCGGATCAATCAGTGACGGCAAAGGATTGATTAGACTTGAGATTTGCTGCGATAATGAAGACATTGTTTCAATCAATCAATCAATCAATACATTCAATATGTATAACACGTGTCAACACATTATCACTACATATAATCACAAAAGTTATCACTAGAGGGCATACCATATGATATTAAGATGTATTATACAGTATTGTATTGATTATACTGTACTGTAATTATGGTTCAGGCAATACCTTCCCTCGTTTTATATTCAGAATTGCCTATATTCCCGACTACCTGGGAATTCCCAGGGAATCTACTTCCTTATGCTACCTCCTATTGACAACAAATTTTGTTATAAGATTTGAATAACATATATTGCATTAAACTGTATTATAATTATAAAATTTTGAATATAATTGTTAAATAGTATCTCTAAATTCACTGAATTCTAATTTATTTTTAAATATTCAATGAAATTTTATGCAAAAAATTAATTTTTAATATTATTTATTTCAGAAATATAAAATATATTTTCCTTTCTAACGGGATATGGAGCGAAAATAAAATATTTTCCGGGAAAATTGGAGGAATTTTATTAGTGAACTTCCCCCATGTTAAGTTGCCCGAACACTAACTGTATTAAGTTTTGACAGTAAAGTAATATTTATGATAAATTATTTTAATATTATTATAATAAATAAGTAGTAATAAGTAATAAACTATGTTTTAAATTAAGAATACATTAAACAAGTTTTATTGATTAAAAATAAATCAAAGTCATTATTAAAAGTTAAAACAAATAAATAAAATTTTACAAATAATATCAATCATAAGTTTCATATAAACAAATTTAATGTAATCGTATTTTTTGTTACAGAAATACCGTAAAACCTATATTCATATTAATCTCCATATAATTTAAATTATGTATAAAATTCCCTTCAATTCCAGGCGAGGAATATTCTCCTAAAATTTTATTATTTTTTGAAGAAAAACTACGAAAAGCGTGTGTTATTTAATTTAAATGTAATATTAATGTTAGTTTGAACTAATGGTTAATTAACTAATATATTAAGTTAATTATTTCAGTAACAAATAGATGATATTGATATAACAAATAGGTGTATATAATGAAAAATATTGATTGACTGACAAACATATACTGTATTTTGTTTATTCAATTACAAAATATTTAAATGCTTTATATTCTGTAAATCTTTAGAACTTCTTAATGTATTAATAAGTGTTAAACAAGAGGTGTAACACAGAAAATATTTATAATTAAAAAATATCTTTTATTTAATAATAAATTGAAATTTGATTTCAATATATTATTTATTCTATGCTTAAATATAGAATGACTTTAGCAAAGACCTAGATAATTTTAGTTTATTTTTCGAGATAATACTAAATACTAGTCATTTACTGGTAATTTATGGAAAAATACTGAAACACCATTTATTTATTTTCCAACAATTATAGTATATTTTGCCTTAAATATCAATAGAAATTTTTTTGAGATAATGCACAATGAATTGCACATTAGAGACTGAAAACTGACCTGATTTTTCAGGTCAGGTCAGGTCAGGTAAAAGTTAGGGCTCAGGTCAGGTCAGGTACGGGTCCGAACACCAAAATTTTTTGGTCAGGTCAGGTCAGGTCCGAAAATTTTTTATTCATTATTTAAACGACAATTATTACAAAATATGACAATCAAACACAAAATTTATTAAATTATTATTTATAAAATATTTGTATAAATTAAACATAAAATATTACAAAAGATGATGGTTTTGATCTAATAAATAATAACATATTAACTTTATTAGAATCTAAGTTAGATCTACTATCAGTTATCGTTAATACCGAGTAATTAAAGTTAATTTAGACAAATTTGTTGCGGGTATAGAATAAATAAAATTGTTTTTTGATAAAATTATTTTCGGACAGACATAGTCAGGTCAGGTCAGGTCAGGTAAATTTGTACCCTATGTTAGGTCAGGTCCGAGTCCGAGATTTTAGGTATCAGATCAGGTACGGGTCAGGTACGGGTCCGAAACTTTTCGCTCTCTATTGCACATCACTGAACTTTTATTACACATCATATCAATAATATATTATTATATTATATTTAATATTAATTGTTATACTCTATCGGGTAATATCAATGTAAGCAAAGTGTAAATAATAGTTGATTTAGTATTTAAAATAAACATAATCTTAAATGTAATTAATTTAGTTGAAAAGATTATAAGTTTGTTAAGAATTAAGTGTTGAATATGTTTTGTCATCAGTTGATGGTATTTCCTATGAATGACAGGTGTGGTGGTGTCGGTATGTGTCGGTATGTTATGTTTAGACAACACAAACATTACTTGAATCACTTGAAAACTAACTGAAGTTAATCTTAACAATTGTTCCGCAAATTTATTATTTAAATGATTGCAAAATAAGCCTTCAATGAGTGATAAATGAAATTCATATTTTGAATGCATGTTTAGTACAAGTATTGATAGTACAGTACTTTAATAAAGAGAGCCTTAAATGTATAGAAATAATGAAAACTTAGTAATCTCTGAGTCTATTGTTAAAGACTTAAATCCAATCCCTGCTATTAATCCAATTTCTCAATCTATAGATTATATTGGGTGACCTCAACAAATTTGGACGTTTGAAAATACATAAATTAACCTTGTTATAAAATGACAATCAGTATAGCATAGATAACAGTGTCATAACGTTACTTAATGATGTCAACATTTTCATTATTTTAATTTTTTTATTGACGTTAATTTAGATTGTCAAAATGTCAGTTTTAAGTTTTTAGTATATTTTAGTTTATCTAGTCGTGATGACTACTTATAAATATTTTAATCAATGAAAGTTATTCAAAACAGATATATCTCCTGATAAAACACGATAAATTTTTTAAGTACCTTAGATCATTTTATACAAAATAAATAATAAGCATTGAAAATAAATTACGTCACAACTCAAATACAAATGTCTATAGTTAATTGTTTACTTATTTTATCATATATACTGTATATAAGTTATTATTATTATAATATTTAAAACTTAAAAAATTTGAAATTAAAAAAAATAATTTCTATAAATAACTTCAATATCTCGTCCATAAATAACATTGATTTATGTAATATAAAAACGTACAAAATAATTGAGGTCACCCAATATTTGTTTTTATAATCTATTAAAACACCAATTGTTTGTCCATTTAATTACATTCAACTATATTCAACTACCGAAGCATTTATCGATCTATACTTAATTGAGTTGGATTTCAGGTATAATTTATAAATTATATAATATACAAAAAAATTATAATGAATTTAATGTTGTTATTAAAAAAATTATAATTTATTTATAATGAATGCAAAATAGATTTCAATAAAAAAAAACTAGATATTCATAGAGTAATATTGTTTTGATTAGAGATATGAACCAAAACGGTTTTGGTTTTGGGAACCGTATGATTTCGGTTTTAATAAGTTTTTTATGTTGTTATTATTGCACTAATTAATGTAATTATTAGATTTAATTATTATTATCAGTATTTCTATTAGTATTGATAATTATATTATTATAAAATTATAACTTTTGTTTTACTGAATCCCACACTTAACTCGATTCTCGGTTCGGTTTTTGAAATTAGTTTTGGTTCCGACTTCTAGTTTTGATGTTAGAGTAGATCTTTAATAAATGCAAACAATAATCCAATGAATCCAATGAATCCAATGATGATTTGAGATCACTGTTGAGTGACTCTTTCGGATCAATTGTTTTCAATTTTATACAGAGATTACATTCCTTTCATTTTTTCAACTCATACGACACACTAAACACTAATTATACTTATTTATAGTTATTTATTAAGACATATATTCAGAGTTAGCAGACAACATGTCTCTATATACTAAAGAGATTATAATACATTAAAATAAAAGATTACACACAAAAAATTTAATACCTAAACATAAAGTTTATTTAAATATGCATCACATCATGTAGAAAAAATGGCGCCAAAGTAAAAAAAATTAGGTAAAAATTTTAACCTTTACAATTGCATAGAGCATGAAAAATAAAATTTAATAAATCATTATTTTGATCTGAATCACTTGATACCCCACATGATTATAGTTGACTTTATTTTTTGTACTAAATCATTTTATACGGCACACGGTTATAGTTGAATGTCACGTGATTTTCTATAGCCACACATTACATGTGAATCACTATAGTCGTGTGTCGTATAAAATGATTTAGTATAAAAAAATAGTCAACTATAATAATGTGGGGTATCAAGTGATTCAGATCAAAATAATGATTTATTAAATTTTATTTTTGATGCTCTATGCAATTGTAAAGGTTAAAATTTTTACCTATTTTTACTTTGGTGCCATTTTTTCTGTTCCTGAAGAGATATCAAAATTTAAATAGTGAGTTACATAAAAATTTTTTACCTTGGCCGCCATTTTTTATATCTTATGCTATGCTCTGACAAAATATCAAAATTTCAATACTGATCCCCATATCTCATTTTTGATGCTTTATTTCTGAAAATATTTTTTGTGTGTAGTTTATAATATGCAACGTACTTTATCCCTCTACTCCGCAACCCAACGAACACCGCATATATTATATGAGACCTATTGTTGCTTTAATTAATGATAAATAAGACATTTAGTTGATTTAATACAGTAATTGCCATTAATTATGAAATTATTATATAAATGTATAATAAGTGTTAATTTATTCAATGTTTTGTTGATATTATTTGTAAATGATATTTATAGTAATCTGCAATAATAATAATACAATAATATACAAATTGATCAAGCAACATTATAGCATCTTTTTTTGTTATAATTGACTAATCAAGGTTAAATTTTCAAATAGACAGACATTAACAATATTGTGTTATATAATTGCAATATTTTTATATAAGTATTTATTTAAATTATACGAAAAAACATTTAAATATATTTAGGAGTCAATTATAATAATAATTATTTTTTAATAATTAAATTTTAAGTATACTTAAGAATCATATAAACTGAATGTCTCTTTGAAATAGCAAAATAAATAAGAAAACATACTATAAATACTATATATATACTGTTAAATAATGTTTGTAATTAATATTTCATGTCATTTATTAATTTAATAATATTAAAACATAAATTTCAGAATAAATACAAATATAAATACAGTATAAAATAATAATGCTAATGTTAAATATAGTGTATTTTTACAAAAATGAATTGAATTTATTTTCAATATAATAAACACTTATTTATAGAGTATTGATATTATATAATATATATATATTATTGTTAATATTATACAAGTAATAAGCCATAGAAAATGATTATATAGATGACGACAAATAAATCAAATGGTAATATCGGTTAAATTGGATGAATGACACAAATTTTGTTGATTTATAGATAGATTATCATCAGTTGTATGTATGTGTCCATCACTATTGCTATAGTGTTTGTTAGCCAAAACCAGTTCCTTCTCAAGCCGTTGTTTTCGCCATTTGATTCTTCTGTTTTGAAACCAGACCTTAACCTGTGCTTCAGATAGATTGAGAGTAGAGGCCAGATATAGTCTTTCAGGTCCAACCATATATTGCTGTCTTTCAAACTCGGCTTCAAGTTTATCTAACTGTTCCGGTGTGAAGATTGTTCGCACTCTTTTAGATTTACTTTGAGTCCGACATTTCATGACAACCGCACTGTCCTCTGGTTTTGTTGCATCTGAACTTTGGTCACATTCAAGACTTCGTTTACTTGATTGCAAATTATTAGCCAAACATTTAATTTTTCTTTCAGTGTTTGACAATGAATTTAAATCTGTTTAATAATAAAAAAAAATTATATTACTTTTATTAAATAAATTTTATTTCACATATAGTAATACATATGTAATGCATATTAATAGTGAATTTGCGAGCGTAAAGATTTGCAGGCAATAGAGTTATGCTTATGGATGGCTAGATATGCCGTATGACTTAGTGGATCGGACCCCAGACCCCACTCGACGTTAGGTTGCCTGAGGATTGTCATATTGTGATGATTACTTAAATTGTATATATTGTATGCTTATTTGAATAATACAATACTAGTCTTATGCTAAATGGCTTTACACATATCACCCACATTCATGACATCCATTGTGGGATTATTTTAATAAAACAACAAAATGCGGATCCAATGGACCGATGGGTTAGCAAAATTAACAATAGACACACAAGTGGGTGAATGCAATCATTTGTCTATTGTATTACTATATTGTGTTCAGTGTTTTGACAACTCATGTCTGCCAAGAATGTCGACAATATAAGGGCTGTTTGTGATTGTAAATCATTGTAATAAAAGTCATGTCATATGTTATATATATATATGCCATATATTGCCATATATTGCCATATATTGCCATATATTGGTTGCAATATTGCATTTCATGACTTAATTGCATTCCAATCCAATACTATTGCAATCATATCTTTAGAGATGCCTTCCCTCTCAACAATGCATTCACTGATTGTGTAATCGATATTTAGTTAACGTTTTCCTACATGTTTTATCCTATACTTTCTTATCTATAGACTATAGTGTTATAGTATAAGCAATTGCGGACTTTAATAGACGTACAATAAAAAATGTACTTAAAAATTGACACAATTATGAGTAAAGCATCGATTTTAAAACGGGAACACCTCTCACATGTAAATCACATACAAATAATTGTACTTTTCCGGGAATTTACTAAAAATATCTAAGTTTAGCTTAAAAGTGTAAAAAGCAAACAGAAAGTAAAGTATCGTAAAATCATTAAAAAGTAAACCAATAAATAGATAAGTTTTCAATGCAATATACCGTTCCATCAATTGACGCAATTGTTTAATAGTAAAGATAGCATTGGGCGACCTGGGAGACCATTTGACTGTATGACTAGGGGACTGTGTGACTGTGTGACTGTGTGACTGGGTTACTCTCCTATCAATCAGGTATACTGTATACAAATATTGAATATCCAGTTTGATAAAAATGTTTGCACCACAATAAAGAGGCTCCAGATTTAGAAATTTACTCAAAACTATAGGCTATAGCTTTAGATTATTAGTGCTTTTAGCTCAAGGAGATGCTACTATCGTTGATTTTACAACCGTAATATAGGTGCCTCATATTTTTATATATGCATTAGAAATTTTAATTAGTATTAAAATAATCAATTAATAATTACAATTACACTTACCCTTAGCTGTAGAGTCAGGTGAAACTGATGAAACATTTTTAGTTTTGTGATAATTGGTTGCTTTGACATACATATCATTTGATACATAATCAGCTCTATATTTATTAGCATTAAAACTAAATTGATTAATGTCTTCACTGAATGCATTGTTGATGTTTCTTCTATTGCCATCATTATTGACATCACTGATACCTAATATAGCATTGATTGAAAATGAGGTTTTGTATGAATCACTATCTGATGAAAGCTTTTTGTTGGACAACTTGTAATCATTGTTCAAATAATTGATGCCTTGTGCTGATGCTTGAGGTCTTGTATTGGGGAGACCATTGTGGTGACTGCTGTTAATCATAGATTCATAAAATGCATTTAAATTGATGAGAGCTGTGGTGGGACTTGTATTTAATTCAGATTGATATGCATTAAAACAATTGTTATTTCGATTTGTTTTATTAATATTATTAACGTCTAAATATAAAGGATACGACAATCTATAGGAAGTCATATTAAAACTTTATCTAAACACTTGAAAAATATGCGGCAATTCATGTATTGTGCGCTTCAGTTTACACACGACTTACACACTGTTATACAAAATAATTGCAAATTTAAAGATCACTTTCCTCTTCATAAGCAATGACAAGAATGCCACACAAAAGCAGAACCGCTCACAAACTCTTGAACTCCACTTGTGCTCAGTTTTGTCAGCTTTGCTAACCTTACGACTCCTATTAAGTAGGAATTAGGAGCTGACGTCTGACCGCTTCTTTTATCACATATGAAGACACTCCTATAGGAGGAACTCATATAACCCAACCATACATTAACTTTACATCAAATGCACCGATTCTGCAAACAGTTTATCAATTGATTCTTTATATAAATTACAATTTATTTATTAATCTTCATTTATATATCACTAACTTTTGATAATACAATATTTGCTTTTTCTTATTATAAAAAGTTTTGTAAGAATTGTTAAATATTCATTTATACAGTATATACAATTGTATATACAATATATATATATTAATATTTAAAATATTATATTTATTAAAGTTCATATTAAAATTTATAAGCTATGAATTTAGTTTCTGATAAATTACTATATATGTATATGTTATATTAATCTATACTAATTATATATAATTTATACTGTATATATACTAATTATATGTAATAGTAAAAGAATATATGATGTGTTGTAAATAACATTTTGAAATATTATATAATATAATAGTTATTATAAGCAATAAGAGACAAAATGACTTATTTTTAATTGATTATTATTGAGGCGTGTAAAAACTTAGCAACTGGTGTATTCAATTACATATTACAATACAATTGGATTATATACAGTAGGAATAAGCAAAGCTTTATTTAACAATTTAACAAAAAAAAGTTTGCCTATAGGTATATAATTTATATAATATAATGTTACAATATTATTGAAAATAATAAATAATATATTTAAAAGCTTAATAAATAACTATATTGTAAAAATAAGATTAAATAAATATATTTTTAGTGTTTATTTAAATTTGAGTGATTTAGAGTAAAAATTGAAAATAGTAAAACATTGAGTGAACAAATGTATGTAATTTATATTAGTAATTATATTTAGAAAAATGATAAGTATTTTGCTAATGTATAGTATAATATAACGATAATATAATAATATTTGATTGCTTATAGCGGGTCACTTCAAATGGTTGAGTATGAAATGTTGGGCAAATTGGTGTATATACTATATAGTATGCATGCTATATGATAGGTACTGTATGATATTATTGGTGTATGGGTCACTTTAATCAGCACCATTAGGCTGTAATGGTCATTGATGTTATGATGGCTATTAAGCGGTGACACTATCATAAAACTATATATGCCTTCATCTCATTGTCCTCATTAGACGGAGTTGTCTATTACTTTAAGGCTAAACACTATGACTAAGTTAAAGGAAAGCGCTATACTATAGTATATACCGGTATTATATAGCTATAGCCTATATAGTCTAATGTGTGATCAATTGAAGGCACCAAACCTTTTATAGCACCCTTGAGTGCCACCAGAGCGTCATAACTGGTCTCAAAAGTACCGCTTAACCAGTAAACAATTAAGCCGTGGGAAACGTTGCGCCCAATTATTATTATTTCAAACCATTCACTTATAATATATACATTTATCCACATTTCTACTTTAACATCATTATTATCATTTTATTCAACATTTATTTTATGACATTCTCATTACAAACTAAAATTCAGATTACATTGTTTATCAATTATACTGTATTATAATATATCAACAAAAAAGAGTTGTCATTGTTGTTATAATTTTAATATTAAAACTTTAAATCATTAATAGATCAGACTTTAATTATAGAGATTAAAACATTTAATTAACTTAAATATCATTTTAAGTATAAATATAATTGAAAAAATTATACATTAATAACATTATTGAATAACAGAATTGTCAGCATTGATAACATGGAATGTATTACCGGTAATTAAAATCTACATAAATATAATGAATTGTTTATTGTTTTAATTTTGAAGAATCATTTGATAGACTTGGAATATAGCCGGTGCCACATCCATAGCACGGGATTTAAGAGATAAAGTAAACTTTGGATTTCCCGGTTGGACCTTAAGTTCAGCTAAAAGCCATATATTATTAGTTAATTTGAGTGACTGATAGAGCATATCCTGACCCTCAACATTGCGTTTCGCAATTGTAAATATGTTATTGGATTGAAGCTTTTGTGAGACCTGATCCACGTTAAGCATAACATTTTCGATCACATATTGCACCTCATTCTGTGATGGTATGTCCTTCCAAGTGGCCAAAAACACTCTTTTATCCATTGCACCATCATCTGTACAAAATACATGTGTCGGCACAATACAGCTAAAGTAAAACACATCCACATTATTTTTAACGGCAACTTGAAGATTTGTTAACGGTTCCATTTTCTGGACACCACCCATTGTATTCAACTGAAGGCTGACATCGGAAGAGATGTTTGGATGTAAAGGTGTAGTGATCTGAAGATGTTGTGCTGGCATTAAGCCAAAGCTATTCTTATTAAATTGAATGGCAAAACCTCCCATTGCTTGCATGGCTTTGTTTGTAAATGTCATCTCCATATATATTTGACCGTTACGTCTGGTGAATGTACCCAATACTTCCAGACCTTTTCCACGAACAGCTGGTAACCAAACCTTTATCATAATATTTAATTAATTTAATAATTACCGAATACTTAGATATTTAAAGGACAAACCTGTTTGGGTGGTGTATAAAATACTCCAGAATTGGGAATTCCAAATATATCTCCAAGAAGACCTGTCGATGTTAATTGTGTAGAACTTGTATTACTTAGAGATGGAGAAGCACTAGTGGTTAGATCAGGTCCTCCAAGTAAGCTATCAAGACCACTACCCAAAATGTCAATGTTTGAGGTTAACATTGTTGATGGATATGTTGTTGGAGGAGGAGGAGGTGCACTAATGTCAAGACTTAGCAAATCTCCTATAAGACTATCTGCAGCAGGAATGACTGTGGATTGAATTGTTTCCGTATGATTGGTATCGTTAGTAGATTCACTTTTAGCTGGTAATGAACGTCTCAACTGACCAATTCTTCCTTCAACAAAAGCTGAGGGAGGTTTGTGATAAACAGATGCAAGACTTCCGATATGACAAATAAGTTCATCTAATAGTGTTGGCTCTAATAAATCGGTTTCTTCTGAAATCAATGGTTTTTCAGCTAAAACAACTTCTTTAGCTGCCGCCGGATCTGTAGATAAAAGTCGCCAATAAATAAAACCTCTGTCACGAAGATCTGGATTGTCGCTGTCTTGTGTGGCCAAACTTAACACTTGTTGGACCAATTCTTGAGTTTCAGTCGGACGCTTAAGAAATAACTTTACTATAGCTGTGAGCAGTTGGAGCTGAACCTGACTGTTCTCATCATGAAATCCTTCCAAAAAACTTTCGAGCAATTCGTCGGCGTTATCGATACGTTCAGCATATTCTCCAATAATCCAAATCATTGAAGCTCTGGCTTCAGGTTCATCCAAAGTGTCCAAATTTTCACATAATGTTGATATAATGCTTTCATATTTGTTGGGATATTTGCGGAAAATGTCTTTAATAACAACAATTGCCTCCTGAACCACATAATTAACTTTTGTTTGTATCAGATCTAATAGAGTGGCCACACATCGTTCTGCCGATTGCTCTACTTTTATAGCGCATCGACCAATAGCTCTGACAGCCTTACGAACAAAGTCAACGTCTACTTCTGTGGCATACTCTTTGAGTTCAGCTAAGACTTGAGCGATGTTGGTCTGTGAGGCCAACCTAATCATAATATCCAACTTCTCTAACTTAACATAAATCGGGTCATTATATTTGACAAAAAACACTTTCATCTCGTGTTTCAATATATCAGGTCTCTTCTGAACTATAAGATTGATATTACGTAAAGCCACGTATTGTACTTCAGGTTCACTGGACAACAGCGTAACTAAAGGTGGGGCCAACTTCTTGGTTAGTGTGACAACAAAATCAGAGTCTGAAGGCATCATTTCCATGAATTTCATCAATGCTTTAACGGCACTCAAGACAACGGCGGCATTTGCGTGAGCCAAACGAGGAGTCACTCTCTCGCATATACTTTGCGCCTCGCGATCATCTTTAGGATAATAATTAGAAAGTGAGTCCAATATGAAGACTTGTCCCCATTCAGTACATTCATTCAAAGCCGTTAATAATTTATTAATAGTTTGTGCATTGAGTTCAACCAATGGTTGTCCAGTACTGGACGCTTCATTAATCTCGGAGAGTGCTGCCACAGCATTGGCCACAACCATTGGGTTCGAGTCCGACAATAGATCGCGCAATAGATCAAGAAAACCCTGTTCTTCAACCAATTGGGCGTTAATATCATGAAGTTTGGCCACACATACAGCAGCTGTTTTACGAACATATGGGTCTTCATCTCTAAGACATTTGCGAAGTGGTTCACATAAATATTCAGTAATCTTATCCACACGAATACAACCCATTGTACGGACAGCCAAAGCCCGAATCAAAGGATTGGGATCTTCACAATCGCGGACAAACGTATTGACCGCCATTATGGCCATATCGGGCTGACTCTTGGCGTAATTCATTAAATATAGATACACCAACTTCTTGAGCTCTAAGTTATCCGTTTGCATGCAATTGACGACATCGGGAAACAAAGCCGAGACATCTTTGCCGACAGTCATCGATGCAATCACTTTCTTCACCGCTTCTCTTCTTTTCTCTTTCTTATCTGAATTTAATTCACTCTTTAACTCAAATATCTCACCCTTTTTGGTGTTTGCGAAGTACTTGGCGTCAGTCATAGTGACTATTGTTAAGACAAGTCTTCACACGTCTTAATAATCACAATATCTTGTAATCAATTGATTTAATGTTTAGTGTTATGTCAGTCAACGCCCTATATATACATACAGTACTGTATATACTGTATAATACAGACTCAGATCAATACAAATACAATACTATACACTATTAATATGTATTGACGTCACTGTAAAGTATAGTATTATTAGAGTTGGAATAACTTTACAATAATAGAGACCTCTATTTGCAGACCTCTACACTATAATATTGTATACAATAATATCATACATGTGTTGAATGATATGATAAGCGATACTCTCTTGAAAAATCACATCCAAAGACATTTATTTAGCCATCGATGGCATCTATTATGACTACAATTTGTAGATTTGGATCACTTAGAGGTTCATATGTTAGATATACTTTAAGACCAGTGGACAGTTGGCTTAGGGAACGGTAGGTATTATCCATTGATACGAAAGTTGATTGATTTGAATGCATGTCTACAATGAATGCGTGCAATGATTGCATCACTCAATGACCACAAAACTGATTGATTTGTTTTACTCAATACAGACCTGTCTTTGCTATGAATTGGACCAAATGTTTCAGTAATGGATTGAATGGATTAAATTCAAGTGATGACACTCAAGAACCTAAGGATGAGACAGATGTGAACAAATTGAAAGAAGAAAACAACAAATTAATGCAACTTTTGTCAGAAGTAGATGACAAATACAAAAGAAGTTTAGCCGATGGAGAGAACACTCGGATCAGAATGAAGAAACAAATCGATGAAACAAAGATATACGCCATTCAAGCCTTTTCTAAAGACCTACTCGAAGTGGCCGATGTTCTCAATACAGCCATTGATACGGTTCCGTTAAATACCATCACTGATGATAATACTGAACAAAGTAAAGTACTTAAGAATCTGTATTCAGGACTTCAAATGACAGAAAAGCAATTGCAAAGTGTTTTTAGAAGACATGGTTTAATACAAATGAATCCAATCGGCGAAAAGTTTGATCCAAACTCACATCACGCACTCTTTGAAGCTGTTTTGCCAGACAAAGAGCCCGGAACGGTGTCAACCGTCACCAAAATTGGCTATAAATTACACGACAGAACCATTAGACCAGCGATGGTTGGAGTAGTTAAGGCTTAATAGTAACCAATTGATACAAAACTACATTTTGTTTCATTAAATTTATTAATAAATTCATTTGTTATATATTGATACTTACGGTAAATGAGTTTTTATTAACTCTTATTAAATACCATTTTAAATATCAATTGTATTTATATTGGATTTAATTACAAAATATCATAAGCTATAAATTATAAAGTTATAAAGACTAATAATTGTGAAGTTGAGCAAGGTTATTTTAATTAACCAATAGATTACCGGTATTTTCGATGATATTACAGTATATTACCGGTAATTTGAAATTATTGAAATGATTCATTGATTCAAATGCAAAGATAAATAATAACATTAATTCATCGTATTTTTGTTCATTTTGAATCTATTTTTCAAATATAAATAATCATTAAAATAAATATTACTATTTTTAATAAAAATTATTAAATATTAGTATATGTAGATATGTTGTATTTTTATTGTCTAGTTATATCAATAACTATAAAATCAATTTACCGGTAATCTAGAATTTAATAAAATATTTTATAGAAAGTATAAATACTAAATTTATAATCGCATATACCGTATGTAAGCACTTATTTTCTCACTAAATAATGTGCAAAAATTTAAAACAACTTATACGAACTAATATCACATTTGTTTCCAACCACTGAAAATAAATGTCAGGACATGGGGTAGAAAATTATGTAAGACTGGTCCATATAAATGGGAAACTACTGTACAATATGTAAAGACTGGTCAATAGATGTCATATTTAAAGACGGGAACGATTATAAACGTCCAAAAAATTTAATAATGCAAATAATTTGACAAAAATTAGTAATCAATTAATTGCTTTGAGAAATAAATTTTACATAATTTCCTACATTGACATTCACATTGATTTCCTGATACAATTAGTCAGTATTAATACATACGGTATATACAGTATCATAGTATATATCATATTATTTATAACATATATAAATTATAAGTTATATCTTTTAAGATAATACACTAATATAATAATAGTATAAAATTCATATTTATATTGTACTAAACTATATACAGTATTATTACTTTATACTATTAAATAATAAATTAATTCTTATCTCATATGTTTATGATTTATTATTAAGATATTTATTAAGTATTAATTTTTTAAATTTAAACTCATATTTGAAAAATGATAGAATTTTAGTTTTTTAAAGTTTTTTAAACAGTGTAATCATGAAAATCATAAAAACAATATACTGTGTACTGTATATAAAATATGGATATTTTATCGATATTTATTAATAATTAGAATTAATTAATATTTCAGACAATATATTAAATAAATATTTAAATAAATTAGTAATAAAAATATATATATTTATTTTATTTAAATATGATAATATCACAGATATTAAGCCAAATAACAGTGTATTTTTATAAACAATAAATTCAAATAAAATAATAAATATTTATATATAAATTTAAAATAACAAATAACTGAAAACTAAAACTTAAAATTGTGATTGTGATTGTGATTGGTAAACCATTTGAAATATCGTTGACTAAAAAATTAAGAAATTAAAATAAATTAAATAAAAACAATACTACCGTAATGTAAGTAAGTATCAGTAATACTGTATAATTATTATACTATTAATATAATACATACTTGTTTTGCATGGCTTATAAAAAGTTGAAACAGATTTGAGTCCAGTTATTGTCTGCCTCTTAACTGTTCCCAAATTAATTAAATTACTGAATTCAACTTGAAATCGATGGGCTTCATTACCTAACAAATCAATAGACAATTAAAAATATGATATATTAAGTCAATTATTTTATTTTCGTTACCAAAGAAGTTAACGGATAGCTGAACACATTGATTGTCGGCAATGTCTCTGGTATTGTAGACATCGGCAACTATGAGCCAATCGGTTGCATTTAATAGACTTCTCATATGAGACATGAATTTGTTAACAGTGAATGTCGGCGTCTTTTTGATGGCAACATTACTTATCAAATGAATATCTGGTTTTATGTTAGCACAACCCAGTGGTATAAAATGTCCATAATTTTTAAATATGATAACCGAACGACCCATAACTGAATAGTTTCCAATTAGCGGTAAGTTTACATCGGAAAAAAGTTTGCGTTGACCACCAATTGATAATATATTGTGTTTACCACTCAAGTCACCCATTGCACACCGCAGACCATTATTTGGATTACAATCTTTTTTATATATGTCTATATCATCTTTACTAAGATAAGGGTTCCATCGATATCCAGAAGCTATACATCTTACTGAGTCTATTTGATTAAAAGCATCCTCTCCTACAGGGGTTACATAAACAGCCCAATTATGACCTGATGTGACATTTAGATTATTGAATCCGGGATATTTTAGATTGACTTCAATCCATGTATCACTTAGACTACCATCGATGTACTCCAGTTGTTTGAACCGTATATAACCAGAGATTAGATGTCTTGGTTCATGAAAAGAGGCCAAAGCGACTATTTCTCGGGCCATATCTTTGCTTTCTTCAATATTAATTGTTGAACAAACCCATCGAAAATTTTTCTCTTTTTTATGAATGACAATAGATCTGCCGATTATAGAGTTGGGTCCACTAAGACTAAGACTAGAATCAGTCCAGTCTTGTCTTTGAGTGTTTTTGTTGTCAATAATTCCAAACTTTCCACTAAGATCTCCGACTTCATACTGATCTACTGAACCAACTTCAGGAAAAGGACCAACAGATACATCAACATTAAGTGGATTAAAATGACCATAAACTGCATCGGCTGCACACGGAAACTCTTTTTCAATTGAAACCCAACTCTAATTTTATAAAATTACAATTAAATTTAAATATTAATCAAACTATTCTATGAGTAATGTTAGTCTGAAAGAAAATTAAATGATTTAATCTTTTGAAAACCGTTAATATGCTTATTATAAAATACATGTTATCCAAAATCATATTATATTAATATTAATATACATATACACGATGTATAAATTAAATAAATAATTATAAAGATTTTAATACCAATTTTCAATTGGTATAATTAGTATTTACTCTTATGATTTATTTTTTACTAATAATAAATTAAAAATTTATTATATATATTGCTATAATAGAATATATTGTTATTATAGATAATATGACATTTTTTCTTTAAAAAATGGCAATAATGGACAAATAATTGCTATTTTACAAAAGAAAATTATCATCATATTTATATACTGTATATTAACAAAACTTAAACTTTTCTAAATAAATATTGTATTTTAAGCATCTAATTAATATAAGCACTAATACAATAACTATAAATTGACAATTTGTTTAAATAAAAAATCAATGATATGTCTTACATCGTGTATGTGATATCCATGAGCGAGACCATAGAGACCGTGTAAATCTACTTTACCATTGGTGGCATCGTATGAGGTTTGTTGATTAAAAACTATAGATCCCGATATGTTTGATGCAATTGCAGTACTTGTTCGCCAATTTCTAGCACTAGCTGTTAATGGATGAACAATTCTTATGACAGCACATCCTAATCTATCACCCCTTTGTTGAGGTGCTGTGTCATCGTGTATGACAAGCGATCTACCAATAATTGATTGCTAACAAACATTTGTAATCAAATAAATATAAGTTAATATTTTTTGTTGTAAATCATACCATAGAAGGTCCGGACAGTGGTAAGAGAGTGTCGGTATAAAACAGTTTATTATTAAAACTTCCTTTATATGAAGCAATCGATAATTTCTTTGATTTTGATGTTAAATCTCCGACTTCACAGCGAAACTGATTATCAGAATTACATAAAGAATTGTAAGTTCGTCCCATTCCTACATTAAATGGATTAAAGTGAGGACCGGCACTATCACACCGTCGACTCCAGTTATAAAAATCTCTTCCATGAGTATTGGTATGTATGTGCCAACTATGACCGACTGTATTATTAACCGTACCATCAGAATAGCTAAGTTCTGCAAAAACAGTTGTTTCACTCAATGGGTTATCTTTTAACTGTCGAAATATAACGTATCCAACAATAGGATATACAAAAGTAGCCATAGCTGTGACCATTTCATTATGATAACCAATGTTACAACATATCCAACGATCACCATTTCCTTTATGTATTACTACTGAACGACCTATAATACTATTTATACCAAAAAGTGGTAGATTTAGATCAACAAAAACAGCTAAATATATATCTGAATTTGGATCTTCATTTAAAGGTCCATATTTGCCACTCAAGTCTCCCACTTCATACATATCATTAGTACCGATAGCAGGAAGTGGACCACTGTTAGAGTCAATAGCAAATGGATTGAAATGGGGACCAACAGCTTGAGCTGAGCATACATTATCATGTTTTGATAGTTGTGACGGTAATGGGAACTGATGAATGTGATACCATTTTGCTCGTCCTCGTAAATTTGTTAAATTGATTTTAACAATTGTTGGATCAGTTCGATAACTCTGACTGAAAAGTATGGATCCTTTGACGCCATCCATAGAAATACTAGCTTTTACTTGTCTGGTCTCCAAAGGTTGCAATTTTGCACAAGACATCACACGTTTGGCACTATTTTTGTCATAAATTGTAACATAAAGTCCACGACTAGATTCAAGATAAGAAAGTGGAAAATTCATATCAATTGATAACTTCTTTGAGTATCTATTATTATTAGATCCAATGACAGCCATTCCATGTTTTCGCGTTAAATCTCCTATTTTACACAATTGATGATTACTTGTTGAACAGTTACTGTCGTTAGCATTATTTGGATCCAACAAAGTCTGTAAATAATCACATTTTCGATCGCGTTTTGTATCCAATATATCCGATACTAAGACTTTCCATTCATTTCTTGAATTTGATTTATATTCTTCTTCTATATTATATAGATTAGTAAATATAAGAGTTTCTTGTCTTTGGTTTTCTCTGAAGAGAACTGTTCCAGCAATGGTTTCAGTAAATGTTGCCAATGCAGACTTGACAATACCATCAGTAAAAACGTTGGAACAAGTTCGGTGATCACTATTATTCATGTTTCTTAATGATACTGATTTCCCCCAAATACTTTTGACACCATAAAGCGTAATATGCGAGTCAGTAAAAGTTTGGATATCATTATTAATATGAGATATACTAATAGATCCGTGTCTTCGAGTCATGTCGTGCTCTGTTTTGCCGACTTCTGATGCTGAACATGGGTTCTTCGAGTCATAAAATACAGGCAATTCGTTGATAAGCCATTCAAAGAGTTGATTGTTACCATCGTTATTGGCATTACTTAAGTAGATGCCGATAGAGACGATATCGGACTCAGTTTGTTGTCTGAATGTTATGTTTCCCCGAATACCACCCGAATTGAAGAGCGCATACAACTCAACAGTAATTACAACTATTAAAACAATTTATTAATTATTATATTTATTAACTGTTAATAGTGTAATCATTAGTGTATTTTATATTAATTTTGTTTCAATCATAATTTTTTTAATACTATATAATGTTTTAATAAATTTTATTTTTAATTACTATGTTTTACTATATTTTATATTAAAACTTACCTGGAATAATTAATAAATAAATAAAAAATGCCGATATTATAGACTTAAAAATTAAACACATGATTTATTAATTTAAGTATTACACATATTAGCCTTTTATGATAATGTTTTAGTATGAAATGTTAAATATGAAATGTTATCTTATGAAATATTTATAGTCATTTTCTAAAGATAATACCAATTAATTCAAATCTAACTAATTATATATTAATTGAACTTAAATTAACTGTTAAGCATTACATCAAAAATGAATATATTTTAATTATGTTTTAAATGGTGGTTCAATGTTAACAATTTTGAAAACCGGTTATAAATATCCTAAATATACAAAACTTGATTTATTTAATGTTTTTATTTCATAGGGGAACAACTTTTCACTTTTAGCCTAAATTAATAAAAACATTTGTATTGTGTCTATGAGATGACCAATAATACTCTATAGACTTAACTAATTGTATATATTTAATATTAATAACACATTTTGTTATATTATTAATATAATTTATGATAAATTCTTATTGTATTAATATATTGTTTTATATAATTCAAAAGTATTTAACTATAAAATCGGAGACATAAGTGCTTGACACGGTTTTTTGTCTTTTATAACTTTTAAATTTATAAATTTAAATTAATAACAAATTTTGAGGTATTATAGAATAGTCAAGCATTTTACTTAAAAGTGGTTAATAGACTAAATAGTCTATAATATACTATTGAATATAATAGACTATATATAAAATAACAATAATCGATTAATTACACGGCAAAGTACCATGGCACTATTATTTTAAACCACATCTACATTTTACAATTTTTACTTTATGTATTTTTTATTCAATTTTAAATAATTTAAGCAAGTTTTTTTTTTATTATAAACAGTACTATAATCAGTATAGAATGGGATAAAATGACAAAAATAAATTTTTGGGGGTATTATGTGAGTGTAAACTTTTTTAACTACTGTACTATTTTTCCTAAATTTTTCAGAATCGAGAGGGGAGTGAACTAAAATTTCCTATAAATTTCCTTAGTATAAGTATCAAATATTTTTACTATAATTTAAAATATATAATAATTGATATAATAATAAAAATAATCAAATATATTAACTGTTAAAATTTTGTTACAAATATATTATATTTAAATAAAATATAGTAAGTTTTGATTACTTTTTTGGTTATTTTTTGGTTACTTTTTTGATTGACATAATTGTTTAATTGATACCTAATTCTTTATAATCTCTAACCACTGATCAGTATTGATCATCACATATACACTGGTTTTTTAGATACCAGTGCTGTAAGCGTTACGGGAGCGGTATGGGGTGAGTGGACATGTGTTATAGTGTTTAAATATTGAAAATAATTGAATGACTGTTTTAAAAATTATATTAAAATTATGTTGTCAAAGTTAGATATATATAATTTTCTTTTTTTTCTTTTTTTCAATTATTCAATTCAAATATTTTCAATTTTAATCAAAATTACATTCATAGCTTTTTTGGTTTATACTTCAATTTAAACAAATTGCATATTTCAGTAACAATTACTATAAATTATATTACTGTGTATAACATCTATTTGTAATAAAAATATACTATAATAGAGTATAATGTAATATTACCGGTAATCTTATAAATTTAATAATTTTTAAAAACTGTGAAATATTTATTAATAATTTTGTTCAATAAATAAATTCTTCATATCATACAGTTTAAGATTAGTTTAATCAATCAATCTATTAGTTTATTAATAAATTACTAATAAAACACTAAATAATATAAAAATTATATTAAGATTATTAAACTATTAATAAAATTTAAAAAATGAATTCATTAACTAAAATATTTTCCATTTCTAAGAACTTTGGTATTACTCGAAGTATCCATTTGTTGTAAACTCATAGCTATCTCTTCATCATTTGCTGTCTCTATCAGTATTTTTTGTCTCATTTCTTCAAACATCTGATCTTCAGAGAGAAGTGTTTGGATAAGTCTTTGAGTTTCTTCTTCTTCTTTTAAAATTCGTTGACTTTCCTAAATATATGACAAAAATTAGATAAAAAGCATTTAATATAAAATGAATTAATTTATAAATACCTGTTTCATAAATTCTTCATATTCTTGATGTACTTCTCCTTGTGATGAAATGACTCTATGAACAGATCTGTATTCAAACAACTGGTTTTCAGAAGTATCAATGTCTTGATTACAACAAACTTTGAGAGAAACCAAATGAGGATATTTGGCTTGAATTACATTCCTATAAAAGTACAGTAAATATAAAATACTGAAAATGTTTTAATTGTTATTTGATTGATTAAATTGATTGATATTTGAAACCATTTTTGCCAATCAATTAGATTGTCATCGTTTTTGGCCTTTCGAGCCCAACAACTGATTCTAGACCTACAAAATGGACACAAGAGGTTAACCATTTCGATGCTCTTCTTAAAACAATCTAAACACATGTGATGACCGCACGGAAGCTAATAATAACAATAATTAATTGTTTATCAATAATATTTAATACTGTATTTGACACTAACAGTGACCGGATATCTCATGATTGCAATACAAATGGCACACATGAGGTGGTCATCATCTTCAGACATCTCAACATAAGATTCAATGTTTGCTGAAGATTGACTCATTGAAGATAACTATTAGTTTTAACAGATATTTAAAGATTATAATTAAAATTATAAGACATTTGTAGACAAATTGAATTCCAACTTTTAATAACTCGTTTAAAAATTGCAATATTCAGTACTGTATTGTAATGTATATTACGTTACAGTTTGACATTCAATCAAAGATAACTATCGCTTACAATACGTGTAAAACTAATTATTAATAAATTCCAAACTTTATATCGTTTATTAATTAATTGTATTTATATTTACTATAATTATTTAATTATAATATTTTAAAATTTATACAAATAGTTATATTAAAACAGTATCACAAATGTTATGCAAAAAATATTTAGTTTTATGTATTGTTGTAATATATGATGATTTAAGTAATGATATCAATGTTATAGTTCTTGTTTAGTGTATTTATGGCTAAACTTTCCATAATATGGTTTGTTTTCAATCGTCACTTCTTCACACAACTCTTGTTCAATGAAGAAGTCCTTTGCATCCCAGGCTTGAGTGCCGTCTTTGAACATAAAGATAGCTCTGTTGTCGGCAATTATGAAGCGTTCGGCTATAATATGGCTATTTTGAAGACTCGTTTGCCATAAAGCTGTTACACGTTCTGTCTCTTCACGTGAAGAATCTCCTCTGACGGTAACGAAAGTCATTAAAGTTTTTCCTTTTTTGCTTATTTTAAGCAAACTCTCAGGATTTGAAAGATCGGCTGAAGACATGTCCAGTTTGGGTGCTTCGCGAAGATGTTCAGGCAATTCATCGTTTTCTAATAGTTCTTCATCTTCTTCCCATTGATCATAAAGCCGTTCAATATCTGCATCATTATAATCACGAATGTCTTTCTTCGCCCAATCGGGTTTTGAACCATCTCTTGATTTCTTGCACATCACTGAACGCATCGACAGTAAAAAACAACAAAATACTAAATATTTAACTAACATTGTTGTCATCAACTGGTCATCAACTGGTCATTAATTGTCAATCAAATAGTAGACAATAACTACATTAATCGACAAATGAAGAGTAGATTATCACTGATTGTCTTCAATGTAAGCATTTGTTGGACTTATGCGACACCTATTGATTAATGAGTAAATGATATCATATATTAAATATATTAAAGTATTATTTAAATAATAAATTTAATTGTCATATATTGTGATAATTATTACCGTAAGTGATGTACATTTGGATGAAAGTAGTGATCAATTAATATTTGAGACCAAATGGCCGGTTGTTTTTGGCAGAGCTCTCACTTGTAAGTCATGTAATGTCTGTATTTGTAGACAAATAACAATTGTATTAAATTGTCAATCAGTCAACAATGGCTATTAACACGACAGGATCTAATGAGAGAAAGACATCAAGACTTACAAATATTGTCTGACGAGGAATATTTAAAATTAATGATTTTTTTCGCTAATTGTAAGCATTGTTGACATTAAGTGTTATTGTAAATGAATTAATAGATTAATTGATTGGATTAGTGATACAAGCGTTGGGAGAACAGCTTAAAGTTAAGCAACAAGTCGTGGCCACAGCTATTGTCTACTTTAAAAGATTTTATGTCAGAAATTCATTGAAAAGCATTGATCCGTTGTTGATGTCACCCACTTGTGTTTTCTTGGCCTCAAAAGTTGAAGAGTTCGGTGTTATATCTAATAACAGACTTATCTCGACGTGTCAATCAGTTGGTCAGTGATTGTGTCCATTTTAGATGACAATTACAGTAATAGTTATTTATGTATTTGTTTAACAGTTAAGAATAAGTTCTCTTATGCCTATCCGTCTGAGTTTCCGTATCGGATTAATCACGTTCTTGAATGTGAATTCTATCTCTTGGAAATGATGGTAATATTGATATATCATATAATGTTTTACTCATTACTCTTAATATTTACCGGTATATGACTTAATGACTTATATATATATATATATATCAATATATATAGGATTGTTGTCTGGTTTTATATCATCCTTACAGACCTTTATTACAATATCTTCACGATTGGAATAATAAGGAGACAATACTTCCCACTGCTTGGTATTGATTTGTTTTAATAGCAATCAATGTTTAATAAATTTATTTGATTTTTTCTTTTAAGGAATGTTGTTAATGATATATACCGTACAGGTATTATAAAATAATGTTACCGTAATTGTTAATATAAGGTTAATTAAATTGATGTTTATTAACAATATATAGATATATGTTTGTTATATGCCCCACATCAAATTGCATTAGGTATGTATCAAAAACTATACAATACTATACAACAGTTATACAACAATTTGATATCTTTGATAATAGCATGTCTTCACATGGCATGTGTTATCACACAAAGAGATTACAAGCAATGGTTTGCTGACTTAAATACAGACTTAGATAAAGTAAGCTAATCATACAATTTACTTACAATAAGTTAATAAATAAAATTTACAATTACTATATATGCCACAGGTTTTGGAAATTACTCGACATATTCTCAACTTATATGAATTATGGAAGAATTTTGACGAGAAGAAGGAGATCCAGGCATTGTATATAATTATAGATAAACTGCAATGTATTTATTGTATTAATATTTATAATATTTATAGACTCAACAAAATGCCAAAACCCAAATGTCAACAAACGTCGAGGTAATCCATATTAATGTTTGTTTTAATTAAATTATGGCACACTTTCAATAAAAATTGTTTATTGCATTCAATACTCTGTCGATTTGATCAATAATTTGTGTGCCAACTGTTTTATAAAAAAATTATTTTACCTTTTGCTTAATAGGACATATCTTTATCATTAATGATAAGTTTTAAATTACAACAAATTAAATATTGTTAGCAAATTATGTAAACAATACATAATATTGTCTTAACTAACATAGTATTGCATGCGATTATATCTAAATTGTTAACAAGGGATACAATTATATCATAAATATAGTTGCAATCATTTTTGTAATGTTTTTCCCTAAATAATTGATATAATTTACATATAGTTGCGGTCATTTATTTTTTAAATAACTAAAATAAGATCAATTATTGTAAAAGTGCTAGTTTTATATCAAATATTATTTATATATATCTATGATTATAAACCTAACACTAAGTTTGGTAATACTATTAAGAGACCGAACAATAATTGATATAATAGTTGCAAATATTGCAATCTATATATATTCAGAAATGACATATCATTACATTCAAAACTAAAGACTTAAGTGATGAACAACTATCTTATGGACAACAAGAGGGAACAGATATTAGAAAAGATCAAAGAAGTAATTGTCACCATTGCTGGTGATAACCACATAATTAATTTACAGTACTTTTTGTTTAAATAAAATTTGTTTTAATTACTATAATTGAGTTATTATTACATACAACTATTGTATGTCTACAGTAGTATAAGTGCATCAATTTTGCTTAAATTTTTAATACAATTGCATGCAATAATGTTAGTTAAGTCAGTAATATCTAAAATTTATACAAATAATAAAACTGACGGATCAATTGTTTTAAAAAACTAATCAATAGATATTTATAAAAACAATGTCAAGAGGAAGACAAAAGAGTTGATTTGTTATAGAAATTATAAAATGAATATTATTTTCAAAAATATAATTCAATTCAAATTAAAGATAATCAAATTGTTAATACAATATACCGTTATTGGATGTCCTATTAAGTGATAGATAGAGTACTAATTTAATACATTCATCTGATTAATAAATTTTTCCTAATCGTAGGCCCCCTTCACAGGGAGGGGTTCCATCAGAAGGTCAGTCGAGTCAACAACAAAGCAATCAAAATACATCGACTGCTTCCTCGTCTGGTTTATCACAAACTACTAACTAATGACTACATATTAAATCATTTGTAATCATAAGAAACTTAAATTATATAAACAAATCATATAAACCATTCATTTATTTATTAAAGAAGTGATACAATAGTTATTTCGATTCATCTTTCACTTCCTTCTTTCCACCCCTAATACGACCGGTACGTCGGGCAGCTATCAAACCGACCTTTCGTCCAGCACTGGCATCGCGTCTAACTGTAGACGCGTGACCAATATGTTGATGATTACCGCCGCCGTGTGGATGTTCAACTGGATTCATAGCCACACCTCTAACCTTTGGCCAACAGTTCCTCTTTGCCTTATACTTGTGATAAGCGCGACCAGCTTTTAGAATAGGCTTATCAATTCTTCCTCCGCCAGCAATAATACCAACCATTGCCCGATTGGCTGACGGCACCACTTTCTTTGCACCCGATGGCAACTTAACTCGAGTTTTCTGTAAGACATATTAGTATAAGTTATTATAACTTATTAATATATAGATAGTATTTGTTATACCTTAGTGTCGGGATTGTGTGAAATGACAGTTGCGTAGTCACCTGAAGCCCGTGCAATGCGTCCCCTATCGCCTGACTTTTCCTCCAAATTGCAGACAACAGTTCCCTCAGGCATAGTACCAACCGGTAAAACATTACCGATTTGTAGTGTAGCTTTACGACCACAATAGACGAACTGTCCCGTATACATGCCCTCCGCTGCCAAAAACAGCTCTTTCCTTAATTTGTATTTATAGGGATCGCGAAACACCACCTGTGCTAATGGGGCACCTCTTCCCGGGTCGTGAATGATCTCCTGTAAAACAATTGTTAACATATAATATAATTCATCAATAAATCAGAAACAGTTTCTGAGATATCCATCATTTAATGGTAAATCTGATAATCAGATTATCACTCAATACATCATGTGGTCCAACACTAACCCGAATCACTCCTTTGATATAACCATGTCTTTCGGCGAAATCAATGGCCCTGAGCTTAGGTGCGCCCTTCCGGTGCTTGTTATGGCTCTTAAACACAGAACCGGCGCCTTTACGTTGGGATCTAATCACTCGACCCATTGATTATAATTAACTAATTATAACTATTAAACACACTATTAGTTTAACAGTTTTAAGTTATAACACAAAAACAGGAAAAGGAAATCAATTCAATTCAATACATATTAATGTATATAATATACATAATATACAGTCAACACAATATATATGAACGACACATATTATACGTCCAAACAATCAATTATTTCAAATACATTTGTAATCATTGTTTTTTGTTTTTATTACAATTATATTTAATTAATTTTGATTATAGACTATAAAAATAGTTTTTTTACTAATTTTTGTAATTATTAAATAAAAATAGATATTAAAATGTAATAACAGGTATTAAACTGTATTTATTGTTTGATATTAATATTGTTTGAATGTAACAGTATTTGTGAGTTTGAAATACTATATAATGAATGTATGACTGTATGTATGACTGTATGTATGAATGTGTGATAATATATGAAATGTTTGCCATTTTGTTGTATTAATACATGTTTTATACGTTGAGTAAGACTTAGTGAGTGATAGTTTTGAATTGAATTTTGTTAACAATTAATTAATTTGTAATACAATTGATGAACAATACTATGAGTTATCGACAAAATGGTTCACAAGTGGGTATCGATCAGCAGGTATTGTCTTATTGTCTTAATATCATTATTATCATCAAACATAACATGACTTTATCATAGTTTGCTGGTCTCGACCTAAACTCTGGAGACACTTCAGGCAAATACATTCCGCCACATCTGCGAAACATTCGTAACAATTCATACCAAACTACTGATCATCAAAGAGACGATTATCAGTCACAACAGGAACAACAACAACAACAACAATCACGAAATTCATATCGTGGCCGAAGTTTGTCTTAATTGTCAATTGATTAGACCATTTGGTTACTTAACAAATCATTTTTTACAGACAGTGGAAACCGTGGTTCGCGTTACAATTCATCTGCAAATAGTGGTTACGATAGAGGAAACAATCAGTTCTCAAGTATTAAATGACATTTATAGGCGACAACAGCTCAATATGACTATAATGTGATTTATGATATCCATTAGGTTCTGGTGGTTATAGAGAGGATCGTTCTGTTAATTATCAAAGAACAGGCAAAACTAGTACTGAATCGAGCCGTGGCTTTGGTCCCAACTCTGACTGTAATTGGAGAGATCCGGACGCACCCAAAGTTGATTCGGAGCGCTCTGACAATTACAGGCCATCCCGTAATCGATTTGATAACGACCGGTATTATGACGATTGGAGTATTCCTCTGGATAGGAACGAAGCGCAAGAGCGCCATCTGTTCTCGACCGGACACACAGGCATTAACTTTGATAAATACGAAGACATTCCGGTCGAAGCCACAGGACATAACAGTCCCCTTCATATCGATTCATTTGATGATTCAAATTTAAGACTTACCTCTATTATTGAACAAAATGTCAAATTGGCTAAATATACGACACCAACACCGGTACAAAAGTATGCCATACCTATCATATTAGCAAAACGTGATTTGATGGCCTGCGCACAGACTGGCTCAGGAAAGACGGCTGCTTTTCTCTTACCAATTCTCAACCAAATCTTTGAGAACGGGCGCCCTAAGAGTTTTCCATCTGTACGTCCCGGAGCCAAAGTAAAACAATACCCGTTAGCTCTCATACTATCGCCTACAAGAGAATTGGCTCTTCAAATATATGAAGAGGCCTGTAAGTTTGCTTACAGGTCTAGAGTTAGACCATGTGTTGTTTATGGCGGTGCAGATCCTGTACAACAAATGAAAGATTTAGACAGAGGATGTCAATTGCTTGTTGCCACACCAGGTTTGATATATTTATTTTATTATAATTGCTTGTTATTTATATAGTTTTTTTTTTATAAACAGGTCGTTTAGTTGATATGACAGAGAGAGGTAAAATAAGTCTGGAAATGGTTAGATACCTGGTGTTGGATGAGGCCGATCGTATGTTGGATATGGGATTTGAACCACAAATACGCAGAATAGTATTGGAAGACAATATGCCGCCCACTGGAGTTCGGCAGACACTTATGTTTTCGGCAACTTTTCCTAAAAAAGTTCAAGAGTTAGCCCGAAATTTTTTGGATAATTATATATTTTTAGCCGTTGGAAGAGTCGGAAGTACTTCAGAAAATATTACACAAAAGATTGTTTGGGTCGAAGAAAATGACAAAAAGTCATTCTTATTAGATTTGTTGAATGCCGCCGGACTTAAGGCAAACAATCCACGTAAGCTTTTTTTAATTAATTTTACAGTTAATTTGGTTTATAAACATGTGATGAATTTTCTAGACACTTGAAACCTGATTTTTTTGAGGAATTTATTGAAATCTGATTTAATTAAATTGTTTTAAATGAATGAAAGTATAGTAAATATAAGTAAAGTTTAATTAACTTAATTGTTTTAATTACAGCTCCCGATTCATTAACATTGGTATTTGTTGAGACTAAGAAAGGCGCCGATTCTTTAGAGACATTTCTCGAACGGGATGGTTATCCCGTGACTAGTATTCATGGCGATCGTTCTCAACGAGAACGTGAAGATGCTCTCAATTCTTTCCGATCGGGTCGCGCACCAATTCTTGTGGCTACTGCTGTAGCAGCTCGTGGTCTTGATATTCCTAATGTCAAACATGTCATCAATTTTGATTTACCGACTGATATTGAAGAGTATGTCCATAGAATTGGCAGAACTGGTAGAGTTGGCAATTTAGGATTAGCCACTTCTTTCTTTAATGATAAGAATAAGAACATGGCTATAGATCTGTGCGAATTGGTTAGTGAAACCAAACAAGAGGTACCACATTGGCTTCAAGCCGTTAGTAAAGAAGTTCAAAGTGAACAGCGCTCTAACAATCAACGCAAATATGGAAATACAACAAAAAGGTATTTTATAAATGAAAATATATTGTTATATATTTGACTAATAATTATTGCTAAATAGCAGATACGGTTCCGGAGGGTTTGGTTCACGTGATTATCGACAGTTCAACGATCGATCGAATAATCAACGAAACCCTTCAAACATGAGACCACCAAATGGTCCAAACTATGGAAATTCGGGACAAAATGATTCGCGATATAACTACGGGAATTCAGGTATGAATATGGCCCGCAATGGATCATATGGTGGAAATTATAGTTCAAGTTCTGCTGCTCCTGACTGGTGGGGCAACTGATCCATATGTCATCATTAGTTAAGACAGTCATTCTAAAGATAATTGATTTAAATTGGAGTTGAGGTCACATTAATATTATTTAAAAGTCGACTCATTCCATATTGAATCTCAAATTAATTTATATTGATTTTACGCTAATTGTATTTTTAACCAATGACTGTCTCAGTGATTATTATAATATAAATATGAAAATATGGTTTAGTATTTATAAATGTCAAGTAAAATATTAACCTTGATGATTTTATTAAATATGTATCACTTAATTTATCATGATATTATTTGTATCGTTTTCCACAAACAAACGATTTTCTTACATATAAACCAAACCATTTTCTTACATAATATATAATTCTATAATTTTACACATTTTATTTAAAATTGACTACAAATAACAAAAGGGCTCATAATTATTAATACTGTATTATTATTATTATTATTATTATAAAACTTTTGTAGTTAGATATGTCATCCCTTTACTTAAATAATATTGTTTTGAAACTATTATATCATATATAACTAAATTTAAAAGGGATGGCATTGAAGCAAAACAATTGATATGTATTATACCGTATAATAGTTTTATACTGTATTTACCAAAATATAAGTAACGAATCCAACAGATTGTTTATGAAGTGAGGACTCTATTGATAAAATGTTTTGCTTTTTAATTATAATTATTGTTGTCTTTACTGTAAATTATTGTATCGAAAGTATGGCATTCAATGTTCATATTGATACTAATATACAAATACAATGTGTATGTATGGCTGTACCAAATGTCAGCCCTGTCTTCAAAATTATATTATTTATTTGCAGAGACCTTTCCTTTTTAAAACAGTATATACTTTAGTTTACTCAATACACAACTTTCTCATCAAAATAATTAATTTATAATTTATGTCAAATATACAGTAATTAAAAACAATTTTTAACAGTTTATCAAAATTTAGTTATTAGTTAAATTATAATAAAATATTGAACAAATAGTTGACAAATGTTAGGTTTAATTGAAAAAACATAAACTATTAAAAGTTAATTTCAGACATTATATGAAAGGAAGCAAATGGTGTCAACACTTAAACATTTACTCCAATTTTGGTGCTTTACTGGCACTATAAGCAGTACTTTGCATTGTACTCATGTGAACCTAAATGTATAGATTGACATAAATCTCAAATTTTAAAACAATTTAACTATTTATTTGAATTAAACGAGAAATTTAATTAAAAATACAGAAATACAGTATTTATTGCATATTGAATGTTGTTTTAGACATTATTAACAATATGAATACTGTATAAGTGTTAGTGAAGTCACATATTTGACTGATTGTCCACATAATAACTCTATTGTGAGTTCAAGCCGTTTATTTGTATAATATTTCTATCAATAATTATCAGTCAATTATAATAGTGATATCATATCACGAATAATACAATAAGTTATCCCATTAATTAGCAGATAAATTGATTCATTAAATAAAAATGTAAATAACTATTTTATTGACAGCTTTATAATATTTTTAAATTATCCATTGACAATGATATAAGTTATAATTAATAAATGTATTAACAAATTTACATACCTAAAGGTGTAATTACTGTAATCAATATATATATATATGTATATTATATAATAATATAATATATAAATCATATATTGATTTAAATAGAAATATTAAAGTGTATTATACAGTATCAAAGCATTATTGTATGATAAAAGTAGATTAAATTGAATGCTAATTAGTGTGCCTTATATTAAACAATATTGTTGACAATGATATCAACTAATAGATCTATAAATATAAGATGTGATGATTTGTTAGCCGACTATTGAGTAATGGCTTTGGACCACAAATAGGGTAAATAATAGTTAGTAAAGAAGTGCTCATTCAATATGTGATAATTGAGATTATTTGAGGATATGTTATATACATATAAGGTGTTAACAATGTAACCAAAGACACGGTGACCATCAAAACCGATTGATTGCCATCCCATCCAATCTCTAGTCACAAACCTGTGAACGCATTTTCTTTACATTATATATATATATATATTTAATACATATTATATATATATATATATAACTCTTTCGAGAGGTCTCTGCTTTATGACATTTGTTATCAAATGAAATGATAATTTTATATTTAAATTATTTTTAGTTTATACTTATAATAAGAGTGCAGCCTTTTATATAAATTGCTAACTTTGTATTACAGAATGCCATTACAAATTTCTATTATAATTATTATATTTATTTTCTGTATTTATTAACTTAAAAAATAAACGATTGTTTTTAATATTTTAAAGTTTTTACATTATTATTAAATGAAACTGAATGGCAACTCGTATACTGTACAACATATATATACACTCTTGGACAAAACAATCTGTGAAAGGTTTGATACCTATTATCTTAAAAACTACTGGATCAATTTTGATACAGTTTATGGTAAAGGTAGAGTATATAATCTAGTTTATATAAAATTACTAAAATTGTTCAAAAATAATATAACTAATTTTTAAAAATTAATTAAAAAATGACAAAATGTATGGAAGCGACCCTTAACGCTGGTAACGATGTTAATGTAAAACACAAAACTTTTCAGTTATATTATTATAACTTTTAAATGACTAATTTTTAAAAATTAATATTTATCATATGAAATCTTGATTATATACTCTACATTTACGACTAAACTGTATCAAAATTGATCAAGTAGTTTTTAAGATAATAGGTATCAAACCTTTCACAGATTGTTTTGTCCAATAGTGTATATACTAAACACAGTATAATACCCAATACGGTAGATATACTATATATATATATATATATATATATTATATAGCGTTAAAATGGTCTCAACCATCAACTAATCCATAGACAAGTCTACTATTGACTACAAAGGGGAGAAAGTTATCGCTAACAAAGAAACCAAATATTATATATAAAATTAAAACAATATATATTATAACTATAACTTTGATCTTATATGAAATAATAAGGAATTATAAGATTTATGTTTATCAATAATTTCAATAGTTATACATTGAAATACAATAAAATAATTATTTGAGTCATTCATTGTCAATGAGATTAATGTGCAGACATTGTGTCATTTGAGGCAAAATGATTGATATATTAAATAACAAAACGTATAGAAAATAAAAATTCAGTTGTTTTATAATAATATTTATTTTAAATTCAATTAGTTATATAATATTTGGCACAATCAATAAAATAATAATATAATATAAACTATAATCATAATTTAATGGTTTGAATACTTAAAATATTTTTGATATAATCATTGTATACAACAAAGTCTTGAACATTATCGTCATCAACATCTTCATCGACGACAAAGTGTGTGATATTAGTATTTTGTAAGTTATGACTGACTAATGATGTAATTTCAATATTAGGATGTTTTCCTATCATCTCATCTCTGCTAATACGGGCCTTCTTTAACACGTCTGATAATCGCATGTATTGTTTGCTACTATAAGTTATGTATTAATATAATAAGTATGTGTTAATACAACTTATGCAACAATCAAGTCTAAAATGGCTTAAATAGTTTATAATAAGTATATATATATATATATATACAGTATATTCTGTAATCATTTTAGATATATATTTCCTGTAATTATTTATCCATCAGATAATCATCAATGAATTGAGATTTCCATATTTAAAGTTATATCAAATACTTACTCTTTTGAATGACGCAAACGATAAATAGCATCCAAAGGACAGTCACTGACTTCAAACAGGAAGTCATATGACTCGTCATCATCTGAAGGCAAGTCTTCAAATAAATTGTAAGCCATTTGCTTGTCTATACATTAATTGTAATAATAGTCAATGAGGTGATAACAGCTGACAAGTAATACCTGATAATTGCAAAGTTGATCCAAATTTCCACTGTAAACCACACATACCATTGCCATGTCGTAACTGATCATCACTTGATATGTCATCGAGAAAACCTTTAAAAGATAAACATTATTGTAAATTATGTTTAATACTTGATTTATATATGAGACCAGTGAGGAATGTGGTCATAGCCTTAGAGCGCGCCAACTGTAATGGTGTGGCACCAGAATATGTCTGAAAATAGTAGATCAAGAAAGTCATACAAATATACAAATATATACGTTGATAACATGTAAGTCATACACTTATTTTAGGATCAGCTCCATAAGCGAGCAATAGCCTAACCACTTCTATATGATTGTTTTCAATGGCATCGTGAAGAGGTCTTAATATTAATTAGAATAAAATAATAAATTTCTACATTTGATTTGAATGAGTAGTTATATGAGACCTGATGCCACCGGTAGCACTGGCGTCCACATGCGCTCCGTTTCGCAACAATAGGGCCGCGACCTCGAGGTTACCGCGAGTGCAGCACTCGTGTAATGGGGTATAGTTAGCATTGTCTCTGGCATTGACATCACATGTAATGGACTGTAAACATGATATGACGACATCCTGGATATGATATGATAGGACACGGATATGAAACGTGATTACAAATGTATTTCAAGTATGCATACAAGTCTGTTAGATCGGGCGGCTCTATGGAGTAGTGTTTCGCCTAAAGCCTTGTTTACTATAAGGCGCTTCACTTCAGCTGTCGATGGAGTCGTTGATTCGCAGTTCTGTGCAAATGAAGAATCACTCATTTAAACCATTTTTGTCTTAATTATCGTCCCTTTCTATCGACTAAATAAGTTACGAGATATATACCCAATCGGCCCTTAATCTAAATACTCTATTGTTAAGCACTGTTACCCCTCATGATCTGCATTGCATACTATACTATTGATATTAGAATTAACATTAGGTCTGTCACTGAAAATCATATGTATTTGTATGCAGTTTTATAATAGTGTTGTTTAGTATTACTGTATATTCTATATATAAATACATATAATGTATTCTCTACATTAGGTTATCTGCTATATATATATATAGCGTATATACAGTATACTCAGTATATACTGTATATACGCTATGTATATATACGGCATATATAGTATGTATTTATCTGAGTTGAGAGGAATGGATGGTTTGTTGAAAGCATACAACAGCTGAACTCATTCTCACTATTGACTGATTCAAGTGATATACAGTGAGTCATACAGTTATACACGTATTTGTCATTTACATCTCCTACCGATTTATGCTGTCTCTCGTCGATTACCGAACCATTAGATCTATCGATTCGCTTATTTGAAGACATCGATGATATTATATTTGTTGCAATTTTTGGTTTTTTGCGTTTATAAGGGTTACGGATCATATCGAGACCCGATCGGAAACGACGGCGACGAACACTTACCAATGCCTTGAAATCACATTTATGTCATAATTATAGCAAAATATTAAATAATTATATAAATAATAAACCTTTTTCTGTTTGCATTCATTTTGTTGACCATTTGGTTCAATATTTTTATGTTTCAATTTAATCTTCTTTTGGTGACACTTGACATCCGATTGAGACTTATCTTCCATTACCTTCGAAAATGTCCTTTTCTTGTGTTTTTGTTTATCTTTAGATTGGGTTTCATCTGTTTTATTGTTGGAATGTATTGAATGTTGAGATAATTGATTTTCAAGACTTTCTTTACTATTCTTATGAGAATATGTTGTCGACTCTGTTATAAATTATTGTTTATTTCAAGCAATTTATATAAATTTTTAAAATATACCCAAATATTGTGCTCTTTTGCGGCTTTCAATAACAACTGATTCAATAGTTTTTTGATATTTATTGCTTTCATTTTCTAAATATTTATTTGATTGTTAAAAATTGAAAATTTTGGAAAATTATTAGAACTTACCGGACTCTGAATTGGAGTTATAATCAAGAGTTTCCTATTAATAAAAATACTTGAGTTAGTACTTAAAGCATACCAGTGCTAAACCAGCCTTACCTCTGAACGATCTTTTAGTCCCTTCTCTTGTTTGTTAACTTTTTCTTCGAAGTGTTTTATCGCCCGCTATATAACAGTCATAAAGTATTAAGCAATTTATTATACGCTATACTATTGTATTGTAAAGTATATTATTTTAAGCGAATACTAAACACAAATAAATTTTCTAAATAATTTGGACATCCATTTCTATTTTGGATATATAGCCTATACTACTGTATAATTAACATAATATACAATATTTTTTTTAATATGTAAAATACATAGATTTCGGGCCAATTCCCTTCCTCCTTTTATTTACCTAAAATTGCATATTTCCCAGTTCCCTGGGAATTCCCAAGAAATCTATTTTTATAGAATAAAATCTATTGAACACTAACCCACACATTTTATCATAATATTTGAAAAACCTTTGTTAATTGTATATTGAGTGGTATTGTTGAATAGTATCACTAAAATTTTGAATTTGTTTTTAAATATTTAAATAAAATTTTATGTTTAGTATTGAGTTTTAGTAAATTTTATTGTAATATTATAAGATATATTTACTTTATTTTCCGGGAAAATTGGAAGGATTTTATTTGGGAACTTCTCTTCTTGGAAAGTACACGATTTCTAATTATATAGTTTTAATTTATATTATATTTTTCAACAATTATTTTTGAGATTTTATATACATTATAGAATTTAGTGAATGATATAAATATTAACTTTTCTATAAATACCATAAAATAATATTCACATTATTATTAACTGAAAACATTGTGCAAAAACGTTTATTGTATGTAATTTTTAAATAATTAATTCTATGCTATTATTTTTCAAATATTATATTTAATTTATAAAAATAATTTAAGTTTCAAATCAATGTATTCTATATTTTAAAGTTAGTTTCAAATTAGGCGATCATTTGCTTTACATTCACAAACTCACTGCACTAGTAGTTAGTCAATGCTTTTCTTAATGTTTGTTACCATTTCATACCAAAGCATTCAACTATTAATAGATATGAATAAATTGTAAGTATTTTATAAATAATAATAATTTGGACCAAATTTAGTCATTTAAATATAAGAAACATAATAAATATAAGCTTAAGAATACAATTATTAAAAATAAAATTATTTGACAATTATAACAAAAATAAATAAATTTATAAAATATACAAAAATACAACACTTATTGACTTTGTATATAAAAAAACTATAATTTTCAATATTGAATTATAATTTATAAATATTACTTTATTTACTTAAATGTTGTTTTTTGATTATTATATATTTTAACTGTTGTTATAATCACATTTTAGTTTTCATTTAGTGTAAAAACAATAATTTAAAATTAAATCTATATTGATTATAAAACATTGTTTACTTTGGCGCTAAATTTTATTTGTATGGAAAATTGGTTATGTATTATACATTCTACAACATTCATTCATTGTATTATATTATATAATAAGCTTTGTCTAAAAATACTGTATTAAGTCTCTAACATTTTTACTAACATTTTTACTAATATTTATGCCATTTATTGCTAACAACTATAGCCTATGAGTCTATACACAAAAAAGAGACAATTTTTTGACAAAAATCATTTTCTGCAGTTTAGTATTTATTATTAAATACATTATGTATGATATGTAAACATGTGCTCAAATAAACCATAAATTATAATTTTTTGATTATTCATTTGCAAATTTTTAATTATTTTTTAAGTCATACTAAAAAAAGCAATTGTGGTAAATTGACTCTTAAATACACGGTGTAAATTATATACCGCAAAAAGTAAAACTTTAATTACTCGAAAAGTATTATAGATATTTAAATCAATCAAAGATAAAAATATTAAGGGATAGTTGCGGTTTATGAAAATAATTTTTAAAATTTTTTATCTTATTAAACAATAATAAATAAAACTATTCATTTAAAAAATGTAGTCAAAAATGGAAAAATTGACATAATTTATGGACTTTTTGTTACTTATTTATAGTTTTAAAAAATAATTTTATTACACTTTACTCACTATAAGAAATTAAGAGTAACAATATTTAAAATTTTAGCATAGTCAGATTTAATTAAAAATCGATTTTTAAAAAAAACTGCAATTCACATGTAAACAATAAAATCTGTAACTTTATTGTTTAGTAAGTTAAAATTTTAAAAAAATTATTTTCACAAACCGCAATTATCCCTTAATATTTCTATCTTTGATTAGTTTAAACATCTATAATACTTTTCGAGTAATTAAAGTTTTACTTTTTGCGGTATATAATTTACACTGTGTATATAAATTAACATTAAATAAGCTAGATAAGTTAACTGTATGAAACTTATTTTTCCAAAAAATATTTTATTTTCCAAATACGTTAGACAAGAAAGATTTAAATTATAAAAGTATAATGAAAGGTCCAAAACTCAAATATTAAACATAATTTTTTTAAATTAAAAAATGACTTAATTCAATAAATTCAGTTTACTATTCAAAAAATACCATTTAATCTACACATATATTGGCAAACATTATAATGAATTGTTGTGTTAGTACAGTATGGATGTTAAACAGTTGAACAAAAATATATAAATTATATGAAATTTTTGGAAATTAAGACCAACTTTAACTCTACTGTGGTTTAGAAAAAACTGTGATAAAAGCAAACTTTAATAAAATAGTTGAACTAGTTTTTAGAGAATAATGGAATGAAAAATCGAAAGACAATTAACAAACTTGTATTGTGTTTAATATATTTTAACTAATATTTATTTATTTTAATTAAATCCATGAAACTATTTGATTAATTTATAACAAATAAATTGTGAAATAAAATACTATTATATTATTTATAAATACATTAATTATGAAAAGATTTTCATTAATATCTTAAACTCTAAATAATTGCTTATTTGAAATAAATAGTTTTATTATTCAAAATCATATCCACGTCTGTAAATAATGTGAATTGAAATCTAATTTTAGATGTTATAAAAACCGAGTCTCAGTTCTTTGAAAATAAATTTTTATATTACTCTTCAGTTGTTTTCTGATATAGTCGACTCATTCAGTCATTATATAACTCACTCACTCACTCACTCTTCATTCAGTCATTATATAACTCACTCACTCACTCACTCTTCATTCAGTCATTATATAACTCACTCACTCACTCACTCTTCATTCAGTCATTATATAACTCACTCACTCACTCACTCTTCATTCAGTCATTATATAACTCACTCACTCACTCACTCACTCTTCATTCATTCAGTCACTCACTCACTCACTAACTCACTCACTCACTCTTCATTCAGTCATTCACTCACTCACTCACTGAGACGCACGCACTGAGAGACTCATTGACTGAATAAAGACTAGTTGTGTCAGTGGTTTGAATGTATTTTTTGGTTGAATCACAGCTTTAATAGAAAATTGTAGATAAGTTTGTCAATGAAAGCGATGGCGGATTGCATTGACTTAAAGTTAGATTAAAAGCACATAAATTGTATGAATATATGATTGGATGTCTTACCTGAAGAGCTCTCTCTTCTCTTCCAAGTTGTGATGGATCTGAAACAAAGAGGTCGTGTTGACCACTATTCTTCTTAATCTTGTCGGCCACATATCCATCAGAATTAATTAAACACTTAAGCATTGATCTCTTCTTATATTTTGAATTATTGCTATCATTATTGTCTAAAAGACAATCCATTGCATCATTTAGTTCTTGAGAAGATATTATGCTTGATGTTGAAGATGGCGATCGAGATCTACATTGCTTTCGATGGTTATTATGGTTGTGATTATGTTTTTGTTTACATTTCTTTTTCTTTTTAATCACTTTGATTGAACCATTTGAACAATTATTTAAATCACTAATAACTTTGTGTAATTTGTTTTTGAGTTGATTTGGTAATACAATTGGTGTCCAATCGGGTCCATCGCACTGAACTTCAACAGTTTTAGTCTCTTTTGTAACTTTTTTATCTTTTGTTAACACATTTTGATTTTTATTTAAGATTTTGAATTCCTTTAATTTGATGGCACTATTGTTTGTTGAATGTTGTTGTTGTTGATGATCAGTACATTGAGGAACAGCTTCTTGTTTAGTGTTATCGAGTATGGCTTGAATTCCATGATTTTTGCGATTGTTATGTTTTGAATCACTTGAGTTAAGTTGGTTTTGTTGACAAGTATTGGTTACTTGAGTTAATTTAACATTTTTCTCATTTAGAGATGGTTTACAACTATATTCACTATTTTTATCACATTTTGAACGATAACTTAATTGCAAATTCAATGATAAACTTTGCTTCACTTTGAAATCTTTGATTTGTATATCATTATTGTCAATGAAGTCATTATTGCAATCTTCATCAATTGTGATAACTTGAGGAATATAATTGTCTAGTTTGGTGTTTTGGTGATTGTCTAGTTTAGCATCTATTTTAGTGTCTAATTTAGTGTCATTATAATCCATTTTTGATGAACACTTAAATTTCCACAAATCACTATTAGTTGTTTCATTTGCAGCACATTTTATGTTAACAATTTGTGGCACTTTTTTCTCGAAATGTGATTTTAAGTCACAATTTGAGTTGTTTTGAGCACAAGAAATATCACTAAACTTTTGACTCTTGGTTTGATTGCACACATCTTTAGATTGTAATTTTGTTATATTATTATTATTATTATTACAACAATTACACATATTTGTCGATGACTGACCAGAAGTGGCCATTTGAGGACAACATAAAGAATTGCATTTGTTTTGATGTATACTATGGTCTCGAAGTCGTTGTAAATGTTCGGAGAAATGAGTTGTCGGTTCTGCCGGAGAATGCATTGATTGCATTGAAGCCAATGACCCGAAAATACTTTTATCCGTTTCAATGGGACGACGAGTTATGTCATTAAATAAATCCGTATATATAGGAAAGTGTGGAATAGTTGATCCAAATGAAGCCGTCAGATGTGGAGGAATAACTGGATTCATTGAATTGTGACCATAAAATGCTCTTTGGTTTGCGCTGTTTAAGGCCAGAGCTGCCGAAGCACTTCCTATTCTCATGTGATATGGAAGACCAGACACATCCACAGTGTATGGTGTGAGAGTAGAGGCACCCACTGCTGCCGCTTCCATAGCTAAAGAATCTCTGTTTTGTTGTAGAAGATCGGGTATTAGCCCTAAGTGACCAACACCCGAGTTGGATGATACCGGAGGACAATAAGGATTTGTCAATGTTTGACCAATTAAGGCATTGGTTGGACCCGTCATAGCACACGTGGATGAATCGCCTAAGTATGACTCATAGGCATATTGCTTATACATAGTGTCCAGAAGTGGCATTTGTTGCGTCAATGGTCTGTGAGAAATGCCAGCCATAGACAGCTTACGATCCATCAGTAGTTCGGGAGCCTCTGGTCTAATCGATTGTTTTACCGACAAATCTAGTGGATTGTCGACTCTATCCCTGAGCGAGTTATAAGGGCGGACACCCGCAAACAGATTGGGATAATACATGGCTGTCTTGGGTGCGGCCTTTAGCCGCAGGCAAACGAATGCTTGTTATGCATGTAATGGTCACCAAATTATAAAGCTTTCACTTCTGGCACAAAATAAATGTAAAATTTGAGACAATAATGCTTAAGAAGAAAATTATATAAATATAAGACAAACTATTGATTTGATTCATAGGAAACACAATATTCACTATTCGTTTGTTATAAAGTTTGAATGCATTCATGAAATGTACTTTTTATCACATCATCTGATTGTTTGAATACAACTTTTTCTCATTACTTCAATGACCACCACTTCTATCACTTTTATGTCAAAAATCAATCAAACTTAAGACGTTATAACTATTATAAATGTATATTTGATTGAATTTGTGATTAAATGAGATTTTTAGAAAATAATAAAACATTAGTAAAATAGTGATCATTGGTGTTGTTGTTGTTGTTGTTGTTGTGGATGGCATTCACTTTATGTATGTCTTAGGCATAGAAAGCAAAAGAGAGGAGAATATATGACAAAGAAGTTGTTCATTCAACGCATCGTCAGTATTGACGCTATGCTTATGTATTAACAGTTTTGACTGTAAGCCAAATATAGGGTCTCTTTAGTCGTTTGACGCCAACTGTGTTTCACCTCTTTTTGCTTCGCACTCACTCTACTACTACTACTACTACTACTACTACTAGTGCTTAGCTATGGTTTACATCGAGACGTGAATACCAGCAATACATCGACCGTAAAGCCAGTGTTGTGTACAGTAGTGCCGATTGTCTGTAGAAATCGATAAAATACAGACAAATGTATTGCACATACAATGATTGTAAAACTGGTGCTAAAGTCTGTTACGATTTGAACACATTTTGCTCTTCACTCAAATCAGACCATTGTTTTGACCAAAACTCTAATCAGACAACAGTTTAAACTTATTGTCCAAACACTCAACATATCATATCATAATTCATATTAACGGCATTTAAATGTTTAATAAGCGCTTAAACAGTGTCTATAAAGACTAATAGTTTGTAATAATAGTAAATATTATGGCAAACAATGTGTGTTTGAAATGCAAGTCATAAGCGCGACCAACATTTGCCATCAAATGACACATTAGACACTACAATAGTGGTCAGTCAGCGTGACGTTCAACCAATTAATATCATATAATTAATACTTTATTTTTGCTAATAATATCTGTGAAGACAAAAAACATACTCTATTTATGGTAACAAACCTTAAGGCACACCAGTCTTTGGTCACGAATCCAAAGACGCCTCAAATGAAAGTGAGATTCAAACCAAACACTGTTCTTTGCAAAGGTTTGGCAGATTATAGGAGACTCTCAAAGCTATCGGCAAACGTATAATAAAGTAGTAGTGCTGGAGGACAGACACTACAACACATTGCACTGACTGACTGACTGCACATTCAATGCATTCAAATGCTAGACTTGCTTTTGCCTCAATTTTTAGGCTCAAAATTATTAATATAACTGAGATCTGTGGCGGATCTGATTGTCGCCATTCATTGCTTACCTCTTATGTATAAATGTCCAGTTGAAGACATCAATTGGTCACTCGAGTCGATTTCTGGTCACTGAAGTGATGACCAAAAAAGCGCTGATAACTTGGATAAGGAGTCGTGTGAATCGTTGCGAACGACGGCTCCAAACAACTGACGACTTGAATGACTCGGAGTTGCAGTTATTTGAGAGGCATTTGTGTGAAGAGTCTGCGTACTCAACAACTGCCATACATTCACCCATTGATTGCAACTGAGATATCGGTTGTCGGGAACAAACCAATTCTTACGACTCAGGGATGTCAGCTTCAACTCACTAACACTACAACTCTGATGGGATCGTAAAACACATTTCAAAACCAGTATGTTTTATACCGTAATACGAGCACAAAGAGAGGAGAGGGAGAGAGAGGGAGAGAGAGAGAGAGAGAGAGGGAGAGAGAGAGAGACCAAATTACTGTATATATATATATATATATATATATACGCAAAGTATATTGAACGCCACTCCTGAACCTTAATAAGCACTTCTTAACAAATGCTTGATTCAGTGATTGTTTGGAAAATCTAATCCAAGATTCTAGTCATTGAATGTGATAAACATTTTACTAATTTTTATATCATTACTAAACAATAACTATACAATTAATTAATATTATTAACAGTTATAAGAAATTAATACAAAATAATTCTTAAATAATCTGTTGATGTTTTCTCAATCTTTTTCTTTCTTTTAATACAATTATAAGTCATTAAAACTTTTGTTAACATTTATTAAAATATATCGAATATTAATAAATTTCAATAAATATTAACAAAATTTCTAAATAACTGTTTGTATTATATTAATTATAGTTAATAACAATCATTAAAATTATCAATAAGTTTATATGAGATCAACTATGATATTGAAAATCAAGTCGTTTTCAATCAATAAGTTAATGCATTGTTCTATAACTTAGAGACACTTACAGTTAGATAACACTAACTTTCAATTCTACTAATACTAATGCATAGATAATACTGTACTATTCATACAAATATTCAAGTAATACATGATATAATATAAACAATACTATTTCTATTACTCTTAAATTTCTACAAATATAAGTTATATATTACATAACTTACAGTAGAAATATTACCAGATTTGAAATATAGTATTTAAATTCAAAGTATTGAAAAAGTTTTTTAAAATTATATATTTTTAATTATAAATCTAGATATCATACAATCTAGGTCAGCCCATAATCTATTAAAATATTCGGCTAAATCTATTGATAATTTGTTCACTATTTTTTAGCAAATTTCAAAAGTTATTAATCTATGTGTATGTGTGTCTGTTTGACGCTATATTTTGACATTTTTTAAATTATTACTTCAGATTTGGATAGAATATGAAAAAGTAAAATACAATTAATGAAAAAAATAATGTCTTTAATCCTCTTAATAAACATTTAAAATATGACATAATTTTTCAAAAATATTCGGATAAATTGTTGTTCGATTAAATTATTTATAATAAGTATATAAATAACAATTAAATATCCACTTTTTATAGAAGTTTATTCTGGCAATGCTTCTAACATTATCAACTCGTTATAAACAGTAGGTTTTCAAAAGTCTATGTTTACTTAAAAGATTGAATGAAATAAAATAATAAACAACACAAATACTGAAAAATATAATATAATAACACAATATATTATATATTAATTGTAAACCAAATAAAAAAGTGTAAATCAAGAATTATAATATAATTATTTTACAATAATTTTTTTAAAATAAGAATACAAATAAAACAATAAAATGCAAATCTAGTAATTATTCAAATTAAACTATAAATTATATTTTCAATAATATCTAATTTAAATTTTCAATTTTAAAACTAATATAGTTTACTTTTTATAAATATAAAATATATGTTTAATACGTTTCTTAAGTCTGAAATTTGTGTAAAATTTATGTAAAATTAGTAATTTAAAAAAAATTGTTTATCAATTATATATTTAAGTTAATATCTAAATGAATTATACTGTAATACTTTAGTTTTAATGTTTTTGTTTAATTCTGTAAGTTTTTTAAAAATGTTTACTTAAATTTACATTTTTTATTTACACATAATTTATAATTATTTATAATTTTTATAAATGTTAAAATAAATAATAACTAAAATTAAAGATTGTATTGTATTTACAAATATTATTTTTATGTAGTTTTTAAAATTCAATCTAATTTATCCTTTCGTTTTAATACTATTTATCGTCTCACTAATGATTATAAATAATTTTTAAATAATTTTTTTTCTTAAAACTTAAAAATCTAATTATTAATATATTTATTAATTTAAAATCAATTAAACATAGATAATAATAATAATCATAAATCAAGTTTTAAAAAATATAATTTATATTTTTATATACTGAAAATCTTTACAGTTTTATAATATTTTGTTTTAATTTAACTACAATTTAGAACTGTATTAGAAAACAATTAGAAAAATATGTTGTAAATTATAACAATTTGTCAAACAATCAATTGACTCCTATTTCTACGCTATTCTGTAATTTTCAAAAAAAAAATGAAAAGTTTCGTTTACTGAAATCTATTTGAGTTACACATAATTACGCCTTTTTTGAGTCTGTCTGTCTGTCTGTCTGTCTGTCTGTCTGTCTGTCTGTCTGTCTGTCTGTCTGTCTGTCTGTCTGTCTGTCTGTCTGTCTGTCTGTCTGTCTGTCTGTCTGTCTGTCTGTCTGTCTGTCTGTCTGTCTGTCTGTCTGTCTGTCTGTCTGTCTGTCTGTCTGTCTGTCTGTCTGTCTGTCTGTCTGTCTGTCTGTCTGTCTGTCTGTCTGTCTGTCTGTCTGTCTGTCTGTCTGTCTGTCTGTCTGTCTGTCTGTCTGTCTGTCTGTCTGTCTGTCTGTCTGTCTGTCTGTCTGTCTGTCTGTCTGTCTGTCTGTCTGTCTGTCTGTCTGTCTGTCTGTCTGTCTGTCTGTCTGTCTGTCTGTCTGTCTGTCTGTCTGTCTGTCTGTCTGTCTGTCTGTCTGTCTGTCTGTCTGTCTGTCTGTCTGTCTGTCTGTCTGTCTGTCTGTCTGTCTGTCTGTCTGTCTGTCTGTCTGTCTGTCTGTCTGTCTGTCTGTCTGTCTGTCTGTCTGTCTGTCTGTCTGTCTGTCTGTCTGTCTGTCTGTCTGTCTGTCTGTCTGTCTGTCTGTCTGTCTGTCTGTCTGTCTGTCTGTCTGTCTGTCTGTCTGTCTGTCTGTCTGTCTGTCTGTCTGTCTGTCTGTCTGTCTGTCTGTCTGTCTGTCTGTCTGTCTCTGTCTGTCTGTCTGTCTGTCTGTCTGTCTGTCTGTCTGTCTGTCTGTCTGTCTGTCTGTCTGTCTGTCTGTCTGTCTGTCTGTCTGTCTGTCTGTCTGTCTGTCTGTCTGTCTGTCTGTCTGTCTGTCTGTCTGTCTGTCTGTCTGTCTGTCTGTCTGTCTGTCTGTCTGTCTGTCTGTCTGTCTGTCTGTCTGTCTGTCTGTCTGTCTGTCTGTCTGTCTGTCTGTCTGTCTGTCTGTCTGTCTGTCTGTCTGTCTGTCTGTCTGTCTGTCTGTAGCATATTTTTTGATAATTTTGAAATTCTGACTTCAGATTCGGTTATATGACTACTAATAATGTATTGAAAAGTGTCTCTTCATGAAAATGGTCAAAATGGCGGATTACTGATAAATTTTCAAAAAATCATGTTTAATGTTTTATATACAAATATAAAACATTTCCTATGATGTATACACTAATATAAAGTACAAAATATAATAAACATTTACACATTACAATCATATCATTGTATTAATGCTTAAACTGATTACTGAGACATCTATAATAAATTTGTTAAAATTATCCAATATTTTGGTTTTGTTTTCAATGAAACAGTTTTAGATTTATGAGAAAATAAGGGAAATATCCGATAAACGTATTTTTTAATAAACCAAAAAATTGAAAATTGTTGATAAATCAGCCAAAAACAGATTTTTAATGTTTATATTCAGCATATAATCTACAATAAATGAAATTTTTTGAGATAATTTAGATATTTTTTGATAATTTTTTAAAATTGAAATTTTTAACTATATTTCGGGAAGTATTTGTCCAACTTTTGTTATAAATCATATAAATAAAGATAATTTATTATAAGAGTATATGTAATGTACATAATATGTAGGCAATACTGTACTACATATTGTATGTATAAGAGCTAAGACGCCTTTGCTATGACTTATCTGCACAACAATTGCTAGCTTTGAGTAGTGACCAGTGTTTGCAAAGTATGAATTTATTTGGAATGACTCTAACATTCACAGCAATACATGTATACTATGGCCACATGTCGTCATAAATATCAATCACTTTTCCAATACATGATGTGTTGAGAGAGAGAGAGAGCGCCAAAACATTGTTAACACTTTGAGATCAGTTTGAGTGATATATTAGTGACAATATGTCTCCCATTGCTGTCAACAAGTTTTATCAATCAACCAGAAGACGTATCAAATTGAAACAAAATAACAATAATAGCACTCAAGAGACAAACGGTTTCCCAATTGAAAGCCGATTATCACCTGCAGAGCAACAGATACTCATCAACGGAAAAGTGTCGACAAGTAATCAACGATTGAATAGTCTTTATATAACTTATTTCATATTTGTTTTACAGAATCACTCAAAAGAGTCAAACATAATCATCAATTGAATGTCAAAAATACGCCGATAAAAGTCAATATGAAGACATTGTATGACTATTATAGTCCAACAGAAGGGGATAAAGAAAATATTTGTCATAAAAGTGATGACAAAACCAATAAAAACAGCGACACTTCGTTTGTCATTAAAAACCAATTAAACATAACTCCTATTAAACTTGTGATAAATAATAACATCAAAGACGGTGATGAAGAACAAGAAACGGATTCTATTCCGACATTTTCCACACAAGAGATGAGACAAAGAGTGTCTATTTTTGATGAGAATACTCCAATCGGTTTAAAGAATTTAGTTAATACTTGTTATATGAATGCAATTATTCAGTCTTTGTTTGTTTTGAGGTTTTTTATCACAGATTTAGAGAATAAATACAAAGAATTGAATTCAGAAAAAGACTTAGAAATGACTCGAATTGTGTTAAATGTTTACAAACAATACAATCAAATGCGAGACAAATCAGACGATTGTCAACAACTGTTAAATGAAAGTTTGTTATCATTGAAGAGTTGTGTCGGCAAAAGATCCCACACTTTTCTGAGTCATTTACAACAAGACGCCGCAGAATTCTTCACTCATATCATTGATATTATTGCCGAAGAATTTGATGAAATGAAAAATTTAGATCCAATTGAACATAATTTTACTTTTGAAACATTGGGTTCGTTAACGTGTAAAACATGTCATAATAAGACTGAAATGCAAAACGAAAAGTTTCAGACTTTGTATTTGACGATTCCCGACAATCACTCACTTGAAACTGCTTTTAAAGAATATCTCAAAGATGAAACAACTCGACATAAATGTATAGCCAAAGACTGTTTGGCAAATGAAAACGTTTTAGAGAAATGTTTTGCCAAACTTTCCAAAGTATTGTTTATACAACTCGGAAGATATGATGAGGACGGAGACAAACGTAACGAACAGGTAATGGTTCCACAATTTATTCGTTTACCGCTCCATCACTCCAACAACAATTTAATAACTCCCTCACCATTGAGTACACCATACAAATCAAAGTTAGTCTAAAAAATATATTTAGATTTCAATCATTTTCATTACAAAACATTTGATTATAGATTTCATTTGATTTCAAACAACTCTAAAGTTGTTCGCAATTTGTTTAATGAAAATCAAGACAAGAGTTTAGACAACAAGACTGACACTGATTTACAAACTGGTGATTATGTCATCTACCAGTTGGTGGCAGTTATATGTCATCACGGAATCAGTTTATCAGTCGGACATTACACGTGTTTTGTATATAATAATCAAAATAATCAATGGTTTGAATGCGATGACAACGATATATATTTATCAGACTTTGATTTTGTCCAAAACAAGAGTCAAGAGACAGGCTATTGTTATATTTATGTCATTTCTTAATATCATAGAAAACCAAATTAATTTTAATCAAATGTTATTTTAAGAAATATATTATTTTATAGTAAAACTAAATATTTTAAAATAAAAGTTCATTAAAAAGCCATAGAGTAAGACACAAGTGTGCCGTCCATTGCTATTCATATGAAATGTTGACGTCATTTATGTGATGTTTATATAGTATTTAATATTAAATTTTAATAGAAATACAGAAAACTTAGAAATTGATTGATTTATTAATTGTTATTAATTGCAACTAAATTAACGTCAATTAAGACCTAATGGCCACTGTTTTGAGTAAGTAATGTATTAATGATAATAATGTCATTATAATAGTGGTTATATAGACGCAGTGTTGATGATATTGGCCATCGTTGCACAAGAGGTCAAATGTCAATCAAATTTGCATTTCGTTTATTTACCAAAATCCGTCAGATTTTCACCAAAATTAGATCCAATTAAGACTTCATCCATCGCTGATTTGCTTTCATTAACTCTGGGATACTCTTTGCCAAAGGTAAGAGATTGGGGATCAAATAGTAAACAATGTGAAGATTTGGGGGCGTTTACCACAAAGTAATCAATGAAATGATGATATTTTGTAGTCTTTGGATTGGAAATCATTTGATTCCATTACTGATGTCTTTTCATTACCGAAAGCTTGTCTAACCGTAAGACTTGTTGGTCAACACAACTTTGAATTTGACGGAACACAAGACATACCAATTGAAGAGGTGAACAATATTTGACACAAATTCTAATCAGTTCTAATCAATTAATCATTTTTCAGACACAAGAACTGATCACTCAATGGGATGTTTTTCGACAAAGAACTGAACAACGATTTTCATCTGAAAATAGAGTTATTCTGAGACTTGATTCACAAGAAGTAAATTTGAAATGAATTTCTTTTTCAATTGATTAACAATTTCTTGTTTAGATCTTAACTAACAATCAAATTGACAACAAATTCAATATTCTTTCAAACGATGAAAAACTGAATAAAGGTTTGAAAAGACTTGAATTACAAGAATTGTTGTCAAATGTCGATCAAAACGACAAGAATATAAAGTCTTTGGTTATTGAATTGGAAACAATTTATCAGTTCTTAGAAATGGTTTGAATTGTTTTGTTAATTCACTCATTGATTGATTGATTGATTGTTAATTATAATAACGTATATTAGGTTAATGGTATCCGACATAAGACATCATCATTTAGGGATTTGTATTGGTTTGACGTCAGATCATTTGCACCAATTTTAGACCACAATAAATACGATGAATCAGTTCGAAGAATTGCTCGAAATTTACTCAATTCTCTTATAGAAAAGGTTTACAAATTTATCTCTTAATTGAATTTCAATTTATTTTTATAATTTATTGAATTTAGATGACTCAAGATATAACACAATTATACAGTAATAAAGTTGTCGTAACTGTCATTGAAGATCGTTATCAATCACCGCATTTGATCCGAAATGTTCGGGCATCAGAAGACAAGGTTTGATTTGATTTTTTTTGTTAATTTTAAGTATTTTATCAAATTTGAGATAATATAAGACGATTTAGTTTATCTGGAATTGAATTAATAAATTATAGAAAGAGTGTCAACCAATAGATGGCAGTATTATTGCATTAAATGTATTAATAAGTATTATTGATAAATGTGTTAATGTTTCTGAAAATTAACATTTGTTTCTATTTGTTGTTCAGATTTTTAACTAATTAATACTTAATTACAATACAATAAATCAGTTTTTAACTGATTGTCAACTAATTTACAGTATTTTAATTAAATTTTATTTAAATTATTACAATTTGTCTGAATATTTTGTATTTGCCTCTAATAATAATTACTTTTAATTATGAAAATTTAAAAGTAAAACGAGTAATAATTTAAATATTAAATCATTTAAATTGTTTGCGATTAAAGACTAAATAACTTAAAATAATAAGATTTCTATTACAATGATTAGTGTTGTTAATTTTGTCAATTTTTGCTGCAATTGCGCGCATTGAGGGCATAAAAATGCTTATAAATTCTTAATTGTTTTCACATATATTTTCACTCATTTTTGTAGTATTTTAAGCAATGTTTTCAGACATTTAACAAATGTTTTGCAATTTAAATAATGTTAATTTAATAACAATAGATGGCGTTATGTTATAATTGCAATTACAGTAACAATGAAATTACGAATTTTGCAATCTTAACATCACTACATGTCTATAGGATAGACATTATTGAGAGATGTTTTAGTAATAACTTATAATAATTTTTTTACGATAACTTTATTATTTAATCATTTGTTAAATTTGAGTATTTTTTGTATACTTAGAAAAATAGTATTCGAAAAGTTATTAAAATATATTTATTTTAAAGTTTTATAGTTTTTAAGTCAGAATAGATAATCATTTTATTATTAATAAATCATTTTCTTTTACAATACATTAATAATCATATGATTTGTTATTTATATATAACTCAACAATTTGTAGCATTTTTTTATTATTAAAATTTAATTTATTGAAAACTATTGTATTAATGAAATACAATTATATTGAACTCAAAACGAAACTATAAAACGGTATAAAAAGCCGAAAATGTTTTGTCTTATAAAGAGATTTAGAGATTTAGTTGAATTGCAATTATTTGTTTTGATAATTAGTAAAACTGATTGTTTTAGTTATTTGTTATATATTTTAGTTATTGAGTCGTTATTTTGCATATAATTGAATGCATTTCAAGTGTTATTACTTGAAAAGTGCTGTAATAGTGCCTAAAATGACACAAATTATAGAGAGAGAGGAGAGGAAAGCAGTTTAGCATTTATTGATTGCCATAAAGTTGTGTTAGAAATGCATTAGAAAGACAGTCGTCTTTTGGTTAACAGTTATCCAAACAAGCGATCGATTAATATCTGAAACAATGTCAGAATTGCAAAACACGACAATCGATGGGACAGTAGTAGTGATGCAAATGGAAAGGAGGGGTACTTTGGGGGCATTTTGGGCGCATTTAATGGAAGATTGGTTTTCTAACACTTATGTTATCCATCAAAACCATTAGACAGTGATTGCCGACTATTAGATGCGCTGAGAGTGCACTCAATCTATGAGTAATGCATTTGAGTGATTGTTATGGTGTCAGGGATCAGATTCGCATCACTGATCATATCTATGACTTGTTTTGACACCGAAAACCATTCCTAAGATATGTTTTGCATTCAAAGACTGTTAATTGAATTGCTTTTCAAACACTATTGTCTCAAAGCCTTTGGGATCTATTGAATGACACTCTTTTGACAAACGAGTCTTCAGAGACCTAATAATGCCGTCTTTTTCTTCACAAACAGGATCTCAATTTGGCGCACGTTTTCGACCCGAACTTTCACTCGGCTTTCGCGACCATTGCTTTTACTACTATTCTGATAGCTGTGGCCGTATTTGGTATATCAGTGGCCATGTGGAACATTGATCCAGGCAAAGACTCCATCATCTACCGAATGACATCACAGAGGATTAAAAAGGATCAGTAGTCTTGTGGTTATCACTAGTCGTTTGGTCAGTCGTCTCATATTTATTCCAGAAGTTATGAATGTTTGCAATAAAACCAAAAAGTGATTCATTTGTTTCATTTTATTCGCCGCGTGCCTCCTCTCCCTTCCCTCCCTTTCCTCTCTCTCTCTCCCATTCCCTGAGCGCTGACTACATACTACTACTTGTCATCCCCTCTGCTCTTATTTTGATTGCTTTAAATGCAAAACTAATTAAATTTATTGACTCTTGTGTCAAAACAAAGACAGCAAAGAAGTCGGTAATAAAAAGAGATAATAATGTGGTATTGAATCCACAGAAGGAAACCATTAGACAAATTAAAAGAAGGAAACACTCAATAGAGTGGCTAATGATCTGTGAAAATGAAAGACGAAATTGATTTTTGAATTATTTTTAATTCAATTTCTAATGATTTCTACAAAAACTAAAACTAATCCGAGTTTAGGAACAAATATCGCATTTTATTTCATAATCCTAACGCCGCCGCATGTTTTTGAGCTTTTAATCTGAAAACAAAACCATAATTACCACAAAAGACCTAACAATTAGACCGAAATTCAGACCTGAGATCAGCTATTGACGAGTTCTTTGTGTTGAGTCGTTCTGAAGCCAAAAGTGCTGACAAAGAAAACGGTGGATACGGATGACTGACTCCCATTGGAACTCCAAAAAACGGCTGTTGAGAGGCGTGAGCCGCCACGGCTGCCGCGTAGTGATGGGCGGCCGTCAACAAGTCACTGTTGGCGCTCAGATACGGCATGTAATGCGAGGCGAGCGGTGCGGGCAAAGCGGCGGCAGAAAGTCGGTCGTGAGCGGAAGCGATGCGTGGAGTGGGCGAACTCGTGACGCTTATGTATGGAGCGATTCGCGAAGATTCGATGGGAATGGTTGTTGTGGTAGTGGTGGCCATCATTAGGTCTGAAAAGAGTTGCGATTAAAGGATTGTTGGTTTGATTGTGTGTTTACTCACTCTTCTGGATCTGCGATTCATGTTTTCGACATTTGGCTCTTCTGTTCTGAAACCAGACCTATATTTGGAAAGCATTTCATTTGAATCTCTCTTTTAATTAATTCAGTGTTAAGTAATTGGTTTTTATTGAATGGTATTATAAATAGACATAAAATGAATGAAAATCTCTTAACAATTATGTAAATTCTTTTGTGAATTAAATAAACATTTATTGCATTTTCAAATCAAATCAGACTTTTGTTATTTCGCTTCAATTTTTTTGATAACTTTTCAATCTTTTGAATCTTTTGATGGATTCTTTGCTCATTATTTAGACACAAATTTCATACGAATGAAGACATGATTTTTTCATTCAAACTCTCCTATAATTAGATTATTTACAAACGCGTGCCTCACCTGAACCCTGGCCTCAGATAAGCCTAACCGCTGAGAGAGTTCTTCTCGCATGAAGGCATCCGGATAATGTGTTTCGTCGAAGAGTCGTTCCAATTCGTTGAGTTGATCCAACGTGAAGTTGGTTCGACTTCTGCGTTGTTTTGCCGTTTTTCCAGTTTCACAGCTGCGGCTCGAGTCGTCCGCTCGACACTCGCCTCCCGACTCGAGAGTGCTTTCGCTGCGCGGCTCGCGCTTCGTCTCGACGGCGCCTAACAAATGACAAATGTTTTCAATTTGCCAAAGAAGTCACGTCCGAACAAACGCGTGACTCAAACCAAATGACAGGTTCGTGATGTTCGCGCAGTCAGAAAGGTCTTACCTGTGGACTGACTGTTGTCTGTGTCTTCAGAATCTTCGGCTGTGATGTCTTCGGGATCAGATCCACGACTCATCACTGAACTGCTTCTTAAAGTCACTTTTGAAGGCGAAGAACACAACTGTTCCTCAGATGATGACAAAGACGTTCTAAATATTGGCCATCCAGATAGAGAAGCGCCGTTTAGTCGTTGGACAACCGAATGGAGTGCCGAATGCTGACCCGAATGCGGACTTCGGAAAAGCGGAACACAAGGGAAGGAGGCGGCGGTGGCAGAAGAGAAGAAGGCCGTTGTTGTCGTGATTGGCGCTGAAATGGAGTCCGTAAATGATTTGGACACAAATTCCGTCAACTCTTCCATTAGATCACAGTCTAAGAGATAATTGATTGGAAATCTCGATTCAAGGCTTTATTGCATTATCCGTTGCTTTATTGATGTCTAAGAGAGAGAAACGGATCTCTTTTATAGCACACATCCACTAATCTGATTATAGCTCCCCTCTTCACTCCGCCCACAAACCATCCAATTGGCTAACCATTGGAACACAAGCAGACATCAGTTGACAAAGTGGTGGAAGTACTAGAAGTGATCCAATCAGAGAACTAATATTCATATTAAGTCAACAAATTAATTGACTTCTCGCCTATTGTTTTCCAAATCAATGCCAATTGAGAAACGACTGAATTTAATTAATAAGAGTCTCTTTTGTGTCAAACATATTCTCAATCAGTTTTCATCTCTCTGTCCCTCTTTTTCAGCTTTTTTGAGTGCTTTTTGACGTAAAAATTTTGTAGACATTTATCACATTAAAAAATCGACACTTTTTACGACTACTTTTGGATGTCAAAAAGCTTTGATATTATTTATATATTACTTTAAAATTGAAAAGCATTTTAATAGAGATATGAAAAAAATGAAACAAAGAGAGAGAGAGAGACAAACAGAGAGAGAAAGAGATGACAAATGAATGCAAATTTGCTCTATTATTGAACGCTTCGTTGAATATTAAGGCAATTATTGTGTAAATATTTGTCGAAAAGAAAGAGTTTAAAAGCTTAATAGAAATGCATTGAAAGTGACTTTAATTGAAATATAAAAGCATTGAATAACAAAATTTCATTTTATTGCAAATCATTAGGCAGTCATCGGAGCGCATGAAGAGACCATTAAATGAGAGAGAATATAGTCTTCTAATTGTCTCACATTTGGATGCATTTTAAGATCGGGACGTGAAGTGACAAATGGCCACTTAGTGGCGCAAAGACACTGAAAGACACTCTCTTATGGCATTTGAAAGCTTTCAGAGAAAAGTATCGAAAAAAGAAATTTAATGAAAGTTTAAATAAACAAAACATTTGATCGTTGATTGCGACCATCGCTTCCACGTCTTTGTTTGCCATTTCAATTACAAGACAGAGCTTCCAATCACCCGATATTTGTCTTTCTTATAACACATTCATTACGCTATTAATCAGATACACAACAATTTGAATTACAAATTACAACTCAAATACAGTGTAGAAAGCATTGCCTCGGGATTGACAGCAATGGCACAAATCATACAATTAACAGAACAGGGCTTAGGGTTAGTCATGGAGAGGGAGAGGGAGTGGAGTGGAGTCGAGTCGAGTGAAGGGAGACTTAGAGTGCAGTACTGTATGTAATACTATGTATACTATTGTATAGTAATGTTGTAATACATTGTAGTAATAAATCGCTAATTGAGTGAAGAGAGGGTCACTCAAAGCAGGCTTCACTGCACACAACAAATGCATTGCAAGAAAGCAGACAATCATTGAATGGCAAACATATTGTCAACAATTGTCTTCATTTGGCGTTCATTTCGATTCCCAATGACTTCTTGTAAGTCAAGTCTGAAAATGCATTTCAAAACATCTCTTCTTTCAGATAGAGTTCCCAAAGACAAGACTTGCTGGTCAGTGGATTGGCCACAATACGCACCGACGGCTTACGAGATAGACTTGACAGACAAGAGTTGGGCGGATCCGTCCATCGGGTAATACAACAAACAATTAGATCTGATGTCTGAAGTTTGTTTTGTGACAGAAACGCGAGTTTTCAGCCGAAATGGAATCAAATGGACGGACGGATTGATCGTCGAAGTCATCAAAACATTTACGTCATAAAAGACGGATTTCCTTTGAATCCTTTGGGAAGAACTGGTGTTTGTTTACGCGGAGTATTGGGTCGTTGGGGTAAATCAGTTGCAAAATCTCTTGAATGTCTTTAATTAGTGTATTGTCTGTTGAAAAGGTCCGAATCATGCCGTCGACGCCATTGTCACGCAGTAATTCTGTTTATTGTAAATCTCAAAATAATTGTCTTTTTTTTGTCACCGAAAAGATGGAAACGCGATCTCAATAATCGAATTCAAATCCACGAAACAACAAACAAACCGATTCTCGAGTTTGTGGCCATAAAACGACGCGATACTGGCCAGTGGGCAATTCCCGGCGGTTTTGTTGAATCAGGCGAAAGTGTGGACACAACTCTCGAACGAGAATTCCTGGAAGAGGCTGCAGCCGAAGCGGATACCGAAACAGTGGTCAGAATTAGACGATTGTTTGAATCGGGAGAAGAAGTTTGCAGAGAATGCGTTAAAGATCCGCGAAATACAGACAACGCGTGGATCGAAACTGTTGTCAAACTGTTCCATTGGGAAGACGCGCGGCCATTGCGATTGCGTGCCGGTGACGACGCGGTGGGCGCCGAATGGCGTCAAATTGACTCAAATCTGGATTTATATGCGAATCATTTGGACTTTATTTCACGCGCTTCGGAGCGCTTCGGCGGACACTTTTAAATAAATCAATGATTTCTTGGAAACGCCTGCGCATTGCGAACGCCTTCTAACTTCTCAAAGTGTTTGCGCGAATTGCGAATATTGATGAGAGTTGCGGCCGAAGCTGCGGATCAATTGGTCTTTAGTTTGGAATCGGAGACGGTTTCAATACTCACGAATAGACGGATCAGACATTATGACCATTACGTAAGTGTTTGGAGTGAATCCATCGATAAAAGCAGCGAAATTCGTGTTTTTGACTTCCATTGACTGGAACTGAGCCGCAAGTTTAGAACAACTCAGTTTAAACTGTTTTATTATGTTTGACACCTTCTCGAAGCGCTGAAGAAGAGACGACAGTTAGTTTCGTTGTAATAGTTTTGTTCGGCACTCACGTGGACATCGCGGTGTGGTTTTCGTTGACAATAAGAAATGACAAGAAAAGTCGCTCTTTCGAATAACAACACTTCGTCCGCGTCTATTATGTCCGCAAAATGACGTAAATGTTTCTCCAATTCGTGGACATTTGGGATCAAAGTATAGACAATTGTTGACCACGCTTTGTATAGCGTTTCATCCCAAATAGATGTCCGAAAACAGGTGCAATCCAAAGGACGGGATAACCGTTTTAAATCAGTTTCGCGTTCTTTAAAAATCTACAAAAACAACAAATCAGTGGAAAATACAAGAACCGAACCTTTCTGACCAGTTCTCGCTGATCCTCTTGAACTAAATCCATTTTATGAATCAAACAAAAGATCTTTGTTTCGGGAGAAAACTGAAGAATGGCTTCCAAACAGGACTGATAGTAATGCATGTCTTTTTCAAGTTCTCGCGATTCGACGTCAAAAACATAAATCAAAACTTCAACGTTTCGGAAGATATTCTGAAAAATCAAGTTTTAATGAAAGACTAAAACACGAGAAAAGAAAAGACCTCTCTTTGAGCGGCGAAATAGTTCTCCATAAAGGCTTCCTTCGAAACAAACAGTTTTAGAAACAAAACAATATTTGTTTGTCTTAAATACCTGTCCGCCACAATCCCATAAATTCAACACAAGATTTCCTATAAAAAACGTTTTTAGAGAAGAACTGGAGATCAAAAACATACCCAAGAATCTGACGTGAGAGTGCTCGACATCGACTGCAAGAAATTTGATTAATTCATTGATTAATTRATTGATTAATTGATTCATTGATTACTGGTTGCGCCGAGTCTTCGGGTGTCTCTCGCGATGTAATTGGCAAATATAATGGAACGCATACTTGTCTTTCCCGAACCACTCTTTCCCATGAGAAGCACCTAAAACACAGAATCTATAAGATGTGGTCATCGGTCGACCCGAAGGCCAAACGAAAGAAACCTTTTTCTTCATTTTGAATCGTTTTCGTTGTTTAATATCAAAACAAAAATACAATAATTGAACGACAGATGGCTCTCAAAGTGTTTTCAATGAATTTATTTAAAAAATGAAAATTATTTAATCTTTGCGTCTTTTGTGACTATTTTTCGGATCCATTGATGACTCTTCAGTTCTTTTACTTGATTTTTTCACTTCAGTCAAGAATTTATCCAAACCAAACGGATCTTCTTCTTCCTGTTTTTCGAACTGCACGGGTCCATCGCGTCTGGCATTTCTGTCTGTTCCGGAAAACTCTTTGTCGGGAACAAAGCGTTGAGTGTTGGCCAACGCGTCGATGTCATCGTTGGTCAACAGATCTTCATTTGCCGTTTTTGACGGTCTATAAAGTGTTTGTGAGACGACTTGGTTGGAACGCCACGGTTTATCATAAACGCCATAATCGTCTTCTTCTGCGAATCCACTGGAAAGTCCTTTCGATTGATTGAATAATCGCGAATCGAACTGAACTTCTGACTGTCCTGAGCGTGGATTAGCCACTCCCAGAGCAATCTGTTCGCTGATATCACGTTCACGTTGTCTTTCAAGACGCGACCGTTTGTCAGGCGCTGCTCTCTGCAAATTGCGTTCTCGTTGTCGATCTTTATGTCTTTCGTGACGAATGTTATGTCTTTCGCGTTCATCGTGTGTTCCGTCGGGAGATTCGGCCCGAATACCGGCGCGTTCTTCCCGAGCGCGTTGAGCCAAAGCCCTTAAGTGGTCTTCTTTTTTTTCCTTTTCCTTTTGCGCTAATTTGCGTTCCATTTGAGCTCTCATTTCGACGGCTTCTCTCGCTTTTCTGTCCGCAACGTAAAGAGCTTCAGAAAGTTTCGCGAAATTCTCGTTTATATGTGTTTGTTGTAAACCACGCCCATCGGCCGCCAAACGTTTGTCTAAAGGAATGGTATATCCTTTTGCGTTCTTCCAGTTCGAAATACACGGAGGAATACGCCATTCCTGTTGTTCCCGAACAGACACCTTACGCGTCGGTGAATGCATGACCGGTGGCGGTGGCGAAGGAGGCGCTTGAGGGATCTTCTGATTGATTTTGAACTTCGGCGGTTCCAATGGATCTCTTTGTACTTCAACCAAACGAATTATTCGCTGTTCAGATCCCGAACCGAAATCCGCTCCCGAACCCGACGGTGTGTATCGAATATACTGAGCTGATCCCGTTTTGTCCGCATGTCTGACGGGAAGTGCGGCCGAGATCTTGGTTTGAGTTAATCTTTGTAAAGCAAGTCTCGTCTCTTCAGTTGTTTTATTAATGAATTCTTCGTCTGGTTTTTCAAGAACCGAATCGTCGCGAACTTCTTGTGGTAACAGATCTTGTAGTTTATGATAAATGACTTTGTCTTGAATGGACGCTCCCTGACGTAATAAAGCGTCGAATTTGATTTCTCCGCGTGAATCCAATTCAACAGACAATGCATTACTCGTGACATCGACTTTGCGTCCCATATCTAACGGGAACTGTGCGATTGGTATTTCGGGAAATGCACCACCATCTGAGCCGAAATCCAATTGACATCGAGGAATCCATCCGGATCTACTACCGTATGGCGGAATACGGGAATCGCAAGTGGCGACTGCGGATGAAGTCACGGCAACAGCGACAGGACGTGACTGTGACGTCACGTGTTTCGGCGGCGGCAAAGAAGTCGAAAGAAAAGAAGACATTTCTCGAGACAATTGACGACAAAAGTGTTGTTTTTCTTGTTTAAGACATAAATAACGTTTTGAGACGTCATTGACGACAAGTGAGCGAAATGACAGAGCGTTTGGACGAATGGATCTGTTGGGCGAAGAACTGCCAGTATTTACCCGAAAATGACTTCAAAGTAAGTCTCGTTGCGATTGTTTTAAGATGTTATCAATAGATTGTATGTTTAGGTTTTGTGTGACATTGTTTGCCAAATATTAGTGGAAGAAAGCAATGTTCAGCCCGTGTCGACTCCGGTCACAGTTTGCGGTGACATTCACGGCCAGTTCTACGACTTGGAGCAATTGTTCCGAACGGGAGGACCCCTTCCCGACACTAATTATGTTTTTTTGGTCGGTTTTTCTTCACAATTGTTTCAATTAATTGGAATCTATTTTTAGGGAGATTTTGTTGATCGCGGATATTATTCTCTCGAGACGTTAACCCGATTGTTGACTTTGAAGGCCAAATATCCGCATAAAATAACTCTTTTGAGAGGAAATCACGAGAGCAGACAAATCACACAAATCTACGGATTTTACGGTTTGTTTCAATCAATTAATCCATAAATCAATTGAAATCTTTGTTTTTCAGACGAATGTCTCACTAAATACGGAAACGCAAACGCGTGGAAATATTGTCAGAAAGTCTTCGATCTCCTCAACATCGCAGCCGTCAGTCTTAATCTTAATTAGTCTTAATCTGACCGCGTCTTCCCAACAGGTCATTGACGGTCGCATTCTGTGTGTTCACGGCGGACTTTCGCCTGAAATCAATGCTTTGGATCAAATCCGAACTCTGGAACGCAATCAGGAGATCCCATATAAAGGAGCCTTTTGTGACCTTGTTTGGTCTGATCCCGAGGAGGTTGACACGTGGGCAATGAGTCCTCGTGGTGCGGGATGGTTGTTTGGAGCGCGCGTTACTCATGAGGTAAAGCATTAGAGATTGAAATGAAGATTAGATTTGAGTTTTGTTTTGATTTGATTATAGTTTATGGCATTAAATGGTTTGGATTTGTTGTGTCGCGCGCATCAATTGGTCCAAGAAGGATTCAAATACATGTTTGACGACAAACTCGTGACCGTTTGGTCGGCTCCTAATTACTGCTATCGATGCGCTAATGTGGCCGCTGTCCTCTCCTTCACCGATGCGCATACTCGTGAGGCCAAGATCTTTAGCGCAGTTCCCGATTCTGAGCGCGTAATTCCTCCGCGAAATGTTTGTCCGTATTTCCTATAAATAAAGTCTTATTTTGCAAAAACGTGTCGAAAACCTTTGGTTTCTAAACAAAACTCGACGGCAGCCAATACGCGCCGAGCACGCACGTCCAGAGCTGACAAATGCTCACGTGTCAAAAGAGGCCAAAGCGCGTCATCCGATAACAGGTATTGAACGGCGTGTGAAAGCGGTAAAGCGGCCACAAGACGCAAACGCGCGACAGTTGATCGACGCACGTGACAACATTGTAATAAAGGGTAAAGAATCGACAGTTCGTGAAAATCGGGATTTCCAAAGCTCTTCCCGTTGTCTAAGAATAGATCAATAATTCGATTGGAAAACAGATTCCAAATCTTACCGATCAATAGAACCGCTGAATTGGGAACGTCTTTGAAGACCTCGTAATGATGTCGGTCAGCATTGCCGATCAAAAAGTCCAGAATTGACGCATCGATCAGATCCAGAAGTCGCGGACGCAAAGCAACGCGTTTTAAGACTTTGTCGCAGAACTCGGCGTCAGTTTCCCAAAGAGCGGAAACTCCCGATCGATAAGTTCGTTGCCACGGATGTCTTACACGCTGTAACTGAACAGAGAGTCAGAGAAAGACAGAGAGAGACAAAACGAGAGACTAAACCTTGAATTTTGCCGGAAGTAAGAGATGAACGGATCCTTCAAGATAACCACTGGAATCACAACAAACCGCATCCGATGGACTGCAAAAGTGACAGTCGCCATAAAAACAAGAATCATTGAGAAAAGTGGACGATAATCCCGGAGTGGCAACCGATCGAAGTTCAGAATCGATGTGAAGACGTCGTGAAGAAACAACAGGTGCCGAACGCAGAGATAGAAGACGTGACACGTGAAAGGCTGAAGAATAGAAGGATAGAAGACGAAKAAGAAATGAATTGGTTTTCGGGTGAATATTACCGACTATTTCTCCGTTATGACGGTCAGCCCCGCCGTAAATGCCGTCAACAATAAAATCGCGAGAATAGCGTTTGGGTTTGAATAGAACGCGTTGACCGCCTTCTAAGTCAAGCAATACTTTCAATTGAGTTCCCGAACGACTCACGTCTGCACGTGACACACGTGCTCGCGATAAAGTCGACAAAACGAGTCCCAAAAGAGTCGCGTTTTCCGGCAAAACGGCGCGCGCTGTGACCCACGACTGCGCGACTGTCCAAACACGCGACGGATCGACGTCTGTTTGGTCGACGCGAAGTTCGCTTTTGAGTTTCGACAACAGAGACAGCGCTTCTTGTGAGACATTTAAAGACATGGCGTCGGCTTTGGAAGCGATTCGGGAAACAATGTCCGCAGAAATGGCTTTTTTTGTTTGATTTTTGATTCGAATTTCAGAAAACGGAAGAATAATTAAAGTTGTTTTCGGAGTTTGTTTTGACTGAAAAAGAGATGAAATGAAGAAAAAGACAATAAAAGACAAAGAAGAAGACAAACCTCGGAGTCGTCGAAGAAAACGACGAAATATAAGACAAAAGATGCCAAAGATAAACAACATAACAGAAGAGTGGACACAATTCGTGTCTTTAAACGCATCTCTGATTGTCTTGAGTTGTGATTCGAGTGTAAAGACAATGGTTTGTCATTGAAGACGACATTCGGTTAATCGGAGGCCAAAAGCGGTCGAGTTTTGAGTTGTTTTAGTCGTTCATTGACTTTGCGTTCATTGACTGCTATTTCAGCGCAGACTCACAGCGAAGGGTGTGTTTGCGTTGGCTTTCATTTTGACCAAAAATCAGACCAAAAATCATGGCCTTAACCCAGCCGTCGGTCAATTGCAGTCTCGATGACATCGATCTCAACGCTCTTAAGGTATGTCTTGTTCTAAAAGACTATTTCTTATTGGAATTCTTCAAAGGATCCGGCGGGCATCTTTGAACTCATCGAAGTCGTCGGAAACGGCACTTATGGCCAAGTCTACAAAGTATTTCTATTTGCTATTGTCTTGTTGTTATCTGATCCATTGTCTGTCTATCTGTAGGGAAGACACACGAAGACGGGCCAATTGGCCGCTATTAAGATCATGGATGTGACGGAAGTGAGTGTTCAGTGATTAATGGCTTGATTTGACATTTGGTGTGTTTTAGGATGAAGAAGAGGAAATCAAACTCGAGATCAATGTCTTGAAAAAGGTTTGTCTGCTTTGCTTTGATCCAATCTGATCCAATCTGATCCAATCTGATTGTCTAATAGTATTCGCATCATCGCAATATTGCCACTTATTACGGAGCTTTCATCCACAAGAGTCCGCCGGGAAAAGACGACAAGCTTTGGGTTTGTTTTCTAACTATAAATCTTGAAACTATAGCTCACTGTTTGTTATCTATTGTCAGCTCGTGATGGAATACTGTGGAGCTGGATCTGTCACGGATCTGGTCAAATGTGAGTTCATTCTTGAGTTCATCAGTTATTCTAATTATCAGTTCTAATGACAGCAACAAAAGGCCAGTCTTTGCGTGAAGAATGGATTGCTTACGTTTGTCGCGAGATTCTTCGCGGTCTTTCGCATTTACACGCCAATAAGATAATACATCGCGATATTAAAGGACAGAACGTGTTGTTAACCGATAATGCCGAAGTCAAGTTAGTCGACTTCGGAGTTTCCGCACAACTCGACAGAACTATTGGCCGAAGAAATACATTCATAGGAACGCCATATTGGATGGCACCTGAAGTTATTGCGTGCGATGAGAATCCGGATGCGACTTATGATAACCGATCCGATCTGTGGTCTCTCGGCATAACGGCTCTGGAAATGGCGGAGAATACGCCGCCATTGTGTGATTTGCATCCAATGCGAGCGTTGTTTTTGATTCCGCGAAATCCGCCCCCGCGTCTTAAGTCGAAGAAATGGTGTAAAAAGTTTCAGAGTTTTATTGAAACTGTTTTAGTGAAGGATTATCAACAAAGACCGTACACGGATCAGCTGTTGAAACATCCGTTTATCAGAGATCAGCCGACAGAGAGACAAGTGAGGATTCAGCTCAAGGATCACATTGATCGGGTCAGAAAACATAAACGGCAGGATTCAGATCCCAGATTCCAACATTCCGACGACGAAGACGACCTCTTGCCAATCCCTGCTCCCGATGAACCACGTGATGACACTCTTCGCCGCAACGATCGAACTCTGACGTCAGCACCGGCCGGACCCTCACGTGACCATCCCGCTAACCGGCCACTGCCCGTTCCGCCGAGTCGTGTTATAACAGTTCCGGAGTTACCGCCGCCGTCGAAGCCATTGCCACCAGTTCCCGATGAGAAAAAGCCGCGGAATTCTGCTCTTTTTAAAGTTGCATCTCAAATGCAAAGACCCGAAGATCTGGACGTTTTAGCGGCTCAACTCAACGAACTCGGAGCTAATGGTCAACAAAGAGACCGAAGACGCGATCGTCAAAAACCGAACAACGATTCCGACGATTCGGACGAAGAAATCGAAGATTCGAGAACAAGAAATGACGGAACTCTTCTCGCCTCTGATCCGCCACGACCTCTGTAAGCTTGTCTTCTTCTTTGACCTTTCACCTCTCTCTCTAAATGACCTTTTCTTAGTCCGGGAGCTGTTCCGCCGAACCGGCCTCTTCCGCCGCCTCCTGTCGACGCCCAACCTCCAAGCAAACCTCTTCCGCCGATTCCACGCGAAGACAACGACGGAACTCTTGTGTTGCGTCGCTTAAACGGCGCGTCGGAAGCGGATCAACGCGCCGGCGCAGTTCCGGATCTGTTGTCACAACACGTGCCGTCAGAACAACGCGCGGACGAAGTGTCGGCTCTTTTGATGCAATTCCGTCAGTCTTCGGGAGCGCCGACGCCGATTTCGCAATTGCAGAACAAACAACGCTCTTTCTTGACGTTCGGTTTCTCAGCCGGCGGTCCGACTCCGAGTCCGCGTCGCGAATCGCATGTCAACGTGAATGTTCCGAATGCGGCGGCCGATACGCCCGAAATACGCAAATACAAGAAGCGATTCAATTCGGAAGTGTTGTGTGCAGCGCTTTGGGGTGTCAATCTTCTGATCGGAACCGAAAACGGATTAATGCTTCTTGACCGAAGCGGACAAGGCAAAGTCTATCAACTGATATCTCGAAGACGATTCCAACAAATGGAGGTTCTCGAGGGACAGAACATCTTGATTACGATTTCGGGCAAAAAAGCAAGAGTTCGCGTTTATTACTTGTCCTGGCTCAAAAGCAAAATCATTAGAACCGATGGCGTGAGTATTCTTTTCCCGATTCTTTGCTTTCATTGATTGATTTGTTTATTCAGCAAATTGAGAAACGGTCTGGATGGGTCAATGTCGGTGATCTTCAAGGAGCCATTCATTTCAAAATCGGTTAGTCTTTTCAATCTTTCTCTTTCTCTCATTATCTGTCTGTCCATTGCTGCCAGTGGTGTGGCTGATCCCACAACACGTGTCGAAGGACTGGGAAAACACGTTTCGTATTTGGAGTGGAAACGGTCTGTCTGTCTGTTCTTCTTCTGTGTCCTCTTCAGCCACATCCCGAGCACACAATCTTCTCTTTTCTGACAATTGTTTGTTTTCCAGTCAAATACGAACGGATCAAGTTCCTCGTCATTGCTCTTCGTGATAGCGTCGAGATCTACGCGTGGGCGCCAAAACCTTATCATAAATTCATGGCTTTCAAGTCATTCGCAGAACTCGTCCACAAACCACTTCTTGTAGACATGACTATCGAAGAAGGCATTCGTCTTAAAGTCATTTACGGATCCACTCATGGCTTTCACGCCGTTGACCTCGACTGCGGTGCTGTCTATGACATATACGTCCCGACACACGTCAGTATTGACCTTTGACACACACACACACACACTCTCTCTGACCTTTGTTTCTGACCTCAGACCCAGACGCCGATTACTCCGCACACAATCATAACTTTGCCGAACTCTAAAGGTCTTCAACTGCTTCTCTGTTACGACAGTAAGTGTCGTTCAATTGAATTGTTGTCCATTTGTTAAAAATGCCGTTTCTTTGCAGACGAAGGCGTTTACGTCAATACTTACGGTTTGTCCGCATTTTGTATGCGTTTTTCGTTCTAATGATTTGTTTTTAGGAAAAGTGAGTAAAAATATAGTTTTGCAATGGGGAGAAATGCCAACTTCGGTCGCATTCATCGGCACCGGACAAATCATGGGTTGGGGTAATAAAGCCATCGAAATCAGAGGCGTCGAAACCGGACATTTAGACGGAGTTTTTATGCATAAAAAAGCCCAAAAACTCAAGTTCTTATGCGAACGAAACGACAAGGTTTTCACCATTTTTTCATTCATTCATTCATTCATTGGTTTTGCTTCTCAGGTCTTCTTCTCGTCGGCCAAAAGCGGTTCTTCGTGTCAGATCTACTTTATGACACTGAATAAGCCGGGAATGGCCAATTGGTAATCAATTGGTAATCAATGGGCGACCAATTGGTGGCGAATTTTCGCTCAATTTCTTACTTTTTGTAAAATAAAATTTCATTCTTATTATAAGAGTTTTTGATGAATAAAAGCGCGAAAAAAGAGATTAAAAAAGATTTAATTTTTAAGTTAAAGCTTAAGAAGAGTCGAAACTTTTGCCGTTTTATAATCCGAACGCAACTGAACGAACTGCAGAACCAGTTGTCTCTCAATCGACACTTCTTCGACCGCGTGTTTTAGGTTTTCCGGAGCGACAACCAGAAGATTAAAAAGCGCGTGAAGAACTGCAAACAATGACGTCAACAAAGGAACTCCAAACGAATGAACGCATCGGCGGTATTCATTCAAATCGCAAATTGCAACCATCGCTCCAACACTCGAGAACTGGAACTGCTGGAAGTGATCGAAGAGCGCACGATGCAAACGAACGCCGAATTCGGCTAAAAACGAGTCCACGTTTCGGCCGTCGAGACCGTCGCGCACGCGTAGAACAAAGGCGTCCACGAATCGAATGACTTTGGAAGCGGCCTTTGGATAGAGAGGTCAGAGTTCATGTCAAGTGATTGATTGTCATGTGACTACTCACGCTTGTTGTGGATGAAAGAGCGACATCATCGGTTTCGGGTTTGAAATCTGTTTTTCGTTGTTCTTGAGTTAGAAGAGAACGAATCCAAGCGATGGCTGAAGACAAAAGACGGTCTAATCCTGTGTTGACTTTTTGTTGCAATTGTTCTGTGAATTGTCTTTTATTTTTAGATAAATCCGAATTCGAACGATTCGAACAACGAATTAACGGCAAAACCGAAGAAACAAACTGTTTGTCCACTAAATGGCAAATGGCGTTCGTTTGTCTCGCGACTTCAACAAACCAACAATCGGGTGGATGCCGTGGATCTGCGGCCGGAAGCGAAAGAGCGGCCAATTCCACGCCGTAATCCATGTGTTGATGGAATAAAGCGTCCAAAAGAATGGCAAACAGCGCAGCCGCAGTCGACGCCAAATCCGTCGGTCGACACAAAACTTCGCATCTTTGGAGCGCTTCCCGAGTCTCTTGCAGAGCGTGAATGGCCACCTCTTCGCTGAGAAGCGGTTCCTCAGCCGCTACATCAGTTGGAACGGCCGCGCGGGCGATCTTGAGTTGAATATCGCGTTTAAGTTCTTGAATCGAAGTTTGCGGTAAAACTCGCTTTTGATGTCCTTTTTGGTCATAAAAACGGCGCAAAATAGCGGAAAGACGATCGCGAAGACACCTTGTCTCGACGGAAACATAGTCTTCGAGATATCTATTGAAGACATGTCGAGAAAGTCTGGAAACAAACGCCGAATCCAAAGTCTGAGTTCTCGCGAGTCGTTCTCCGAGTTGTGATGTTTTGACGAAAAGCGCGTGAAGTGAACGCAGAAAGCGATTGTCGTCTTTGACAACTCGAGAAAGTTCTAAATCCACGCAATCCTGAAGTTTTCCCTGAAATACCACTAAAACTAATTTTGTCATTATTTGCTCCGGAGTCGCAAACACGTGACGAACCACGCGCTCCGTTCGCGTTATAAGCGTCGGAACTTCCGCGAACGCGTCTCTTCCGGCCAGAGATGTCTGCGCCGTCTCGATGAATGCGTCCACACACTGACCGAATCCCTTGAAATGCTGCAACTTTTCAGCCATTTCGGCCATTCTTCGGCGGTCATCGTCTCTCTGCGCAGACGCAAACTCTTCCAATAGTCTTTTCTCTACCGAATCATATTGCGAACCAATGGCCGCCCGAGCACGCTCAAAACGTGGTCCCGGCGGCAACTCGGCCGCAATCACGTGCAGTTTCTGTAGGACATCGGCGGCGTCGGCGAGGGGTTGGTCGGGAGGAAGGGGTGTGTCTTGGGAAAGGAATTTCGAGAAATGACGCATAAGTCGTTGCGCTTCAACTGCTCGGGCGCGCGGAGTGTTGACGCCTTCGAGTTGATCTCCGAGATAAACGACTTTGGCGGCCACTGCGGCCAAACGCGAGTCCAGAGCGGAAAAGGCATTCTTGGCGAGTCTTTGTCTCTCTTGCGCGTGCGCGACGGCCAACCAGTGATGTTTGTGTTGTTGGACGAGAAGAGTCTCGAGACGATCGCATTTGTTGTGATGACTGTCGAGAACTGAACGCAAATCTCTTACCGAAGAATCGAATGCTTCGGAAAGCGATTTCGAGTCAAAAGCGTCGAAACGTCCAGAAGTACATCTCCAGGCAAGACGTTCGACGAACTCGTGGCCGTCAAACGGATCCTGAGGTCAGAAAGTCAAGAGTTTATTATTATCTGTCGTCTAAATCAAAGACAATCAGACATTGAAAGACTGCAGACCTGTTCCAACTCAGACAACAACGACGCCATCTCTCACATCAATTACGTCTCAGTGCAGAAAATGGCCGACTTTTGGGATGAGTTGTTGAGATGGGGTCTTGTGGTCGGAGCTGTCTTTCAACTGATCTGTATTTCGGCAGTCATTTGGGTTCCATCTTCTTGTGGTTCATCTTCGGAAGCGCAAGAATCGGAGGAATGGGAGACAAATGAAAGAAAAACGAGAGAATCGACTGAATCTCGGACTCAAAGCGCGCGACGAATGAAAGCAACGAAAGAACGAAAGAAAAGACGATAAAAATAAAGAGTTTTTATTCATTGAATTCAAAGTCCTTTATTGTAATTAACAATTGCCGAACAATTGGTCAGCGATTGAAGTTCGGGTTCTAATCGCGAAATGGCCACGGAAGCCGTTTGCGGGAAAAGAGCGCAACACATCGGAGTCGTGAAAGTCAGACTGAAAGACAACAATTCAGTGATTGATTAAAGTCAGAGAAAATGTCTTACAAAACACCGCAAAGCGCGACCTGAAGCGGCGCCGCGATCCAAGGCATTCGTCCCAAAACACCGCGTTTCTCGAGAGCGTCCATCAGAATAGGAGGCAAAGTCATGCCCGGAGCGGCCATTGCTATGCGCGAAATGACGACTTGAGTTATGGCCAGTTTGGCCGCGATTTTGCTTTTTCCGATTTCCTGTCCGTTGGAATCAAAAACAAGAATTCCTTCGCGAAGTTCTCTAAAAAAAATGATTAGATTTTGAGACAAAATCCGAGTATTTATTACTTGGAACGCATCAGAGGAATGTTTACACAATTGGCGGCCGAAACTGCGGACAAACGGAGTCTTAGTTTTGAACAAAATCAGTAATCAAGACAAACCGGCGGCGAATGGAACGAAACGACCGACGAGTGGAGGCGCGCGAGCGGCCAATCGGTTCAGAGAAAGAGCAGTTATTAGGGCTCCAGAAGTGGCCGTCAAGTAAGAAGTCAGAGTTTGTCTGAGGAATCAAATTGAATCAGATTCAAGAGATTGAAGTAATAGTTACTCACGAAAGCGGAAGAGGGTCTTTTCCCGATCGATTGGTGTAATTGACGACAGCATTGAAGGACTGATTRAACCATTGCCAGAAGACAACCGCAGGAGTCGACCGATAGTACGAAAGCATGCATCCAGTGATTGCCATATTCATCGGCACTTGAGCTGACATTCGACCGACGATTAACATCTTTTGGTCGGTTTCGGGATGAAAAGCCGAGTCATAGACTGCGAACAAATTGCCATTAATTTGGGATCAATTGGATCAAGGTCACTGACTTTGTTTGTGACGCCAAAGTTGGGCTTCAGTTTGTCCGGGAATGTCATGACCAGATCTGCGGAAAATGGATGAAAACGGAAGACAAGAGAGAGAGAGAGAGAGAGAGAGAGAAGAGACGAACCGAAGAAGACCAACGATTTGTCGCGATTCTTCCAAAGCCTTGGAAGAGACCAACAGATTCAGAGGATTGGTTGTGGCGAAGAAATGGCGCGCTCGACCCCAATAGGTGTCTGTTTGGAGAACAAGAGGTGAACAAAGGGTCAAAGGTTATGACGAAAGGACACGAACTTTGGTTGAACTGAGGATTCGAAACATCGATTCGAGTCATGTCTGCGAAGAAGGCGGAGTCAATGACGTCAGATATCATCTGATTTTTATTTACATTAAAAGCGATTAAAATCTAAGCGAATACAGCGCTCGCAGCGGATAAACAACTAAATAACAACTATTCTATGAGTCCGGCGGCGCGCAAATCGGCGATTTGTCGGACGGCCACTGCGGCCACCAGAGCAGCACCACGACCGCTGCCATCTTCGGATAGCATCAGATCAAAGCGGAATTCAGAAGGAGTCAGTTCTGCGATCTTTTTGGCCATTAAGTCGTGAAAATGCGGATGAAATCGATAAACAGATCCGTCCACTCCTACAACCGTGTATTCTCTTCTCATTCTTCGTAAAATAGTGGCCACTGCCGCCGATACCAGATGAGCGGCTCGAGTGGAAATGCGTTCGCAAATCATCTGAATGGCGGCCATGTCGTCGTCATCTGCGTGTCCAAGATCCATTTCCTTCATTGCATCTCGAGTCTTTGCAAAAGATCCGTTTGGATCAGATTCGATCCAAGAAACGTAAGCAGATTGGAAGCAGTGAGGAGTAAACAGTTTTTGGGATCCGACGCCCGAAAGCAGGAGTTGGCGTCGCGTGAGATCGGCGACAATGGATCTGACCATTTCTCCCATGTACATTCCAGATATCATTTTCTCGAATCTGAGATTAAACCAAAGGATTAACGGATTAAACGATTGAAGAGATTTACAGTTATTACAGTTGTCGTCCTTTATTCAGCGAATAAGTGTCGACTTCGTCGTCCCAATCGGTTCTCACGAATTCCAAGACTCCGTTATCACCGAAAGCTCCCCATTCCGTGTTGACCACGACTTGCGGCGGATCAACAGAACGATCGCTGAAATCGGAAGGAAGGAGTTCGACGCGATCAGCCGATTCCATATAACAAGCGTTGGTTCCGGTGCCGACAATCACTCCGACCCGACATTCGGCGTTCTTGTGGGCGCAAGACATGAGAGTTCCGGTCGTGTCGTTGACGACGGCCATGACGTCGATTTCGACTCCGATTTTGCTGATAGAAGATCGAAGGAGTTGAACGACGTCTTGACCTTCGACCCCTCGACACGCGAATCCTTTAGTCCACTGAACGAGACGTGCTTTTGTGAGTCCTTCTTGACGACACGGAAACGAAAAAGTGAATCCCAGCGGAAGACGCGTTCCATTCAAATGTCGCGAATCCATGAACTCCTGAAGACAGGCCGCGATGTGGTCAAACAGTTGTTGTCCCGAACCCAACATCACGTGTTGCGGAACTGCGAAGATCTGCGAATCCGACCGGAAGTCCTTTCCGTTGAGTTCTATGAGAAGAACGCGGAAGTTGGTTCCGCCCAAATCCAAGGCCAAGAACTTGCCGGCCTCGCGTCCGTTGGGAACGTCGCGGACAAACGTCGGAAACATTTTGACGGCCGCTATTGGATTGGTTTCGCGTTTCAAGCCTTCATTGAACTCTTGTTCCAAAAGAACAACCACTTTCTCGAGTTGATCATTGGATAAGACGAGGTCTCGGGTGGCGATATCGACCTGCGGACAGACATTAGAGCCGATTCTCGCGCAAAGACATTAAAGACAAACCTTTTTGCGTTTTTCACTCATTTTCTCTCAAAATGTCAAACGATTTGTGACGTCAAGACTGATGTGACGTCAGAAGCAATGATTGCGTCACTCAATAGATGGCAGTAATCGTAGAAATAGTAGAAATAGTTTTAATATTTTAATGATTTTATTGAATCAATGAATGACTAGAAATGCAAAATACTATCACTTCTGTTGTCTTCAGTTGTCTTTCAACCGACGCAACAGATCTTCGGGAATCGGGAGCGGCCGTCGTGGCCAATGTGTGGCCTTTTTCAGAGCAATCGAAGCATTCATAAGAGTTTCCATTCGAAGAATCGATGGATAAATGTTTTGTTCGATCCATTCTTAAGACAACAAAGAAATTATTCAATCGTTTGTCTGTCTGTCTGTTTGTTGATTACCGGCAACTGTCCATTCGTCGTAAACTTCTTGTAAAACGGCTTTCGCTGTCCGAACCAATGATTGCAACGAATAATAAACAGAAGAGTAGTCTTGAAGTCCTGGAATTGAAAAACAAAATTAGCGGAAAATCTTGTCTGTCTTGTAATGTCTTGACCTTCATCGACGCGCCACGGATTCGTCATGTTGTGTCTGATGTTGTAATCTGTTAGCCACGCCTTATGAATCGTGACGTCAAACTATTTAAACCAAAAACCGATTAATTATTAATCATTTGATTAGAAAAATACCAAAAAATCTGAAACTCTTTTAACGGTTTGCGAATGCGTTTCCATCAAACGGAAAACTCCACTTCCCGGGAAATCGCATGCCGACGCGCGACGGAACAGATTGGGATCGGCGTCCAGTTCGGTGTCGGAAAGAGGGCGTCCGTTTGGCGGACAGTGAAGGACGCGATCGAAACGCGAAAAGACTTGATTCGAATCGAAATATCCGAACGAAACTGTGATTAAGGAAAGAGCCAAAGACGGAATCGCGGCCTGGATTAAGGGGATTAASKGGATTAACGGGATTAACAGGATTAACGGGATTACCGGAAGAAGTTCGCAAAGAGACGCCAAATGATCGTATCTTTGCCATCCCGTTAAGACAAGACCGCGAATCTGAGAGAAAACGGGAGTTTGGTCTGAGAGGACGTGCAGCCATGCCACGTTGTTGTCGAGATGCCATTTGGCGTTGGGAACGGTCAGAGTTTCGCCGAACGCGCCCTTGAAAGCCGAAGCGCCCCAAAAACGGCGGAAAACAGAGCCAAAAGTCGTCCATTGATTGGGAGATATGAAGCGATAGACGTCTTTGACATACGACCAGACAACCGGCTCAACTCCCAATTGGGATAATCCCGAGTCGAGCAACGATTCCGAAGACATCTGACGCAACATATCGTCCCAAACCAGAGGAATGCGAGAATGTCTTTCAACCACGTGATGAGCGACGCGACGCACGTGAGAGAGGAAGAGATGGTCTCTGTCTTTGAGACGACATTTTTGACAAGAAGCGATTTGAAAGACTTCATCGCATCCGATGTGAAGAAAGCGAGAGTTCGGGTGAAGAATCGCCATTTGATCGATGATTTGCGAAACAAAAGTCCACGAATCGTTGTTTTGCGGACACAAAGCGGCCGGAAGTGACGGGTCTTCGCGAAGATCCGAGAATTGCTTGAGTTTTAGCGCGAATTCCAAATGACCGAAAGTTTGCATTAAAGGAATCACTTCCAGACCCGACTCTTCAGCCAATCGTAAAACAGTTCGAATGTCTGAAACGGAAAACGCGTTTTCGGCGCGAATTGCGGACAACGGACCCGAAAAGGGGAACTGGAGGGAGAGAGGGATTAGAGAAGGGATTAAAGGATTAATGATTTCAAACCATATCTTCGTATTCGAGAAGTAAAGCGTTTGCACCGAAAGAAGCCATTAATGGAAACAACTTTTGGATTAAAAATCAATTAAAACTCATTTCAATGCAAAACAAAACTCACGCGCGCCAAATATGAGACACGCGGAGGAGCGCCCTTCAAATCCAAATGAACCACTCGAAGGCCGGGAACGAGAGGACGCGATTCGGCGACTGCGGGTTGAGCGGCGGCGGCGGCGGAATTGTCTAACAGTTTTGGTCTGAGTTTCGGTTTCTGAAGAGAAAAAACGTTTTAAACGGAAAATCGCGACAAAAGTCTTACGTTTTGAGTTGAAAGCGATAAATGAAGACCAAACACGAGAAACGCGCCGATCAAGACTGTCGACAATATAACTACCGATTTTCGGCGGCAAAGCTTTGGCCAAAAGTTCTTAAAAAAGATTTTCCGAAAAATCAAAACAAAAGCCATTTTGACGTCACTCTACACGTCATTAATCACGTGTTTGAACACAAAAACCAATAAAAACGCGAAAAAACAAAGATTTCGTCAAAAATTGGATTTCAATTGAGTTTTCATTGAATTAAAGTTAAACCGAATTAAAACCGAATTAAAACCGAATGTCATCTCAATTGCCATCTTTTGGCGCCATCTGTGGACGGATTAGACGAAAACAAGTCGAAAAATATCGGAAAAACGAATCAAAATTTTGGATTTTTTTCGGAAATTCTTTGGAATCGTTGACAATAAAAGACAAAAGAAAGTAATAAAAGACAACAAAAGACTAATCAAAAGACAAATCAAAAGACAAAGAAATGAAAGTGAATTTAGACGTAATTTATTGAAAGAATTTTCGGTTCGGAAGAGAAAAAGTGTTTTCGGTTTTCATTTCCGGCGACTCTTCGGGAAAAAATTGAAATTAATTTTCGGTAAAAATGTCGACAAAAGCTTACTTCCAACGGATGGCGTATACGGAACCGATTCGTGCAATCGTTTCTGCGGACGAATACTCGACTGCGACGGCGAAGGAGGCGTCGGACCGAATTTGGGAGGCGGCGGAACTGATCGAACGGTCGAAGCGAAGAAGGGCGGCGCGTAGTGGGCGAACAGTGGCAGAGAAGAGGCGTCGAAGAGCTGGTCTTGGGCGAAGAGTTGGTCTCGAGTTCGCCGACGGACGACATCTTCGTGAAGAACTTTCTTGAGTTGAGAGAAGAGTCCGTGTTTTTGTTGTCTTAAATCCGACAGTTTTTGATCCAATTTGATGAGTTCTTCGCGAACTTGGTCTAAAGTCATTCGCATTTTATGTCTTCTCGCTTCTTCTTCTCGTTTTCTTTCTTCTAAAGACATCGAAGTTTGCATTTCTATTGAAATAATCGATAATTAATTAAAATTGAAAAACAAATCCAAATTCAAACCCAATTGTCGTTTAAGTCTTTGTCTTTGAATATAAATCTTCAGAAAATTGTTTTCGTTTTTCATCTTTTCGTTTGATTTCGTGAAGACTCAGCGCATGCGCACCGCTTCCGCAGTTATGCCGAAAAAACACTACAAAAGCGTTCAAATTGTTTGCAAAACTTTTTTTATTTCAATTTCTATTCATTTCAAAGACTGAATGAGTCGTTCACTTGTCGTCCAATTCGTCGTCCGATTCGTCGTCCGATTGTTTGTTATTTAAAACACAAATTTCGTCATTTTTTTAGCGGATTTTAAATCACGAAAAGCCATAAATAACGCCGTTTTGACGTCAGAATCGTCTTTAAGACTGACTTCGAACGCCTCCTCCTCCGCCTCCTGTGTCTCGAGTTTTGTCACTTTGGCCTCAATTGCGTCCAAAAGAGATTTAATTTCTTTTTGAGAATTTCTTGAAAACAAAAATATCAGAAAAAGAGACAAAAATATCAGAAAAAGAGACAAAAAAACAGAAAACTTACGAATCATTTGATCCAATGGTTCCCCGAGAACGCAATACTTGGCGGACATCGAGTGTTGCGGCCAACAGTGCGTGGGTGGCGGACATTGCGATTCGATCTTCGGTTTTGTCGTCGTTTTGAATGAATTTTTTGAAAATTGGTTTTCGATTTTGTTTTACCGAATGATTGACCAGAAAAGCCGATCTTCGGGATTTGCGAACTCCGCGGGGGAAACGACAGGCCGCACAAAAGTATCCGGTTTTGGGAACATCGCGTTCGCCTTCGAAATGCATACAATGGGCGTGTTGCCAACACAAACAAAGCTCACATTGAACCATTAATCCCGATTCTTCGCGCGCAGAACACACGCAATGCACCACTTCCTCTATGTCGTCGTTCTCGTGAATCTCGGCAATTGTCCGCGCGTCCCAAAACGGCAAACACGTGTTGGGCGTCAGGCGTTCGTTGACTAAAGACGGAACAAGATTTGCGACGTTCGGAACGACGACCGAAACTTCAGTTTCAGTTCGAATTGATTTTCGAACCGAAGACTGACTTCTGCGAGCGTAACGACGCTTAACACGACTTCTCGTCGTCACATCCGGCTTTGGAGTTTCGCTTTTGGCCGGTGGCGGCGGCGGCGGCGGTTCGGGCGTCACAACTGTGGGTTCGATCGCAACAAACGGTTTCAGTGGTTCTTGAGTCTCTTTTTGTTCAGACTTTTGGTCCCTTTTATGATAATGTTTGAGATGTTGTGCGAGTAAACTGTAGAATATGATAAAAGGTATGAATTATAAAGAAATGATAGAAAAGACAAACCTTTGTTTGCGAAATGATTTATTGCAGTCTTTTTGAAGACATTTGAAGTCGTTGTGATCATCTTTAACCTGAAACTCTTTCTGTAGCGGTTGTGGAACTCGAAGTCCATCAAAATCTTTCGGCATTTTTTCGATTTGATTAGTTTTGACTTTTTTTCGGTATCCGTCGAAAAACAAGACTAAAACCGATTTTTGAGAATCAAATCTCTGGACAACTGACGCCGGATACGGTCGTCCATCCGTCCAACGCGCCAATACTTCTTCTCCCACTTGAAAAGCTTTATTAGAATTGTTGTCATTTTGTTCGTCGTCCAGACGTCGTTCGCGAATGAATTCAGAGTCCAAAGCAAACCATTGGTCATAACGTGAACTGAAAAACAATGAAAAAGTAAGTGTCGTTTCGGACGACAACCAAACCATCCAAACCTCCAGCGCTCGAAATGAACCAAAACTTGTTGTTTATCTTCACTAAAAGCCACCACTTTTGCCGAATACCAATCGCCCACAACATCGCGTGCTTCGACCCGTTGTCCTAAAACCCATTTCGAGGTCACTTCGGGCGGTGTTTCTGCGATCGGCGTTTTATTTGGCGTTAAATCTGTTAATTGCGACGAATTTTGCCGTTTTTTAGTCAAACTATTGGTCCGTTTGTCGCTCTGATTATGAGTCAAATTAAGAACCAATTGATGCACTGATCTCTGAGCAGTCGGTCTTCGCGGACGTCCTCTAAGAGGTCGCGAAAGAGAGGCGTCTATCGAGTCGTCGTCCATTGCAAGACGTAATTGAGTTTGTATTGAATGACGTAATTTGTGAACGGATTGTGAAATGGAGTCAAACGTCGTTTGTTTGGAATCAGAAAATTCTGAAGAAATTTCTGGAATTAATTGTATTTCAGTTAAAGAAAACATTCAAACAAACGGACAATCGATTCAAACCACTCAAAGACATCGATTCAAAGTCGTTAAATTGGTTTCGTCCGAACCGTACGGAAGAGGTCGATGGAATTGTCGCGATTTCGAGGCCAAAGATGAAGACATCAGAGCAACAGATAATTGCAAAGACAGATCCGATTCAAACCAAATCTCAATTCAAAACAACATTCAAACCAATAGTAATTCAATTCAAACCAATCAAACCGTTGTCTCGACGGCTGCCGACGCGGCCACCGGAGTGTGAGTATTGCCAATCATGTCATTTGATCTGATCTGATCTGATCTGATCGTTCAGAGCCATCGACAACAAGATCGAACAGGCCATGGATTTAGTCAAAAGTCATCTCATGTTTGCCGTCAGAGAAGAAGTGGATGTCTTGAAGGAACGCATCAAAGAGTTGGAGGCGGAAATCGAGATTCTTCGTTCTCACGCATCTTCAGATGTCTTGCAATTAGTTCTTCAAAACCAAATCGGAGGACAAGTTTCGGATCAAACGGATCAACAAAAAACTCCTGAAATCTAATCTTTTATTTCAATAAATGGACGGAAAATACAATGAAATCAATGACTAAACGGCGGAATCGCGAGTTCGCGCGGATCCACGTGACGACGCCATAAAAGGCGCGTGAAGCGTGTCCTCGGCTCTGAGTAGAGACGCGTGAGAGCGGGCGTGCGGTTCAAATGCGGGATTATCGGCAGACGCGGTAATTGCCGAACTGCAAAGCCATGGGATTAGCGAAAAGCGGATTAACACTGATTTAGGATTAATACCTGTTTTCGAATGGTTTTCGACCGGAAATACAAATTTGATTCAAAAGGAAATAAGAAATTCCGACTCGAAGTCGAATACAAAACACGATATCCATTGTTATCAATAAAATGATAATTAAAGCCAAAGAAATGCCTAAAAATTGAAAATTAAATATTGATTTTGCAATTTAGAAGACATACCGGCGATCAAAGACACGGAAATCGGCGATTCGTCGTCCGGAGTGTCGTCCGAGACGTCGTGCGAGACGTCGGCAGTTCTAAAGATAAGTGAAGACGAATCAGAAAAACCCAATTCATTTTGAGCGCGAATTTCCGTTCTGTAAAAGGAATTCGGTTTAAGACCGCGAATCGTATAAGAAGTGGAAGAAGTGTCAGATGTCGACACCGAAGCCGAATGAATGTCTTGATTAATGCGTTCAAAGTCTCCATCTGTCGGCCGAACGCCGAACCATTGGATTTCGAAATAACGAATCGGTTTTCCATTATCTGCCGGTAAAGACCACGACAACGACATCTCTCCACCAAAGGACGACTCTATCACCCCATTAGCTGGTCCCGTGTTGGCGAAAAGTGGACGATCGGGTGGCGATTCGGGTGCAGTGGCCAAAACTCTTTCGGGAGAAAAGTCTCCGATTCCGACCGCATTTTCAGCCGAAAATCGAAACACATATCGCGTTCGCGGCCGAAGACCACTTATGAAGTAACGTTCTGACCGATCTAATGGCCACCGATGAGTTGTCCATTGCGGGAAATCCGAGTCATCTCTTCGGAAATGCGCGTGAATTGCATTAATAGACATCTAATGAAAGAATTTCTGAATGAATTGAATAGTATTTAGAGTTTGGTATTTAGGGTTTACTCCGCCGTCAAAAGATGGCGCCACTAATCGGAATGTTATAGAAGTGGGAAAAACTGATTCGTGATTAACCGCTGATATAATTCCCGGACGAAAGGCTTCTTCTAAACCGACCATTATTTCCGATTCGCCCAAAGAGTTGACTCCTTCACAACGATAAACGCCGTAAATATCGCGTTGAGAAGCGGCCCGAGGATCGACTACTAGACGACTGATTCCGGACTCGGAATTCACGAAAGAATAAATCGAATTCTGGAGTATTTGTTGTCCTCTAAAAAACCAACGAATCGTTGCGTTCGGAATGGCGTCCGCGATGCACGTGACTGCAGTCGGATTAATTCGGATTTAGAGTCGGATTAAGATTCGGATTAAGATTACTGACTGTTGACTGGATTTCTGTCCCAATGTTTGACTAAAAATGGAAAAACGGATTAAAAATCGATTGAAAAAAGGATTAAATGAAACGAACCGGAAGTCAAAGGCGTTCGACTCATATCCGGTGCAAAACGGACTTCAAGACTGCGAAAAGACATTAAAAGGACTTCCAATCAAGAGATGACTTACTGAGCGGCCATTTCGGCGATTCCGGCGTCGTTGTGTCCGCGGCAGAAGTAGAGGCCGTCGTCTTTACGCGTCTTTCAGTAGAAAAACATAATTATTTGGATTAAGATTTCGAGATTAAGGCTTACAATAGGATTAAGACGTAATTCGAGAATTTGTTCGTCAATTAAATCTCCAGATAATACGGATAAAGACACGCGTGGATCTCCTGTGGCCAAAGATCGCGAATCTCCGTCTCTTCTGATCGACAATTGCGGCTTTGGATCTCCTAAAACGTGACATCGAATAACGGCTTCAGAATTCTGATCCACAGATGAATTCGCGAAATGAGAAACACGTGGTCGACGAAGAACTCGCACTAAAGTTGTCTTTTCATCGGATCCGGCGGCGTCTGAGGATTAAGACGGATTAGAAAACGGATTAAGAAAAAGCAATACTTTCTGCAAAACAAGAGAAAAGTCCGGAATTTTCTGAACGAAAATTCGTCGCCAAAAGAGTTCCGGAATTTCTGTCAACAGAAAAGCCGCCCAAAGAAGACAAATTGCGTTTATGCGAATCAAACCAAGTGTAGAGTGGCGGAGGAGTTCCTCGAGATGAACAACGAATTGTCGCGTCTTGAGATTCAATCACAGAAGTCATTGGATCTAAGAATTCGATTTTCGGGGGTTCTTTTGGGGGAAAAACTCTTTTAAATGTTTTGTGAATTAATAATTAAAAGACAAACCGAGGATTTGGACGGTTATGAAAGTCTGCAAAAGAAAGCATTGAAAGCATTGAAATCATCTAAAGACAAGACTCACGTCGTGAAGACGACCAGTTTCGGCTACGAGAGCGCGAACGCGATAAACACCTGAAACGACCGAAAGATGTCACCACTTATTCCATACTATTATAGAATATCAATACTAATACCGCCGTCACGTGATTCAACCGATTCTATTGAAAGACCCGTCGAATCGATTTCAAACCGCTTTCGAGTCTCAAGAGTTGATCCGTCTTTAGTCCAAATCAATGTCGGCTTTGGATTGGCTTTTGCGGCGCATCGGATCCGGTTTTCACTCTTTGCGCCCAAAACTAGAGTTTGAATGGGAGGACAGTCTTCCCACGTGACGTCATCTTCATTATAGAGATTAAGATTAAGAAATGGATTAAAGGATTAAAAGACTTACGAAAAAACGTGAGATTAAGTGTCGCCGAAAAGGAATCTGAAAAAAGAGTGTAAATCTCGAGATAAGACATGATTGTTGACGAACCCGAATGTTGGAAAGTCGCCGAACACCGGTATTGACCAGAATTGTCGGCCGTCGGGTTCGCGAAGTGCAGAAGCAGACGACCCGAGTTGTCTGTCTGCGCAGTCGCAGAAATATCGGGATTAATGCGTTCGGAATATCTGTAAATCGGAGTTCATTTAGAAGAGGGCGTGGCGTTCATTGACTTACGTGGGAGTGACCTCTTGTTGTCGGGGGTCAAACCATTTCAGGTCAGAAAACAGATTCGGTTCCTAAAGAGGGTCAGAGGTCAGAGTGGGCGGAGTTTAGCGTTCGGTTAAAGGACTTACGGCTCCAATACCACGACAGGTCAGAACAAACTGTTGATGTGCGGGTTGATGAACGGCTGCAGCCGACGGACTAATGGCCAGACCAATAGTTGGCGTCTGGTTGGCGATCGCGCGGCTGAGAACTAATGAATGGTTAATAATGTTGTCGTCTTTGAAGTCGTCGTTCGAAACGACGACTAAAAACTCACTTAAAAAAAGAGAAAAAACGACGAAAAAGAAAGACATCGAAAAAGCGCTCATAAGTCACGTGGTCTGACGTCACACCAAAACAAACACTTCGCGCGTGCGATCACTTTATTTAAACACGTGTTGCACGTGAAGGCACTCAACAGTCAATGATTTGCGGAATTGTTGGTCGTCTCGATTTTGGAAGCGGTGGTCTCTCATCCAATCGCGAGTCGTCGTCCGAGACGTCCGAAAGTCCGACGAATTCCGAGATTTTGACTGAAATTAAATGATTTTTTAATGATTTTTTGGCTGTTTTTCGGATGTCTTACTCGTGTCGGCCGCCGAACACATCTTCCAAGTCGGACGTCGACTTCGTGTCCGCGGTAAAGCACCGAATGCTCGCGAATCGGGAGTAATGTGTTGAACGACTCCCTGACGCCTCTCATTGGCCAACGGAGGAGATTCTGTGAATTCTCGAATTCCTGAGTAATAAACGTTAAGAATGGGCGGAGTCTGTCATACACTGACAATACTGACCGGGATCTGTGGGCGTGTCTGAACTCAACGATTCAAAAGAAGGAGAGACGACATCCGGACGACACGTTATATACGGAGAGACGACGTCCGGACGACACGCCATATCTCGAGTGAAAACACGGACTAACTCTTCGTTGGTCTGATTGGACGAACACATGGATTGCGTGGACGGCAGACCCGTGCGGCAAATGTTGGCCGAAAGTGCGTAACCGACGGCTCGCGAATCCGAAGATATTTGTCCGCAAATGAGAAGAGCGTCTGAATGTTTTGCGTCGTCCGGGGCGACGGCACCACTGATCGCGTAAAGACCGGTGTCCACCGGACCCGAGGTCTGAGACACTTCGGCGGTGAGTGAAGCGCCACATTTGGCGCACGTGAGGGCGTTGTTGTTGTTGTTTTGAAATGTTTCCGAACGACGCATATAAGCGATAAGACAGACGACGGCAACCGCTCCCGAAATCAAAATCACTAACGAAGATAATAACGACACCAAAGTTGCCGTTTCCGCGTCCACCGCCGCTCCCGACGGCCACAATTCACGCGTGGAGTTCCACTCGTCTGAAGAGTCCATTCTGCGGAGCAATGGTTGCGCCGACGCATTCAGTCTTCTATTTTTCAATAAATCAATCGATAAAAACTAATTATCCTTTCTTTTCCGACAAACAACTGATCAAAACAGTGATTGCACGCCATTTGGTGTTCGGGAAATGACCCGAAGTGGTCGCAGTGTCAATTGGGCGGAGATTTAAAAATTGCGCGCTTTGTTGCTATTGGTTATGACTTTCAGCCAATCAGAGATCGAGTTTACGACAAATGGCCGAAAATTGCGTAAAAATGAAAAATCGTAAACAAATCGGAAAAACACGAAAATTGGTCCGATTTTCGGGTCCTCGAAGAGCGGCCACTCTTGAGAGGGACATTGTTTTGACACAAGTCGTTGAAAGAGTGCGTTCGGGACAAGAATTGTGGCGTCGATTGTGCGGTGATTCGGACGACGACCAAAATGTTTGTTTCGGTGTTTCCAAGACTTTGTCTGACTTTTATTTCTCAGGATTTCCACGATTTTGATGGTTTCGACGCTTTCGACTGTTCGCCGAAAGGTTCGGTTCGAAAGTGAGCGCTGAGTCGTATTTACGCCAAACTCTCACTGTTTTCCCGCAGAGTCGACGTCCGGGACGACGACACACACGACTGACGACGTCCGAGACGACGCTCAACACGACGTTCGGGACGACACACGTGACGATGCGCCGCATTTGGACACGAATCACATTCAACGACTTCTTCGCAATCGTTGGGAACAAAGAATCCGCCAATTGGTGGCTGAAAAGCAAAAGCCCGAACTGAAGAGTCCAATTCTGCGTAAAGCGCGTCTTCAGGTTAATCCACAAACCATTGCTCGCATTCGAAGCCGAATGACAGCCGAGAGTTCTGTCAATCGAACGAATCCAAGACCGACTCTGGCCAAGTCAGTCATTCTTATTCTCTGATTATAAGTCTAATAGATATTGTGTCCACAGATCGGGTCAACCCGGTGTCATCACGTGCGCGATCTGCACTCAAACCAAATTCTACGCTCACGTGCAGAGACGTTATGGCGTCTTTTCGTGCGAACCTTGTTCCAAATTCTTCGCGCGATTTCTTCGTCAACCGAAACAGTTTTTCTGTTCGCAAAACGGTTTGTCTTCTTCTTGTTCTTGTTGTCCACTTCTTCAATATTACAATAATTGCAAATTCAGGCGATTGTTTGCTTGAGGAGTCGTCGTCCAAGCGATGTAAGGGCTGTTGGTTGAGTCAATGCTTCCAAAAGTTTAAAGTCGAACAAAGCGTTCGTCAAAGCGTTTGTTCGGAATTCGCGCCAAAACTCGTTTCTCCGCCAAACGTCGCGCTCATCACTGGTTTAGATCTCAATTGTTGTAATGATTTTCTAATAGTTTTCTCTTTCAGTCGACACTCAAAGCACTCAAAGCTCTGAAACCATTCAAAACAACAAAACCAATGATAACCACCTCTTAATGGTCGCCCGACCCCAACGCCCGTCCGGACCTCGCGTCAAGCGTGTCTGTCGTTCGGCCGGAACTGCTTCCGGTCTTCGGCGCGCGACTTTCGCCGAATCAGACGATCAAACGGTTGACGTCTTTCTCTTTTCAACGCATGCGCTCTCTTCGCAAGAATGCGATGGATGTCGTTCTGAAGACTGCGTTAAAGACAACAAAAAGTTATCATCGGTTCCAAAGTCTTCGGGAAGACGTTTTCGACCAAACAATTCGAATCAAAGATTTCCGCTTTCAGTCTCTTAAGTGCCTAAAAACGCGTTCTTTATGTAAATAAACGTTATTTATTGCAAATGTCTTTCGCAAACCCAGTCGTCGTCCCGAACGACGTCTTTTCGGTCGTTTCGCGCGTCAACACTCTTCTGCCGTCAAACAGGTCTTCGCTTATCAAATGTCTTGTTCTCTATTCAAACTCCGAATCCTCAGATCCGCCGCTTTCCGTTTACTTCTTTCGTCGCCTCAATGGACACGTGAGTCTTCAGTCGTCGTCCCGAACGTCACGTTTTGGTCAAACCTTGCTTTCAAAGCACTTCAGGTTTTCTCTCTTTTTCCTCATTTCGATTGCATTTTGTGACCACTTTTCGCGCAGTCATCCGATGTCTCGCAACACACAACAGCCGCACATTTCCTGTGTTTGTTGTTGGACGCCGTCAGTCGTCTTCCGCAATCAATTTCCGCAAAGATTTTCTCTCAGATTTCAACCACAGTTTTGATTCCTTCTTTCGATCTTTTTCTCAATTTTCGATTACGTCTTTCGCCTTCACTTTCGTGTCGTTTATTGAGTCGTCTTTTGTCGTCGTCCGGGACGACGTCCAGACGTCCACTTTCTTCTTTAAACTCTTTTATCATTGATTTATCAAAAACTGGAAAAACACATGAAATCCAAGATTGTTCCGCTCTTTTTGTTAGTCTTCCTCTTTTCTCTTCATCTGTTTCTTCACGAAAAAATGTTTTTTCCGATCTTTTTTCTCAAACTATCGAACAATTACTTCAACTTGAAGATGAAAGATCCGTCCATTTCTGGTCACTTGTCGCCTCCCGACTTTGTGTGTCCGCTCACGTGTCCTTCATTCCGGCGGCCACTTTGTTCGGCGCCGCTCTTTCGCTCCAAAAACGCGATTTTCCGCCGAAATATTGTTTTTGGATTTTGGAATCACTTCTTGTTTCGTAAGAATTGATTTTTTTCGAAATTTGAATTAATTTTGATTTGATTTCAGATTAAAAAACGATTTTCTCGTTTTTATTGTGAAAACCAATCGCCTCCTCGACGCCTCCTTCAGCCAATCGTTTTCATGGATTCAAGTTTTGCCTTTTCTTCGAAAATATTTGACTTTTTTTGGACAAAAAACTTGTTTTTCTTTCGACTCTTTAAACGATTTTTCGAACAAAATCTCACAAAACGTTTGTTTTTTTCGTTATTTTTGTGAAATATTTATTTTGTTTTTCATTTTTTTAGATTTTTTCTGAAAACTCTTTTTCCGACTCGACTTTAATGGACGCCCTCCACTGCCTCCGCCTCCTTCATGAGACGTATGTCTGTGAGACGACTTCTCGACTGTTTCGGGACTTTTTATTCAAGTCTTTGACGCGTTTTTACAGTTCGACCGAAACCTTGGAATTGTGTTTAGTTTTGAGGCAAGAATTGAAAAATTGAAAACTTTTTAATACTATTTGTGTTTTTAGACCCGAATATCGTCTTCTTGTTTGGCGAATAACTTGTTCTCTGATTTCTCGACATTCAATCGATTCAAGCGTTTATCGAACTCTTGTTTCGTTCGCGCGTTTGGCCGCTATTCGCGACTCTGACTCAAGAATTCGCACTTTTTGTCGAAAAACTATTCGATTATCGATTAATCGGATTTCAGAATCGATTTTCGATAAATCGAATGAAAAGCAAACAAACGCTGAAATTCAAGAATTGTTTAAAACCAACGAAAATGTGATTCAAATCGAAGAAGAAAAAGGAGAAGAAGAGGAAGAGATCCAAATCTTAGAAGACATTTTCAGACCAATTGTCGAAAGAGAGGACTCAGAACCGAAAAGACGTCGAATTGAACCACAAGAAGCGGAAGAAGAAGTCGAAGAAGTTCTGAAAGATTTTGTTTTTGATTAAAATATTTTAATAAAGTTTAAGAATTGATTCAAGAGATGGCGTTGTTTTGACTTTTTTATAACTAATTCAATGGCTGAACGACGCTTTACGCGTCTTAAGGCATCGCTCTCGGAAACGGCGGCCAAAACCCGAGAGAATGTGTCCCGAGAATTACGACAATCGATGGTTAGTGCGGATTCGGTTGCGGACGACGCGTCTGTTGGCGAAGACTATGAATCGTTTGTTCGCAAAGAAAGCCATCGTTTTGTCGAACGGTTTCCCGAAAACGACATTTCCGTGAGTTTTTTGAATCTTCGACTTAATCTTCATTTTGTTCTTCTTCTAGATTGAAGTGATTCCGCCTTTGGATTCTTCGGCTTCGAATGACTCTTCGGTTATAGCAATGGCTCGTGAATGTTGTCGCCATTTATCGACTGAAAGACGTGTTTTTCGGTTTCAATCGTTCGACGAATTCTTTGGATCTGTTTTTGACATTTGTTCGGAAACAACGATTGGAAAAGGATTGAGAACTCATGCTTTAGAAGAAGTGGACAAAAGTGAAGAATCGAAAGAAATAGTGAGAGAATCGGCAGTTGTTATGAACCGAATGAACGGATTTCTGAGTCTTTGGCGTCAAAGCGATCACTGCTTTCTTTCCTTTTTTCGCGACCGAAAGCGCGAACATCTCATTTGGACTCAAGAAGTCACTCAAGAGGTCCGTCGTTCGCAATCTGTTCTTCACGTCGATTGTCACGCAATCGAACTTCCAGACGAAGAAACAGTGATTAAGTGGCAAAACGACATAAACGGCGCGCGTTTCGACGCCCGAAGATCGTTGTCTCGAATCGGATTGTTGTCATGGAAATCGATTCAAACTTTTGAAAAACAGAACCGATTATCGAATTTGTTTATTGCATATCACGATCTCAACAAAAGAAAAGGACTTTTTTCTAATTTAAAACCAAAACCTTTTTCCACTCTTTTGTCGACAAAAACATTGTCTCAACTGATGGTCACGTGTTTTGCTCTCGAAATTCCCAATAAAGCGCGTGGAGACCTCTTCCGCGCCAAACTGGCCATTTTCGATTCTTCGGGAAAACAATCTTCAGATTTCCGCTTTCGATGCGATGTTTGGCCACAAAAAGCGGTTTTTTGGACGGAAGACGTGTTGAACGACGCGTTTATTGTTTTGCGAATCGAAAGACAACACAACTGCCATTCGGACACTCATTGGGAACCGTTTGCGTGGAGTTTTCGTTCTTTGAATAGCATTTCGAATAACGAAAACTCGGAATCTTTTGGTCCACTCTTTAGAAGCGATTCTTCGAGAATATCTGATGATTCTGTCATCGCTTTTGTCACTTCAGCCGAAAAACCCCGAACTTTGACTACAATTGGCGGACAATTGACGACTAGTTTTCGCCGAATAACAGCCATAGATATGGACGCCATTCGTGTGGATCGTCTTCGTCCCCGTGATTGTCCTCCTGAAGCCGTGAATCACGTTCTGTTTGTGTCTCCGGTCAGTCTTCGCTACGAATCGCAGAAATTGTTCCCAAAGGCTCGGAATCTTCAGCTTTCGGTCGAACTTCGAGATTCTGATTCTTCGGAATCCATTTCTCTTTCATCTCTGAATGGAATTCAAACTCAAGTCTTAACTTCAGTTCAAAAACATAATCCAAATCCGGATTTCAATGAAGAAATTCGAATTCAATTACCGAATCATATTTCAGACAAACTCCACGTGTTGTTCACCTTTTCGCACGTGTCCTGCAAGAAGGAATGCGTTCGTCACGCCGTCGGCTATTCCTGGCTTCCGATTGGTCGTCACTCGACGTCCACTTCGGCCGTTCTCTCCGTGTTTGGATCCCTTCCTCAAGGATACCTTTCGTGTCAGTCTTTGGGTTTAGGAAAAGGTCTTTCAATGCCAGACACGAAATGCGTCGCAAAAGACGTCTTTAAACTCAATCTTCGTCTCAACTCTTCTCTTCTCTCACGTGACGCTCAACTCAACGCCGCCGCCGACTGTCTTGCAAAACTCACCCGCGCTGACGACGGGCGCGATCTGTCGCGTCTCGTGTCTCTTGAAGCCGCCGTCGGACGCCATTTGCGGTCTCTGACCACTTGTGACGTCACAGAACTCGTGCGTTTCTGTCCGATTGTCGTCCAATTAATGCTCGATTTGGTCGTGACGTCACTCAACGCTGACGTCAGACTTGATGCTTTCTTTTCTGTCATCCGATTGGCTGAACGTCTTCAACACCGCTCTGACGTCATCGCGCGCTTTGTGGACATGGATTTCCGAGTGCCGTCGGTTGTTGACTCTGCAGCTCACGAGACTCTGGCCGCTACTTTGGTTAGTCTTCTGGATAGTGTTGAAAGCAGTGAAGAGGAGTCGCGTCTCGTTTTGCGTCACTTATGGTAAGTCGTGTTCCGATTGGTTGTTTGTCTGAATCAGATCCCGCCTCTAGGTTTCCGCTCCGCCTTCTGGTCAAAGCTCTGGTCCAATGGCTTTTCGACAACAGTCTGTTCTCCGCCTTTCGTGAAAACCGTTTTTCCCGCAAATTCTCGTTAATCACTCGACAATTGGTTTCTCGCGTGACGCGTCTCATAACTCAGTGGTCACGTGCAGATGAAAGTCAATCCGCGAATCGAAGTCTTTCGCACTTTATTTGTCGACTTTTGTCTCTTTCCGATCGCTCCGAAGCCTTCAATTTAGCCGATTCTCATCTCCGGTCTCTCTATTCACGAGACGTTCTTCTTTCCGAACTCCGCCTCCATTTTCTGGCCATTCTTCTTTCTCACGAACATTTAGTCGCTCTTTCAGACTCCGCCCCCTCTCTGTCCCGCCCTGACGCCCACTTTCTTCCGCAACTCCTATTTCGCGAACTACGCCACGCCCTCAGTCAAAGTGTTCGTCACGTGCGTCAACTGGCCGTTCAGTTATTGCGTAATTTGTTGGCCAAACACGCTCTGGACAGACGTTATTCCGACCGCAAAATCTTGCGCCGAGTTGTCTCTCTCTACAGACCGACTATGGATGTCATCGCTGCTCACGTGACTCCTCTCCTGGACACTGCTTCTGAAGACCCGAATCGACGAACGGACGAAATTCCACAACACGCGCGTCATCACTCACTTCCCGCGCGATTCGATGTCTTAAATGGCGACGAATTAAGAGATCTTTTGATTTGTTTTGCTTTTCAAACGTCTCTTCTTTCGAAACAAGATTTCAGACAACTTTCCGCTTCCGCTCGCGAACGCCTCCTTATTGTCATGGAAACCATTGTCAACACTTTCGCCTTCAAGACCGACGCCATGACTGCCGACAGCCGCTCCCGAACTCTTCCATCCGCTCTTCAATCTCAAGATTTACAAGTTTTTCTTTGTCGTCAGAATCTATCGGTTGAAACAACGATCATTGCTTTGCGTTCTCTTCGTCTAACGGTTGCGTCTATCGGGACGACGGATGCGGACGACGAAACACAACTTTTGCTGCGGAGAAGCGCTTCTCTCGTCGTTTGTCTTTTATCTCATTCCCAAAGCCCTCCTCTCGTTGTTCACATCTTTGACGTCATAGCACTGATGGCACGTGACTTCCCGAAGCAGTTCTTCTCTCTTCACGCGTTATTCGCGCAAATCGTGGCCAAAGTTGTCGAGTACTGCGACTGCGCTCTAAAGCCGGTCCGCGACGCGGGAGTTGACCTTTTGGTGAGTTTTTGTCTGTTTGTTTGGATGAATGAATTGAAATGACTTTTCTGCCGACAGTTCTCTCTGTTTGTGCTCGACTTCAAGCGGACGCGATTCGAGACAATAGTTTGCGTCTCGAGAGTGGCTTCTCTCCATAATCGCGATCTTTCGCGCTTCCAGTCGGCTCTGACCCGATTACAATCTTTGGCCGACGCACACGAAATGTTTTCACAAGAAGACCAACGATTGGCGCAAACGGTTTGCAGAGTTCGAGACATTCTCAGAGCAACGCATAGAATCCGAACCGAATGTCGAAATGCCTTTGAAAACTGCGAACTTCGGCTCTTTCTGGCCAACTCTTACGCTCAGACCAGTTGGGCTTTGAGGCGGACTTGGATTGAGAATTTAGCGGCCGTTCATTTGCAGAACGGTGATTGGCCAGAACACGCCATGTGTTTGTGTCACGCAATCGCTATTCTTGTGGAACAATTACGCGCYAAAGGAGTGGTTCTTCCGAATGCACGACAATCTGTTGGAAGCGTTTCGCCGAATGTCGCAAATGACGACACGAGAGTCGAAAGCGACGATTGGTTGGAAGCCGAAGACTCGAGTCATGTGACTCTCGAGTCTTTGGAGCGTTTAATCGACGAATGTTGCGATTCGTGAGTCAGAGTTCACTCAAACTTCTTAACCTTTGACCCCTTTATCTCGCAGTCTCGACAAAAGCCAACTTTTCGAATTAGCGCCACATCTTTTGCAAGTTCTTGTAGACCACGCGCGCCTCCACTCTGACCACAAACGGTAATAGAATGAACTGAACTGAAACTGAATCCAATCTCTAATCCATTGATTCAATAGTTTATCCATTTTATACACGCGATTGTCTCGAATGCATTGTCGCGCTCTCGAAGCCAACGAATCGGGTCGACGTTTATTCGACACTTATTTCCGGTAAAACTTTGATTTGATTGTTTGATTGGTTAATTTGTAAATTTGTTTATCCAATCAAAAGCGTCGCTCATTTCGGTTCTCAAAACTCTGAATACGTTTATCGCGAATCAAAAGCCGTTTCTTTGGCTGAAATGACAGCAAAACTCCAAAGACTTCATCCAAACGCCACTATTGTCTCCGACTGCGACGCCGACGCCGTCTCCGAGTCGGCCATTGTCGTCACACACGTGACTCCATTGGCCGACGGCGCGCGGGACGATTTGGAGAGATTTGTGGGACAAAAGAGATTTGTTTACGAACAGCGCATCTCAAGGGAAGGATTCGCTCGAGAAGACGTCCAAAACCAGATGAAACGACGTGTTGTTCTTCACACCTCTAATTGGCTGCCATTTTGTGTAAAACGAGTTCCAGTTGTCGACAGAAAAGACACTGTTTTGCAACCAATAGAAGTGGCAATCGATGAAATGGAATCTCGAGTTCAACAATTGGAACGCGTCCTGACTTCGGCCGACGCCAAACACCTTCAGCTCGTACTTCAAGGATCCGTTTCGGTGACAGTCAATTGCGGACCTGTGGCCTACGCCCGCGCTTTTCTGCGTCCGAATGCCGAAAGCGAATCGAGAGAAGAGCGCAGACTCCGAACGGCTTTCGCGCGTTTTCTGAATGCTTGTGAGCGCGCACTCAAAGCGAACGAACGTCTGATAAAATCGGATCAAACGGAATATCATTCGGCACTGAAAGAGGCGTTCGAAAGAATGCGAGCGGAAGTCGACGTCGAAGGAGACGGAAAGAGAACTTCAGTTCAGATCTTTGACGTCATTTCCGGCTCTTCTTTGGCCTGAATTTGCGTCCATTTTATTTACATAAAAACACCCGAAAACACGTGACCAAAACCGCCGCCATAGCAACAGACGCTTGAGAGGCTGAAGACGTGACGAAAGCGAAGACATTGGATTTGGTTGATCCGAACTGATTGTGAGCCACAACTGATACTTCATAGTTGCCATCTTTGTCCAAATTCCGCAAAACGAATCGTTGAATGTGCACGTGATCGGCGTTAGAGGCGTCGGGTTGAACGGAAACAGCCGTCCATTGCGTCGAATCCAATCTTCGGAATCGCAAGTCATAGGCTGTGATTGGAGATTGAGATCGAACGCGCCATTCAACCGAATATCTGTCGCAAAAACAAGTCTTTAGTCTTTTAGTCAAGTCTTCTCTCTCTTACTCTTCGAGACCGCCGGCCAACGGCGCTGACGTGAATTGCGGTCGTCCCGGACGTCCAGTCACTTGAACGACGGCTTCATTGGTTCCAATTGAGTTATTGGCTGAACACGTGTAGTTGTCGTACAATTGATTGGTGACGTTGCGAATGGTCAGGACGGCGGAAGCGTTTACTCGACGGAAACGGAAATCGTCGGAAGGCGTTAAACGCGTTAATCCCCGACGCCATTGAATGTCGGCCTAAAAACCACTTCAAAGTCAACAAAAGATCAACAAATCAATGGACTTACGGCCGGTTCGGCGTCAACCGCACATATCACGTCTACCGAGTGACCAACCGGCGCATGAATCAGGTCAGGATCGGCACGAACTTCGGGTTTATCTGAGGATTAGTCAATGGATTAGTCAATGGATTAGTCAATGGATTAGTCAATGGATTAGAGAGTGGATTAGAGAGTGGATTAGAGAATGGATTCTTACGGAGAAGACGAACACGAAATTCGTGATGAGTTTGACCTAAAATTCAATAAAAACTAAATTAAATGAAAACCAATTGTTTCTTAAATACCGATTGCATTGACTGCCGAACACTCGTAGACGTCGTCATCCATTCGAGTGGTCTTCGAGATCATGAGTTCGGGTCCGGAACCGATTGTCACCGAAGACTGCAATCAAAGAGTTATTTGTTTTGATTTCTAAACGAATTACTGGTCTTTACTTTGGATTTTCTCCATTCAATGGTATCGGCTTCGGCTTCGCACTTGAGGTGAACGGGTTGACCGACGTGTAGAACGAGATCAGGACTCGAAGGAAACGGACGGATGTGCGGCGGTCCTAATAATCCAGTTATTAATCGATTAATCGATTGATTGGTTTGTTTCTCACCGACGACAACGACGTTGTAAACGATTTCTTGCGGAGGATTTGTCGACACTTGACAACTGTATTCTCCGGCATTTTCGGGTCTAAATGCGCGAATGACAAGAGATCCCTTGACGTCATCTCTGGAAATGCGGTCATCTCTATGAATACGAAGATTTCCAGCGAAAAGAACGTGCGATCGATTGAATTTCCAGAGAATCACAAATTCTCCTAAAATCAAGACAAAAGACATTCCAAACAATCAAACACTCGATTCGAACGATGTTTTTATACCCAAATCGTGAACTTCACAAAACAGTTCTACAAAACAGACAACAAATCAATCATTCATTCAATCAGTCATTCATTGAATACAAACCGACGTCTTCTCCCTCGCGAACCACGCGTTGACCCTTAAAACACATTCACATAATAACAACACTTTCGGCGCCAATACTATCAATACTCACGCCTTGAGACACGAATTGAGGTTCATTAGTGGCCGGACGCTCTTCGGGACGGACACCTGAGTATTAGACCTTTAGATGAAACCAAATGCAAATCAAAGACAACCAAACCTGCAAAACAACCGAATAATGCAAAACATAGGACCAGACCAGCGGCCAAATTGATGGACATTGTGTTGAAGGATGTGTTGACGCCCTGAACCAAACAAAAGGGGGCGGAGTCTCGCAAACAACAGATGGCGACTCTGTTTCGCGAAAACCAAAGAATTTCATTGTTTTTATTTTCCGATTAAACAAAATCATTAAAAACGTCTTCAGATTCTGACATTTTGGCCGAAGTCGAGATCCGATTGAATCCAAAGTCAAGATCCGATTGAATCCAAAGTCGAGATCCGATTGAATCCGAAGTCGAGATCCGATTGAATCGGAAAAAGCGTTTCGCAAGCGATCGAAGAATAAAAAATTAGAAAAGTTTTGATTTTTCGATTTATTGTCCATTTCTGACCAACAAAACGGTTAAAATCCCCAAAACATAAGCCACCTGTTGATTAAATTCTTAGATTCTTATTCTTAAGACATTCTTAAGTCCATTCTTACCACCAATTTGTGAGTTTCGCCGATAATCACTGGCCATCGACTGTCTGTTGATGTCTCTGTAGGTAACATCAAAAGAACGAGACAAACAATGGCCGCAATGGCAGAAAGCATTGGATTCGACGAGTGATTGACTGTTCCATTGAAGGGTACGTCGGAAAGGGACGCAGCGACCGACGGCAGCGGTGCAAATGCGTCGTCGTCCGGGACGTCGTCTTCGGCGCCAAAAGTGACGTCCAGTTGTCTCTGGCCGTGACGTCGCGCGCCTTCCGTTTCGCGAACTGTGATTAAAAACTTTTCGGTAGTAATTGTGTCACGTGTTAGTCGAACGGCTCTAAGAAATGGCGTTTAGAAGACTATATGTTCTATAAAGAGATGAATAGAGACTTACATATCGAGACAATGTCGCGCTCTGACCACTCCTTCCGAAGACGATAACGAAAAAGACGTCGGATTTGTGGCCAAAACTGTAAAACAAAATAGAGTTTAATCTAAAAAGAGATTTATTTTGAACTGACTTTGAAAACGAAGCGCAAAGTCGTATGGATTGTACAAAGAGATGGATATCGCGCGCATCCGTCGGGAAAAACGCAAAGCATTCGGAAAAACAAAGACCGGAATCATTGCCTCTTATTTATTGACATAATTATCACGTGATTAGCGAACGATTGTGTTTCTGAACGAAGTGTTGTCTTTCAACGAATCGCAATGAGTCTTGTATTCCATTACAGTATTCGGCGGTAAATTCAAAACACGTCGTAAAGTATCGCGAATTCTAACCGTCGTTTGAGAGTCAGAAGCCGTTCGGTTCCAAACAGATATTATGTCCTCTAAGAACAAATTGTCACATCATTTGTCTCTTTATTATCACCGAAGGATCAAATACTGACCTTGAAATCGACAAGAGACAACTGCACCGCAGATTTCGTGTCCGACCATAAACTGTTCTCCTGTTTTGAAAAATCGCGTCATTCTTTGACAATCGAATCCTTGTCTTAGTTCTGGTCTTTAGAGCGACCAATACTTACCGAGAAGCGCGAGCAACAGGTTTTCCCAACAACGCGAGGCCAGACCTGAAATCGACGGCAAATCAGAAAAGACGGAACAACAACAAGAAGAAGAGGAGGATGTTTACCTTTACGCAAGCGAACGATCCATTTTCCGCCATCTTTGTTGGCGTCGTCCTAAAGAAGAATCGGAAAACAATAATCGATAGTTGGAAGACACGAGACGGACAACAGACCTCCCACATCGGGCGAATGCCGTGTTTGAAGACGTGAAGATCGCAATGACCGGTCAATTCATTCGGTCGAACGAGATGTGAATAAATGGCCCAAAACTGGTCAACAGTTGCGAAAGAAGCGATTGCTTTGAGGTTTTGGTCGTAGGGTTGGTTTGCCGGCGCTTTTCCCGGCGCACGACGGCTAAACCAGATCTGATACTTGAATTGCAATTTCTGAAAGACAGGCGAATGAGATCCGTGTCTTGAGATTGACGTAAAAGACGGGAAAAACGCGCAAAACTTACTTTGTTGTCGTTATCGGCGGCCATGACTAAAGAGGAGACGCCATCTGGCGACTCAAACACAAAATAGCGATGGGAAGTGATTTATTATTGGCTAAGAATCGGGCCAGTGGTCACATGACGGACTGAATGAGGCGGTGACACACGTGTTTGTATTGCGAGGCGTCGCCCGAAACGCGACGCAAAACCAGTCGATTTGCGGACCACTCGAGAGCTATTTGGATGTCGTTGTCGTCGAAAGCAATCACATCTCGAGCGCCACTGAAGCGCGACAACAGACGCGTTGCGGCCGCCAAATCATCCACACAGATGGATCCACTGCCCGTCGTCGACAAAGCGGCCGACGCGTCTCTGGCCAGACTCTGCAGAGAAGTATAATGTGGAACATCTGATCGCGAAGTCGAAGCGCCGGCCGATGGATAGGTTTGTCGCAAATGACGCGACAAAGCGAACGAAACGCGACGGTCTGTTCGGAAAAGACAAACGAAAGTCATTTTAGATGTAAATTTAGAGACAGAACTCACTGTCTTCTTGCCATCGATGAAGACGTGACTCTTGAGGTTCATTCGCTGAGACATTGGCTTCGAGATTGGGTTGAGACGACACGTGCTGAAAGTCGACGGGAGGCGGAAGAATCGGAAACAAGGCTCCCGTGTCCGCATCCGTGACTGCAATCTGCGGCGCAACCGGAGATACGGGAGACGACCGGAACGACTGCGGCGGAGTCAACAACAGCGGAACCGTCGTGGCGCCCAACTCTTCGGATATGAGAGGAAGTGTTGGCGGAGGAGAAGATGGCAGAGAAACAGAAGGCGTGGCAATTGGGGAACAAACGGAGTGAATGGGGGAAGTCTGGAGAGACGGCGGAGAAGACACGCAAAGCGCGCGAAGTTCGGTCTGAAGCGAAGAAATGGAGATTTGCGGTCCGCGGACGCAAATGGAAGCGCCGTCTGATGCGCGACGACGGCTTCTGCGGATCAACAACGGATTAGCAAAGGATTAAGAAAGGATTAATGGATTACCGTTCATTAGAGACAACTGAAGTGACACTGGCGATTCCCGAACGTCTTTGACGACTCACGAGATCGTTTGCGTCGGTAAGAGAATGACGTTTTCTTCTTTGATAAGAAGATGGCGGCGAAGACTGATTCGCAGAAAATGAAAAGACGGACGCACTGGACGTGACGGACGGTTCTCGACTATCGATTCGGGTATAGTTGGCCTGGCCGTCCGATGCACGTCGACCCATGTCTCTTCCTGCCATTAACAAGACGTTCGGCGGTCTCAACAGATCCATGTGAGCCAAAGGATAATTGGGCGGCGCCAGAGGCAGATTCGCGATGGGCGGAGGCGCGGCCGCAGTGGGAGGAGTCAGGAAGAGTAAGGGCGGAGTCACCAATTGGTTGTGAGAATTGGCGGACGAAGAGTTGGTTTCCATTGGACCGAAAGTATGTCTTCTAAGCGGAGAAGCGACTGTTAATAAAGGAGTTGAAGGCGTGTCCGCACGCTCTACAACACCAGTTGTTATCGACGACTTGCGCTGACCAGCAGTCGACGGCACGAGCGGCAAAAGCGGCGGAGAGGGCGGAGCAGAGTGCGGGGGCGGATGACCAGAATCGGAGACCAAATGATAAAGCGCGTAATTGTGGTCAAAAGCACGCGTGCGCACTGACTCGCTGACACAAGACACGTCCACTTGCAACTCCCGAGCGACCCATTCGACAAGAGTCATGTCAATGTCGTCCACTTCTTCGGCCGTCGAGTCGGGAGTTGCGGTGGAAGTGGAAGAAGAGGTTCGAAGCCAACGGTGTTGTCGAACTTGAGTCAAAGAGAAGCGTCGATCTGGATCAGTTATCAACATATGACGGATCAGATGTTCACAATCAGATGACATAAAGTACGGGATTCGGAACTTTCCGGCCAAAACACGGGTCTTTAGAGACTGGAGAGTGTGTCCGTCGAATGGCAAAGCACCGCAAACCAAGACATACAAAACCACTCCCAAAGACCAAATGTCCGCTTTTGGACCCGAATAGTGCCGGCCTTCGAACAACTCGGGCGCCGCGTATGGAGGAGATCCACACCACGTGGCCAACAGTGCGTCACGTGAGAAGTAGTTTGAAAACCCGAAATCCGCTAATTTGACAGTTCGCAAGTCGGCCGAAAGCAGCAGATTCTCGGCCTTGAGGTCGCGGTGCACAATTCCCTGGCGGTGCAGGAAGTCCACGGCCGCTATGATTTGCGCGAAATAGTCGCGTGCGGCCGACTCCTGCATTCTTCCATTGGCCACCAATTGGTCAAAGATCTCTCCGCCCGCACAGAACTCGGTCACAAGCATCACGTGTTGCGCCGATTGCATGACCTGGTACAGACGAAGAATGTGTCGATGCGGTCGCGTGCGTTTCATGATGTCCACTTCACGCTGGAGTTTTCGCGTTTGATCCGCGTCCAGAGCTCGGGTGGAGATGACCTTGATGGCGACCTGATCCCGAAATGCGAATTCAATTACACAATATATAGACAAATAATAACAACCTTTGAACCCGTGATGGCGTGTTTGGCCAGTTTGACGACAGCGAAGTTTCCTTTACCTAAAGGCAAACGTTTGAGTCATTCATCCATTTCACACACAAACAACTCACCGATCGTTCGGACCAATTCGTAATGTCCGACGCGAACGGGAATCGATGTTTCGTCGGCCATTAGCGCAGAGTGCAGAGCGCGCGCGCGCAATGACGTCAGAGTGCGTCAGAAATGCGTTTTTATTGAGTCATTCAGTCGTCGTTCTCGTCGCGCGCCGTCTGCGCGTCCGCCACATACAGTGCCGGGTCGATGACCTTGGGAATGGGAGCGATGGTGGTCGACAGTTCGGCCTCAATGCGGTGCAATTGGTGGCGGTCATCGTAAGTGATGAGATTGATGGCCACTCCGAGATGTCCGAAACGTCCCGACCGTCCGATTCGGTGCAAATAAGTTTCGGCCATTTTGGGGAAATCAAAGTTGATGACCACATTGACGGCTTGGATGTCGATTCCACGCGTGAAGAGGTCGGAACAGACGAGATTGCGACACAAACCGTTGCGGAAGTCGTGAAATACGCGGTTGCGATGCGGTTGCGGCATTCGGGCGTGAATGTAATAACACGAATAGCCGAGTTCGGCGATCTTCTTGGCCAACAGTTCGACGCGTTGCGTGGAATTGCAGAAAATGATGGACTGATTGATCTGCAGTTTCGAAAACAAAGTATTCAAACAGTGAACTTTCTGTCTTTCCTGGACGAACGCGTAATACTGAGTTACGCCCTTTAGTGTCAACTCGTCCATCAAATTGATTTCATGCGCTTGACGAAGATGGCGGCGCATAAACTGCTCCACCGTTACCGGAAAGGTGGCCGAAAACATGAGCACCTGGCGGTCGGGAGGCAAGTGGCCGATCAACATGTCGAGCATTCCCTTGAAGTCTTGCGACAAGAGTTTGTCCGCTTCGTCCAACACCGCGATTCCGCATCTCTCCATTACGGCCACCTTCTTCTCGATCAAATCCAAGATCCGACCCGGAGTCGCAATTACCACGTGCACGTTGTCGTAGATGCGCATGATGTCGTCCTTGAGGTTGGTTCCGCCCGTCGTGACCATCACTTTGGCTCTCATGTGTTTCGACAGTTCCAAACAGATCTGCGACGTCTGTAACGCCAGTTCACGTGTCGGAACAATCACAAGAGCCTGAATGTGCGGAACAGTCACATCCACTTTCTGCAGTAACGGAATCACGTAGGCTCCCGTCTTTCCCGTCCCGTTCTTGGCTCTGGCCACGACATCGCGACCCAAAAGCGCCACAGGAATGGCCGCCTCCTGAATGGGCGACGGCCTCTCCCAACCCTTTTCGAAAATGCCCATCAGCAGTTCGCGATTCAGACAAAACTCGTCGAATTCATTGCCACGAGTGGCCGTCACGTCCGACGTCTGCGGCCGCATATCCTTCGGCGGCGCCTTCAACTGACTCTTCCAGTCGTCCCTAAAAAAGCGGTATTCGGTTAGCATTCGGTAATTGGCTTTGTTCTCGACAATTGACTCACTGTTTGAGACCATTGTTGCTGTGAGTGGTGATCATCGTTGCCATTGTTGCGATCGCTTCTGAATCTCAAATCAAATGACTTTCATTGGAGTGAATGACAAGTCTTTTATAGAGAGATGAATGACAAGAGTTGAGACAAATTCAAAGTCGGACTCAATGTTTGACACAAACAACCAATCATTGCAAAGATGGCGACCAATGAGTTCACGACAAACACTGCCCTCTCGTGACAAACACTTTCACACCAACAGATGGCTCACTCACTCACGTGACTCACAAACAAATGTCTTTAGAAGAGAGAACTCTTGTAAGTCTTCTTCCGAATCACTTCTTTCACTAATAATCGCCAACTCATAGGTTGTCCGCAATTTGGACGGCGTTTCCCGCGATTTGTTGGTCGAGTTGTTCAATCAGGTCAGTCAATAGACAACCACTTCTTGTACTTACTTTTGATTTCCATTCAAAGGCCGGACCCGTGAGTAATGATTGTCTTTTGAGTCTTTTTTCCCGAAACTGATTCTTAAACCTCAAAAGGTGGTCAATGTTGTCTTGAGAACGGACTTCGCGTACATTGAATTCGAACATAAAGTGTCTGTCGGTTACTCTCTGTAAGTGTTTGTCATTTCTGTCTCGTTTTGACCGATATTTTCCCGATTTAGAGCTCTTTTCGAAGGAATCTATATGTTTGGTCGTCCTCTTCATCTCGAGCCCAAAGTCCGCAACGATTCGGTTTGAAATCAGTTCTCAAATCTCCAGAATCTCTTACTTTCGGTCTTTTTTCAGTCCAATTACCACTTCGTCGGAGCTCTCAATCAGTTCAATCACGTGATGCATTACAATCCCGACTTTTTCCGTCAGTTCGCGCGAGAAGATTCGCATCGGGACACAGAGCGACGCCGAGACGTCGACCACCGGCGTTCGGGTGGACGGGACGAGCGAAGAAAGCGTTTTTAAAGCTAAAAGACTTTTATTGATCTCAAATAAGACTAATATCTAAACCAATAAAACTTTCCGCGCAATACTTCGTAATCTTCCAATTGTTCGATTGGACCGAATCCCGCCACAACTGGACATCTGTCCCACACGTGTTCCGTCAACACGTCCCGCACCTTACGAGCGTCCACTGCGAGCACGTGATCACGCCATTCGCCGAATGGGACGCGACGTCCGAAAGCCAGGACTTGAGAGCCGACATTTCGCGCGCAAACGACTGGATGTTGTTCTTGACGTGCGTTTTGCGTTAGAATGGTATTCTTTGCGCGAATCAATTCGTTTTCCGTGATTTCCTGACAAAAGCGTTTCCATTCGTAGAGTAAATGCCAAATAACGTCTTCTTGTTTCATTCGTTCGACAACTAAATAACAGCCGAAGAGTCCTGTGTCCGCAAATGAGTGACTAAAAGCGCGGAAAGAATGCGTCAAATGATCGGCCGAAGAACACAACGCCAAATACGACGAAACATCAGTTCCACCGCCGAAACTGCGATCCCATTGTCCCAAAAGCTAAACAACAAAATTACTAATTCTTCACTCAAATCACATGACATGACATGACTTACAGCTGCGGACAATTCCAAAGCAATGCGATCATTGGTTGCCGTAATCGGCGATCCCTCGACGGCTATAGCAATATGAGCTAAAGGCATGGCGTCGTCTCGAATCCGAATGTCTGAACCGGTGTATCGACTGCGGGGATGAATCGGCACTTGCGTCCTGTCATAAGTGGCCGTCACTGAACCGAAGTGTTGTTCAACGGCGCGAACACTTGAGAAGCAGAAGAATATTATTTAATTCCGATTAATAACTACTTAATTACCATTCATTATGATCGACGTCTCCGACCGCTGAAACCACGACTCGCGGTCCCTTTACGTGTGCACTGACGTGATTCAGCAGATGATCACGTGTAAGAGTGTCCACAACATGTGAACGACCGACGGCTGGAAGAGAAAGACCTGTGTTTTGAAACGCCATTGAATACAGAGAATTCATTGCAACCACTTCTCCGTCGCCATCTTCGTCACGCATGCGTTGTAGCAATCGTTGCCGACTTTGGTCAATTAGTCCGAAGTCAGTGTTGGTCACTAATTGGCCCAAAACCTCGACAGCGGCCTTAAGATCGGCTGATAAACAGTGGACTGAAAGCCATGTCTTATCACGTCCAACCTGACCCGTAAGCTGAGCCCCAATTGACGCCAATCTCTGTGCATTCGCTTTGTCTAACATTGAATGCAACCAAAGAGCAGTCGTTCCCGAAGTGTCTTCCGTCTCGTGACGCGAACCAACGTCTATTGTCACATTCACGCCAACAGTTGCACCGCCTGTATCTTCAGTGGCCACTCGCAATCCATTCTTCAGTTCCGTCTGATTATTACGTCTGACGTCTGGCACCGAAACGGCGGCCGAAAAGCGCCGAAATTCTGGTTTTGGACGCAAAGCTCGCGACGCAAATCTCAAGAGTGTTGTCGCCATTTGTCACGTCCTTTGCGAATGACTCCCAATTACTGCACACGAGTTTTGTTCACAAATCACGTTACTTTTATTTGTAAGCTTTTGGTTCCCTTCGCGTGCTTTCTGTGACCAGAATTGCCGTTCAAAGTGTTGAACAGTTTCGGCATTCGTTGAGTTCAATCACCGATTGGACGGTTGTCTCAGTTATTGGACATCCATTTCCACAAAGACTTTAATATCAATAGAGAATTGAAGACTTTGAGTGACTTTCAAATGTCCTCTAAATCTTTGAATGACTTGTTCTGTCTTTTGCCGCCAAATGAGATCCAAATAACACGTATTCTTGTTCTTCGGCCACAACTCTCTCCATCTTTGTGGTGATCGGAGTGCGGGCGCCGCATGAGCGCCACATCCGGTGACGCGATGCGCAATGGAGTGTCTTCTCCTCCGCGAACAGTCGTCACAAGAAGTTCTTTGATCTGTTCTTCGGGAAAAGTAAGACAAGATTCTGTTTAGATTAGTATTCAATTGAGACTTACTTTCAGGACAAATACACTTTTGATTCCGAGCGCGCGATTCTTCCGATTCGTTCCGTTGATTTGCAAACTATCGAAACGCCCGCCGAAGACCACGAGTCTTCGTCTTCTTCTTCTGTAGTCAAACGCGATTCCGTCGTTCGCCGTCTTGATGTGCATCATTCGGTGCGCGTGGACGGCCGTTTCCGCAATCCGTGGACCACGTGGACGCCACCATCTTTTGCTAATATCTTGAAGTTTGGTTTAGCGCGAGATCGCAGTCGAGTTCCGCCTAAAGAGGTTCAAACTTCGAGACTTTTAGTCCGATTCTAACCATTCTTTCAATAGGACTTGGATCTGGCCCTTCCAATGGTCCGCCCCGACTTCCGCGCCCCACCCGCCGACGCTCTGTCACTCACGTGGTTGGGGCATTCGACTCTTGTCGCGCGTTTTGACGGCATTTCTCTCATTTCCGACCCGATGTTCTCAGACCGCGCATCGCCATCGCAAGCCGTTGGTCCGAAGCGATATCGCGCGCCGCCGTGTTCTGTACACGACTTGCCGTCCGATTTGGACGCAGTTGTCATATCTCACGCTCATTACGACCATTTGGATAGAAATTCTGTCACTCTTTTGAACGCACGTTTTGGATCAGATCTTCGTTGGTTTGTTCCTCTGGGTTTAGCCGATTGGATGAGTGGTGTTGGCGTTGAGAATGTGGTAGAGTTGGATTGGTGGGAAGAGAACTGTGTTTCAGACAAAAGCGATGGTAAGACTCGACAACTCTTTTCCTCTTTTCTCACTCTCTCTTAGTTTCGTTTGTCTTCACTCCGACTCAACACTGGAGTCAACGCACGCTTACAGATGACGGACATGTTTTGTGGGGAAGTTGGGCCGTTGTTGGTCCGACACATCGCTTTTTCTTTGCCGGAGACACCGCTTATTGCGATGTTTTCCGTCAAATCGGACGAATGTACGGACCGTTCACTGCGGCCGCAATCCCGATCGGCGCATACGAACCTCGATGGTTTATGAGACAACAACACGTCGAACCGGCCGAAGCGGTTCGCATTCATCAGGACATCGCCAGTCGTTTCTCTTTGGCCATTCATTGGGGAACCTTTGCGTTGGCCAATGAGGTGAATGATCTTAGAAATAGACAATTCTCAAGACAACAACAGATAACAATTCAAACCTGTTTTCCAGTACTTCTTAGACCCACCCATGAAACTGCGCGCCGCTCTTGAGAGCGCACATCTCGAGGCCAACAGTTTCGCCACTTTTCTTCACGGAGAAACTCGACTCGTGTATCGCGACGGACGCGTCGAACGATCGAAAACCAAAGATTTTATACTTTAATTCATTTTATTCAATAAATCAATTCAAAACATTATATTCTCTTTGATGTCTTCTCCGCCGATACGTCGCCGTAACGGCCAATATCAACGCCACAGTCAATACCGTAACCAATACTAACATCACTACCGTTTGCGCACTCATCACGTCTGTCATGACTTTTCCCGATTCTTCAGACACTTGGGTTTCGGTCGTCGTCTCAATTGTCTCTTTTTGCTTATCTACTGAAGGTTCGGTTCCCGATTCTTCGTAATTACTCGCATTTTGAATCTTCGCTGTTTTGATCTCAATTGTGACAACCGATGGTTCGGTTCGCGAATGCGTTTCAAATTCAAACACAAACTCCGAGTCTTTTATTGCATTTCTGATTTGATCTTCACTTTGTTCCACTTTGACGATACTTTGTTCCATTGTTGTCTCTCTTGTAACAACCGATGGTTCGGTTCCCGATTCTTTCGGGTCTTTGTCTTTTGCATCACTTTGTTCCACATTTCTTGTGACAATTGATGGTTCGGTAGACTCTTGACCGACATTTCGACGATTTGTTACATTTCTTATTTGTGAATCGTTTCCAACACTTTCTAAAATGTCATCCAAACTACTCGAAAGTCCAATCATTGATTCAGAACGAAGACATTCCTTGTCTAATATCATTGGTGTCAAGTCTTCGGGTTTCAATCGGTTCTGAAATAAATATCAGATTTAAACAGAACTAAACTTTAATCGCAGACAAACCGGAAAAAGAAGACGAGGAATACGAAAATAGATGTTTTCACTCAAGAGATACACAAAGTTGTTGTCATTAAAAGCCGATTCAATCACTTGAGGAAAGTCGTGACGAATGACTCTTAAGTCGATGGCATTCGGGAAGCGATTACTGATATGCCATAAATGAAACCAATTGTAAGTCCAGATGCGATGTCCTTGAAAACAAACAAAATCGAAACAATGGATTTATATGGGAAACAATATATACCTTCGAAGAGATACAGAGAACTGCATCGAGACGGAAAACAAGTGGAACCGTCTTCGAGAAGAAGCACTGCATCGATTCGTTTGAGTTGTGGGAAGAAAGAAGACATGGGTTTCGGCTCTTTGTTCAACCAAAACATATGTTTCTGAAGATTGAATCAAATTGTAGAATCAAATCAGAGATTTTGAGAACTATTACCTCAAAAACTACAGAAACGCCAGTTTCGATGTCAATCACGCGATGCCTTCCGTCGGCCCATTTCGGTGGAAGGTTTGGACAAAAAGTGCCGAAAACGGGAGTCAAGAGAATGAAAAGGAAAATGATTTGCATTTCAATAGTTTTGTCAGTATTTGTGAGTAAAAAAAGAGTCAACTCTTGAACTGAAAGTCATTTCGACTGAAAAGACGTTTTATTTATATTTATTTACATTCAATGCTTTCGTTTCATTCAAAACTCATTCTTCTGAAGAGAACTTTCTCTTCCGTCTAATGTTTCATCCATTCGTCGATTATTATCTGCGGATAACATGAGAATACCTCCGAATACATCCATTAATTTCTCGGGCAAAGAATCCTTTAGTTCTGAGGCCAATATTTGCGACGAATTTTCTAAATTTCTGATCTCTTCTCTGATCCCCGCAATGGCTGACGTCACTTCTGTCCGAAAACTTTGTTCGCATTCAACCAGTTGTCGACGCATTGCTTCCAAAGCCGCCGAACAATCTTCTCGAATAGAACTGACGAGTCTATCAACAGATCCTTCCATCCGCGCCATAGTCTCGCGTGTTTGGCGCGCCTCCAACTCGAGCGCCGTCTTGTGTGTCCTCCAATCGGCAGCCGTGGCGTCGCAGAGTGTTCTCCACTCTTTGACATCTCGACTTTCGGCATTCAATTGCGCGGAAATAGTATTCAAACAGACATTCATTTCAACTGTTTTTTCGTTAACTAAAACCCAAACAAACTCTTAATCAAAGATTTGACACCAATTTCTCACCTGAAGTCTGATTCGTCGCAATCGTCTGACCGCTGGTCAAAAGCTCGGTAAGCACTGCGTGTGACTGCGCGAGTCGTTCGCAGATGTCGTCCACGCGCTTCTGACTCTTCAAAGTGTTTCTCGAAATCTCTTTTAGCGAACAATTGATGGCCTCGTCGTCCGGCGTTCTTTCGTTCAACGATTTCAATACCAAATCTTGTTTGTTTAGCAACGCTTCCAATAAAGACACCACTTTTCGGCCGTTCTCTGCAGACAAACGGTCAACAGATGTCCTCCTCAATGATCACATGACTTACCGTCGATGTCACAAAGCTTTTCAATCATATTTTCACTTCTGTCCACTTCTATGCTTTCGAATCGCTTCTCCGACCGAACCACATCCAAATGTCTTCGGCACTGATCGTAGGAATAGAGCTTAAGTCCAGAGTCGCACTCCAGACACGCGGCGTTGACATCGCATTTAATGGAGTGCTTTGAGTGACGGAAACACACCTAAAGACCAGAAAAACAATTAAAAATCACAAATTCAAGACTTAGTCCTCAGTCTTGAGTCTTACTTTCATTTCGCGACTGGAGTTGGCGTCCGTCACGTCGGGACTGTTGGGCGTTCGCGGGGCTATTTTGGCGACGTAATGAAAGACCATTTTGGCCGTATCGACAACATTTGGTCCCGACATCACTGCTTAAGTCGATAAACAACTAATCAAAGGCTTGTCTTTCGCCACAAGAGGGCGACAGATGTCTCACAGATGTCAACAAAACTGATGTCTCTTTACGACGATCTCCTCATTGATGACCACAAACGCGACGACAGCGACGGTATACTCAAGATATACTCAAGAGTCTTGTGTTTGACCACTGTTGGTGTTTTCCGTCTTTAGGTTGGTCCTCAAGTGATAGTCGACGTCTTTTAGCACAACATTTGCAAAACAGAAAAACACAACAAAACAAAAGCAAAACAAATAAGACTTTAATTCCGACCAAAAAAGCCGAAGACTCGACGCCTGTCATCACTGCTATCAATATCTCTTCCTATAAGGACAGCAAAGGAGCGCTTTTAGGCGGAGAATGGGATGTCAGTCAGGAATACGACCCGATTTGGGCCAATGATTACGAAAAACTCAGAAATGAAAGACAAAAACACGACAAAAGCCGTCGACGCGATCGTCAACCTTCCGGACGTCCACTTGGACTCGACTACGGCGACGATTCAGACGAAGAAACCAACAACAAAGATGAGCGTCGCGGCGGAGCCACTATTGGTCAGTGTTTAATAGATTCAACAGATTTAACAAAAGTCTTGAATTGAATCCAATGACAGCTCCTCCTCCTTCACTCATCGAACATTCGGCTAATTCGGACAACAATTCCGCTAATTTTGGTTCAATTGCCGCCAAAATTATGGCTCGAATGGGTTATCGCGAAGGACAAGGATTGGGTCGCGAAGAACAGGGAATGAGTTCTGCGCTTTCCGTCGAAAAGACATCAAAACGCGGCGGAAAAATCATAAGCGATGTTTCGCAGACATTAATGCCTCCTCCACCGCCTCCTTCGACCACCGAATCCATCACTGAAATCATGAAAAACCCGTCTAAAGTCGTACTTTTGAGGAATATGGTCGGTGGCGGCGAAGTCGACGAACTATTAGAAGAAGAGACTAAAGAGGAATGCGGAAAATACGGAGAAGTCATCTCTTGTGTCATATTTGAAATGCCAGTCGGCGTCGCAGAGGACGAAGCCGTTCGCATATTTGTTGAGTTCCGTCGAGTCGAGTCGGCGATCAAAGGTCAGTCTTAAACAACATTTCAAATCAAATAATCAAATAAAGTCTTCGCAGCTGTTGTTGACCTAAACGGTCGTTATTTTGGAGGACGAGTAGTGAAAGCAAACTTCTTCGACGTCGAAAAATTCAAAAAATCTGAATTAAAGGACTAATTGTTTATTTATTTATTTGATTGTCATTTGCTTTAAGTTTTTTACAAAATCTGACAAACATTTGAACCAATTATTCGCTTCAAAACTGAAAAGTCTCTGAAATGAAATCATAAAGATTCACTTCTTCTGCAATTTGTTTCCTCAATAACTCTAATTTCGCGCTGTTGTCGACACGACGCTCTCCTAAGCATACACTCCGACACATAAGTTGATCCATCGGAACCGCTATTGAAAACAAATTAAGAGAATATAATAAAATCGATTTCTTACCAAACGGAAGGCATTTCTTGATTAATTGATGTTTGAATGCAATCTTCAGTACAAACACAAAGCGATTTTCCGTCTCTTTGTTTACATTTTGATCCAAAACGACAAACTCGTTGTTCACACGATAAATGAGACGAAACAACAATCGCACTGTCTGTACAACCTTCAGGCTGAAGAATTAGGCCTTCGTGACAAACATCACATTTGGTTCCATAGATTCCCGGTTTGCATACACAACGACCTTCAGATCAACAAAATGTCATTAAATTGTCGAAACGTTAGAAATACCTGTTGTTTGTTCGCAATCCAGTCGAACGGATCCCATGGCATTGCAATTACACTCTTTATGATAACAACAACAAGAGTTAGACATTAAAAATGGTTTTCAACAGAAATGTTTACCCAGACATCCCAATTGAGAACCTTTTTGTTTGAAACTCCAGAATCCTGGTTCACAACGATCACAGAAGCGGCCGCCAACACCTGTTGACAAAAACAACTGTTTGTTTGTTTCTGTATTTCATATTTGTATACCTTTTCTGCAAAAACAGCGACCATTTCCCGAATGGCAGACATGCGGTGAAAGCGATCCATATTTGTTACAAACGCATTGTTTACTCTTTTTTAGGTTGTTTTCAGAGCACTGGCGAACAGCGATTGACTTCTGAAGACGACAACTTTCGGCCTTTAAGTGACACTCACTTTCATAGACACGACTATCAGTTCCTATTTAGTGATAATTAATACTGAATTTATGACGACTTGTGATGAATACAAACCACAAACTCGTTGTTGAGTTGTATTTCGTTTTTGCCAACAATTAATCTGTTTTTAAGAAATAAAGTTTTGAGAAAACGATTGACAAATCAATGCAGAAGTCTATGAATACAATGCACGCGCAAAATGCCTTTCCATTGGCATCGAGTTTGCATTCGGCGCCAAACAAACACTCTTTTGGACAGCGATTGAGTGATGAAAAGTCGGATAAACTGAGAGCTGCAGATCCGTCATCTCTGTCGCCTCCATCATCTTCGCACTGTCCGTAAAAAAGACTAAACGAGACATTGAAACACTAAACAAGTCATTTCTTACGCTATGAGTTCCCGTTGATGAAGACAAGCACTGCGACGCAGTTGGCACTCGTTGTTGTAGGTGTTTCCGTCTGAAACATTACTTTTCATCAATATTTAGCTTTTGATTCGCTTTTAACATTGCTTTTACAAGTAATATAAATGCATTGATTATATCCTTATAATTGTGGCAAATTGTGTGGGTGTGGGGTGGGGGTGGGTGTCAATAGTTAAGACGGTTTGTGGTTTACTATCTTATAATGTGTTTATATTCTGTTTATTTAACTTTTAATTGAATAAAATTTTTCATTAAATGAATGCATTTAATACACCGTTAAAATTCAAATTAACCGAAAGTCTCAAAAGTTAACCGAATATTGTTAGAAAATAAACAAACCGTTGGCACAAATTGGTTCAAAGGCGTCTTCCGGACAGTTGGTCACACATTGACACTCGCCATCTTGACATTTGGCACCTATTTTTACACATTAGTTCACAATATAATTGTCAATATTTTTACCGAATCGGCATTTGATGTCTTGACATGGATCTAAATCGAAAAAACAAAAAAAAATCAATAAGTTGAATAAAATTGAAATAAATATTTACCACAACTGCCATTGAATTTGATTTTTAAGGCAATCCCCGAACGACAGGACACGACTTGAAGCGAACACTTGTTCTCATAAGTGATTCCTTAGAATTGAAAAATGAAAACAATAGAAAATGAAAGTTGTTTTGACGAACCGTTATCACCACAAACGCTCTGATCGTCTCTAAAACATAAAACTCAATTCAAAGACTTGGCATTGATTTTGATTTACTAACCGAAGGCAGACCTGAGGACAGACGCATTCGGCAACATTGTGTTTGTTGAGCCGACACTCGCCGTAATGACAATCATGACATTTATGTTCGCAAATTCCCGAATGCAAGATCCGAAGGTTGAGTCCCGAGAGACACGCGTGTCGACGCATTTCACACTCGTTTTCATAAGTGATACCATCGGTGGCACAGATTCTGTTGTTTTCTGATTTTTTTGTTTTTTAAGTGATTATTGATTAATCAATTGCTTACCTATTGTTGAACAGTGAAGACACTGACAGATTGGCTGCGAATCAATAACAACACATTCGGAGTATTCGTGACATTTGCGATGAAAGCAGAGTGAAGAAGTCATTGGTGAACATAAACCTTCGTGTTTGATACCAATGTTGGACTTTTCGAGGCATTGCTGTCGTCGCAAATGACATTCAGAGGCATAAGAGTTGTTATCAGTTCCACAAACTGTTGAATTCGATGTCAGAATAAATCATAACAAATAAAAATAATCTAATCTAATATACCAGGAAATGAAATTGATGGACACGAAGGACAACAGTCTTGGGATTTGTCGCAAATGTCTGTAAAGAAAGTAATGATTGCGTGCATCTGATGACGGCTTCACTGCTTTCAACCAAGTTATGCAGTGAAGCCGCTCTCAATGCAAGAGTCGAAAGCTTTTCTATAATATAGACTCAAAAATATATAGAAATATACTCTAAATATAGACTTATAGACATCCCTTCCCTTCCCTGCCCTTCCCTTCTTACAATGCTTTTCTAGTCTCGAGAGACTGTAAGTAGAGGGCGGGGAGGGGAGGACTGGGGTTGAATTAATTGAATTGATTGAAAGATTGCAAATTAGAGTTAAATGTTAGAACCGATTGTGTGATAGAGACCTACCAGTGCAGAGACCACTCGTTTGCACCAAAATATCTGTTTGTGTCGAACACGAAGCCATCCGTAAAAGACATTCGTTGGCATAAGAGTTACCATCAGATCCTTTAAGTTTATAAAGTTAAGTATTTGATCACCGCTTTGACACAACACTGACCACAAACAGGATTGTTGGCCAAGTGATGATCGCACGTGTCTTCGCAACGACAATAAGGCTGTTGACTGTATTCATCGACACGACAGTGAGCGCCGTAAGCACAATGAGTTGTCTCACAAATTGCTGTCAAAACAAAGAGTCGTAACGAATAGTCAGAAGGGAATTAACAATCGATTTTTGGGTTAAATTAATGACATTTTGTTTAATGAATTCAATTGTTTTGATCCATAATTGCCATCAATTTAAAGAAACAATCGATTTTCACTTTAAACTTACAATTGAAAAGAGACGGCTTCGACGACACTCTTCTGGAATCTGCAAAAAAGAGATCAAATGATTATAATGTCACACTTTATGCACGTTGTCTTCATTTCGTACGCCAAACGTAAACTAATGTTCCGCCGACGCCTATAAAGACGAGAATCTGCGACAAAAAAAACATTAATAAAACACAATTTCGACCACTTTTACCGAAGTTCCGATCACTAGAAGTGTTAATAGAATATAAAAAGTAGTTTTTTTTCTCTCAATGACCACAACTTGTGGCCACTGTTGGTCTTCGACTGAAATTCTGCGATGCATTGAGACGTCAATTGACAATAATTGTCACAAAACAAGAAGAGCTCGACATTTGGTGTTTTTGGTGCAACACGTGTACAAAAAGACGAGTTAAAGTGTGTCGCACGAGAACTCGGCGACGACTAAGAGTTTTGGTGAAAGAGTAGGAAAATTGGCGGCGAATGCGCTGACAGTGTTGATAGTGTTATTGATTTGGAGGATCGCGTGGCAGTTGAAGCAGTTGTGTGTTTGTCGAGAATATATATCTTGATATACGGTATATATCTATGAAATAAATCACGTATTTTGATGTCAATCTCTTTGTTGGCAAATTGAAAGCGTTTGTCGTTTATTCGCCGGAGTTGTCGTCGTTGACTGTGTTTCGACATTCAATTGAAAATCGATTCCAATCTCAATCTCGTGTCTTAAATCCCTTAAATTGTTTGAACCGCCGATTCGTTGTTTTTTGTTAGCAATTATCCTCTAAAGCGTAGCTCAGGTGCACTCCAGAGCCCAGCAGTGAAAGCACACACTTTACACACAATGCAACACAAGTGCACACCATTTGAAGCTTTAATCATTGCCTTTAAGGACTCCTTCCAAGACATTAATTGAGAGAAAATCCATTTTTCACTCATTTCTCGCTTATTCGCAACAAATCCCATCTCAAAGAGTTCATTGTCTTTGCAAACCATAACTGCAAATATATATATATATCTTAAGACATCTCTGTTGGTGAATCTCACGCCTCAGTGGTCTCGCAAGACTAATAAAGTGCGAACTGAGCTAAAGCTCCCTTTCCTTCAAATCTAATAATCAAATCAATAGCAGCTCTGTTGTGACCCTTCACTTGACACAGCAATACACCGATTGGCGAGAGTTGTCTATATTTAGGCAATTAGTGGCGAGAAATGTAAATAAAAGTATTTATCGGGCGATCAATGATTGCAATGATTTCAACAAATAATAGCTTTTGTGACAAAAACGACTCAAAACAAGCCATTTATCGTCGAATTCCTCGCATTATTGCAAACCTTTGTTTCATTTCTATTCAATTCTAATGAATTATGATTTATTAAGACATATCGCGCGTCAAACAAAAATTAATTAATTTCTTTATTTTTATTGATTTGTCGTTTAAATTATATATTTTTGTCTTATTTTTAGTGTCTTTAAAGTTATCCATATTTATGGATCAAAAAGATTTGTGTCTTCGAGGAAAGCATTTGAGCGGAAATTTTGTTCACAAATCGACTCAACTGTGGATCGAAACCAAAGCAATACTAATGAGAGAAAGCATTGAAAGCATCCAAAGCTGACATTTGTTTAATGCATTCACTCTCTATGTGTTTGTCTGTCTCTATAGTCTATACTATCACTACTACTACTACTACTACTACTACTACTACTACTACTACTACTACTACTGCTATCATATCGTATGAGTTGTTATTTCTTTTGAAAGCAATGAAAGCAAACATTTTGTGTTTATTGAGAAACATATGGAGTAATAGTGTTTAGGCTTTAGTCAAAAGTTAATGATATTTGTGGTGTTTGTGGTGTTTATGGTATTCAATGCCACAACACATCACATCACATGTCTTTGGCGTCTCTCAAAGCGATTCATACGAAATGGTTTTCGCCTGAATCCAAAAGGCATCCAATTTGTGTGGTCTTTCCCTCTCTTCTTCTCTTCCTTTTTCAGGTCAAAGTTGTGCACAAAGTTTAACATATTATTTACACAAGACTTTCATTTCATACCAAACTCTGAATTAGTTAACACCTGTTTCTCTGAGTTATAGTTTTCATTTCATACGACATGTATTTCTCGAGTATTTCATTTGTTTTGGCATTTTTTATGACCACTTTCTACGCCGAGTCTCGCTTTTGTCACAATAACTCTCTGAAGTCCGTCTCAACTATATTTACCGCAACTGTTGAACGTGTCTTTGCTGTCGACAATGGTCTATATGGAAGTGTTGTTCGCGTTAAAAGAGTCTTTAAGGGCAACCCTAAGCTTGTCGATGATGTAATAGTTGTTGAAGGTTTTGGTTACAAACAACTGTGCGATAGTTGGGTTCGCGTGAAAGACACTCGTATTTTTGGAGTCAACCGTTTGGATGAACAACGGTTTCGTTTAGATTCTAGTCTTATTCGTGTGACTCTTGAAAACCTGTATCAAGTGATGGCCTCCGTGTCCGGTGAGTCAAACAAAAGCGCTTTCCTTTTGTCGCATTTGTGGCGCTTAAGAGCTTCCGATGATTGACTGCTTCCGTAATGAAAGCTTTTGTTGAACTCCCGAACTAACAATCGATTCTTCAATCGATTCTTTTCTAACACTCGACGCGCGCGCCATTCACTCACATTCTATCACTTGTGCATCACTTCATCGGTTCTCTCTTTAAGTGATCTTCAAATCAATCACTAGTCATATATATAGCAAAACAGGTGCCACTTAGTGATCAATATTTCATTTTATATTTCAATTATACTATAATATACTCCAAGTATTCAAGTTATTAATAATTAAATACAGTTATCATCAAAATTGTCTCAATATTTCAATAATTAATATTAAATTTAATTAATAATCAATAAGTTTTACATTAAGTTAATCTTCGTATTTAATTATCGTTGAACTATATATTCATTTATAATTTACTTTAATTTTCATATCATTTGTGAACATTTTTGCAGTTTTTCATTATATTGTAAGAGAAACGGACTATAATTTAATAGAAAATTAATTTTTAATAATTTTTTAATTAAAAAAGTTATGACTCATACAAATAATAACATTTTTTAGTTTTAAAAGTTTTTATTTCTAAAACAAAATATAATATTTTTATTTAAAAGTTGACAAAATATTACATTTAAGTTTTGTTCCCGCAGTTGACAGCACATGTATTATACTTTACTGGATCAGTAGTAATGGTTATCTCATAATATATTGAATAAGTTATTCATTGTAATTGTTATCAAAGATCATTATTTTGTAGAAATACGAAACTTAATGAGTGTTTTTCACATTTAGAAAACATTTGGAAGTAATTTCTAGTACTGTATTATAATAAGACTATACATACTATTGGTTTACTATAAATAATTGTATATCACTTTAATGGTTAACGAAATAGCAATGAATATCAACAGTTTATTTATGATTATTTGTTTTGAATTTCTTTCCATTGAAAACACAATTTATACATAATGTTCAACAATAATATAATTCTGTAATAACTGTACAATAACTGAATCTTATTATATTTTCAACATTTTTAGTTAATATATTAATACAATTAATCAGATTAATTGCATTCAATGCAACGCTTTTTATTGTATTACTGCAAATATATAATTTTGTATAAATCTGTATAATACTATACAGTATATACCAGAGAGTGTCAGGCTGTGGATCCCATGTATTTTGTATATAAATGTAATAAGGGCGTAACTAACAGTATAAAAAATGTAATAATAAGCCTTTCTACAAATACAATGTCAAAAACACAAATAAATGAAAAAAACATTAAAAATAAATATAAGTACAGTAGAGGAAAAACAAAGTGGACAAAACCAATCAAAATATTATAATATAAAATAGATATAAAAAATAATTAAAATAAAATATCAGAATTAATTAATTTTATTATTAAATATTCAATTAAAACTAATAAATTTTTCATTTTAATATTTTTTAATTTTTATAATCTTTATTTATATTTATTATTATTTTTGTTTATTAATGTATTAAAACTATTATAAATATATAATTATTATAGAATGTTATTATATATCTGTTTTAATTAATTTTTTATCATTTTGTTTATAATTTAATACCATCTGTTTATATAGTTTTAATTGAATATTTAATAATAAAATTAATTATTTATTTCTGATATTTTATTTTAATTATTTTTTATATCTATTTTATATTATAATATTTTGATTGGTTTTGTCCACTTAGTTTTTCCTCTACTGTACTTATATTTATTTTTAATGTTTTTTCATTTATTTGTGTTTTTGACATTGTATTTGTAGAAAGGCTTATTATTACATTTTTTATACTGTTAGTTACGCCCTTATTACATTTATATACAAAATACATGGGATCCACAGCCTGACACTCTCTGGTATATACTATATACCAGTGTTGGCAGAGACAAAATGTCTGTATAATACAATGTAAAATACATGACCAATTTGGCTTACAAAAACAAATTAGCGCCACATAGTGCTAAAAGTATTGATATAAACAAAGTAAATCATGTTTTATAATAAATATAGATTTAATATTATTTTTTTATTGAATTTCATTTTTTATTTTAAATTATTTGATTTTTATAACTTAGAAACGACGATTGTAATAATAATAATGCATTTTCTAGAAATTATATTTTTACTAAATATTTTAAAGTAATTTTTAACATAATAATAATCAGTTTTAAAATTTGTATAATACATTGTATTTTACTGTATTATACAAAGTCAAAATTCAAAACCTTATATTTTTTCCAACCCTGGTAATTATACAGTATTTATATCTAATTATCTATAATAAATAGTTGACATAAAAATATCCCAATTTAACATAATTTTTAATTTAAAGTTTATTTTTAATATAAAATTATCTTTTGAAGTAAAATATAAACTATAAAAATTACACAACACTATATAAAAATATTAAACATAGAAAATGATTATTGAAATTGTTAAATGCGAACTTCTTTTTTAGTTATAAACTATTTTAAATAAAAATTTTCTTACATTTTATTTTTAACGAATTGGAAAATTAGATTTTCTGTAATATAAAACATAGTGTATATTGGGATTACAAACAATTTATTTTAGTAAACAATTATAACGCTTATACTGTATAAGCAATATAAATAAAATATAATTCTGGATATTATTATAAATAACTGACTATTATTATAATATTATATGAATTATAATAGTATAATAAAATTGTAATATAAAAACGTTAGATTTTATGTAAATTAGTAAAATTGTTTTTGGATAAGTTTGTGGCGTTTATTTGTTTCTCATAATTAATATAAACTTTTTACTGATGTCAACTTAAATGGATTAGTAAAGTGATGAGTTAATTGTTATTCAAAGCATTATTATATTATAGTTATTAATATAATAACTTATTGTATATTATTTTAATTATTATCTTTTATTAACTATGAAACAACTAACTTATACTTTAGAGTCAGTGAGTGTTTGAATATTTTGATAATACAGTGCCAACTCTTCAACTACTCTTTTAATGCATCTCTTTCTCTCGCTTTGTATATCCATAACACAACCAAATACTGTATATTACTCTACTGTATATAATATACACAATATATACTACTTTTTACGATTATACTATATATTA